GCTTCAAAAATGCTCTTTGAATCTTCACGGATATACTGAGAGACCTGACTACCGAGACACATTTTCGTCTTCATCAGCTATCGGCCTCATGATAGGTGTCGGTAATGTGGGCGAAAAATTGACCTCTTATGAAGACGGCTCTACTTTTTTGACAAGGGATGGTGGAAACACCTGGAAAGAAATCAAAAAAGGTAGGTATATGTGGGAATATGGTGATAGAGGTACAATTCTTATCCTTGTTAAGGCAGACGAGCCCACAAACTCATTATCATATTCTTTGGACGAGGGCAATAAGTGGCACGACTACAAATTTGCAGAGGATCCTATTCACGTCTTGGATTTAGCGACCGTTCCTTCGGATACTTCTCGCAAGTTCCTTATATTTGGAACTACAAAGTCCCATAAACGGACTCTACTCTCATACTCCATCGATTTCACTAATATTCATAAGCGTCAGTGTCAAATTGATTTGGATAATCCTGACAGTGACGACTTTGAGTATTGGTCGCCCAATCACCCAGAGAGTGCCGACAAATGTCTATTTGGTCACGAAGCAAAATACCTTCGTCGTGCAGAGGGCCACAATGATTGTTTCATTGGCAGTGCCCCATTGAAAGAGGGATTCAAAATGGTCAGAAATTGTAGCTGTACAAGGCGAGATTTCGAGTGTGACTACAACTATTTCATGGATACAGATAAAACCTGTAAACTTGTTCCAGGATTGTCGCCTTCCGATCGGAAGAAGGATATGTGTCTGAAGGAGAATGCGTTTGAGTACACCGAAACCACTGGATATCGGAAAATTCCTATATCAACTTGTGAGGGCGGTAAAAGATTTGATGGATGGCAAGCTCATCCTTGTCCTGGAAAGGAAAAGGAATACAACAAACACTATGGAAAAGAGCTTACTGGAGGCAATTTATTTGCTATATTGTTTGTACCTTTGGCAGTGTTCTTCTTCGCAACTTGGATTGTGTACGATAGGGGTATTCGTCGAAATGGAGGGCTTAAAAGGCTCGGACAAATTAGACTAGACGCTGATGATGACGACTTTCAACCTATCGAAAACAATCAGCTTGACAAAGTTGTGAACACCATTGTTCGTGGTGGAATAATTGTAGTCGCAGGAGCGATTGCAACTTTCAAGACTCTTCGCAAGTTCGACAGATTCTTATTTGATAAGGTCACTTTCCTGTTGTTTTCGAGGAGACCTAGTGGACGCAATTTTGTACGGATCCCTGATGCAGAGGACGAAGATGAATTGTTCGGGGAATTTAGAGACAACTACGAAGAGGAATTGGAAGAGGGCATCGATGTCAACTTTAACCAGGACGATCACGACACTCCACCAGTAGAGCTGGAAGTTACCGAACACGAAGTTACCAACCCCGACACAAGACTCTTTGACATTGATGATCCCTCCGATGAGGAAAGAAGTGAGAGTACAACGGCGTAAAAAGTTATGCTCAGATATGTAGAATGAGATAATAAATTTATTACACTCTAGTATGCTTTCTAACTGATTATAACCATATCAATGGTTTCTATGCAAATCGATCTCATGAAACAATTCTTGAGGATTAACGGCATCCATCATTTCGTTCTCATGAATCCGCTGCTGAGCGCCTTTCCTGTTGTTTTGTCTAAAGAAAGCGTAGTAAGGAATGAGATAAAGGAGACCCATTAATGCGGTCGAGCCGAGTGCGGCTGCCAAGGACACTCCAACTACTTGACCTCTAGTCATCTTGGACTCTTTTTTAACATCTTCCAGAGATTGTAACCTTAAAGAATCCTTCATCAAGATTGAGCCTATTGAGCCCAAGGTGGAGTTTTGTTTTGTAAAGACAAATGGAGTCCATGATGTACTGTTGAATAATGCAAGGTTAACTGGTCCATAGTCTGTTAGGTTGAACCTTCCAGCAAGTGCAAGAACTTGATTTTTGTCAAAGTATGTTTGCTTGTTTGCAGTGTTACTCTTCTTCAACGGAAGCAACTTGATATCGGTCAATTCAGTCGCAGAGTCGAACAGAATATCCTTATCAATACTATGCCATTGTTTGCCATCATAAGCCTTCACGAAGCCTGGGCCATAAGCAATTATACGGCCATTAGGCATATCGCTCTCGTCAACAAGTATGAACTTTTGAACCAACTCATCAGAGTCAAGCGATTTAACATCGGTGGAGTAGGCACTCTTGCTAATGTCATAGGTAACAAAAGACTGAGACCGGCCATTCAACTTGAGTGACCCGCCAATAAGAACTTTATTGGTTTCAAAGAAGTTAATATGGGTCACCACACCTGTAAGCTCGTCGTTCTCCAGTGGACTGTTCCACCGTGTGTTTTTGATATCATAGATGCAAAGACCTTCACACAGTAATGACCCAGCCGTGGTGAAATTACCACCAACTAGTAACTTTTCATCCTTGTCATGAAGCACAATGGAATTAATAGCCACATTACCACTGTTACTGTTGGATAACGATGCTGGCTGAAAGTCCGTGAGTTCGTTTTCCTGCAAGTCGTATATCACCACCCCTGTGATAGATGTTGACAGTCCGATGCTGGCAGACCCGTTCGTTCCCACGAACAAATACTTGCCTTCATGGTCAGCGTACAACGCTTGAATGGAACTATTCTTTGAAAGTGAAATCTTCAGCGCAATTGGGGTCACAGAACTTTGCTTTCCATCGTTGCTAACGACGCCCAAATTAGAACCAAGCTCTGAATTGAAGAACCCACCAACGATACTAACAGAGTCGTTGACATAATATGACGCCGAAATGGAACCATTTGTTACCTTAAAATCATATTTTTTCAAATCACCTTTTCCAATATATGCTTGGTCAACAGAAGTCAAGTCCATCACGTTGAAAGATGAACCACTCAAGACTTGTTGCTTTGAGTTTATATCAAGTGCCAGCGAAACATCGAAGTCGCTATCACTAAGCCATTTCCTATTCGAATTATCCCAAATTTGGGAATCATCAGAAGATGAAGACGAAAAGACAAAGTATTCCACATCGTCTAATGTAAAGTTGCTAAATTGATCAAAGTCAGCATCAATAAACTCATTCCCAAACGTATACCACGTTGAGTCACCATAAATCGCGAAATTATTTCCCGAATCAGTGGTGGCATTTTTGTTGGAAAGATCTTTGATTGTAGAGCCCAGGTTCTGAATTCCAAAACTTCCCACAAACACCTCACTGTTATAGTAATTGAATATCTTAGAAATGCTGTTATTGAATTCAACCCCGTAAATCTTTTGTGAGGCACGCTTCAATAGACGCTTGGCGAGAGTACTCTCGGACTGATTAGAAGACGAATTGAACGGTGACAATGACAACGTAAGAAGGTTGTTATTCGACAAGGACAAATTCTTGGACTCAAAGTCTCCTAACAAAGTAAGTGTTTTATCATTCAAGTTGATGTTGTTCACTTCCGAGTCCTTTGACAATTTGGAACTCAAAACGTTAATGGACGAGTTCCCGACAAAGGTGTTTCTCTTGCTGATGATTGTGGAGTTGTCTTTCTTGTAAGACACCGCGGAAGGTTCAAAGGACGAAAAGTTATTCAATGAATACTCAAACAATCCATTGAGCTCAAGAGTCGTTACGTCGTAATCTGATGTGTTTTTCTTCATGGTCTTGTTGGTGGAGTTTCTGTCGTAATAGTCGTCTAAGGATACGATGTTCGCTGTCACCTTATCCACCACAGTCCAAGATCCCTTTGAATCACCAATCGAGGAGGAATAAGAGACTCTTACCTTGTTGCGTCCGTCGCTGGTACTTGATCCATTCAAGTGACCATAGAACAAATAATCAAACTTGTTATAGTCGTTGTTCTGGTAAATTAAATGAGAAGCCAAAATGGTGTCTTCATGATCGATGACCGTGACGTTCACAATCAGCCTGTTAGAACACGAGTTATCCTGAATACAACCTGGTGTGTGAAATAAGAGGGAGTAGTTACCCGAATATGAAATATTAGGATAAAGGGTTATTTCTGCTTTAGGATCGGTACTCACCACATAGCTGGTGTCGATCACCGAATCTGAGAGACTCTGGATAGACGCAAATTTGCCCTGCTCAATATCTGAATAGTTACTAAGGTCATCTTCTTCATCGCAGTTTGGTTCGTTAAGAGTATCGTTACCATATACCACAATCGAGTTCAGGTAAAGTTCGAATCCGGCTAACTCACCCTTGGATCCAAACCAATCTGTGACTGTTATGCCGATTTTATCTATCGGGACTTGATTTTCAAAAGCAAATTCTTGATATCCTTCGCCATAACCAAGGGTTTTGGTCTTCGTGGAAGAATCATAGTACGTAGAAAATGAGCCGTCCTCCGAGTCCACAAAAGTGGTAGAGTCTGTAAGGTTTTTTGCATTCTCAATGTTATTACTTGTGGCCTCAGAAAGCTTTGACGCTTGCATTAACGGGCAGGAGGAGTCACAGTACTTTCTGGTGTTTGTGGATGGGTCAATGTACGAGAGATTCATAATACCGTTATTAGGATAGGTATAGATCCTGAAAAACTTCACGCCATCTTCTCCTTGAGGAACATAAAGTCTTGCTTTTGTGGGAAACAAGCCATTTAATGCGCTGGGCAAAGAGACAGCCCATTGTCCACCCATGTTGGGCTGTAACGACCAGACCGAGCCACCGGAAGGACATACGAGAGAGCTATCATCATCGTTAGAAGCTCCATTCACGTTTGAAAACTGTCCATGTTTTAAAGAGATTATTTGCTCTGCCGCTATTAATGAGGTGTTAGTGGAATTTTTGTGATGCTTGCGGGTAGAGTTGGACGACACGTTGCGCTTGAGAAGGTCTGGGAGCCCCAAGGTGTCGAACTTGCCTCCAAAAATAATGGAGCCAGAATTGACATTGTTATCGTCCTTATCAAGAATTTTGGTGATGGCATTGACCGACGAGTTTTTACCAAAACCTTGAAAGGGGGTCGAAGAAAGTGTCTTTGAAGTTTGGTTATAGATGGCAACTCCGTAGGTGCCGTTGAAGGAGAAGTCACCCCCTAAGTAAATGAGGTCACCGTCTATGAACGTTGTTTTGACGTCTCCTTGGACCTCCATATCGTCTCGCTTTTGGTTGACCGGTATTATGGAGGTGACGTCGTTCGAGGAGATATTGTAAATGATGGGAGGGTGAAAGGTTTTATTATTGAATGTTGTGAAATTACCGTTGACGAGCACCGAGTCTTCGGATATACGACCAATCTCTGTTATGTGGCCGTTGCATGTAGCAATTGGGGAATTAATGTTCTTAGAAAGGTCTCGAAGATAGAGCTTGGAGTCAGACGACGGTTTTTCCACGAGAAAGTTCGATTGTCCCTCGTAGGAGTAGACAGCAAGAGCGTCAAACTGGCCAAAAAGACCTATACGTCCACCCAAGGAATCGTAATCGATATCAGGCTGTGACACGGGAATGATGTTGGTTGCCAGAGCCAACGTGAGCCAGAATACAAGCAAAAACTGCCGTATTACCATAGTTTTATTATTTCGTCTAAAAGGAAGGGAGGACACCGATGTGGCTATTTTCTAAAAATCGACAGGTTCAATTAAGCTAGGAGATATAGCACGGATTCACGCGTACGGGAGTCGATATGCCCGTGTATGAACAAGCTATTGTAGGAAGTTCAAGTGATGCTTGAGAATAAAAATTTTGGATGTTTGTCGATCAAGTGTATGTTATTTTTTTTTTTGTTTTCTAATTTTGTGGTATTTTGTGGTTTTATTATTTTTCGAGCGGCGCGCCTGTGCGTAAACGATTGGACTGGTGAAATAAGGGGGAACTCAATGGGTGCAAACGAGGAATTGGAGGAGATTGATGGCTCTACTCGAGTCTATAAGTTGGTTTTGGAGTCTACAAACAGAATTTGTCTTCAAAAGTAGTTATATTAATCCTTGTTTCATTCCAAGTGTGTGTCTTCCGGGGCGCTATTTCGCACCCATTACTTACTCGCCGGGTCTGATTGCACTTCGGGAAGGTGGATAGGGACAAAATAGGGAGAGATAGGGAGAGTGGTCAGAAGGAGAGTAGGCGAATAGGGAGAGACAGAGTGATAGTATCTAAGATGGATTCGAAAAATAAATCTTCTATTACCTTACTGTTAAACTTCCACCCTTATCCCTAACCTTGTCGGAGCTTCCTGTTTACATATTGTCCAAATCAGGCATGTGGGCTCCACCCGTCTCGTCTAGTTGATTTGTTTAAGTTTTTGTGCGACTTGCGAGTTGTTTCATCCTCCCACCAGTTCTCACGCCGTGGCTTGCGTATGCGCAGGAACGCCCTCTGCTATCGCAACAATCTCACTCTCACCATCCACACCCACCATGTCCATACAGGGACTAGATCCCTATTTGGCAAGACAATATTTGCTCCATCATGCCTACTCTCCTCTGGTGTCGGTGCAATCGTCTCACAGCGCTGATACTCGTATACAAAATGCTGTACGACATCAGGAAGGTTTTTCAACATTACTGATTTTGGAACCATACGGCAATAACGCCAAATATAGTGTGACGAACCAAGCATTTAAAATCACCAACACACTGTTGATCACTCGAAGTTACCCCAGCTTTCCTATCCGGTTCCAGCTGTGTTTGGTGGAACAGTTGTCTGTACTTCAAGCCTCGGAATCCAAGCTGAATCTGAATAAATTACGCCAACTTTTCTCTGCCTCCTCATTGGAGGGACTCATGCAACACATCGCATCTGAAGAAGATGCTCTGAACGATTTGTATCTTGAGTTCTTTGCAAAAGTTATTTCTTCCAATCGCATTGTTCCTTTCGAGACTTTCAACCATCCAGTATGTCAAATTTTTGTTATCGATTTCCACACAGACACTTTGGCGTCTCTTCGCCAGACTATAGTGGACTTTCGGAACTACAACTTTCCCAAATACTTTCAAATTGACGATCTTTTGATGCATGTATTCATACTATACGACCCCAACGTCGCATCCGAGGTTGACATAACTACATTCCAATCCGACATTAGAAGACAACTTAGCATCCAGTCATCACCAATTGCCGTGACCCAGCTCGACGACGAGGCACCCCTAATCACTTTGAGCAAACATGAAAACTCCACCATCGAGGAGGACCTCCAAAGGTTGTCGCTAGAAAACGCTAAAGTTCAAGAAAACCTAATACAAATACCGCATTCCTTGGACTCTACTATCAAACAAAAGCTATACGAGTTCATAAACAAGCATTTGATACCGCATATGACCGAAAAAGTGAGGCATTGGGACGACTCGATATTGGCTCCAAAGAAGTCTTTCACCGGTCGGTTTTTCTCGGTCTCCAAAAAATTGTTTAATAACGAAAATAATTCTTCTGGGTCTGGTCAGTCAAGCACCTCTTTCAACCACCAAGGAAATTACTACCACAAAACTTCCGTTGAACAGACAATACGTAAATTGGCCGATTGGTCGTTGATCCTCAAAGATTTCAAGTATGCATACTCAACCTACGACTTGATCAAAAAGGAGTACAACAACGATAGAGCTTGGGCATATGTAGCGTCAACTCAGGAGATGTGTGTTGTTTCATTGTTGCTTGCCCAAACTCAACAGAGCATCCAGATTACTCCCCCCGATAAAAATACCCTTCGGAAAATAAAGCACGACATTGTTGAGCCTTACTTGGACAGCTTAGCATACACTTACAAATCCCGGCTCAATATCAAAACATATGGCATAAGGGCATCACTAGTGGTTATAGAATTGCTTCTATGTATGTGCAACGCATACAATATCTCCTGGTGGTGGTCTGACTTGATAGAACGTTATTTGTGCAAGTGTGTTGCTGATTTTGAGTCCACCACAAGTAACAGTGCTTCGGATGTCCAAGTCATCAGAGCGTTGTTATATGAACGTCTTGGATATTGTCTTGGAAATTGCGTTTACTCTTCTCTTCCGAGCACTTCAATTTCCGTAAAAGATGCCAAATCTGAAGAGTCGAAGGAAGGCTTCTATCGAAATACTAACAAGATGGAACCGTCCAGCGTCTCCATGGGTCTCAAAAGAGAAAGGCAAGCTTCATTGTGGTACTTATTATCTATAAAAGAATGGGCACTTTTAAAGAATTACAAACAGGCAGCACATTTACTCCACAACATTGAATCCTGTTTCACCATTGACAGGTTGACAAATGAGTGGTACGATCGACCCGACGTACTCTTGGGATGTATCAAAAGGCAGATGGAAATTGTTGGAATCAAAGAGGAAGTGGTGGAATCTTGAAGGAATCTTGAATTCAATGCATTAGGGTCGTGATACGACCTTATCTATTCTATTTTCCTACTCTAGCCCTTCCAATGCAAGTTTCCGTTTCCCATCAGTTACTGAACTTCGCTGATGGTGTCCCGGCTTCTTCCTTTTTGCCCAATTCCATGCTTGCTGTGCTCTCGTGCGCATTCCTGATGTCTGGAAGAGACCTAGTGCTTTGAGACTAGATACCAACGATGGTTCATTATCGACTATTTCGAAGTGATCACCATTAATAATCTTAGCTTTTACCAATAGCGAGAACATTCGGTTGCTAATATCTCCTATGGCCCCAGAAAGTGGAAAGGGAAAGAAGCTGCTCAAGGCAAACGATGCTGAGCGATCACCGTTGAAGTCCAAATTGAAAGAAAAAAGACCATTCTGAAACTCGTTCTTTCGAGAAATTGTTGGTCGATTTTTCTTGGGAACAAACGGCGGAAGCAAGCCAATTTGGGCGCTTGAAGCTGTTTTCTGAAAGATTCTCAAGTAAGTCCAGCTTACAAGAAACCCCAAATAAGCTTTCATGAAAAACACCTTGTAAATATCGTTGGTGCTAAAGTAATAGGTTACCCCACAAATACCCATAATAATGGAGGGAAAAAGCTTCATGCGAAACCCCTTATCTTGAAATATATATACCTGGTGGTTCGGGATCAATTTCGTTGCTGCCACGATAATTCCTATTGCCATTGACAAGCCGGAAAAGATGAGTGGAGGTTTTGTTTCAGAAAGCAATATGGATTTCGTTTCATAGTAGAAATATAATGATACATTTGGAAGCATTGAGATTATCACGAGGTACCTCATATATTCTCTTAGCCCCCATATTTTCTCGACATAGCTTCCAAATACCAAAACCACCAAAGGCACAAGAATGAGCAATGCTATTTCACGTTCAATCAAAGTAGAAGAAACGAGAACCCATGGATATGATATGACAGGAGTTTTGCCAGGAATGAAAGTAAGAAGTGGTAAAAATTTCTCCACGTCGGGTACTTCTTCGCTATCATGTTGTGGAGTAATTTGTTGCTCATGAATTACGTCTAGCGATAGACCCCAATTGGTAAAATAGCTGACAAAAAAGTGAAAAAGTGTCAACACTAGTATGGTAATGCAAATACACCTGTTGAAGTTGGTAGCGATGTCGGGTGCTATTTCTATTCTGGGACCTTTCATTGCAGCCAAGTGAGATGCAATCGAACCGATTCACTCACGCAGCACCCATGCAGGAAAGAGCATGAAAATATGCACCTTAACCAAGTTTGGCAGCCAAAATCTGTCAAAAATGATGCACCGATTCCGCCAAAGAAATCTGTGCATGACGCAGAATGTACATGTAATGCACAGTTATGTACGATATGCATCGACAACTACGCCTCGAAGACCTACGGTACGTGAGCTCTTTCGTGCCCCAATCATCAAGTCGGTTATATTGACGGTACTCTTTGGTTCGGCAGTTGTCGAGCTCATCAAGCAGAGGCGAGAGTTGGAAGGTTTGAAACTTGCCCATCAGTCGAAATTTGCAATATACGAAGATATTATTGAAAAACTTAAGCGAGGTGAAAAGGTGGATTTAGCTCATGATCTCAAAATTGCAAGCACTTTGACAAAGCACAAGTACAACACCGTAAACGAAATTGAAATGGACGAGCAATTGAGCGAATTGTTCAACTTTGACGAAGAAGATGAGGAGGAAGTGGTGAGTCCACAAAGTAATACCGAAAGGTCGCTGCTGAAATTCTTGTAAATAAATACATAACTAAACAATACCCGCAACCTTTTTGATGGTTCTTCTATGACTCTCACCCGTTTCTATCAACTTTCCCTCATGCTGCAATCTTTTGATGGCTTCAATAAGGTCGCTATTTTCAACTCGTATAGAAGACAGTTCGTTCACACTGTGGATCAAGTCGTTAAAACGAATAGAATTGTTGTGCGCTTCAACAATATTCATAACCTGGGCCGCCAAGTCATCTTGCATTCTTCTTTGAGCTGCTGTGGTACCTGTCTGGACCATATCCATGTCAATTCTTCCAGTAATAGGGTCAGTAGCATAGTCTTTAATGGCAGACTTTATCAACCGTACGGCTTCTTTGACGTCGATTAAATCAACCGTCTCAGATAATCTCATCTTAGCATGGGCTTCTGAAAGTCGTATCATCGACTCCAATTGTCTAGTGGTGGCAGTGACTCTTCTTTCTGATGCTCTTGAATCATCACCAAGCTTGCGCATCTCCACATAAGACTTGACCAATTCTTGTTTGGCAGTTTCCGTCAACACTGGCTCATAGTTCTCCTTGGCATATTGTATGTAGCTCGTCAAGAAGTCGACTGGTAGAACATAGGATGTGTTAACGGTTTCTGGGGCATCTTCGAGATACATATCTGTCAAGTGTCTTGCAAGCTGACGGTCGATTTTTTCATCAACTTTGTCAAGAATTAAATAGACCAAATCGAACCTGGACAATAACGGAGGAGGAAGATCAATGTTGGAAGTCACTGGGAGATTGGGATCGTATCGAGAATTGATAGGGTTGGCAGACGCTAATACCGAAGTTCTGGCATTCAAAGTGGTGATGATTCCTGCCTTTGCAATCGATATAGTTTGCTGTTCCATCACCTCGTGAAGCACCGAACGAGTAGCATCGCTCATCTTGTCGAATTCGTCAATGCAACACACACCTCCATCGGACAAAACCAACGCACCACTTTCAAGGACAAGCTGTTTGGTATCAATGTCTCTTGTAATATAAGCCGTCAAACCAACGGCAGACGAACCCTTTCCTGAAGTGTAGACTCCACGAGGAGCGATCTTGTGAACGTATTGCAACAATTGCGATTTAGAAGTAGAAGGGTCACCACAAAGTAACACATTGACATCTCCACGGTACCTGCCGCCTTTTTTGAATGTCTTGTTGGTTCCACCAAAAAGTTGTAACAAGATTCCTTTCTTAACATCGTCCATTTCGTAGATCGAAGGTGCCAAAGACCGAGCTAACAATTCATAAAGATCATCACGTTGAGAAATATCTTTGATTTTGGCAATATCTTTTTCAGAAAGTTTCCGAACTTGTTCCACTTCCTGCTCACGGTCTGTCACCTCCAGCTGAAGTGTGGTGGTATCTGGAGCCAATCTCTTCTTGTCGATTTTTTTTATGTGAACAACATCCAAGTAGGTTTTATACAAGCTTTTCAATCCTCTTTGTCTGGCATTAGCTCTTACCGGTAACGATCTGAAGATTCCACACACCTCAATTCTATCACCAGCACGACACGAGTCCACAAGTTCATCGTAAACGCACAAATTGATGGAATGAGGTGTCTGGCCATCAGGAACCAAATCTGGAGTTTCTTGAAGCTTGATAACTTGCTTATCAGCGAAAGAAGATCGATTATGGATAATCATCATAGAGTTGGTTTGACCACAAACCTCACGAGGACACTTGGTAGGCTCAGAAATTACACCCCGATCAATTTCCACAGCAATGGTATGGTCGCAAGCATTGCATTTGAAAAAAGCCACTTTCATATCTGGAATAATAGCAGTAGATCGTAAAACCAAGCCTTTAACGCTTACCAATTTGTCGATATCGTTAGGATTGAGCTCTCTCATTCCACGCTCGACAATATTGATATTGTATGGTCTTACAGTGTAAATATTGGTTTCAATATCGTCCAAGTTGGTGGAGGCATCGTGAGTATCCAGTACCAATGCCACCATACAATCTTTGATTGTTTGATCCATGATGGGAATCACTTCTTGTGGGTAATTGATCAATTGGTAGTATAATTTGCGAGTTGTGGGGAAAGCCAAAAGATTCTTAGCATCCAAATTTAAATTGTTCAATCCGAGTTCACGCATATTATTCAATTGGGTGATGTAGAAGAGCTCGTTATCTTCTGGTCCCACGTCTTGCTGGTCTGCCACTCTTCTGTATTTCATTCTGAACGACATTAAGAAGTCTCTGAACGCATTGGAACAGTCTTGAATTGAAACATTGGTTCCCCAAATCACTCGAACTGGCTCATCGGCACCAGAGTCGGACGGTAATAAGGATGACGAACTTTGTGGATTAGAATTGGTTTCATCAACAAACATTCGGCGTCTCATCGGAGACGACATCACATCGTTATTCAAGTCACTTCTTTGATGGCGACGGCCAATTCTTTCAACATCACTGGTGAGTCGATCAGAACGACGACTCAGTTCAAGTCCTCCAGAGGTGTGGTGCACCGACGAACTATAGTGCAACGGTGACGACATGCCTCCATGGGTGCTTGCCGTGGCCGGAGCATTAGCTTCTGACGCAGGATTGGACGAGGAAGCGTAAAATAATGGCGATGAGGGTACATGAGCTTGTGGCTGAGACTGTGATTGTGATTGGGATTGAGAGTTCGAGGCCTGATTTGTCGAGGCATTGTTCGAGTCAGACGCTGGGTGGTCCGAGGGAACATTTGGTGAAGACATGGCTGAAAAGTTGCCGAAGGATAAGTGTATTGAAAAACGACGCGGAAATCTGTCAAGATGGCTGCATTGCAGGACGCGTGTAATTTATCCCGATTGGGATGTCTCCCGAGCGTGCATATGCAGTGCAGGTGCAACACACTGTCAATGCACCAGCATTATAGAAGCCAAAGTCATGTCTTCAAAATTGCCCCTAGCGGGACCTCCTTCTCGAAACACAAAAGAGGAGTCGAAAGAATACAAGGTTTTTGCCAAAGGGCCCTCTCGACTGGAAGCGCAAGAGCGCAAAGTCAAGTTCGAGTTGCCAAATTCCACCTCATCCCCACAAATGCACAATAGCTTGCTTCAGCCTCCCAATCTCACAAAACCCACCAGATCACCCAAGCGAAGCGCCGAGCCATCTCTGACAGCCTCAAGTCCGTTTTCCATCAAACGGAGCGGATCTCCTATTAGGCGCCAACAAATACGTGAGCTCGAACAAGGAATAGATACGAAGCGACAGAAGGTAGACGATGAAAAAGACGTCAAGACAATCACATTTGAAGCGATGGTATTGCATCGACTCGAGGAATTGGAGAGCAGAATTGCCTCTATTGAAGAAACACAAGATAGTATATTGAAACGATTAACGAAGAAAGATTAATACGTAACTTATGACAAATTAAACTTGATGTATGATCTACTAATTTAAAGTAGGAGTGAAATTATTCGAGTTAACACTAGCTATTATGTCCGAGTAATGAATACCAAGCAATTTATTGCCATATTTTGAATTCACATTTCGTTCATTGACACTAAAAAAGAAGCTAGAGCTGTCTTTCGTTGATAACGAAGACTCAAAGTATATGAGATTTTTTCATATTAAACGCTAGAACTCTATATTCTCCTTTGTCTGTTGTTCCGGCTCCTCATCTTCGACCGGGATCCCCCACGGCTCGATTTCAAACTTTTTGCGGCCATTCTTGAACGCATACTCACCGTCATGAATGAGCATCATTCCTCGTTCCGACAAAGTTGGGATCTTGATTACGTTGACCAATCCATGCTGCACTTTCCCAGGCTCGTTTTTGTAAGCTTTTTCGATGAGGGCTGTCATTTCTTGATTGAATGGCTGCAAATGAATTGCAGCATCCACCATTTGCTCGATTTGGAAAATCAAATTAGTGTCTCGAGGATACAAGTCCAAGGCTAAAGAAGCTATGATAACAACATTTTGTGGGTATTGGCGTACCAAGGACCGCAATGAATGAATAAATGGAATGATGAAACTGGGTGTCGACCATTGAGGTGGGTATATGCTTGGATGCAACAAGTTGGGTATAACAATTCTCATGACAATAGATGGGGTTTTCTTGATATGGTATTCAATGGTAGACTTGATTTGTTTTACCATAGCATTGACATCGGATACTTGTATGGTGGATACTTCGTGAGCATTGGGGGTCGGCATCAATTTTTGTGTCAAGTCAAACTGATTGGCAAATGTTTCGTTTTCAGGTTCGGTGGAGGACTGCTGCTTCTCCTTATTAAGTCCATATCTCCAGGCAATCCGCATGTCATTTGAGCGACCACTGGTGGGCTCAGCTAGGTTCGAGACGCTGATTTTAGATTCATTTGCAGCCACCGCAGCTCGTTTTTGTTCCTTGGTGGAGCCCTTATAAATTCCTGGAAGCTCCAATGCCCATTGTGGAGGCACACCAACGGCTATAACATGAGAATGAACGATATCTTTATCCAAACGGCTGTGCACCACACCTTGCGATGCAAAAGATCTCGAGATTACCGAAGCAAAATCCGTGGTTCCTGATTCTTCCACAACCAAAAACGAGCCCAATGGAAGCCCCAGATGGAGTAAGATCTTGTCCAAGTCGGGAATGCCTGTGGAAGTAGAAGGCTGTGAAGTAATAGTAGATGGACGAATAGTTGGATTTTGTTTTACTGGAACTTGCCTCCCTTTTGGCACAGGGGGTTGCCTTCCAGAGACCAATGTGGAATTCAATCTACCTGGCACAGCCCTGGTGCCTGGTGCTCCGCCAAGTATTTCTCCTCGTTTTCTGAAAGACATGTCTTGCAGTAATATGCACAGTGAATGCGAGAAATGCACGAACGATGCGCGATGACCTGTGTGAGATGCTGGAGGCGGCTGCAAACTGCCCAAATAGCCAATAATACAATATTAAAATGGGATATTTGTTCTCATCCAATTGTCCTAGTAGTCGTACATTACGCACTTCGTACTCACTTTTCACTTCAGTTTCTTCAGTTTCTTCACTTTTTCATTTTTCACGGTAGTGAAATCTTTGTACTTTCTTCTCTCGCTGGTGTTGGGATGCACATTTAAGCCTGACACAATCAGTCCGCTCTATCTTATCATGGGTGCTGCTATATCACTACCACTTATTCCCTTGTCGTGGATGGCCTCCTCTGCAGCCTCCTGCTGCGGGGCTATGGCATGTTCTGCCTTCTGCTCCACTATAGGTGGAACTTTCCAATCTTCAATTATGACCAGAATCACCTATGCTTTCCTCCTCTTAATCAACTGTTTGCTTTCTTGGATAGCGCTATCACCTTTTATTGTCCATAAACTTGAAAGGGCCACATTTGGCTTCATAAATAATTGGTGTGGACCAGACGGAAGTGAATGTATTAGTTTTGCTTCGGTATACCGTATCAACTGTGCTCTTGGACTTCTCCACTTGGCTTTGGCAGGACTCCTTGTGAATGTCAAATCTACAAGCAATCCTCGTGCCGTAATCCAGAACGGATACTGGAAGATCAAGCTTTTGTCGTGGCTTGTAATTTTGGTGGTGAACTTTTTGGTGATTCCCGATGGGTTTTTTGTGTTTTACGGCAACTATATTGCCATAATTTTCTCGACCATTTTCCTTGGAATTGGCTTGATTCTTCTTGTGGACTTTGCCCACGCATGGGCTGAAACATGTCTTGAAAAAATTGAATTGGAAGAACTCACTGGCGACGATGAATACAGTGCTGGATTCTGGAAGAAACTCTTGATTGGAGGAACTCTCGTGATGTACATATCCAGTATTGTGTTGACTGTGCTTATGTACTGGTTCTTCTCCAGCAGCGGCTGCCACATGAACCGCGCTGCCATAACCATCAACTGTGTTTTCTCGGTAATCATATCAGGAATGTCCATCAACCAAACCATCCAAGAATCAAATCCCCATGCTGGTCTTGCTCAGTCTTCCATGGTAGTGCTCTACTGCACATACTTGGTAATGAGTGCTGTGGCAGCAGAACCAGATGACAAATTTTGCAATCCATTGGTTCGGTCTCGAGGCACCAGAACTGCCAGTATAGTATTGGGAGCCTTTTTCACATTTATTGCGGTCGCTTACACCACCACGAGGGCAGCAGCAAATACAGCGTTGTTTGAGGACCTTGACGACGAAAATTTACCGGCTCAACCCAGATATGAACGAAATGAAATGAGGTACCAGGCGGTCAAACAGGCAGTAGAGGAAGGACTGTTGCCTGAATCAGCATTGACCCAAGCAGACCTATACGATGAGATTGCCACTGATGGTATAGGAGGCGAAGAGGTCCACAAAGTCAAGTATAACTATGCACTTTTCCACATAATCTTCTTCTTGGCGACTCAGTATGTTGCTACATTATTGACTATAAATGTTAAAGAAGATGATTTGGGAGATTTTGTTCCGGTGGGAAGAACATATTTTTCCAGCTGGGTCAAGATCGTCTGCTCGTGGTGCTGCTACATAGTCTACGGATGGACACTTTTGGCACCGGTGGTGTTGCCCGATAGGTTTGGAATGCAGATATAGTTGGTGCGAATGACATAATCAGATGATTGGTCGACGGCGGTTTTGTGTCACTTTGGTCTATTTTTCATTTCCCGCATTCTCCACCACTGGTCAACTAAACATGTCTGCTATCATCTCCAAGGCCACCGGTCTTATCAACACCACTGTCTCCAAGTCCACGCAGCTCGCAAACCACGCCGTATACTGGGGCAAGGTCACTGCTGAGGTTGGTAAATTGGTATTTAAGAACGAAGGTTTGGCTCCTCCATCGGCTAAGCAATTCGAACAAGTTTACCAATCGGCTTTCAAATTCATCAAATCTCCACAGCAGCAGAAGGATGCGTTGGTCAAGGCTTCGCAATACAAACCAACCAAACAAGACGCTGTCAAGGCTGCTGTATACGGTACCCATTTGTTGGCGTTCTTCTCGGTTGGTGAAATAATTGGTAGAAGACATATCATCGGATACCCATCCGTTGGTGAACATCACCATTGAATTCATGTTATAGAGGCGACAAAATGACCTAAGGATGTTTATAGTGAAATATACTACTAGCTACTTTGTCTCTTCCTTTCTCCTTTTCGATGCCTCGATCATCTCCTTTCTCTGCTTCCTCTTTTTAGAAACCACTTGAGGCACCGTGGAAATCTTCTTTCTCTTGATTTCATGCTGTTTGATTTGCTGTTTCTCCTTTTTCGTGAGTTTCTCCATACTCTCCATCCACTCGCTATAGCCTTCATGACACCCACTTTGCTTCATAACGTTCAAAACTGGCTTAATTGCCAACTTATCCTCTTTGGTAAAGAAGGTCACTGCCTTGCCTTCTTTGCCTCCACGACCAGTTCTACCAATTCGATGAACATAGGCTTGAGAAGTCTGGGGAACATCGTAATTTATCACAAGATTCACACCTTTAAAATCCACACCTCTCGCTAAAACATCCGTGGTAATGAGCACCCACGCATCCCCATTCTTGAATCTTCTGATGGCTTCTTCTCTCTGTTTGGGCGTTCTTTCGGCATGAATAACTTCCACATTAAGTTTGTCGTAAATGAGCTCATGAAATAATGCTTTGGCTCGGGGAATACTCTGTAAGAAAATGATGATTGGAGGCTTGAACTCACCCTGTTGTACCATCTGCCTGATTGCCAAAAGTTTTCCTTCTTCGTTACCGGTAAAAACTAGCTTTTGGTCAATGGAGGTACTTGCACCTTCTTTGTGTCCCACGATGATTCTTATCTGATCTTTCATAATAGAATTGGCCATTTCTTCGACTCCAGAGGGTATGGTTGCCGAGAACATTGACGTTCTCCGAGTAGGAAGTGTACAATGTGACAAGATTTCGTCTGTCTGTTCCACAAAGCCATGGTCGAAAAGCTTGTCTGCTTCGTCAATCACCAAATGTTCAACTTTGGATAAGTCAACCTGTTCCTTTTTGACCAAGTCAATCAACCGCAAGGGTGTACATATTAAGACGTCAAACTTGTTAGCGGAAATAATGGAACTGCTGATTTTGCTAGCAACCTGTTTGGACAAGAGAGTCACATTTAGATTGGAACCACGACACATTGGTGCTAAAGTTTGGTAGATCTGGATTGCTAGTTCGTTTGTGGGAGCAATTACAACTCCCCTTATGCCATAGTTCTTGGTTTTTGGTGAACTTATAAGCGCTTGAGCCATGGGTATGAGATAAGCCAATGTCTTACCAGAACCAGTGGGCGCACAAGCTATGAGGTCTCGGCCCTCTGCTGAGGCTGGAATCGCCTCGCATTGAATGGCTGTGGGCTCAGAGTAACCAGAAGCTATCAAGTTGGCCAATAATTTTCGGTTCAAATTACATCTTGCAATCAAGTCTTCAAAAGAGCCAATAGGAAGTGGAATATCTGTCCCAGAAACGTTTACTTTGTTCTGTTTTCTAAGCTTGGCTGCGTCTTCCTCTGTCGTTATCTTTGGAGGCGGAACCGCTTCGTCCTGAGCTTCGTCTTCAATATCTTTGGTGACTTCTGTATGTTTCCTTGTGTTGAAGAAATCTGTTTCTTTCTCCACTTGTCGAAGCAACGAATTTTGCTTATCTTTGGTGGCATTTTGTGATTCTGACTTCACACCAGGGTCCGAATTTGAGCTCCGTTTCAAAGCAGCACCTCTCGAGAGGATTCGAAAGATGTCCATATCTAGTGATAGTTGTAAGCAGCGATGAGCATCGATCGCACTTGCCTGCAGGCGCGCGCACACCCAGTGACAGTTGAAAATTTGTGAGTTTTGTGCAGACGACCGCTGTGAGACCATGAGTATACGATTTGTAGGGGGAAAATGGCGGGTGATTTCGCCGATTTTTCGAGCTTCCTGCCCTGCCAGGCACTTGTACTTGCATAAGGGACCACGAGTAAGCGGTTTGAAGCGTGACCCCGACGAAGTTTTTACCACGTTCACAGCACACAAATACGGCGAAAATGCCGACAATTTGCGGCCAATAAAACAATTCTTGGACGATAAATATGCGATCTCCGACGAGTTGGCGTTGCAGGTTTTAACGCACAAGTCGTTTGGTAACGGAATCAAGCCATACAACGAAAAATTGAGTGCCATGGGTCTGAAGGTGTTGAACCTTTACTGTGCCAAATACACCACCGATACCCCCACTACCGCCAACGAAAACGCCATCGACGGCAAGAACGTCGACGTGTTGGGGTCCCCCATGGCCAAGGAGTTGGCAGGAAGGCTAGCATTAGGGCTTTTTGCCAAGAGCCACAAGTTGAACCAGGTGCTCTTCTGGAAGTCCTATAACCACTCGCTTGGGTTTGAGGCCAGTGGCGAGATGAAGGTGAGTGCACAGATGATGTATGCGTTGATTGGGGCTGTGACGTTCACCCACGGCAAGACTGTGGCCGAGGAGTTTATACTGGAGAAGTTGATGAAGGCATCGCCGTCACTCGAGGAGATCAGTGCCAGCGTGGTGGAAAATGTAAATAGAGCATGAGAGAGATGAAGGAAGAAGAAGGAAGAAAAAAGAAGGAAGATTGTAGGAAAACAAAGAAATGAAAGAAGATAGTAGAAAGAACGAGAGTCGTATGAAGATGAGAGAAGAGTAACCAAAAGTTGATACTAAGTCCAAAAAGCAAAAAAGAACAATTCAAACGCTTCAACACGCAACTCCACTTTTAACCATTCCTCACCTCAACGTCTCCATATTGTGTTAATTACGACTCCCACACTTCTTCCCCACCAACTCCGTTCCTGCGTCCAAGCCCTTCCCTCAGATCTGTGACGCGGTTGAGGCATAGTCAAACGAATTCGAAACGACAAAAACCGGCTCCATCACGGTATATACGAAATCTACAGCTCCTATATAGCATCTATATACCACCTCCTTCCAAGTTTTTGGCGTTTTTCAAAAAGTCGTAATCTTCTTCATCTCCCTAAAATCTTACACAAACGCGCGTGTCTTTTTTTTGTTCGTGATTTGCGAGCTTCAAAACCACATTCAATAACACCCACCCAAGCTTCCACAACCCATCCCATTAAGACGCCGGCACCATGTCGGACTTGTCTCTTCATTACAAGGTGCTCAAGCAGTTTCTTGATATTTCCGATGATACTCCTCGATCCAAAACTTCTTCTAGTCGAGCCACCCGTGCCCGTGAAAAGCTCTTAAAGTTGTCTCCCGCCCAGTTTAAGGAACTCAGCACAGACGTATATGACGAGCTCCGCCGTAGAATCGACGAGTCTCGTGGAGAACCCGATTACTTGCTTCCCAAATCGTCTTTTCATCCCAAACGAAACCAAGCCAGACAAAAGCTTTCTTCGCTTCCACAGTCACGGTTCAAGGATTTGGTGTCTGATATATCGTACGAGATCGAAAGGCGTGATCTCGACCAGCCGGAACAGGCACCTGCTCAGTCCAATGAAGGTGAACATGAGCAAGAACATGAACAAGAACACCGCTCACTTGACCACTCCAAAATATTGAATCCTGATGAGTCGCAAAAGTCGATGGTTTCCGATGTGCAAAATCAGTCTATTGGTCTCCAGTCGAAGACGGTGGTCCCCACAAAGGCCAACATGGACTGGTCCAGTGACGAAGAACCAGAAGACGATGTGACGGAGAAGGCTGAACAGGCTCGTGCCGTAAACGCCGACATTCCCAATGGCTCCGCCAAGGAAATTGGCGAGTCTTCTGAACTGCTCAAAGAAAAACTCGCGGCGCTCGAAGCGGAGAAAAAACAGTTGGAAGAGAAATACCGTCTTCTCAATGAGGACTACGAATACTCCACCAGACAGAGCAAGCAGCTCAGCAATGAAGTGGAAGATTTGAGCGAACAGAAGTCACAGTGGTCGGCACAAAAACAAGAATTAGAAAGCTCTCTTCAAGAATACCAGTCGAGGGTAAAACAGCTTGAATCCGCAAAAGAAAAGTCATTGGGTAACTCAGATTTGTTCAAAGAATTGGAGTCGTTGAAAACCGCCAATGCTGCTTTGCGATTAGAGAATCAATCCATCAAGAGAATGTCGGCTCGTTCTGATGTCTCTTCGCCATCTAAGAACCGTGATATTTCATTCGGTAACCACAGTGTTCATGGTACCAACACCAACGTAAAGAAGGACCTTGAAGCCATTTTGGAAAAGCTTGAACAACCCGTTAAAGTGCCCAAGGCTTCCTCTGTGAGCACACTCAAATCGGAGTCTGAATACTGGCAAAAGAAGTATGAATCGCTTCGCGCAGACCAAGTGTCTTCTTTACTTTCAAAGTCAATGTCTAATCCAGAATTGAACCACTTTTATGCCCCTTCGGGCCTCATACTGGCTTCTTCCATCTCCAAATTTTATGCTCAGCTTGAGTCGTTGATAACGGCGGTTGATAAGGAAGCATTGGAACCCGATCTGTATTTCGAAATGGTATCTCAATTGGCCATCACTGCCAATAAAATAGCTACCGATGGAGACGATCATCTCTTGAATAGTAACGAGCAATCGATCTTCCTCAGGGAGTCCATCAGCTACTGCTTGACCACTGCTAGGTATCATGCGGTATACTCTACGTTATTTCCAAAGGTTGTCATCGAACGTGCATTGGGCGAACTCAGCTTTGCCGTATGCGACTTGTTAGCAGTTTGCAAAATCAAATCTGACGCTGTTCCTAATCGGAAGGAAGCAGACGCTGGGTCAAAGAAGGATGAAATCAATTCAGGAGTTCGTCCTTTGCGCATGGCAAACAAGTTGAAAGAGATACAAATCGGGAAACCCAGAGAGTCAGAGGTACCTGAGCGGTCCTCGTCCTTAACACTGGGCCATGTTCCCGATGGGTTGCAGAATGGAACAAGAAAGCTTTCAGGCTTGAATGACAACAGCCGCTCCCCTCTCTCTCCTCAAACGACACGCCAACCAGTTACTTCACGCAACATTCCAGCGAGTCCCATAAGCAACAACCTGTCAAATCATTCTACACCTACGAGGGCCAAAAACATACTTGACCGCGTGAGAATGTTTAGCAGCCCACCTGATCAGTCGAATGGAAAAGATTCAAGTTCCAAAGAATCATATGTCAAGGATTCGTATGCTAAAGATTTGAATGTCGAGGAGTCAAGGGCCAAGAATCAGCTCAATGTCAAAGATTCGAATGTAAGAGACTCAAACGCAACAGACTCTAATGCAAGAGACTTAAATGCTAAAGACTCGTACGCCAAAGACTCGAATGCCAAAGAATTGAATACCAAAGACTCGAATGCCAAAGACTTGAATGTCGGAGAATTGAATACCAACGACTCGAATATGGAAAAAACTAATGCCAGGGAAACGAATTTGAAGAATTTGAATGCCAAAGACTCGAATATCGATATAACGAATGCCAGAGAAATAGACTCCAAAAATTTGAATGTCGAAGAATCGAATGCCAATGAGTCTATCTCCAAAGCTCGTCACTCGAAAGAAAGCTTTGATGCTGCTAGTGGACAGGCAGACATAGATGATTTGAATGCGGAACCAGAAGAGCCTATTGGAACAACTATCAGCACGACTGCGACAACCGTAGGAGCGCCAAAAGGCAAAGGCATTTTCCAAAGTCTTCGTGAGAGACTCAATACCGAACCCTCGAACACAGAGCTGAAGGATGCACCTGTACCTTCCAAGGAAAAAGGAATGTTTCTGTCTATTAGAGATCGATTCGTTCCTGCTGAGGGCACCTCCGATCAGACTGTAAAGCTCGAAGAAGCACCAAAGAAAATAACAATTCCGGTTGCAGTTGACCTCAAAGAGGAGCCTCGTGCGCTCCCTGTGGATGAAGCTGAGGCAACAAATGGCTCCACCAAAGAAGACATTCGAAGGAAAAATGTCGAATCTGCCGACTCAACTATGATCGAGCAACCAACTCAGGCTTCTTTAATGAACATGCACAAGCAAGCTGTGAATATCGTACCAGTTGAGCAACCCAGGGAAGACAAGCCAAAGAGAGTGAACTATTCAAATACAGTTGAAACTATCGAGCACCCACCAGCACAGCAAGGTTCAGAAGAAGAGTACACCGAAGAAGAAGATTCAGAAGATGAAGATTCAAAACAGGCTAGGGAACGCCAAGAGTATCGAAAATCGATGGCTGCTGCAACATTTAACGTTGATTTGTTCGATATAGATGATCCTGACAACACGTTAACGCAAGTGTTACTCTATCTTGAGCATCAAACCGTTCAAGTTATTTCCACCATTCAATCATTATTATCAGCCATCAAGAAACCAAATGCTACTAGAGGCGAATTGAGAGAAAAGTCGCAAGCCATCACAGAGGTCATATCTCAAATGACTGAGGCCACCAACACTTCCATGAACCAAACTAGAAATGCTCAATTGAAGGAGCACGGTAAGTGGGTTGTCACGAGCTTGGAAGATTGCAATCATAGAATGAATATTTTATGTCGTCCAAACTCTGACAAGGCCGATAGCAATTTTGCGGACAAAAACTTCAAGCAAAGACTTGCAGGCATATCGTTTGATATTGCCAAGTGTACCAAGGAGTTGGTGAAGTCGGTAGAAGAGGCCAGTCTTAGAGAGGAGATTGCTAATCTTAATGCCAGGATATCTCAAAGTGAGATCGAAGTTTAAGAGAACAAAGCAGATGCCTGTATTAAAACCTTATGTATTACTAGATCGGGATGGAAATCATTAGTATGTTTGATCTTACCGTATGTATTTGTTAAGAAAATATTGATGAAATTCGGAGTCAACGGTGCTGCTGGTGAACGTTTCGTCTTCTGAGCGTTGAAGCTGTTTGGAATTGTTGAACTTTTTGGCCGAACGCCAACTTTTGCTAACTTTGAATGAGTTCAAAAGAGGATTTTTCTGCATCGTTGAATCTGCCTTTTCATGTTCTTCCTTCTGTTTTCGCAACTTTTCCTCTTCTCGTTCCTGCTTGATTTTCGCCAATTCGGCCATTAACTGTTCTGTTTCGTCATCGTCACTATCATCGCTGTCACTACTACCACCTTCACTGTCACCTTTGCTTTTGTCGTTACTTTCATTATTGTCATCTTTGTGGTCTGAAATTTTATGTTCTTCATCTGATTGATCATCGTCACTATTTCGTTCTTTAATAGCCTTTAAGTCTTCAGGTTTGCTCTCTAGTTCCTCTGATACGTCTCGTACAAGTTTTGGTTCCTCTGAAGTTTCCAACTTGGATTTCATGTCGTTATCTTTACGCAAACTTCGAGCAGCGGCATAATAATCTACATTTTTTCCACCATCTTTTCTCGTTTTGAGCTTTGTCTGCAGCGGAAGTGCACGAGAATGCGCAATAGAGTCCAGGATCTCCAATACCTTTCCTCGCTTACTCTCCAAAGTGGGTCTATGATTGGATGTCATTACTTGGCTGAAAGATTATCTCGCAGCTAGTTGAGGCTGCGTGCAGGATACCATTATGGTTGAATCATCGGAGTAAAAAAAGACCACGATTTTAGTGTCTCTTTGGTCGAGCCAATGCAATGCTCTTGGGGGTCAGTCTCGTGAACAGCCTTTTTTACCAACCTCTTTCGCTTTGAATCTCGGGAGTTCGGAGTGTGGGGTATGGGGAAATATGCAGGCGCACAAAAAGAGTTTGGCGAGATCTATAAAAATTGTTAGTTGCAGCCGTTGTTGAGGGTGAACCTTGCAAGCAGTAAACATTTTCAGGTCCACAAAACAGGCTGAATTATAGAGAAGCCACTACTAGAACAGAATAGATCCCCAAGAATTACATAAAATGTTTGTTTTCCCTGCGTTTGATACCAACTATATGACAAGAAAACGAGCTTTTCACTGCTGTCAAAACTGCCGTTTGAAACGAGTCAAATGCGAGAGTGTGACAGATGGGTCTCGCAGACTTTCATGTGTGAACTGTCAAAACCACGGCTGGGTTTGTGACCTCGAAGAAAAAGAGGAGACTACTTCCAAACGGCAGACTCCAGAACCTATTTCCAAGCAAAAAAATAAATCTCAACCTTCAGTTATGACACTGCTGGTACCCGAAATACCAGAACAGACTTCTCTTGTTACGTCCAGCTCCAAAATTGTGACTCCGATACTTGACGATGACGCTGAATTAACACCCGAATATCTCAAAAGAAAATTTAACTTTAATCTCTCTCGAGATGACAGTGTTTCAAAGTATACATTCATGTATCATAACCACCCGGAAGCCATTTTATCGGGTGATTCTAATGAAACTAAAGCATGGCGCCAATCAGGTGTTTTTATAAGAAAACCAGAGAAGACACTGACTAAAATCATGGCTATGCGAAGGTATAAAGACCGTAACAGGCACCTATTAAATTATCTCACTTCTATCAATGGGTTTACGCTTCGAAATCCGTACTTTCCTATTGAACCCCATGAAGAAAAACGTCTACTTCAGCTATTTTTTTTCAAGATCAACTCCATTTTCCCGTACGTTATAGAAAAGATGTTCTGGGACGAATATCGACAAGGAAATGTGCAGACGGTATACATCTTTGCGATGGTTCTTTTGATACTGCGAGACAACATGGCCAAACCCATATTAAGAGAGATCTTCATGCGAGCTGAGAAGATCTCCGACATGAGCGATGAATCGTATAACGAAGCACATTTGGAATTTATTATTGATTTGGACCTTAAAATCAGACAGCTTCTCGTTGTGCTCCCTACAATTGGAGATTATAATAGACTTACTCGTCTCGTTGTATTATTGATGCTTACCATGCAGCTAGGAACAGACAAAGTCAGTGGTGAGCAAACGTCTCAAGATTTGGTTTCCGCTTTATCTTTATCCCATTCTTTGGGAATTCACATGAAGCGCCAAAATAACGACTTACCTCCAGAATTGGTTGAATACTCTACAAATCTCTGGTGGATTTGCTTTATTCTTGACCGTATCAATGCTGCCGTCAATTCTCGTGCTGTTTTCATTCAAGAATTAGACTTTAATGTTGACCCTCCGTATAAGAATATTGCACTCTTGAAATTGGTTCAGGCTGCAAAAAACTTTGAGCTCATGAACTTTGCCGTGTACCGGCCGTACCAAGATACTGTATCGGTAAACAGTGACGAATTTCGCTACCGGTCTCGTTTATTCAACGTTCAAGAGTTTCAAGAACAGGAGCTTGATTTGTGTCGCAAGGAACGCTCAAATGTAGAGGCTGGAATCCAAGAAAGACTCTACCGGTTTCCTGTGGGAAAGTACAAGTTTGAGGACTTGAGTCCAGGTCTCTATGTGGAAGATACAGTTTACTACATGCTTAGAATGTGGAACAATGCCGTGTTAATGATAGCCTTGAAAGCAAAGCTTGATGACCCATCAGAAACCAGAGATGGACTCGCCGGCTCTGCAAGTGAAGCTGCGTACAATATCTTTTGGTACCACTCCAAAATCAAGCCTGATTTCATTGTCAACATTCCTATGATTCCGTTCTGTTTGTTTCTTGCTTTGGGAGTCTGTTTGAAGCGAGAAGCTTCAAGAATCATTTCTTATGGGTCTGCGTACGACGAAGCTAACACTGGCTTTGACATGTCGGCAAACGACGTTATTCAGGCTCTCGAAGCATATGCTTCTACCAGTTGGGTCGTGGATGAAATGTGCAAATTATCCCGTGAATTTCTTAGAGACCTCAACTATCGGGTAGGACATAGGAAAGACGACGATAGTACACATTCCTCCAAACGTCCAAGGTTGGCTGGCACGCCAGGCGAGTTCAAATCTTCCCTCAGAATCAATGGAACTCCGTCCAATGAGCGTATGAATAAAACTTCACCAATGACTCAGCGTTCACTCTTGGAGTCTCCTGCTGGTGTGGATAACCCTTCTCTGTTCAATGTGGGCTCTGCCTTGAGTGACGAACAACAGGGAAAAGTTTTTGAGAGAGACTTGCCCAATTTCTGGGATTATTACGACAACTACATGGATTTGGTTCTGCAAGACGTTTTAGATAACGAGTATTTCAAGGACATTTCCAACATTATGACACCAAAAGATTTGGCCAAGAATGGCGACGCTTAAGCATGCTCAATCCAGGTCCAGCACAATTTCATCTTCCCAACCTTCTTCCTCCTCGTCACGGCGAGGCATCAAATCTGCCGTCGAGGCACCTCCCAATTCGTTAAGGAGTACGTTTACTTGTTCCACCAATTCGGGGTCGGCATCTAGCCCGTCGCTGTTGATGATTTTGTAACCTTGTACCAAAGAAGACTTGGCCTCGGCAATATGGTTCTTGACATCCTGGTCGTCAAAGTCGATTATATCTCGGACCTCGACGTCTCTATAATCCTCATTGATGTTCTGCTTGGTAGCATATACCTTCTTAGCACTGAAAAGATTTGCTAGCGCTTCGTAGTAGTAAGTTTCAAGAGCATCTTCATTGATATCTTGAATATTCGATGCCACAGTGATGGCTAAATCATACAACTCTAACTCAATTGCAAACCTTGCAACGGTCATGAGAGGCTGGATAAGCTCAACGTACTCCAACCCAACGTCTGTAGCGTCCTCTTGCTTGTCAGCTTTGGAATTAGCAGACTCTTCAAGTTTCTGCTTTTTAACGTTAAAAAGATCCCAAGATTTCACCAATGCTTGCTTAGCATCCTCGGGCCGCTGCTGAGAGATTCGGATAGAAGAAAGCAAAGAAAGGGCTTCCGGGTTCTCCCCATCAAGTGACAAGGAGTAGTTGATAAGTTGATCACATTGAGTCTCTGCCTCTTCTTCCATACACAAATCTGTCATCCAAATTTCGATCTTGGCAAAGATTCCCTGGTTCATTTTCTTGATCAAATATGCTAGTATATCATCCTTGGATCCGTAATCTGCTGCGTTTACTATGCTGGTTGTGTTGTTGTTGTTGACTTCTTCGATCTGCTGCTCGAGTCGACGAAGACTGACATCCAAGTATTGAAGACCATCGGAGCCACCTATAATCTGGCCGACATAAAAGAACTTTTCTGTACCTTTCAAAGCATCAGGATCCAAACTACAGGCTTGAGATAACACTTCAAAGCCAGTTTCAAGGTTGTTGTTCTCCAAGAGTGCTTCTCCATAAACTTGAAGAAAAGTCACATCTTTTGCAAATTGTTCCAAAAACGGAGTCAAGTAGGCCAATGCCTCCTCTGTCTGAGCCGTTTGTATCAAGGCCCTCGAATTACCCACAATTTCATCGAGCGTGGTCATTCTACTACTATTTCGATTCTCAATTCGCATCCACAATTTTTCGCGACATGCGATGAGATGAGGTAGATGTCAGTGGAACCAAATATGGGTACCATTTTACCTCAGCAGAGCGTCGATTCTCTACGAAACGAGTACCAATTGATGCAGCTAACTTACCACAGAAACCTCAATCAGCATCGGCAGGCACGGTGGTGGAGATATTTCAATATACTTAAACGCAATGTTCTGAAGTTGTTGCAACTTTTCGATAAATTGCAGTCTATGCCCAAAAAAGCGTCAACGATCCACAACAAGATACTAGAAATATGTACCTACTTGCTACTGCGGAGAATATTTACCAAGGTGTACTTTGAGCTAAATACAATATTGGCATTGGGCCAATTTATCGCTCTCGGGTTCGCATTGATAGCAATGCTTGCGAGGGTCCGAACATTGGTTTTGGAAATTAATGGTGTAGACAGTATCCACCAAGCCAATGTTGAAGCCCAAGCAATTGGTGAAACCCACGGCAATTTGGATGAAATTGGCGAGGAAATTGAACCAGAGACGAAAGTGAAAAATGATGTGAAAGAGGAAAAGATGAAAGTGAAAAATGAAGCTCCAAAACTGGAACCGAACAATGAACACAGCGAAAACAAGGATTTACGACGAGAAGTGCCCAATGAGCGCAAGCGAACCAAAGAGTCTAAATCAGGCAAACCCAAGAAGAAAAAGAAAGCCAAGAGCGCTATTGATGACATCTTTGGCTTTTAGAGTTTCACAAAGTATAATTTGTCCATTCCTTTACACTAATATACAATCATTAATCATCATTGCCGCTGCTACACGTTACGCATGCTGTGCTTGGCGTCCGTTGTGGAGAAACCAATCGCGCGGAAGATCCAACTGGTCGACGTCCAAACAGTACTCATCGTCATACTCTTCTCCGTCTTCTTGCTGCATCGGCGAATGTGCAATAAACAGGTGCTGTAGAGGCGACACCGAACGTCCTGGGTAGTACGAGGGAGATCCAGAAGAAAAGTCTCTCATATGCAAATGTGAAGTTCCACTTTGAACACTAGAGGTTACTGACGATGTTGGAGATTCAGTAAAGCCAGATGTCTGTGGAGTAGAGGCGGTAGCCGATGAAGTGGGAGTTCCATTATGGAATGATCTGTCTTTGTTGGCTTGTCTTAACTCTTTATCGATTCTTCTCTTTATGCGTGATTTACCGGTGAATCCAGCGGGGAGGTATCTGCATTCAGCACCTTCTATGTGAATTTCACTCCATAATTCACTGTTTTCAAAGTGCTCTCCACACATGGAGCATCTTCCGGCACTTGAACGGCGTTCTTTGGCGCGGAGTCCATCAGGGTAAACAAAATGCCTCGACTTTAAGTGGGTCTTGTATGTATCTCTTCTGGAAAAGTCACCAGTAGGATGACATCTATGCGTTACATTGGCCTCGTCGATGTAGATGCTAGCCTCGTGGAAAGGACAGTGGTACGCCTTTGTCTGGGCGTGTTTCTTCATGTGTCTAGTCAAGTAGCCCTTCAATTTGAATGTACGTTCACAATCTGGACAATGGTACAAAACGTTTTCACCTTCTTTTTCGTGGGAGGATTCTGGGCTGGAGGGCAAAGTTCCTGGCGTTTCGCCTTTCAATTTGAGCTTTTTATCACCCGAGAGAATCGAGTCGCTATTAGACGAATTGGAAATCGTGGGTGAAAGATCTTCTTTGGACAGGTCGTCCTCATTCCCAGACAAGCTTCCGAAGCTATTCTTCTTGTCCCCGGAAGGTATCTTGAAAACATCAAGCTCATCTCCCTCGGGTCCATCGTCGGTAAATGCCCATTCTATTTCACCCTTTTTGTTTTTGAAAGGAAGTAATCTTGTGGTGAGGCCAGTCGAACACTGTTGTGGGTTGGAGGTGTTTTGAGTGTTGTCGATAGTTTGATTGCTGATGGTGGGAAAGATCTTGGATTCCAGTGGCTTTTCAAAGGTAACGTTTTCATTAACAGGGTGTACAAGTTTGTCATCGAACAAGTATGGAATAAGCACCACTATCACAAGCTGTACTAATATGGAACACGCCGAAGCAATAGGTGCCGGTAACACTGCGTTGAGCACCGTTTGGACCCTGGCTAAAAGCTTTGGTGGGGACATTCTAGTTTGATAATCAAAACAGGAGCAAAGTTGGTAAGTCACGCGGTTGAAAGATGGCAAATAAAAATGGTCCTATAGAGATTTCTAGTGAGCCCTATGAGTTTGTAGGAGTTTAAGGATACGCGAAGTGTGTTGAAAAATCACTTAAAACGGATGGGTGTGCCGAATATTAATTCAATAGGTAGCAAACGGTGATCAAATTTGAGATTCTTTTCTTTTTTCTTGGCGCTCACACGATTGGTGTGGGGGCTTTTTTTTTGGCCGCGGAGATCCTTCGGAACTGCAATTCCGGGGGGTAATCGCAATGTCACCGCAGGTTGCAGTCGCGATTGTGGGGTAATGGTTGGAAAATGAACCGGGGTTCTTCAACAATAAGAATGGGAAACGAATAAAAACCGAATAGAAAATGAACAGAAATGACTCGAGGAGATGTATCTGGTGACTATCGGAGCCCTATTACGTAAGTCAGAAATTGGCCTGGAAAGGGAAATGTGAAAAACCGGAAAGGGGAAGATGTGAAAAAAACCGAAAAATGGAAACTTCAGCAATTGGTCTCGCGGTGGTACGATGTAATCGGAACAGATCAATTTGGAGGGTTTTACGCTCATTTGATTTTTGTGATGTTGTGATTTTTCATTTTTCATTTTAGTCTCGGGCCATCTTTCCTGTTTGGGATTTTCAATGGTGCGAAAATTTGTAGATGGAAATCTACCAGTGTTGAGATGGATCCAAAAAAAATATCGCATCCCGCCATTGTGGAGCTCGACGGGGCGTACTGGTTCCAAGAAAAGTCAGAAGAATCGTTTCCTGGTCAAAGATTTTGCCTTGAAGTCGACGAGATTTTGCACCATTCGCACTCTGAGTTTCAAGATATTCTCATATTCAAGTCCAAGACGTTTGGAAATGTGTTGGTTTTGAATGGCATTATCCAGTGCACCGAGAAGGACGAGTTTGCATACCAAGAGTTGATTACCCACACTGCCATCATGTCTCATGAAAAACCTTCGAATGTGTTGGTGATTGGAGGTGGAGACTGTGGAGTAGTCAGAGAGTTGGTCAAGCATTTGGATCGTGGTGTTGATACCATTACTATGGTGGAGATCGATGATATGGTGATCAAATTGCTGGCTCAGTACTTGCCGCACATGGCAAAGTTCCATGACCATCCTCGGGTCAATATTGTCATTGACGATGGGTTCAAATTCTTGCGTGAAAATAAGAGTAAATTCGACGTTATAATCACTGACTCGTCGGATCCAGAGGGTCCTGCCGAGGAGTTTTTCCGAACCAGCTACTTTGAGCTTCTTTCCAATGCACTTAGTCCAAACGGGGTGGTTATAATGCAGAGCAGTGAGAACGTATGGCTCAATATTGACAAACTCAAAGAACTTGTTTCGCTGTCGCGCCATGTTTTCGAAAACGTCAAGTACTGCCAGTGCTATATGCCATCCTACACCAGCGGTCAGCTTGGTTTGATTGTGGCTACACACAATACTTCCCTTAATCTCACCCAACCACTTCGCACTTTTGCAGCCGATGAAGAAAAAAAGTTGTTCCAGTACTATTCGGCTTCCGTGCACCAGGCGGCGTTTGTGCTTCCACGGTGGGCGGCTGATATTAATGAGGTGGACACTTGATAGACACGAGGTAGACATTACAAAGTAAACATCAACGAGGTATGATACATAGACATGAAGACTAATCGAAGACAGTGGATACAATTATATTTTGGTTCTTGTAACTCTTAAATTCTCATCTTCTTCTCATCTGCTCGTATACTACTTGTTTACTGAAAGAGACACTCTTCATAGTTATATCTCATTCTATTTTCTTTTGTCTTCCGTCTTTCGCAGCCGCCAGTGCTCGAACTCGCTGCCGCTCGTTCTCGCACTACCTCCGTGCACCAGCGCCGAGCAAATTTTCTCCCGCACGCCTCGTTGACAACACACTACTCCCCAAACACGACCGGAAGTGCCTTCTACAAAATGTCTCACCATCATGATGATTATGCTAACAACATCGATGACCAGCTTCTCAGTGTAGCCAAACAAGAAGTCATTGATCATCATGATCTTGACGCTCGTGTCAACCTAGAACAGATTGCTCATGCTGCTCGAATGGATCCTCAAAGACAACAAAATCAACAAAGCCATCAACATAGCCAGTCGCAGAACTTTCTGAACCACCATTATCAAGGTGTGGATCCATCGGAATACAACATTCAAATTCCAGAACCTATAGTTGACTCCAAGCTGAAGATATATCCGGTATCGGAAAACACTATTACTGCTGAAGGTAACTTGATCACCAGACCTTACCCTGAACAAGCGTTTCATTCGCGTGATGATCTTAACGATTACATCCATGAATTTGCCCGCGACAATGGTTTTGGAGTGGTGATTGCGCATCTGAACAAGAAGGCCATCTACTATACTTGCGAATTAGGTGGCCGATACCGCCACAAAAAGGGCAAAAGTGCCGAAGCCGAAGTCAGTAATCAGTACATGGACGCAGCCACCAAGACGAAAAAGTTGCGGTGCCCCTTTTCCATGACGGCTTCGTACAAAAAGTCTACTGGTGTATGGACACTTAGAACCACTTGTAACGAACACAACCACCCACAATTGGATCCGTTGAGTAACCACCCAATGTTGCGTAAACGGTCCGACGAATTGAACCTCCTCATTTTGGACTTGTACAAGGTGGGCACCAAGCCGTCGCACATCGAGTCGAAAATCAAAGAACAATTTCCCGACGTCTTGATCAAGCGAGAAGACATTTATAACGAGATCCGTGGCTACAAACGGAAACTCAAAAAGGCTCGCTACTTGCAGGGACCTCCCCACGACGCCAGCAATCGTGGATTCAAGAAAAGAACAAACGCAAACTCGTTCCAGCAGGTGGATTTGGACGACGACAATGATCCTCCTAACGACCAGGTGTTGCAGTTTGAACTCCAACGCCAACACCAGCAGGACGCTGAACTCCAGAGACAATTGGCTGCTCATCATCATGGCCACCACCAACACCATGGTCACCTCGATGACCATCAACTTCAGTACCTGATGGATGGAGGGAATGGTGACAGCACCACTGCCGCTGCGATTGCGGCCGTGGCCAATGCCCATCACGACGACCTTGGTATGGACAATATCGATAGTCGCTTGGTGGGCGAGTAGACGAAATGACGTTATGTATATTAGTTGTAATTTATGTCTTTCTTAACCAAAAATGTTTGTCTACATGTTCTCGAGTATGCTGAACCCGGTGTTGCGCTCCTCGAATAACGACGCCAACTGGGCTACCTTGCGCCCTCGAATAACCGGCTTTTTACTGTTCACCACCGTGATTTCCTCGGGTTTTGGCTCTATTTTCGTGGTGGTGAATTTGTACTTTTGTGGTGGAAATTGAGGATGGGCAATGTTCGATACGTCAGAAAGATGTCGAGGTTTCCGTGGTGTTGGTGGTGCCGCATCGCTGGAATTCTCTTCTTCTTCTTCTTGACATGGATCTAATCCAACTTCTGAATCTAGTATTGTGCTGGTGTTCATCGCTACTCGACTTTCATCTCCTTCGTCATTCATGCTTAAGTCGTAACTGGTTTCGTAAGACTCGTCGTGCCCGTCGTCTGTTTGGGCACCTATGATAGTTTGGATCACAGTTTGGAAGCCGCGGTATTGATTCCGAATCTTGGGCCAATGGTCAATGACGTTCTTAATAGTACGGCCAGCAATTTGAATACCGGCACTGTTGTTCTGGGATATCATTTCTTGACTCATACAGTGGCTCATGCATTTGGCCAATGTGAGTGGAGTATGCTTGGTTGTCTTGGTGTTCAACACTAGTCTGTACATGAGATCAAATATCTGGAGAAAGATGATGTGGTAGTTTGATTTTGGTTCGTAAAAGTCCATAAATATCTTCACCAATGCCAACGTGGAGTCACAATCATCTGCCATTGGTACAGGTACCAAATTCACGGGAATCAACGGTTGGGGAAGTTCTGCAAGAAACCTCTTGAAGACGGTTGCTATACAATACATGTCCCAGTCGTTGATCCAGAAGTGCTGGTCTCTGTTAATGCACGCAAAAAAGATATCAGTGTTCATCTTGTTTCCTGGTTTGTGGAAGAGCAATTCTGCTCTGGTGCCATAGGTGTCGATGATATTGAATATTTGGTAAAAATGATGGAAAAATGCAGGATCTGTGTCGACGTTGACACGCGTGTACTGATGAAGGAGCTGACGAGGCCTTTTAGCCAATACTAACGCGTTTTCTTGTTGCATATCGTACTTGTACACATTTAGTGAAATTTTCAATTTTGTGATGTCAATATAATGACTCAATTCGGAAATATTTCGGCAATTTATCACTTTTGGCCCCGTTCCCTCCTTGATACTGAACGGCAGCTCCACTGTGAATGTCTCGATGATCTTGTTTACCGAGGAAATACTTCTTCTTGTAGAATTGTAGTTGGAAACGATCTGGGTAAGGGACTTGATAAACCAACTATTATGCACTGTTACCACCTTTGTGAGCTTATGAATGTTGTTCTCGTTGTCTGCCAAGAACAACTTGAGGAATTTGAGCCCCCAAACCCAACTTACCTTGTTCAACCCACAACTGAACATCATCAATACGTATGGTTCCGAAGGTAAATGTGAAACCAACATGGGTATAAACATGTCATAATTTATAGAGTCCGTTGGTGGGAGGTAGGAGGTGTCGAAAATGTATATGGGAGCCCCAGAAATGGGGTCGTGGGCATCTGAGTTGTAAAAGATCCGATCCATAGATCAACAATTTCAAGTAAACATAAATTAGGCGCGACCCACCAGCTAAAGTGTGCACGTGATCCCGTTGCCACTTTCGCACCGACGATTGGAACTTGACTAACTTAACGCCATGTCACCATCCAAGGACGAACGCAAAGACAGTGTTCTGACCGCGTCCAAGGAGGACAAAAAGAAGCAGAAGGATGAGGAAGAACTCTCGGAGGAAGATCAGCACTTGAAAGATGAACTTGAGATGTTGGTGGAAAGATTGAATGAACCGGGGCAACAAGACAACTTGTATTCCAAGTATCTTGACAGCTTAAAAACGTTTATTAAGGAGTCCACCACTTCAATGACCGCTGTGCCCAAACCTTTGAAGTTTTTGATGCCTCATTACCCATTATTGACGGAGATTTATGATAAATGGTCCGGTGACAAATCCTCCAATTTGGTGCTCCAACTTGCCGATGTTTTGTCGGTGTTGGCGATGACATATTCCGATGATGGCAAGAAGGATTCGTTGAAGTATCGTTTGTTGGCCAGTGACGACACCATTGCTGACTGGGGACACGAATACATGCGTCATTTGGCGTTGGAAATCGGCGAGGCGTACCAAGAACAGTTGGGTCTGGAAGACGATTCTGTGGATCGTTTGGTGCAACTTTCGTTAAAAATCGTCCCTTTCTTCCTTAAGCACAATGCAGAAGCGGATGCTGTCGACTTGTTGCTTGAAATTGAAAGCATAGACAAGTTGCCCGAGTATGTCGACGAAAACACATTTGCTCGTGTGTGCCTTTATATGGTTAGCTGTGTACCATTGTTGGCTCCCCCAGATGACATCTCATTCCTCAACACCGCTTACACAATATACTTGGCACACAACCAGTTGACCCAGGCCCTTCTGTTGGCGATCAAGCTCGACAATAATGACTTAATAACCAAGGTATTCGAAGTTACAAACGACGAATTGGTCCACAAGCAACTCAGTTTCATGTTATCCCAGCACAACAGCAGCTTCGTCTATCCTGGAGAGAACGAGGAGATCCAAAGCTGTATTTCCAACGTTAAGCTTCATGACTATTTCATGTACTTGGTGAAGGAGCTCAATTTGCTCGACCCAAAGGTTCCCGAAGATGTCTACAAATCGCATTTGGAAAACGCCAAATTCGGTTTGGGCAACTCTGGGTCCATCGATTCCGCCAAGCAAAACTTGGCCGGGGCGTTTGTTAATGCTTTCCTCAATTTTGGTTATACAACCGACAAATTGATACAAACTGAAGAATCACGCAAATCGTGGATATATAAGACAAAGGGCCAAGGTATGCTTTCCACCACCGCATCTTTGGGCGCTCTTCATCGCTGGAACATCAGCGACGGTTTCCAGCACTTGGATGACTACACCTACTCTGTGGATGACGAAATCCGAGGCGGTGCCTTGTTGGGTATTGGTATCGTATCTTCTAATGTGCATGATGATGTCGAGGCTGCTTTTGCGTTGCTCCAAGAGTATGTCACCGACCCTACAAAGATGTTCCAGACGGCTGCTATCAATGGTTTAGGAATAGCATACGCTGGCTCTTCAAACGAAGATGTAATGGGGCTCTTATTGCCTATGGTGTCGGACACTGATGTCCCCATTGAAGTATCCAGTTTGGCTGCTTTGGCGTTGGGACATGTCTTCGTTGGTACTTGCCATGGTGACATTACTTCCAGTATTCTTCAGACTTTGTTGGAGCGCGATGTCTCTGAGTTAACCAACAAATACACCAGATTCATGTCATTGGGTTTGGGTTTGTTGTATATGGGCAAGACAGAACAAGTGGAAGATGTTCTCGAAACTATCGAGGCAATTGAACATCCTATCAGCAAGACTTTGAAGGTTCTTGTCAATATCTGTGCTTACGCTGGTACCGGTAATGTATTGCAGATACAGTCTTTGTTACAGATGTGTGCCGCCAAACAACAAGACACGGCTGCTGAAGAGGCTAAGTTAGCTCAAAGCGAGGAGGACCAGTTGAAGGAAGAAGCGAGCGGTGAGGCGGCAACAGCTACTGAAACCGATGGTACGACTAATGCTGCGACCAATGCTGAACCGGAATCAATGGATGTTGAAATGGAAGACGCTGAAGCAACTTCACCCAAGAAGGAGGAAGAAGAAGACAAGCAAGAGGATACCGAACCTGATTCTGAAGACGGGGAGTTGTATCAAGCTTTTGCAGTTTTGGGACTTGCGTGTATTGCCATGGGTGAAGAGATTGGCCAGGATATGTCGTTGCGCCATTTCTCCCATTTGATGCATTACGGCAATGCTTTAATCAAGAGGGCGGTTCCACTTGCTATGGGCCTTGTTTCCGCATCCAATCCACAAATGAAGGTGTTTGACACCTTATCGCGTTACTCACACGATCCTGACTTGGAAGTTGCACAAAACGCAATTTATGCCATGGGATTAGTGGGTGCTGGTACCAATAATGCTCGTTTGGCTCAATTATTGAGACAATTGGCTTCATACTATATCAAATCAGCGGACTCGTTGTTCATGGTGAGAATTGCCCAAGGTATATTGCATCTTGGTAAGGGTACTCTTTCGTTGTCGCCCTTCAGCATGCAAAGATCAAACATATCCAAGGTATCGTTGGCGTCCTTGTTGACTATATCAGTTGCATTGCTCGATCCCAAATCATTCATCTTAAACGATTCTACCACCGAGACCACCCATCAATTATTGTACTACTTGACGCCAGCCATTAAGCCAAGAATGTTGGTAACTTTGGACGAGGAATTAAACCCAATCAAGGTGAACGTTCGCGTGGGACAAGCAGTTGATGTTGTTGGACAAGCAGGTAAACCCAAGACCATTACCGGATGGGTGACGCAATCGACGCCGGTGTTGTTAAACTATGGCGAACGGGCGGAATTGGAGAGCACAGACGAATACACTGCTTTGAGTCATTCGTTGGAAGGAATAGTGATTTTGAAGAAGAACCCTGACTACGTTGAGGAGGAATAGAGGCATAGCGTAAATGATGGTAGATTCAGAATAAAAGGTGTAAAAGTGAACCTCGATAGGATTTAGAATAGTTTCCTTTGTACCGTTCTGGAGTTGCGATTATAAGCTACTTGATAGCGTTGCAAGTAACTGGTAATTTTGAAAAACACTGATTCGTAAATAAAAGCTGTGTATACTAGCATCAAATGGTACTACTAGCGTTCTAGATAAGTTTCATTTCTACTTTTTTCTGTAGATAATATTTAGCAAGTTTACTAATATTCTGTACGGGTTTTGTATAATATTCCAAACTCGAGATTCTCTCACTGGAATTCCTGGGCCTTGGCGGCCATCAACAACCCAACAATCAAGCCGAACAACCCCAACACCGAGCCAAAGATCTCAATGACCAAAATCTTGACGAATAATGACGAATCAGCGGCATCACTGATGGCCGCCGTGGACCCAGTTATACCAACGGCAACTCCACAAATCAAGTTGGAAACACCCACGGTTATTCCCGCCCAGAACAATGAGTAGCCAGTATAGAGGTTTTCTTTCGAAAACAATGCCGATTCCAGCACATTGGTGAGTTTTGAAGAAAACACAATGGCCATGATCAAACCATAGATGGCCACCACTTCACAGAAAATGATGGAAATCAAATTTTTGGTGGTGATTCTGGGAGCCTTGACTCCGGCACCTATAATGGAGGAACCAGTAACGAATATTCCCCATGCTGCCCCCACGACAGATAATCCAATACAGGCGGCGATTCCCAAAGTTGCCCACATGTATGGGGAGGTTGTTTGGAGAAATTCGCCCACATTAAATGATTCTCCAGACCCAGTGAATAGCATGTAGCCACCGACCACGGCGATGGCTGCCACTGGTGCCAATTGAAAGTAAGACATAATCAGGGACCGTATTCAACGCTATCTGCGAAGTGGTGAGGAGCGGTTGTTGGTGTTGGGGTGTGTCTTGCTGGTGTTGTGAGGTATTTGGTTCCTGGTGCGCGACGAAAGGTGCAATTGAAGGTGACTGAAGGTGATTGATGAATTTGGTAATTGCGTAGCCGAGACAGTCTTCGGGAAGAGACAGCAGGGATGAATTAGGAAAGAAAAATCAAAACCAGAAAAAACTCATTACAATTCTTTCGTAAATTACTTGTTTATCTACTCCCATTTTTCTCTTATATATCTCCTAATTGTCTCTTATTGATGTCACTTATCAATTAGCTATTTGCAGTTCTTTTTCCATCTCGTATACTGCAAATTCCGCTTACGCTTATCGAGTAGCCGCATCGCGGTCCGACCCGGCCCATTTCCGAATGCGCGGCTAACATTTTTCGGAACTTTACTTATTAGGTGCAACAATTCCGGAAACTAAACAAGTTTGGCGAGCTTATGGTGGCTGAGGATGAGCGTGTTGCTGAAGAGGAACACTCACTAGAAGCCCTGAGTCCGTGTACTGTTCTGGAGTTTCAGGAGCAAACAAAAGTGTCACAAAAAGGTCCTTTTGATCTTCTGGATGATCCAGATATGTTTCCAGAAGGTGGTTGGGCGGCGTATCTGGTGGTGTTGGGGTCATTTTTTGGATTCTACGGCTTGTTGGCATTCACAAATGCTTCGGGGGTGCTACAGAACTATATCAAGGACCATATTCTTACAGGGTATGATTCTTCCACCATTGGATGGATTTTTTCAATCAACTCATTTGTGGGTTTTGGAGGTACACTTGTGCTGGGACCAATATTTGATCGAATTGGTGCCAAAATACCCATTGCAGTGGGTATAGTGTTCACTATGGTGGGTCTAATGTGTATGTCGGTTTCCACAACCATCTACCAGTTTATTCTAAGCTATGGAATTGCCAGTGGAATTGGATTGGCTCTCACATTTGGACCGTTTGTAGGTTCTATTTCACATTGGTTTCTTCGGAAACGAGGCCAGGCAATTGGAATTGGTTACATTGGAGGAGCCGTAGGTGGTCTTACACTTCCTGTTCTTTTCCGCCTGTTGCTCCCCAAACTTGGATTTGGATGGTCCATTAGAATTGCAGCATTTATTTGTCTTTTCGCTCTTGTTGTTGGGTTCTTATTGGTTCGTGATAGAAGACACATTTTGCATCCTGGTCAAACCCATTCCTCAATTGGAGATCTCACTATGCAGATAATAAGATCGATCGATTTCACAGCCTTCAGACAAAAAATCTACACCTGCCTAGTTCTCGCGTTACTAGGCAACGGTTTTGCATTTTTGGTAACCCAGACCTACCTCCCGCTGTATGCGGTGTTTCATGGCTATAATGAGTCTCAAGCTTACCTCTTATTGGTGGTTTTCAACTCATTATCGATTCCCGGAAGAGTGCTTCCAGGTTGCGATGGCAGACAGATACGGCCGGTTTAACACGTTGTGCTTGATCAGCAGCCTCTCCACAATCATGCACTTTGTCATATGGCTTCCTCCCCCATTCAGTAAACATATTGCGGCATTATACGTATTTGCTGCTATTTATGGGTTTACCAGTGGTTCCATCCTAAGCCTCGGACCTGCTTGCATTGGCCAAACCTGCGAAACAAAAGATTTTGGAAAACGTAGCGGAACCGCATTCGCGATACTTTCGCTCGGTGATCTCTTTGGAGTGCCTATTGGTGGTGCTATTGTGGGAAAGTCACCTCCACCATGGCTGCGAAATTATGAGTATCTCGTTCTTTTCGTCGCTTTATGCTCCTTTATGGGCACTTTGGGGGCGCTTACGGCTCGCTACTTGTACGCGGGAATAAAAAAAATTGTGGTTTGATCCCGGTCCCGAGGAACAATGCTCGACGCTTATTTTTTCAACACCATACCTAAGCCTTGGGACATGATAACGTATGGGTGCACTGGATGGGAGAGTGGCTGACGAAGTAGGCGTCTATCATCAGCGGTAAATGTGTGGTGGAATTCTATAATTAACTGATGCGCGAGGCTTTGTTCCCTAGACACATTTCAGCCATGCTGGCACAGCGGTAGAATGCCAGGATAAAAGATAGACTAGGGCCGTAATTCGCAGCCATAAAATGAAAAACTTAGTTGAAAAGTTTCTTGTTTTTTTGTTTGTGACTTCTCTTGCCTGGGCTGCTAGTGTCCAGAAACCATTGACGTTCAGAGTTTATGACTTCAATATCAAGACGGCATCGGGAAATTTGGTGCCTGGTGAAAAACCTTGGAGCGAGAGAAAGGCAGGAGTCATTGATAGCATCAAGAACTATACTTCCCAGCATCCTACTATCGTAGGGTTGCAAGAGGCACTTCGTGGACAGCTCGATGACATAATGAAAGGATTGGGCCCGGAATGGAAATTTTTTGGTGTTGGAGGCAGCGGAGACACTAAAGGTGAATATTGCCCAATTATATACAAGTCCAACGAATGGGAACTTGTCAATGGAACTACCAAATGGCTCAGTGAGACTCCTGATAAGCCCAGTAGAGGCTATGGTTCGAAATATGAACGAATTGTGACGTTTGCCGAACTTCGTCATGTTTCGAGTGGCCGCACTATTCACTATTTCAATACCCATTTGGACCCCCATGATGACCATGTGCGATACGAGTCTGTGCGTGACATTATAACATACGTGAATCACACCAGACAAGGTTCGCCAGTTTTTCTTGGAGGAGACTTCAATGCAAAACGGACATCTGCTCCATATAAATATGTTGCAACTCAAATGACTCCTGCACTGATTGCGCCAGATCCCAAAGGAGTGGATAACAAGGAGAAATCCACCAATTCAGGGTTTCAATTCAACCATCCGAAAACCATAGATTTTATCTTTTTTCAAGATCACGGGTCCAAGGTCAAAGTGGACCTGTATGAAATATTGAGTTCCACATCTGGAAACGTGGTTATCAGCGACCACTCTCCTGTGATAGCGGACTTTAGCATATGATCGTCTTGGAAGAAACTTGTGGTTGAAACTCCGGGTTGAATCTTCTGGGTGCAATTTTGGTGGTTGCTCGATTACATAAATTACCCGATTGGGATGCGTGCATACGTCAGGGCTGCACACAATTACGTCAAGACGCTTAGTACACCTTATCGAATGTTCGATTTTTCCAGCCCCAAGTATATATATTTGTAGCGCTCCGCCGATGCGGTTCATCAATGACACCTTCAGTTAAGAAACCAGCTCACTTTTACGTTCACGCTGCACTTTTTGACTGCGATGGAACATTGGTCAATTCCACCGGTGCCATCTCAGAATTCTGGAGACAGTTTGCCGATACCAGACCCCATGTGAATGCCGAGGAAATCATCAAAACTTCCCATGGATGTCGTACCTACGACGTGATTGCAAAATGGTCGCCGGATGACGCTGAGGAAAAGCAGGTGACGGAATGGGAAGCATCAATTCCAGACTCTTTTGGATCATATGCCAAACCGATTCCCGGGGCCGTTGAGCTAGTCAAGAAGTTTGATCACATGTCCAAGACTTTAACCAACAACAAGCACCAACGATGGGCCCATAGTTACTTCTGGAACCTTGCCTTTGGCTTCCAAGTGGTTGAAACTCCTCACGATTGAAAAACCAGATTGCTTCATTACTGCCGAAAAAGTTAGCCAGGGCAAACCTCATCCTCAAGGCTACAAATCGGCACGGGAACAGCTTGGCTATGACGCTCCACACAAAAAAGTGGTGGTTTTTGAAGATGCTCCTGCGGGTATTAAAGCTGGCAAAGATGCCGGAGCCATGATAGTGGGAATTTGTTCCACTTATGATCCTGAAAAGGTTCAGAATTCCGGAGCTGATATTGTGGTTTCTGACTTGTCATCCTTTGATATCGAGTCTTATGATCCCACAACCGACGAATTCAAGGTGGTTGTCACTGACTACCATTATGCCAACGAAGAGTATGTAAATTAATTAAAGCCGAAATGAGGTTAACTTCTCTCAGACTGATATTTCTGTGTGAATCAATTTCAGTCCAATGAATGCTGTAGACTTCAATGGTAAAACACCAGTATCAAGATAGAGTCGCTTAAAAATAAATTCACTGTGGAATCTGTTAAATAGCTTTCATTCACAAAAACTCAAAATTTGTCTTGTAGAACGAAAGCTCGTCGGTAACTGCCTCGATAGCCACGCCGTGGAATCGAAATACTTTATTTGTCAGAAACACCCGCCAGCTGGATTTCACCAACGAGAGTTCTATCACATCGCCATTGACTCCATGAGCAAGCTTCTGTCGTTTCGAATCGGGTGCCGGAATCTCTCCGTCTGTTCGTAAAGGCACTCCTATCAAATCTTGGGCCCAAGTTTTCAGGACTTCCAGACCATTTATCGTAGTATTTGCGTTGGCCAAACCAGCAAAGATCATTACTGAAGGCCCATCTTCTGTGTTGTCGACGGGAAGGTCCGTAATGTCCAATGAATTCATCAATTTGAGACAATGGTTCCCGCTAAGTCGTACAAATGCTAGACCAAGTTTCCTGTTCAACACCAATTTGGGACTAGAATTTAGTTTTCTTGTGACTTCACAGTAGTCTGAATTGAACTGGAGGATCAAGTTGCTCTTTTTTTCCTTCTTGATGAACGGGCGGGTGTATTGTACATGCGATTCTTTGCCGGCTGTGTCGTTGTTGTAGATGATTCCCTTGGGCGAGACGTCGACTATATCTATGAGGATATCCTGTTTGTTTTCAAAGTGGCTGTTGGCAGATATTCGACAGTTGACTATTCGCTGTTCGAGTTCCTGGAGTCGGTAATAGCGACACTCTCTTATCAATAATCTGCGATGGGTTTTGTCACCAAGAACTGTGGTATTTCCACGCAAAACCTCCATCAAGTCACTGAAGAGCCTGGGCGACCTGTGTGGCACACTGATGGTTTTCTGGGGTGGAGGTCGTATCACCTTCAACCGTTCAACTAGCCGAAACTGGTCGGTACCCAACGAGTCAAGACTCACTGAAAAATAGTTTGGATGGTTTCCCGTTTCCATGAGCAATTGCTGAGGTACCTTGAAGTTCTCACCACCCACATTGACAAAGATTCCTTCATCGCGGAGAATGTTTCGAAGCCGTTTGACTTGAAAGTAATAGCTGTCGAGCCAGAGCTGGGTATAGATTTCACTGTTGGGCACTTCCACATGATATCCTTGTAAGTGCTGGTAGATGTACTCAAACACCGTGGGACTGCGGTCCACAAACAACGTCTTGTCCTCGTTTCCTTTGGTAAGAAAGTAATTGGTGAAATACGACGGAGCGTCCGAGGACAAAGATGCTCCACTGATTCGAAAAAGCTTGTAGCCGATTTGTATCGAGTAGACTTTCAGATGAGGCAAGATTTTGGGGATCAGAGGATCGAATTCGAACCCCACGCCGTATATTTCTTGCGTAGCCATGCTTTTAGATACACCAGTTGTTTATCAAGATGCCCTCATCGAAGGTGAGTTCACACGCCTTATCTGCAGTCCCGTCCGCGATTCAACCCCAGATTTCTTCACTTGTGCGACGTTACGGTGCGACGGTGACGCATGGTTCTACATGCCCGCCAAGAATAGAACGTTCAATGGCTGCTGGACGTGTCGGGAGCGCAAAGTCAAGTGTGACTTGAGAAGACCGGGATGCTTGCGGTGCAAAAACTCGAATCTAGAGTGTAAAGGCTATGATGTGAAGCTTCGATGGCTGGTCCAGATGGGGCTCCAGGGGACTAGAATGGTAGCCTTGGATAGCGGAGATGACGGCGATGACCCTGGGTCGCAAAGAAGCAGTGTGGATTTTGTCAAGTACCCTAAAAACATGGTTTACCTCACTTTTTCACGGTTGAATCACGAGTTGAAAGCGCTCGAAACAAGTGTGGAAACCGGGGCAAAAGATGTTGAAAGAGGTCCGTTCGGCGCCTACAACTGGCCCGTTAGCTCGCGGGTGGCTGTGGCAGAAACTGATGGAGTAGACATGACTCAGGACCAAACGTCGTGGATTCATCATGAGCTTGTAAATTCAGCCCGGCTCTCAATTATGGCAATTAAAGGTCCCGATTACCTTATTCGAGACCAGAACATGCTCCATATTTTGTATCCCAAGTTTTTTCCTAACATAGACTCGGACGACTGGCTCGTTTCACAAACGTTTCTCAACGAATTGATGACGCTGCAAGGTCAGGACTTGATCGTCAAATCCACGTTTTGGGACCTCCTCAAGCACTTGGACAGCAAACAGTTTGCATTTCTAAAGGTCTACTGGCACGACAATTACTGGTCGCTGGTGATAATTCCATATATCAACTGTCTAGTGGGCGAGTACGTTTGCAACTATAACACTTGGAATGGCCAGTATAATGAGAATTTCTCACCTGCGCAGCTCATCAATAACCTCAAGTTGGCGGCTTTGTACCTAGCTCTAGGCATGGCTGCATTTTCATTGGCTAGACACCAACCCCACTATCTCGCTGTGTGTCTCAAAATTCGCAAGGTTTGTAGCACCATTTTGAACAGTCATTTGGATGACTACGACAGCAACAGCGATCATTTTTCATACAACCAAATCGAATATGAAAACTTGATGCTTCTTTGCATTCTCTTGCAAGTTCAATTTGACAGTGTTTTTGGAGTATTCGAAAATTATAACCTAGCTTTTGCTATTGGAGATTACATTGTCGAGAACAAATTCAAGAACCGAGAACTACCAAACCTTCCCAGCTTCTTGGTACACACATTTACCATTGCTAGTGTGTTTTACCTGGCAACTTTAGAGGTTAATGTGTTCAACTACTCCATCGATCCTGCCGATATAACCGACAATTATCGAGATTTGGATGAAAATTACGACTTAATAGAGGGCCTGAAAGCAGAGGAAGAGCTGAGTCCCAGTGTTGTATCATCACCTGGTGCCGTCAAATCAATACCAAGTTTGTCACTGAGCGCCAAAAGGCGCAAAATAGACCGTCTCAGTTTACCAAATGCTCTTGAACCACTAGTAACTACAGAGTCCATATACTTAATGTGGGGGTACAAGAAACAAATGTTGGACCTTTTCCTGAGAATAATCCACTTGACGAACCACAAGAGTATATTCCGAAGCCGCAAAGTGTTTCCTCGAAATTTTCCCAAAATTTGTGCTGAAATGGAGGACGAATTAAACACCTTTGACGTATCCAAATTTGACCTTGCTAGCCCACCATTTCGCCTGGTACTTCATGAAGGGTTGTACCGCAATGCCAAGTGTCTCTACTTTGCCATGAGAGTATACTTTACAAGACTAATTAAAGAGGCTCCATTGAAAACTTACCAGCATATAATCCGATCCTGTCTCGATGAATTGGATCAACTATTACTTGTCAATGATAAACCGGGCAGCGACTATGGTTTCAAGCCGCCATTCTTCATCATCCTAATTTGCGGAAGTGATACCGTCGATCCGGAATTGCAAGAAAGAATAAAAAAATTATGGAATAATTCCCATTTTGGATGGGCAAATCATTGGCGAGCTAAGCAGATTTTGTACGAAGTTTGGAAACGACGAGAAGTGGGCGAAGATGTCAGTTGGATGGACTTGGTTCGCGAGTGGGATCTAGTACTCTACATGGGTTAATAATAATAATAGATTTAATGATTCCGTTCGGGATTTCCTCGGTTAATCAATCGGAGATCAATTGTTCCGCTTATGCACCCGCACAATGTTACATTCCGAGTAATGTTGCATTTCCAGCCGCGCCGCACGCAAATTGTAAATTTTCCGGCATAATGCCTGCCCCGGAGATATTACCCTACGGAGTTTCGGAAGCATTCCTGTACGCAAACCCCACCCCCGCTCAAAATTTCCCCGACCCGCCCCGGAAATTCTGGCGCCAAGTTACACAAAGCCACCATTTTGTGGAGCACTGGTTTTTCCGAATGATCGAAACCGCCAAATTTTGCAAACGGTACATTTACGAAATTAAGTGACGAGTTGTGAATTTACGGTGGTTTTATCTTGGATCTGCTTGTACTGAGTAGTATTAGAACCTCATTAGCAACCTTTGTTCGTAAGCAAATTTGGCTGTAAAATTGTTGAAATTCAGACAGCCGCCAGTAAAAGGGGTCTCGAATAATTTAGCTGGACCAAAAAAACCACCGAATTTTCCAACCATTTTGCTGTGCTGCCGTCATCTAGTACTGGCTGACACCCCAGGGAATAGCAAAGATGGAGGAAAATAACCTTGAGGTGAATTTATCCCATCCAAGAAAAAGGTCAAAAGTCTCCAGAGCTTGCGATGGATGTAGGCGCAAGAAGATCAGGTGTGATGGAGAGTTTACTAGTTCATTGCTGAAGGTGACTAAAGCGTGTACTAATTGTCGGAAGAATTTTGAAGAATGCACATTTTCTCGAGTTCCATTGAAGCGTGGACCATCCAAAGGACATTCCAAGGACTTTGACGATAATGAGTCCCATGCTAGAACCCACAGTTTGGGGGGCTCCACATATGATCCTCCTTCGTTGCCGTATCCAAATCATTCCATTTCAGCACATAAAGTGTCTCCTCCCAATCCCTCAAGCTCAATTGTTTTACCACCGCTTGTTCACAGCTTCCAGAGACTGCCGGTAGAGAGTAGTACTGCCAATGGTTCTGCTACTAAACCGGTTCTTCCCCCATTGGGAGCAGTTAAGAAGGACGACGGTTCCGATCCGACTACTCCAAGACAGGTTTCTGCCAACGGTTCTTTACGTTCCAGCGTTGATGTGAATGCTCCAGTCCAAGCTAGCACGACCGCAACGTACTCAGCAAGATCGCAGGTTAGTAGTCCTTCCATCAAAGGTCCATTTTGGAAAGTTCCGTACGAAATGCCTGAATTGCGTCGAGAAAGAAGAGAGTCCGCCGACTCGGTTTCGTCAACAAATTCCAACTTGTCAAACGGATCTCGCTCGCGGATGTCTTCGCTCGTACCAAGCGTCTCTGTTGCCAGCGAAAGCGGAGTCAGCGATAGTGACGATGACTTTCACTCTGTGAGGTCAAAAATGTCCCGCCAATCTTCCCAATCGATATCTCCTCGCAATTCGGTATCGTCGCTTTCAAGTCTTAATGGACGAATCAACAGCATGACCTTCAACCAGCAACCAGCATCTTTTTCTCCTCCTGTTCCCTATCCTGCTCAACCTGGAGTTGTGCAATTCCAGTTCTCTCCCCACCAACAGTTCCCTCAAATGCCAACCTTATACGGACCAATGCAGCTACATCCAAATACTGCTAGCCACACCCCAACTCCTCAACCGCCCACAAAAGTCCCCATCAATAATTTGGACGTCAATCTTGAAATTTATTACCGCAAGTTCCACCACCATTTCCCCATACTTCCTTTCCAAATCCAGGCACTTCGTGAGATGCAAAACGAGTGCCGTGCCGAGGGCATGTTGGAGCTCTTCAATCTCTCGTTGAACAACTTGAACAATTTCCAGTCGTTGAGCCTCGCTGACAATATTCGGTTGTTTCACCGACTTCTTCAATATTACCCATTTTCTCTGCTCGGCATCGAAGTCAACGATAGCTTGGTTTCGCTATTTATTACATCATTGGTCTTGATCGACTACGCTATATTATTGAACGGTGACGTTTATGCGTTGGGCATTTCCATAACCCTTGGAATCTTGAACGAGTTCAAAGTTGCCGAAAGTTTCAGTCTGTATGTGTCTCAAGGTTTTCCCGACAAACCCATCAATCCCGATGCCATCCAGATCTATTTGCCAAAACTTTACCTCTGCTTATCGGTTATCGACACATTTTATGCTTTAAGCTTCGGAGCCCAGCTGAATGTCAAAACTACCGTGAACGAATTTTTGTTTCAGCACTTGGCAATACTCTTTCCACAGGATAATTCTGTTCCTGGAAGCGATGGTATTTTCAGCTTCAAAGTAGCCTCGCTACTCAACAGACTTCTCAAAATAAGAAACGAACTCAATTTCAAACAGATTAACAAGAATGAGTGTCAAAGGTTCACCGAAGACTTTTGCATTCTTCAGAACGAAATCCTGCAATTGAACTCGAATTCGGTTCAGTTTTACAGCCTTTTTGTCTACCTTTTGAAAGACAAGTACGAGTTTTACGATTACTTGACTGAAATGATAGTTTTGTTCGACAAGATGGGTTCGGTGCTCAATGAAGAAGAGCAAGATACTGTCCATGATTACAGTCTAAAGTTGGGAAGATTACTCAAAAGGTTATCTCAGTCAATCATCAACGTCTCCAACTTTATCTCGACTGTCAATTCTGCCTCAAGCTCTCCTGGGCAATCTGATTCTGGAAAAGACATCTTGACTCCATTCCTCAACTTGGCCTATGCTCAGTCTTACAAGCTAATTAAGTTGTGTAAGTTACTTACAGATAGCCTCGTGAGCTCGTCGAAAGATGTGGAGTTGGCACAAAGGTGTATGAAAATTAACAATGATTTGTCGATAGCTTTTAATTTGCTCAATAGCAATTTGAACCGCAATTCCGCCTATAACATTGGTCAAAGTGCTCTGAAGTTGATTCAAAGTCGAGTTGAATCCTACAAGCTTGCGTTCAACAGACCGGTGGAAAACCAAACATCAAACGAGTGGACTAATGATTTGCAAAATGGTATCATTGCTTTTGTGGAGCAAGAGGAATACGATGGTTGGTTATGAACGTCTTTTTGACACTATTAATGGGTATGTATCTAGCTAATGAATATTAGCTATTCGTTCTCATGCAAGTGGCTTGTAGCAATCAATCAATTTTGATCTGAGCATAGATCTTTCTGACAAAGATCAAATTGACAATGAATCCCACCGATCCACAGCAAATGAAAACCAACAAGGAAATCACACTCGAGTATCCCACGTACAAAACAATCGATGGGAATCCCGACAAGTTCTTTCCTCCGACAAGGAGTAACGAATGCAAAAATACAAATATGGCACAGCCGCCTCCAACAAACACCGACTTCCATTGCCATTTGTAGTTTTCAGAGCACAAGGTGTAGTAGATCATAAGTACCGACACCAATGCTGTGGACACAATCATCAATATGAAGCAGAAAAACAAGAATCCAAACATGTAGAATATTCTGTTAAACCATAATGAGTTGTGGATAAAGTACATTTCGACTGCAATTGATCCAAAGGGGAAAATACCCGAGATCAACATAACTGGAATGGTTCTCAAGTACCATGGTTGAGGAGGAATCTGTCTTGGAATTTGGTTGGTTCTGACTGGCACTGAAATCATTGGTCTCTTGCTAGCAAGGAGCGATCCCAACACAGACAATGGCACAGAGATAACAAACCAAATAACAACAATAGCAAACATAGTTCCGATGGGGATGGCACCTGAGGAATTAACATATATCAAGAAAAAGTTCAAGAATATGAAAATTCCCAAGAGAACACCAGGAACCAAAAGAGGAGTGAGGATCATGTTCATTTTCCAATTTTCACCGCCGAAAAATTTGTAAAGGTATCCAGAAACAAACGAGGAAACAATGCTGAACAAAACATAAAGGATGAACATAAAGGTGGACAATGCACCTCTACTAGAAGGCGACAACAAGCCGAACAAAGCGAACACAATAGTGACGGAAGTCATCATCAAAATCTGAGCACCACTGCCCACAATAATGGACAAAAGCATTGGGTTTTTTGGGGTTCTGAAAATGTCTCCATGGACCAATTTCCATCCTGAATCATCAGCGACATCGTCATCGAGATTCACCTCGTTGTACTTGACAATATCATTTTTCAACGTTCTGTGCAAGATATGGGCAATAATTATACCAAGAATGACGACAATGAGGGAAAAGTTGATAAGAGAAAACCACTGAATTTTTGGATCAAATACGTGCAAATATTTGTCCCATCTAGTAGCCCAAGCAGTTTTTGATTCCTTGAAATAAACAGAGTAAGTAAAGAGAACCTTTGACTCTCTGTCCTTGTTGAGGTAGACAGGCTGTAAATCAGGATTGCAATAGTCTTCAGGCAGTGACTTTTCATCCAAATTAGCACTGCTGTAACTGGCAGGTTTGACGTTAAAACCCACCACACGGTACACATCTTTGCTGCGCATGTGGTATTCGATAATAAGGTCAAAATGGTTGTGCAACCGCGCCTTATCCTGTTCGTCAACTTGACCAATTGGAAAACCAGGATTGAAAAAGTCCGTCAGAGTATGTTGGTCTACAACGTGCAGAGCACCGGGAAGTCCGTCAATGATCCAGTTGTGTGAGTAGCCAGCACGGATGTTTCTGCGCACAAATATCGCGTCGGATTTTGAGTATTCGGCGGTACACATTTTTTGACAAGTTTTGTCTTCGAGCATCTTGATTTCGAAAGGGGAATTGAAGATTCTGTCTCCAAATATAATCGAGCCCAAAGATTCCAGTTGTTTCTGAGGACCGCCCTCGGGTTTGCAGAAGTGGAATTTGGGGTAGTAGTAGTCATAGGAGTAGACAAGCGTTTTCGAGTTGGTTTTGGATTTTTTGACCAGCGACGGGGTCAAATGATTTACCAATAAGGGAATGGTATCGCCCTTCTTATAATCCTTTGGTGCCACCCCTGGAAGGTAGAAGGATGCCGCGGGCAGCAAAAGCCAAGCAAATGCAAAAATTTGCAATAAAACCGTTAGCATAACAGGAGCGGTGGAATTCGAACAAACGAAAAACTGTTGATAAACTGGCGAGCACAGCCAAGCACCCCTACAAAAAATCGCGTTGTGGAACAAAACGCAGGTACACGCTGCATACAGGTAATAATGCATTGTTTTACATTGACGTAACTAATGTCGGCTACTGGCGTAGGTTAAGATCCATTTGAAGTTGACGAGGAGAAATTTGCAGCTGAATGTCCAATCGGAGTTGGAAGTAACTCTAATGCTCTTACCACCTATAACATCTTTCTTGGGTGAAATTGTATACGGAAGCTCGATTTCACTATCCAACGCCAAAACTGTGGCTTCTATCTGGGAGAGTACGTCGAGGAGCGCGATCATGGACACGTCCAACTTGTTAAAATTGAACAATTTTCCGAGCGATAGCTCGTTGGACAGGTAAAGATTTAAGACGGTTTTCGACTTATCGTGGTCCGATGACAACTTGACAATTTGAGAACGAGAACCCATGGGAACGAGTTTATAGCTTTGTAGTCTGACATCAAGCCGTTTGCACAAGAACACCGCAAGCAAAACTACCTGGCCCAATGCGCAATTTACTTCCAGCCACGGCACTTTATAGCCCAATCGGAACCCATTGATCTTGCCAAATTGGTCGTCGGCTGCAATATCAAAGAATTTTGTATACATGTTGAGGTTCCGAAGATGGTCTAGCCGGTTCAAAACAACACGATACCGAGCTTTTTCCTGAGCCAATTGGTCTGCTTTTCGTTGAAGTGTCCAATGAAGTTCATTTTTGAGCCTTAATGCATTCAGAAGTTCGGTGCTTTGTTGAAGCGCCAATTCCATCTTTACGTCTTGGAGCTCCTTCGACAATTCCTCTCTATTCTGCTCGAGAGAGCGTAGTTCCTGTAGTTTTTCTTGCTCGCTCGCAGCAAGGTCCCGACATTCCTGGATCGAGTCTCGAAGTTTCGTATCCAAATCCAGCTCCTTAATGTCGGAGTCATCCTTTAACTTTAGCTTCTTCAAGAAAGTCATGTACAGGTCTTTTTCCCGTTGGTTCTGGTCAAACTTGAGTTTATAGTTTTCGATCAAAAGCTCAGCACACTCATCGCACATTGGATGGTTCACTTCGCCTTTGTTGGAAAGAATATCAAATATCTTTTCCAAGGTGTGTATTCGTCCCGAGATCGGATTTGGTCCGTCTGCTTCGCTAGACTCCGGCGACGGCGCCAGCACCGGTACCGGTTCCTCAATCTCTCCTCCATTTACCACCAATGAAGCATCGGGCAGACTATCGTGGTCCGGCAGCGAGTCGGTCCCGTGTTCTTCAATGGTGTCCAAGAAATGGATAGGCTCGTTATGGCCGTTTTTCTCAACTTCTTCCAACAATTCAAGCCGTTCTTTTGGAATGAAATCCACCAGGTTGAGTTTAGGTGCTGCTGCCAGCACACTTTGTTTGTTTTGAGTCAACAAGTTGAGCTGCCCTGTGTTGGCATCTTGCAAGCTATGGTCAATCTGAAGCGGAGCATTGCACTTCAGGCAGTAAAACATGGATACATGTAGTTGGAGTTTGGTTGGTGTACTGGTCGAAACGTGACCAAAAGGGGAAATCGATTTGATAACTTTGGAGCAGTTTAGGGGGCTCTTTTCGTGTACGCGTCGGGAATGGCGCTAGCTTTCTTGAACGGTTTTCTTGAGTAGCGTTATTAATCACGTTTTTTGTAAATTTGAAAAAATGTAAAAAGTGGCAAATTTAGGAAATACAATTTTAACCATAAGTTTACCATAATTTTGTCCGGCCACTTCAGACACAAGATAGAGAAGAAGAACGCGCTCGTATGCAAAAATAAAAACGCTTCTTTTCAATATTTGCCTTTATTTCGATAAACAGAATTCTCACAATTTGTTATGATCAGAACTCTCACAATGTCTTATCACTATTCGTTTCCATGTGAATATCAGAACAAGCCGATCTAGTATAGTGGTTAGTACACTTCGTTGTGGCCGAAGAAACCCAAGTTCGATTCCTGGGATCGGCAGTTTTTTTTGCAGTTTTTTCGCACCCCACCACCCACACAAAAGCCGTCACAAACATTTTTTCGCAGCTGTCGCAGATGTTTCTTCCTAACACTTTTTCCTCAATTTTTTCTTTCTAACAATGACGAGTAAGTATATAGTTCTCTGATGATCCAAACATTATGCTTGAATCTCCGTGTGAGCATACGATTTCTCAATAGACTACAACGGTATCTGACGAACATTTATACTAACAAAGATGAGTAAAAGCACCTCCAAGTCTCACTTGTATCGTAACCCCCTCCCGCTACTACTTTCCAGCGACCACTACGGGCCGGCCCCGAACCTAATTCCTCACAATCCATTGTCCTGGATCGTTTTTGGTTGGTGGTATGTGTCCACCGTATGTAAACCAGTCCCTCACCAAACTGTCCAGGTAGTATACGCAGACCACCAATTCAAGGTCTACGACGATGTAGATATTGCCAGGTTATGGCAGCTGGGTTTTTTTGGCAAGGGCTCGCTTTCCCGGTCGGACCCATCGTGGAAAATTCGGACAATTCGTCGACTTGGGTTGAACGACCCAGAAGGTGTAGCTGGGTTCAGTAGCGAAGATGTGACGAAACAGCGGCGGGAAGAAAGGCGAAAGTTCAAACACGAACGAGCCAGAGTTCAGCAGTTGGAACTTGAAAAAAGACAAGGCACGTTGTCGGAACAAGACAACAATGAATTGGTCGAGTTGCAAGAAAAGTTGAAGGCATGGCGGCATCAGGCCACGGTGGCGGTAGAGACGCCGGTAGTTCCCGCGGAGTTGAGACCAGAAGACGAAGCTTTATTGGAGCCTGGAACTCGTGATTTGACGACCAACATTGAGTATCTCCAGTTGCAACCAGTGGAGTTTTTCTTTCTTTATTTTGCTCTTGGAGTGACTCAATTGCTGCCACCGCGGTCGTTTCTGGATACCTTAAACACTCTCGTTCCGAGTCCCCTGGCTTCGAGCAGTTTTCTCGTGGAATACGCCGTCTATCATCATTATCGGTCGCTAGGCTGGTGTGTTCGACTGGGCATCAAATTTGGCTGCGACATGCTTCTTTACAAGCGAGGCCCTCCATTCAGCCACGCCGAGTTTGCCATCAAAATTTCGACCACTGAACCCGATTTCCACTATGAGTGGAGCGACATTTCGGCTTTAGCCCGAGTGGTGGGTGGGGTGAAAAAAACCCTAGTTTTGGTGTATGTGGAAGTGCCCAACGACGCCCAATTTCAGGACCAGTGGCACAATGTGAACAGCGCAGACAACTTTTTACAATTGCTAAAAACCTACAAAATCACCGAAATTCTCTACAAGCGGTGGGTCCCCAGTCGCACCCGAGACTGAAAAACAAACAACGCGCGCCCAGGTGGGTTTTTATCGGCGGGAGGCATCGGTAGCGGCACGACGCACCGCAATATTTAAGCAGGCAATTTCGCAGCCTGCGGCACGACAATGGAAACAGCGATTTATGGCGGATATACATAGTATTATGAATCCGGTCGAGCCGGAGGAGCCCGTGGTTCCAAAGGTTGAGCCCAGTTTGGAATCCAGTGTGGAGCCCAGTGTGGAACCCAGCCTGGAACCCGAACAGACGTCTGTAACCCAGCTGACAATTATCGATTCTTTCGACAGAATCAAGACCCATTTTCCCGCCGCACGGATAAAAAAGATCATGCAATCTGATGAAGAAATTGGCAAGGTTGCGCAGGCCACGCCGGTGGTGGTGGGGCGAGCGTTGGAGATTTTCATTGCCAACTTGGTGGAGGTGTCTGCGTTGGAGGCGAAGAAGAGTGGAGTCCGGCGTATAGGAGCGGCGCATATTCGAGCTGCGGTGGAAAAGACGGAGCAATTTGACTTTTTGGTGGATGCGGTGGCCAAGTATCAAAGCTGATGTAGGATAGTGTACCATAGTATAGAGGGAGAAACAAAGAGAGAAAAAGAGAATAGAAGAAGAGAGAAACAGTGAGAATCAGTGAGAGAGTTGAAAATGTGAGAGTGCGATTGCGAATTTAAATTGACTGGGGATCGGCACTAGATCTGTCAACCTATGAAATGTGAGTAATTACCTTAACACTACCTTAGCACAACACACACGACACTAGACTATCTGAGGGTTTATCAGTTTCTACTTCACTACCATGAGATTTTCTCGAATTCTTAAATATTACTCGTACTTCATATCATTGCTAATTGCAATCTACCCCCTATCCAATCCTTCCAATCCTTTCGTTCCATTCCTTTTTTCCACTTTTCTCTTTTAAGATCTCCTCTCTTTTTTCTTTCCTGTATGCTAATCTCCCCGGATAACGCACCGTGACGCTATTCCTGCACCGTCCCCGTTGCTCTGCAGCCGGTCAACTTGCTCCATTATCCATTTCTTTTCATCAATTATGGGCAAATCCAATCTTAACCTTTCCAGTCGCAAGTCTTCCCTTTTCTTTCAACAAAACCCCCCTCAACCTGACGTCTACTATGTAGGGGTAGATGTGGGAACCGGTTCGGCTCGGGCTTGTGTGATTGATACCAACGGAATTATCCTCGGATTAAGTGAACGGCCGATTACTAGACACGAGTTAAAGCCTAATTATATCACTCAGAACAGTACAGAGATCTGGAATGCCATTTGTTTCTGTGTCAAAAGAGCAATTCTGGAATCGGGGGTGGACCCAGCTGATATCTTTGGAATTGGATTTGATGCTACTTGTTCTTTAGTGGTGCTTAGAGAATCTACTGACGAGCCGGTCGGTGTGGGACCAGACTTTACCGATAACCATGAAAACATTATCTTGTGGATGGACCATCGTGCCGTGGACGAAACTAACACCATCAATGCTACCGGTGACAAGTGCTTAAAGTACGTTGGTGGACAAATGTCCATTGAAATGGAACTTCCTAAGATGAAGTGGCTCAAACACAATCTTCCCGGTGGAATTGACGACTGCAAGTTCTACGATTTGGCGGACTTTTTGACCCATAGAGCCACTGGCTCCGAAGCTCGTTCGTTCTGTTCCACCGTCTGCAAACAGGGTTTTGTTCCGCTCGGAGTAGATGGGTCCGAAACCGGGTGGTCCAAGGAGTTCTTGGAGCTGCTTGACCTTCCAGAATTGGTCGAGGACAACTTTAGAAGACTCGGAGGCTCTCCGGCTTCTGGCGCTACTTGGTTGAGTGCCGGAGACATTGTCGGCAAGTTGAACTCTCAAGCTGCTGACGAATTGGGATTGACCACCGAATGTATCGTTGGAAGCGGTGTAATCGATGCTTATGCTGGTTGGATCGGAACCGTTGCTGCCAAAGCTGATATTCCTTCTTTGTCCGATTCTAAAGAAGAAGGCATTGCCATTTCTTGTGGCCGTCTAGCAGCCGTGGCAGGTACTTCTACATGTCACATTGCCATGACCAAGGAACCTTGTTTTGTCAACGGTGTTTGGGGCCCATATAAAGATGTCATGGCTCCCGGCTACTGGTGTGCGGAAGGTGGTCAATCGTGCACTGGTGCGTTGTTGGCTCATGTGTTGGCGATCCACCCAGCTACCACCGAGTTATCCAGATTGTCGGAAGCTTCAAATCTCTCAAAATTTGACTACCTCAACTTGACTTTGGAGACGATGGTTTCTGAGACCAAAAGCAGATCGGTGGTCAGTTTGGCCAAACATATGTTCTTTTACGGAGACTTCCATGGCAACAGATCGCCCGTGGCAGATCCCAGAATGAAGGCATCTATCATTGGACAATCAATGGACACTTCTGTCCAAGATCTTGCTATCCAGTACTTTGGAGCTTGTGAGTTTATTGCCCAGCAAACCAGGCAAATTATCGAAGAAATGGAGAATAGTGGCCACAAGATCGACTGTGTGTTCATGAGCGGTGGTCAGTGTAGAAACGGATTGTTGATGCGGTTGTTGGCTGATTGCACAGGATTGCCCATTGTGATTCCAAGATACATCGATGCCGCTGTTGTGTTTGGATCGGCGTTGTTAGGTGCTGTTGCTTCAGAAGACGCAGTGTTGGAGCATATTCACGACAGGAAGAGATCCAGAAGATCGTCTATTCTTTCGAACCAAAAGTCGCAGTCCAACTTGACCAACATCGACGGTCCTCATTCTCCTTACACTGCACCAACAGCCACGGCTTCAAGCACTAACATGACAGCGTTGGCCTACGCCAGCACACAGAGTGGAAGCCACCATCAATTCCCCACAATGACACCAATGGCTGAAGAAACCGACTACTTCAACCAGGCTACTCAATCTAAGAAAGAAGAGGAATCCGATTCTGACGATGAGCAAACACTTTCTTTCGGTTCGAAGCAGAATGTTCAACAGGGATTGTCTCAGAAATTAGAAAGAATGGGAATTAAACCATTGTCAGCCGCCGACAAAAAGGACAAAAAAGATGGTAAGCCTGGAGACAAATTATGGAAAATTATGGAGCGTATGACTGGTCCAGGTAGAGTTATTACACCTTCTAGTCCTACCCATCCTGATAGAAAATTATTGGCTGCGAAGTACAAGATTTTCTTGGAACAATGCAAGACTCAAAGAACCTACAGAGATATGGTAGACGAGGTGGAGAAGGAAAATTTGGCTGCAAAGTAACTAGAATTAGATGAATAAATTTCAGTTTATGCTCATTTAGGCGATCGGCAATACCTGACGCGGATCAAGTGTGCGTCGCTTAATCACTCCAATCTACGAATATCAGCCGTTTCAGCACGGCTGTGGCTTACATATAACCCTTGGTGCTTTTCATTTCGCAATCGTATTAGATAATATTGCATGGAATTTAGTTGCAAAATTGCAGCACAGCACGTGACTACAGCAAAGATGTGTCAATTCCTGCCCCATTAAATTTCGGCTCGTAGACCATTTGAGTAGCTAAAACTGGTCCGGAGTGTCCGTAAAACTCTCGCGTATATACCAGCCAACTCCGCTGCCGATAAAATCCCTTACCAGGCCAATTTCCACTGTTCCGAATTTGGTCACGTGCGTTGACAAACTGTGGATTATGCACTTAATAAAGGTTGCAACTGTGCCACAGCTTTAAGCAATAAAAATATTTTTCATACTTGACAGTGGATCACAGTTTGCATTTTAGCACTATTTAACCAAAGCATAATCCTTTAGAAGCATTTTTAATTGGCATCGACACACGGCAGGTCCCTAACTGTGACACTTTTACTTTTTTCACCAACGAAAAGTTTGTCGTTTTAGTCATCATTTGCCTCAGGATCATTTCCAATGCCCGAATCAGAAGTGCCCCACCTTCAGGCGTACGACTCCCGTCGTCTGCATCAATTTGAGGAGCAGACAGATATAATCAACCATGCCGACGTCAGGCACAATGTAGTAGTACCAGAATATGAAGAAAGAGAAGTCACAGTTATTGACTGGGGAAAACTGGTTTTCAACGATCCATTGGGAAGAATCAAACACTATTTGATCTCTCTTTTCCCTATTGCACAATGGATTTTGCATTATAATCCAAGATGGGCTTACAGTGACATAGTTGCCGGTGTAACTGTTGGAGTGGTGTTGGTTCCACAATCGATGTCATACGCTCAACTTGCCGGATTGGCACCTCAATACGGATTATATTCTTCTTTTGTTGGTGTTTTCATCTATTCTTTTTTCGCAACGTCGAAAGATGTTTCCATTGGTCCCGTGGCTGTGATGTCTTTACAAGTTGGTAAGGTTATTGCTCGTGTCCAAGATAAAGAAGGCGACAAGTATGCACCTGCTATCATTGCCACTTTCTTGTCGCTTATTTGTGGTGGAATCGCTGCTGGTATCGGTGTTTTAAGATTGGGTTTTATTTTGGAATTTATTTCCATTCCAGCTGTTATGGGATTCATGTCGGGTTCTGCTTTCAGTATCATTGTTGGCCAGGTGCCAGGATTAATGGGATTTAACAAGCTTGTCAACACCAGAGCTGCTTCCTACAAGGTGGTTATTGACACATTGAAAAACTTGAAACACACAAACAAAGATGCCGCGTTTGGATTGGTACCGTTGTTCTTGTTGTACTTGTGGAAATATCTCACGGAACTAGGCCAAAAAAGATACCCACGTTACAAAGCTTGGTTCTTCTATACCCAGCAATTGAGAAATGCCATCATCATTATTGTTGCAACTGCCATTTCTTGGGGTATTGTCCATCCTAAAAAGGTGGCCTATAACGGACCAGCTGATAAATTCAAACCTCCAATTTCCACCATTGGTACCGTCCCTTCAGGCTTGAGACATGTGGGTGTCATGACAGTCCCACACGGGATCGTATCTGCCATGGCGTCTGAGATTCCTGTTTCCACCATTATTTTATTATTGGAGCACATTGCCATCTCCAAATCTTTCGGAAGAATCAATGACTACAAGGTCATTCCCGACCAAGAATTGATCGCTATTGGTGTCAATAACTTGATCGGTACCTTTTTCAACGCCTACCCAGCCACCGGGTCGTTTTCCAGATCCGCTTTAAAAGCCAAGTGTGGTGTGAAAACTCCACTTGCTGGTATTTTCACTGGTGCCGTTGTCTTGTTGGCCCTTTACTGTTTGACCCTGGCTTTCTACTATATTCCCAAGGCCACATTATGTGCTGTGATTATCCATGCTGTGTCTGACTTGATTGCAAGTTACAAGGTCACCTGGAACTTCTGGACCATCAGTCCATTGGATGCTGGTATTTTCTTGGTTGCTGTGTTCATCACTGTATTCTCATCCATCGAGAACGGAGTCTACTTTGCCATTTGTGCTTCTGCTGCCGTGTTGCTTTTCCGTGTTGCTTTCCCCAATGGATACTTTTTGGGTAGAATTTTGGTCGGAGAAGTGGTCAATCCTCTCATCGAAGAAAGCGAAGACAAGGCTTTGAAGACAACCAAGGAACACTATGATAACAACGACTCTTCTGCTTCGTCCAACTCTTCAAACGACATTGAAATCCACCAAATCATCAGCACTCACTCCAACTACGACAGCACCAAGACAGACAAAAAGATACTAGCAAAGCCAGCCAACACCGCCGAGGCCATCAAAAACAGCAAAATCAAGTTCCACACAAGATGGGTCCCATTGAACAACAGAAATGTCAACGACAATTTGAATGTAAGACCACCACCTCCGGGAGTCATTGTTTTCAAGCCGGTAGAATCATTCACCTACCCCAATTCCTCCCGACAAGTGGACCGTATTTCCGATGAAGTCAAGAGATTAACCAGAAGAGGGATTCCATACGACAATGGTGGATGGGGTACAAGACCCTGGAACGATCCAGGTCCATTAAGATGGAGATTACCATTCTGGCAAGACAAATTTGGACTGAAGGAAGAAGACTATGTTGAAGACAAAAGGCCAATTTTGCGGATTATCCATTTGGATTTCTCCACCGTGGCCTCGATCGATGTCACTAGTATCCAAGCACTTGTGGATTTGCGTAAAGCAATGAATAAGTACGCCGACAGGGAAGTTGAGTTTCATTTTTCGGGCATTCTTTCGCCTTGGATTAGACGTGGATTGATCAATGCTGGGTTTGGAACCTATGGAAAGGATGGAATTGTAAGTGATACCACTTATGTGAACATTGCTGTCAATGGAGAAAGACCAGACGACTTGGAGCAGGCGCTTGACCAGTCTGATTATTACGCTGCTGTGGGTACGAATACTCCATTTTTCCACTTGGATATTCCTGATTATCGCTAGATGCTAGCGTTGTAAACTAGAGATTACGAAAAGTTAATAAATGTAACGAGAGAAAAAAAGGAAATGTAGCATTAATTAAGTGAGATCGCATAGCTGATTCGCATTTTGTTGCAACTTGCTTATATGCACCCCGAGTCAACACTTTGTGCGAAGGCCATTAAGTTACGCGTCGTGAGAATCATGAGTGGTGTTTTGACATCCCCTACCTTGACTCCTGAAAAGGGTAGTATATACCAGGAGAACATAAAGCAACCTACGAATCAAGAAAATAATCCTACAATCCAAGAACAGAATTCCAACAAAATTGAAGTCAGAATGACCACTCCCGAGTCTTCGGGACAGCTGCCCAGCGAAGCCAATAAGGCACTTTCGCGCGAGGAAAAGCAGAGAATGAAGGCAATTGAACAGGAAGAAGCAAGGATGAGAAAGCAGGAAGAAAAACGAATGAAAGAGCTTCAAAAAGAGCGAGAAAAGCTCGAGCGTGAGCAGAAAAAGGAAGAAGAACGTCGTAGAAAAGAACAGGAAAAGCTCGAACGCGAACAGAAGAAGGAGAGGGAAAAGCAGGAACGAGAAATGAAAAGAGAGCTAGAGCGCAAGGAAAAGGAAAAAAGAAAGGAAGAAGAGCGACTCGAACGAGAACAGAAGAAGGAGCAGGAAAAACGGAAACGCCAGTTGGAACGAGAAGAAAAAGAAAGGGACCGACAAGAGAAGAAAAGAAAGATTATGGAGGAGAAGGAACGCAAGGAAGAAGATAAGAAAAAGGCACAAGAAGATCGAAGTCAGATGAAGATTTCTAATTTTTTCCAAATTGGAGCCACTCCATCGAGCCAAATATCAGATACAGGTTCTGCAAAAGAAGCGTCCCTCTCTGTATACGATGAGATGTTTTTGCCGTTTTTCAAGAAGAACAATACAGTGCTTGCACCGAGCGGTCAGCTTGATCACGACTCTTTGACTGCGTCTAAAATGTATCTTGATTCAATCACAATTGGAACCGAAATCACGTTGGATAACTTATTCCCATCCAATAGCGCCGTCCAACTTGAAAAACCAAGAAAGCACACCCCTCCCATCGAGATCGTGAATGCACTCAACTCGTCAGAAGTGACAGAATCTCAAATATACTCCATGTTGAGCCACCTCTCACCCATCAAATACCTTCACTTCTACGAGAACGCCAAGCCGCCATATATAGGTACTTGGTGCTCAGAAGAGCATCAGAGCATTACCCTATCTGACCCATTGAGTACTGCCAATACCGGATTGGACTACGATTACGATTCAGATTTAGAGTGGAATGGAGAGGAGGAAGGAGAAGGAGAAGACATTGATAATGAGGATGACGAAGAAGAGGATGATGAAGAGATCGAGGAAGACGAAATGGAGGATTTCGTTGATTCTAACGACACTAAGAAGAAGAGAACAAAGTTCATGGGACCTTTAATAAGTATCAATAAGTGGAATGACGGAACAATTGATGCATTTCTGGACATGAGGTATCACAACTTGACAAAACATTTGCAGTTTCCCATTGATCCATTTAAAAATTACTGGGAAAAGGAAAGTGGTCCAAGAAAGACTCTAGAAGAGGTAAATCCACAGACTGTATCCCCAGTCGTAGGGGAAACGAAGGACTCCAAGCAGGTTAATACACTCACTCCACACAAGCCTGTTATCACCGACAAAGATACTGTTAAACAGCTTATTTCGTTCATTGAGCTGAACAGCGACTTCACCATTGGAACCCTAGTTGAACTTTGTCAAAAGCAGTTCAAATCATACACAAAGTCTATTATCAAGCACACGGTGCAACAGGTTGCATCTTATGACAAGAAAGCCGGGAAATGGACCATCAAGACCGAGATCAAGAACTCATAGCGTATATAGGTGCCATTTGAGTGATAGACCCAATACACCCACAGTAAACGCGGTCGATGAGACGTGATCCAAGCCAAGTTTAACAAGCTACTTTTGATCTATGAGCAACGATGTGTATTTCGAGTCTATTCATATGCAGCTGAACTACGAGGAATTTGAAACACAAGCACAAGAAAGAGAAAACATTTCAAAGATCCTGACCTCGCTTTCAAAGTTTCGAAAAATGTCCCCGAAATCAACTCGTTCTTTCAAAGTAAAAAGTGCACCTTTGACCAACAGAAAGGCACGAAATCGAATCAAGAGTATCAACGCACACGTGAGCGCACAGTATAAGGTTTCAAATGGACAGCAAAATGATGATATACTAGATTTTTTCTTGAAGCGAAAGCACAATATCAGCTCTATTCTTGAAGGAGTTGAAGATCTTGAGAACAGAAATATTGTTTCGAATGATACACCACAACCAAGCGATAATACTGGAAACTACAGCTCTCAATTATTTACCCAAGAAGAATGGTTTCAAATTCTCCGCCGCATCAAGCTTAGGTTTCCCAAACTCTCAGCTCGAACGAGAAAGAGCTTAAAGTATGTGACTACCAAGCTTGAGCATTTGAAAAATATCAATTCTGATGACGATCTGCCACAGCTCTGGACTCAGGCTGCTAGTTTGCCCGAGGAGGGATTGGTGAACGAAGACATGAAATGGCTCTACGAATTAGATGATGAGCAGATGGATATTGGGTCCAGTTTTTGCAATGTTGACGAGGATTCAGACCAAAAATTATTTGTCTTGACACTATCTCAGGCCATGGGAGAGCGTGAAAAAAGTGAACCTGATGTGGAGATAATCCTGGATTCTTCGCCCGAACCAACGCAACTTCTAAACGATGGGATTATTGAGGAAGAACACGAAGTAGACGAGGAAGAAGAAGACAATGAAAACGAAGAGAAATCAGAAAAACAACTCGCTTCGCTGCCAACTCAGATTCTGCTGGACGATACTCAAGAGCAATTAACTAACAGGGCTGAAATTTCGTCTTACGAGGCACTGAGCCTTTTTCCTAATACATTAGAAACGCAGAAACAACCAGTTAAGAGCACAATTCAGAAGCAAGCTTCTGTGGTAGTGCCAGACTACCCTAAAATTCTGAACGTCAAAGACGAAGAAATTATACTTTCTTCCTCGCCCACCCGAGACAATGAGATTTTCCAAACCCCACGAAAGTACTCGGTGGAGTCAGTTCGGTCCTCTCCATCACTGAGGTCAGGAAGATTAGGCCGTTTAATGGTATCTCCACTCAAATTGCTTCTGCCTGATCGACTAGATGCTTCGCAATCGGTATATTCCACAGCAAGAAGCAGCCCCACCAAACAGAAAAGAGTTCGAGGCAGAGAGGTGAACGAAAAGATTGTAAGGAAGAGATTCAAAACGTCTAGAGTAGAAGTTGCAGGCAACTTTCATCTCAAAGCTTCCGATGACTTGAAAATCGTGTCCACCGTGGACAAGGTCAACGGCTCGGAAGTGGAAGATTCCGAAGACGACGACCACAGCGTGAGTATTATAGAGATTACCCATGAGGTGAACGACGAAGAATTGAAAGCGGTAGACGAAGAAGTGACCGGAGAAGCAGAAGATGGCCCCTCTATCATACAGGTGCCATCTAGTCCCGGCAACGAAAATCTTCAAGAAGATCTTACCTCCATGCAAACATCGATAGCGTCAGTAACCCAAGAGGTTCCAAGCAACTATACAGCTACTCAGATGCGCCAAGCACTCAGACTGTTGGATTTTCCACCAGAACGAAGCAAAGAAGGCATGGCCCTGCTGCTCACCAGGGCAGCCAGTATTGCTGGAACAAGTGTACTGCTGCTCTTGACGCCCGATGCGCCCTACGAAGAAGTCAAGAACCAAATCTACAGTGCAATTTCGGAGCTGGTGAAAAAAGATCAACTTTGGCACGAAAGAGTCTTATCGTATGAGCCTATAGTTCTTGAAGAATTCAAGCAATGGCTCGGAGAACTCGATAAGGATTTGAAGTTTGACGTTACGTTTCTCCAGCAGTATTGTGACCATATGGGAATAACGACCACCATTGGAACCACCACTGGAACCACCGCTGGAACCAATACCACTACCACTGACTAGCACTTTGGCATTATATATTAACACTTATTAAACGTACTTTTTATGATCTGCGTCGATTCTGCTATCCAAAAACCTCAAGTTCAAATACGACACAAACCGTAGACTGAGGCCAGCATTGGCAATTAAGGTTCCAACTCCAAAAACAAGGTTGTTCAAAAAGTTTCCATACTGCTTATATATCAATACATTCAATGCCCACTTGGCATGTATTATAACTCCTATAAGCAATGCCAATGATATGAGGGTAATTCCGAACGCAAGCAATGCTCTTCTGTTTTCAAAGGTAACGTTTTGTTGTTTTTGTTGTTGTCTAGGTGGAGGAGCCATTTTCCAAAGTATGGATCTCACGTAGTAATCGCAACTTGAGCGCAGATTACGGGTGCATGGATGTCCGGCATAGCTTCTGTGTTCTGCCATTTGAGATTTGAGATTGGATTCCAGAAGCATTTCTCGTACGATAACAAAATGCATAAACTCGGCCACCACCCCAAACTCGTGGTCGAGCCCCATCATTGGGAAGGTGGTGTGCCTGTATTCTGTCCTTCTGAGAACGAGTTTGAAAACTTTTACAATTTCAACAAGGCCATTAACAAGTACGGAATGCAGTCTGGAATCGTCAAAGTTATTCCTCCTCGCAACTGGAAGAAGTCTGTGCAACGCTGCTATAACAACGAAACCCTAGACAACATCAAGATCAAAAATCCAATTGTTCAGCATATAAATGGGTCGAGTTCCGGCGTATATTCGCAGCAGAATATTGAAAAGTCAAGAACTTATAGTATCTACCAATGGAAAGAGCTCTCGGAAAAGTCCAATTACCAGCCACCTGCTCACCGGGGCAAAGAAAGGGAACATACCAAAAGCAGTGGACGCCAGAAAACCAGAAATGATGGAAAAAACCATCACCCCACCTCGGTGGTTCATATCAATACCGATGATTTCACGCCAGAGAGATGTACAGAGTTGGAAAAGGCATACTGGAAATCACTCACGTACGCCGAACCTATGTATGGCGCCGATGTTCTGGGGTCTTTATTCAGCAAAAAAGTCAAGTCATGGAACGTTGCGTCGTTGCCCAATGTTTTGGACCTAATGGAAACCAAGCTCCCCGGAGTCAACGATGCTTACTTGTACGCTGGTCTTTGGAAGGCTACTTTTGCATGGCACTTGGAAGACCAGGACTTGTATTCAATCAACTACATCCACTTTGGTGCCCCCAAACAGTGGTACTCCATACCTCAGGAAGATGCTGGCCGATTCCATGATCTTATGAAGGACACCTTCAGCGAGGAGTACAGAAATTGCAGTGAGTTTTTGAGGCATAAAACCTTTTTGGTTTCGCCTCAATTTCTCGAGAAAAACAACATTCAATGCAATAGAATAGTGCACAATCAAGGCGAGTTCATGATCACCTATCCTTATGGATACCATGCCGGTTTCAACTATGGCTACAATCTTGCTGAGTCTGTCAATTTCGCTCTCGACGACTGGTTCCCCATAGGCAAAGTCACCAAGAAATGTGAATGCATTTCTGATTCCGTTGGTATTAATGTTGAAGAATTGCTCTGTAAATTCAAAGGTGTTCCTTACAAGTACAAGCTGCCTGAAATCGAAGAGAATGAGTCTCTGGAGACCGAGGAACCAGAAGAGAAGACCAACGTACCTTCTCGAAAGCGTTCTAGAGTGAAGACATCCAAATTTGATGCAAGATTTGAATGTGCAATATGTCCTATACAAATACCTGATCAGTTCAAGGTGTCGCTCTTTTCTCTACTTGAGGTTGAGTCTCCGAAATCAAAGAGAAACCTTCATGTCCACAAGCTTTGCGCCCAAATGTTCCCAGACCAATTGACCATCAAGGAAGATACCGTACATGGACTTGAGAATATCTCCAACGCCCAAAGATCACTCAATTGTTCATTCTGTGCCCGCAAGTACGGTGCCTGTTTTCAGTGCGAGCATCCCAAATGTTTCAGACTGTTCCATGGCTGCTGTGGAGTCTTCGGTGGAGTCAACTATGCTTCTCCTATAGGGCAGAAAACCGGGGATAAAACTCTCTGCCATTTACATCGACCCAAGGAGTCCGATGTGAAAGATAAGGCAGATGTCCCTAGAGGAGCAGTAGTACAGTTCAGGCTCAAGAAAGACCCAAAGAAAATAGTTAGCGGTTACGTTTCTGCCAATTCCGTCAACGAAGAGTCCATGGATATCATTCCTTTATTTGGAGACGATGCTGCGTTCGAAGTGTTCTATACTGATGTTCTTAGCGGCTGGATCAATATGGGGTTGACCGACACTATTCTTCGTTCTCGTAACGTTCCTTCGACCAAACCAACGAGGAAAAAGCCAAAGATTGAAGACCAAGTGCTAGATGATAACCAAGTTACGGGACTCGAGAATGAAAATCTCACGCTTATGACTTATGAAAACTATTTTACCGAGGTGGGAGTATTTCCTACAATCAGAACCAACTACCACCAGGTGGAGTTTTGGTACCATCTTCCTGACGAATCATCTCGAGAAGTAGCAAGGTACTCGAATAACCACAAATCTCGTATACCCAACGATGAACGGTACCTCAGGTCTCAGAAGAGGCAGAGCCGACAGAAACGAAGCAGCGAATCACCTTCAAATTCTGGCAGAGAAAAATTGTTGAAGCATTCAGAGTATATGCCTCTGGTTGCATGGGGGCCTGTGATGATGCCAATGGCGGGTCCAATGGCAGGAAGGAGTCCTATGGTTATTGCTCAAGCAAATACCTCTCATCACAGAGAACCACTTCATCCAGTATCTATGAGGGCAGAAGTTCATCACTGAAGAGAATATCGATTTGTGCTTGCAGTAAGCGTCCTGTATTCTAGCTACTCAATTTACGACAACTTATGGATATTTTTACTTTCGTACTTATTTCTGATCTTCTCATTCTCAAATTCAGTTCAGTCTTAATTCTCATTGATTTCAATCAATTCTCAGTTCGCATTTTCATTATTCTCTCAAAGCATGGCTGAGAATTATGGTCAAACGAAAGCATGAGCAAGTCCAGGAGGAGGATACGGACTACTCGTCCGAGTGTGAAACCATAAATGAAACTTTCAGTGACGAGGATCATCACATCACACCAAAAAAAGTAGTAAAAAATGAAGACTGGATTCAGAAATATGCTCCAGTGGTTTCCCAAGATATTTGTATACATCCCCGAAAGCTCAAAGAGGTAAGCGACATTCTAAGCCAGATGTTGTTCCATCAATCTGAGTACAAACTTTTGATTTTATCGGGACCTGCTGGCAGTTCCAAATCAACTACGGTCAAGATTCTAGCAAAGGAATTGTTGTCCAACGCGGCTACTGGCGGAGGACTCGACACATATACTGAAACCGGAGTCGACCAGCTCAATCTCAGACCGCCCGAAAGCTGGATAGAGTATCTTGACGAAGCGGGAGATATGGCGCAGTCTTGTCGGTTTCTGGAGTTTCTTGAAGATGCACGATATAGAACTGGAGATAACAAATGTGTGGTTGTTGTTGAAGAGCTACCAAATGTGTTTCACAAGGGCACTCTTGAGAACTTCAGAAGGGCAATTTTGGAGTGGATATACTCAGATTCTTCAGCAAACCTTCCACCATTGGTGCTTTGCATAAGTGAAGTGGAAACCTTGGGCTCACAAGATCGAGATTACTTTAGTCTCGACAACAACTTGACTGTTGAGACGTTGCTTGGGAAGGAAATTGTCAATGCCAAGGACAGGGTCAAGCGCATAAAATTTCAACCCATTAGCTCGCACCTACTTGAAGAAATCACTTAGCAAAATCGTGGCCACGGAAAGTGCTTTATTCAACAAAATTGGCTCATCTGACCTCAAGCAGTTCATGGACCAAATATTAGAGTGTGGTGATATCAGGTCGGCCACAGCCAACTTGCAGTTTTGGTCAAGCTTGTGCCTCAAACAAGTACAAGAAAACTACAACTATTTACGAGAAAACCAGCTAGGTTTGTTCCACGCATTGGGAAAGATCATCTTTTCCAGTAGCAAATACAAAGAGCTCGAGGCGGAGGAACTGGATTTCAATTCGGTAGAACTGGTTCTCTCATCATATGGCAATACCAGCCTACTACTACTTGCATTACTCGAAAACTATCATGTTGTGAATGGACTGAACTACTCTATCAACTCAGCATCACTGATTACGAACGCTTTAAGTGAAAGCGATTGCATGCCCATATTTGAAGGAAAAGAGTATGGCATTCGCAACACTCGAAATGAGTTGAGGAAAGTCCAGAGTCAGCGAACGTCAAGTAGAGCTCTCAGTCTCCAATTTCCTCGGCAGTATAAGATGACAAGAGCTTATAACCGAGTGTTCAAGGAGGTACAAGAATATCGTGAAGTTGTGTGCCACATGAAAACGTCGTTTCTGGACTTGAATATGATCGATGGATACTTTGTGCCCCGAATATATAATTCTTTTCGTTACAAACTCAAAAACGAAAGGCGGCCCTTGGAGTATAATCGTCTTGGGGGCAAGTTTAAAGAGGTTTATTCTGATACTACGGCATTAGTGGATGATATTGAGTATAGCGAAACGATAAAAGATCAATTTCGAAAAGATATTGAAGATCGTTCCGGCAACAAGGACTCAGAATCTGATATGAGCGACCCAATTAGTGAGTCTGACCAGTCGGACGACTTTCTGTCAGACTCTGATCTCGATGGACTTATTTCACAAGGTGTGGTGTAGCTACCTCACAATTCACAAGGCGTAGTATAACTACATATTCACACTATTCAAGGTTTAGTATATACCTTTTATATTCACTCTATCACCCAACTCATTAATATCATCAGGCTGCGGTAGCAGAAGCAAAGAAATTGGGGTCCTCTTCGATAGACTCCTTTATGATATCCAACCCACCCTGGAACTCTCCATTAACATACAATTGGGGGAATGTTGGCCAATCAGAAAACGTCTTCAAGCCCTGTCTCACAGTATCATCCTTCAAGATATCAAAGAATCCAAATTTAACTTGATGTTCTCTCAATATGGCAACTAGCTGTCTGGAAAAGCCACACTGAGGAGCCGATGGTGAGCCTTTCATGAACAACATTACGGGCGCAGCAGACGTCAATTTTTTCAATCTTTCGTTGAGTGCCTCTGGTGATTCCTCAGTCTCTACTGAAGGCTTTTCAGATGTCTCGGGTGCCGGAGTTACAGTCTTTCCTGACAGCTGATTCAATGCAGCAATAAATTCCTTGGGATCTGCTCCGGAAAGCTCCTTGATTATGGTAGAGTTCTTGATGAGAATGAAGTAGGGAACCGCAGAAACCTCAAAAAGCTCGCTGATCTCGGCGTGGTCGTCGGCATTAATCGAAATGAATAAAACTGATGGATTTTCTTTAGCCAAAGTCTTAAATACCGAGTTCATAGTTTGACATGGTTGGGCCCATGGTGTGTGGAAATAGAGCGCAATGAGCTTATCGGGGTCCGACCGCGTCAAGTCCGTAAACTGGGCCTCGGAGGTGATTTCCACAACTGACATGGTAGATGAGCACAATCCATCATGCTGACACACAAGTGATGGCAGGTCACGTGATAACTTGGTGGTTCTGTGGTGTAGCGGGTGTGTGTTGTATGGCTGGAGGTGAGCGAATCTGGGACTTGTCGGGCATGTGGCCGGAGATTCGATAAATCCGATGAAACGAACGGCGGAACGAACGGCAAAACAAATGGCGACGAACAGCGAAATGAACGACTATATATCGAATGTTTGTGTTCAAACTCAAAAAGTAAAAGTCATTCTTCTCTCCATCGGCTATCCTCCGCTATTGCCGAGCTCGCAACGACGCATATTCCTCGCATCGGTTAACTAAATCCGTTAAACAATAGCCCGAGTTAGAGCGTGCGTCTCAATTTAGATAAAGACGAGTGTCACGTGACATGAAACAAGGTTTCGGTACGAATGGTACTAACCTGCATTACCAGGTCAAACTTCGGGTTGAACTTTGTTAAGCTTCTTTAAACTTTTCGAACCGGCTAGATCATGTTTCCTTTTCTTCCTCCTTTTACCGCCATTATATCAGGAATAACTTATGCCCGAGCTGTATGCAGCCTAACGCTTTAATTGGTCCGTAAGCAATAATAGCCGCGGAGGTGAAAAAGCCTGGCTCATTTCAGATATTACTGGTCACCAATGTCGCTGACATAGTTCTAGTATGCAACTCTCTACTACTATCCCAATTATATTTCTTTATGGACTCACAAAACTAAAAAGAATTTCAGTGCCTTAGCCTACCCCACAAACCGGAGATGCTCCCCGAATCTTAACTAACCGACAATGGACCTGCAGACAAGCACAAGGTACCCCAGACAATAAGTCTTGATCCGCCGGCAAGAAAAAGGCCTCGGAACACATACTAGCTAGAAACCTCTTAATAAAACATTGTAGCTTATTTCCGCGTAGTATCACTTTAATTGCTTGTAGGGGCGTCCCCATTCAGCATGACCCTCGCGTCGTGCATACAGGCGTGCCCCGAACCGGCAGCCCACCGCCCCCACTTCCCCCAGATTTCGCAATTTTGTGCATTGGTGTGCCTGACCCATTTGTTGGAGCGAACAACCAACAAAAGGTTTGTGACCAAATATTATTTTGACCACTTTCCTTGTTTCGATCATTCGATATTCTATCCACCTGTTCTTGTGTCCACAGTACATTATTGATCGGTTGAGACCCACCATCTTATCTTTTTTGTACTGTTTTGCTGATAAACTCGAATTTGTCACTCACCAAAATTTGTGGGTGAAATCTCGAAAACTATTTAAACCCGTGTCTGTTCGGTGATTTTGTCGGATTTGAAACGTACCTGTTTGGTTGTGCTGGAACGCTAGAACATCGTCGAGGTATCTTATCACAATTATACAAACTTGACTTCAAACTCCGAATTCCCATGCTTCAAGTGCTGCCTACAAAAATGGAATTTTCTTCGGAAATGAATATGGGTCAAGACAACTCGTCGGTTTCTGCCGGAACAGGATCCACGAAAAAGAAAAATATACCGGTGGAACTCACCGCTTATGGTACTACTCCATCTGGTAAACCTCGGCTTTTTGTGTGTCAAACATGTACCAGAGCTTTTGCCCGACTCGAGCATTTGCGCCGCCATGAACGGTCACATACTAAGGAAAAACCCTTTAGCTGTGGTGTTTGCCAACGGAAATTTTCAAGACGAGATTTGCTTCTTCGTCATGCTCAGAAATTGCACGCGGGCTGCGCCGATGCCATCACACGGCTTCGGCGAAAGTCTATCAAGAGAAACAGCTCCATCAACGATTTGGATGAATATGAATACGAAGACGAAGACGAAGATGATATAATGGACCTGGAAGCGTCCGGTTCTCCAGCGGTGAAAGACTCGAAACTGCAAGCCGAACATTCCATACAAACACCTTATGACCCCGTTCAATTCAACCTCAACCTTTTCAGTCAGCAGAAACAGCAAAATAAGCCCACTCCTCCTCGCCATGGTTCTGTGTCCTCGAAGGAACCAGGCTCACTACAAAGACAAGTTTTCGACAGAAAGAGACCCAACAGGCTTCGTGGTGCTTCGTTTTCTGCTCAATCTGGTGCAAACTATGCTCTGGGTTTGCCACAGTTCAGTGAAAGCTACCCTGAAGCTGATAGTGTGGAGTTTTCAACCCCTCAAATTCTCGCAACGACAACATCTGACGAGAGCTATTGGTTCAATAATCTCTCCACAATTCCAGGTCTTAGTGAACACGCCTCATCCAACCGCGCAGTCCAAATGGCAAGAGCAAATCTGGACCAACGTGATATACGCCATGGTTCGACTATGTCCCTTGACTCCAATAGTGATTTTGGAATGTCTCATCATGGCTCTGTGTCTCAACATCCTCCTAATCCCCACCACAGATCTGACAGTATGGCCAGCTCCTCCTCATTTAATACGTTTGACTCCGTCAACTTGCAGTATATGATGCCCAATGCTACATTTTCTGCAAATGAAATTACTCCCGCGACTACAAACAGTACTTCCATTGCAAACAATCCTAACCTTTCAACTGAGGATTATGGTTACGCATTCTACGATGTTCCTGAAACAGTCATTGCAAAGAGTGAGTCCAAGCCAGCACATTCCTTGAGTCCTATAGAGCAGGAAATGGACGACGACCAATCAAGTAATCATACCATGCAGAAAGAAGGAAACCCTTCCAACAACAACAACATGGATGTTAATTTTCTTAATGATTTTGGCGAATTGACCCATGATTTTGATGTAAATACTCGGTTCATGCCAGGGGGATACTCCTTCTACGATGACAATCCTTCCGTTTCGTCTTCTGGAATGGAGACCAATTCCCCTCAAGTTGTATCTCCTCCCCCTACCAACGGCAGATATCAAACATCTACCAATTCCCACTTAGCACAGGAAACCACCTCCGGACAAGATGGACTTTCTCCCAACAGACTTTTCAAACCTAACTCCTTTGCGGCCAATAATTACAACAAGAACAAGCTTTTCACCAGCAACATACGGTATATGATCAGCAAAGCTTTGAGCAAATATCCTATTAGCGGAGTTATGACACCAACAATTCCTTCTAATGAAAAGTTGGAATTCTATTTGAACAATTTCGAAAGGACTTTTCTTTATCATTACCCATTTATTCACTCGTCAAAGTTGAATGAGTACGAGATAATGAGTATGACCGCTAATGAGGACCCTTCGAGTGAAAGTGCTCGAGTTTGCTTGCCTTTACTCGTTGCTACCATGGGTGCATTGTTGACCAATAACAAGAATGACTCTGAGCATTTATACGAAGCTTCAAGGCGAACTATTCATATTTATCTCGAGAGCAGAAAATCTACTCCTTCCAACGGAAGTCCAAACGGGGCGAAGCAGCCACTGTCCTCTAATCCACTCTGGTTGATTCAATCCTTGACTTTGTCAGTGATATACGGTTTGTTTTCTGACAATGAGAATAACGTCTACATTGTTATCAGACAATTAAATGCTTTGAACTCATTAGTCAAGTCGTCCATCAAGACCAACAGAACCATTTTGTTCTCTATTCATGGAGAGGATGAGGAAATTTACAACAAGACAAATGAGCTGTTCTCGAATGAGTTTTTGCAGAATGACTTGTTTTCCAACAGTTCCATGACAGTCAATGACCAGGTCAAATTCAAAAACAATATCATAGTGCAGTCGCAAAACAGAATTGTGTTCATGATTTACAGACTTACGAATTTCCTTTTGATGATGTATAACGTTCCTTTAACGTTGAGCGTTAACGACTTGGGTTCATTGGAGGCACCAGATGTCAATGATGAGTTTCTTTGGAACTTCAAAACCTGTCTGGATTATCGTGCTTACTGTAAAGAACATCTTCCCAATGTTAGTTTGGATGATATGCTTAATAAGCTGAACACTAGCAAAGTGCCATTCAAAGACCTTGTCTATCAATTCACGTCAGGCAACTTCAATGGACAGGATTATGGGGAACTATTATCTCAAAGAAGCAGATTCGAATTTATAAGTCTCCTTCATGGAATCTTTGAGCTCAAACAGTACGACGAACTGAATAGCATCAATGTTCCACAGATCTTGGACTACTTAAGTCCGTTCATTGGCCAATCCAAGGAATATGATGACGGCATGAACAAGGTACAATCTGCTCTCGAGCAGTTTGATTATGCCCTTCTTGCATATTTTGTTAAGTTCACCACACTGATCGACATCAAGTCCTTGAAGGAGCAAAGTTGGATCCGCAATGTCGAAAAACTCACGAACAATTATTTGCAGTGTTTGGGAAATGCAGAGAAATTGGAAGACGACAACTTTTTGCAAGTTGTGGATTGCTGTTTGCTTATCATACGGTACATTTTGTTCTCGACTCCCGAAATGAGCACAGGAGCCAATTTTCAAGCTTTGTCATTAATGGATAATGCAGAAGTCAGCTTTGGTCTGCAAATTCTTGATGATTTTGGTGAAATTGATTCTTCGAGAAGTTGCATTCATTCTCAGGTTTTGTTTCATGCATTTGCCGTGTTGTCTATATTTTCCATCATTTTGACGAAGCGCATGAACAACAACTACAGTACTGAGACAAACAAAGCCTGGTTGAAAAGGTTTGGAATAGCCCTGAACATGATGAGAAGGATTGAAACGTTTTTGAAGATGAAGTATCAGAGTATGAAGAAGGAGAATGAGATTTCAAGTTTGATGCTTTACTCCAACGGAAGTCCTCGAACAATTGCAATTGAAAACGAACTTGCAATGCATGGAGTCGGAGACCATCATGCTATTGCTTTTGGCATGGATAAAACATTGTACATTTTGAAGATTGGAGAGTTAATTTTGGGGTATTTGCATGATGCCAAGATCAAGGTTAGTATCTTTAAAAAGTTGAGCGGGAATTTGTCACAGATCAGAAAGTTCCTCATCGACAACGAATCACGGATCCCTACACACTAGTTATTTATTATTGGAAGTGTTCTTATATAAACGAAATTGTAATTAGTATTTTAAATTTCGCACTGTGGAGAAGAAGCGAAACATGTCTGAACGAAAATTAGCCAAGAAGCCACAAGCTGATATAAAGCAGTCCCAAAACGCTCCAGTGGCGCCAGCAGCACCAGCAGAGGATGATGAGTTTGCGAGAAACCTCACATTTCTAGTTTTGAGTTTCATTTTGCTTGTACTGATTTTGCTAATGTACGCTTGGATTATGCGACAATGGCTCTTGAATCCACAGATGTCTAATGAAAGGATATTGTCCTACTTGGCTGGATTGGTAGTGATCTCCATAGTGTTGGCATCGGGATTGATCAGGTTGTTCAGGTATTTGATTCCCGACAAGCCAACTACTGTCAAAAAGTATATATGATGAAAAAATATGAAAACTCTTATTTACATAATACTAATAAACTAAACCGCCGAATCACGACTGATCGCTTAGCGGACTAAACGCTTGGACATCACGGTACCATAAATGGCCAAAGACGCAATGGACAAAATGTTGAGCAAAGATGAGATACCATGGTACATACCAAACGTCTTGTTCAACTCTGTGTACTTGTCACTAGGTTTGACTTCTCCTCCCTCAATGGTTTCGTGGAGCTTGTTGGCCACCAACTTGTCTCTTTGTTCCTTGATATTACGACAAATAGGCAACAAGACAAGGTAGTTCAACGCACCAGCAATACCGGAAACGGCCAAGACTCCGGTCAGAAATGGACACAATCTGAAAGGCGAGGTGAGTCCCAACACTAGAGGCACCACTGCTTGGCCTATAAAGTATGTGGGAAAGACTTTATTCTGAAGATTTCCAAATTCTTGACGAGGCAAGTGCTTAAAAGCAAGTGGAGATACCACAAAACTGTGGAATACTGAGCCTCCGAGGGCAATTGAGTAAAGAAATAAATGGTAAGGAGCACCAGTGTTCAATCCAAGAGTAGCAATCATTTTCAATAAGGTAATTGGTTGCACCGAAAAATGGAGAGATACTTGCGCCTGAAATTCCTGTACCTAAATGGTTCCAATCATGTCAAATACAGTCTTCAAGCTTTTTTGCTTTATGACGGCATTGTAGTCAAGAACTCCTTCCCCGATATTTTTGGTGCTGTTGCTAAGCCAGCTGATATCACTTTGGAGCCCCAAACTCATCTTGGTGGGGTTTTCAACATGGGCTTTTTTCACCATTGATGTCTGCTCGTATTTAATGGCTGCAACTTCAGCTTGATCCACAATTTCTGACGAGATACCGCACATAGCAGCGACGTTCATTCCAAAGGAGCCTGGGGCCGTGCCGTCCTCCAATTTGTAGAGAAATGTGATGTTTCGTGAATTTTGGTCAATGACAATTGCCATTCTCAACGGCCGAATCTGAGGATGGCCCTCAAAGGACAACACGAGCGACCCATAATGTGTTGCAAAAAAACCTAAAGGCTGCACATGGGTCGCAAGATGGTGCAACACGGCTTCAGCAATGGCGAACCCATCACTTGACGAGCCTCCGCGTCCAAGTTCATCCAAGATAACCAAAGATTTTGCAGTAGCATTCGCTAGAATCTTTTTCGTTTCCGACAACTCCACAAAGAATGTCGATTTTCCTTGGAGAATATTGTCATTGGCACCGAGTCGGGTCATAATCTTGTCCACGGGGGTAAGTCTTGCGTGCGAAGCAGGTACAAAACACCCTATTTGACTCATTACAACCGCCATTGCTGTTGTTCTCATTAAGGTGGATTTTCCTGCTGCATTGGCACCCGTGAGCAAACCAAAGTGTGCCTCGTCACCTCCAAGACTAACATCGTTGGGTATGAACTCACCTGAAGTAACAAAACATGGGTTACGAAGATCTTTAAAGTCGATTAACCCGGTATCTGCCTCGACAAATTGAGGGCGACAAGAAGGTTGTCCCAAGGTCTCGGATGTCTTCGTGAGAGCTATAATACAATCAATGTTGGCAAGAACGTGAATGGTGGATTTCCATACTTTATAATGCTTGCAGAATCTTTCATACATGCGAAACCGTAAGGTTTCACATACCATCTTGTGAGTTTCACGTTGTTCCATCAACTCTCTAGCCAATTTTTTCACTTCTGGTGACCAAAATCGTTTAACCTTGGAGGTAGACCCCATTTGGTGCCAATCTGAAGGAATATTCTTTACCTTGTTGGGTACCTCGATCAAATATATCTCTTTTCCAGAATCTTTATAACAAATTTCATTCGATCGATACTCTTTTTTATATTTCCTCAAGTGCTCATTCAAGATATCTTCAAGTTTCTTCATACGGTCGCTCGAAGCATCAAACGATTCATCCACTCCTGTCGCTGGAACAACAACATCGTTCAATGCTTCTGACCTGTCAAAGGCATCTTCCCATTCATTGACGCAAGATTTTAATTCGGTGGGGAACCCTTGAAGATACTTGTAAAGGGACCCACAACTTTCTTTCACAAAATCTTTGAGGTTCTGCAATGTACCACAAACTTTCTCGAAACCTTCAATGAGTTTTAAAAAGTCTTTGAATTTGATGTTCTTGGAGTGAGTCCTGGCAATCAACCTTTCAAGGTCCGGAAGTCCCAGCAAACTCTTCTCCAAAATATCTTTGATCTCCGCTCCTTCTCCCATCAAGTATTCAACTGAGTCTAGTCTGTCGTTGATATCGGAACTGACCATGAGCGGATTCAAAACCCAGTTTTTTAGCATTCTTTTACCAAATGGCGACTGGGCTCGATTCAAAAGTTTAAAGAGAGTTCCCTTGTCGCTTCCATCAAAGGAATTCGTGAGTATCTCCAAGTTGTTCAAGGTTATACCATCTAGAATCATGTTTTTTGCCAGACGAGTCGTGATTTGATATTCACGAATATTACCCATTGTCATGATATTGTGGTCCAATTTTAAGAACTTGAGGTAAGATAAGAGTCCTCCAAATGCACTGAAAGCGTATTGGTTTTTATCCTTGAAAGCTATGAGTGCATCTGGATAGTTTGAGAAATCATCGAGGTCAGTGGCATCATAATATTTGCTCGATACCAACTTTTCAAGGGTGGTATCATAATCCCAAAATTCAGTATTAGGATTAAGAGTATTCCAGATCTGATTGGAGGGCTGAGCAGTATACTTGAGAATCTTGGTAGCGGTGCTACTAAGATTATGCTTCTCGCAGATTACCTCTTTTGGTCTGACGTGGGTCACAAGTGTTTCGAGCTTGGTGCATTCATTGTCGTCTTCAAATTGATAAAAGTTGAGTTCCGAGGTTGCGGTATCGACAAATACAACACCAAACCAGTTGTCGAACTGCTTTATGCTCAAGCAGTAGGTAGACATGTCGTCGCTTAACATGTTCAAATCTGTCAATGTACCACCGGTAAGTACTCCAGTAAGTTCTCTTTTGATGATTTTTTCTTCCTTTGTCCCACCTCCTCTCATTTCCTTGGCCAATAATGACTCCTTTTGGTCCACTTTGGCTACTTTATAACCATGACTAATGAACTCTTTGGCCCAATATTCGAAGGACATTTCTGGAATACCTGCCAATTTCATATTTGCCCTTCCACCACCGGCGATCTTGAGGTCAAATTCGCTGTTGGCAATTGTGGCATCATTTTCGTACAATTCATAAAACTTTCCCTTCTTGAAGAATACTACAGTGTCCCACATCACCCCTTTGATCTCCCAGTATTGCTTTTCAAAAGCAGTAAATTTAGACCATGCAGATTGCGGGATATATAATGTTCTCGGATCGTAGTTTGGGTCATCCATGGTTCGTTTCTCGGCGTCTCTAACGTTCACGAGCCATTGGTACCGTTCCTCGTTCTCTTTGGCAAAGTTTTTTGGGGGAGATTTGGCAGCTTTGGTAACTAATTTCGTGGCCACCTGCTTGGGCTGGGCTGAATATGACGAGCCAGCTTTGAATTTTTCGCCAAGAACGTTCGTAGTTTCTGTGGTAGAGACCGGTGAAGGTGAGTTTTTGGGAGAAGATTTCCGTGGCTTTTTCCTTGGCTTGACCACCTCCTCTTCAGCATCCAGTATTTCTATGTCTTCAGCTTCTTCCGCACTTGGTTCAGCTTCGTCGTCAATAAAATCACTCATATCGTCGTCGTCGTCACTCAAGTCCTCAGCCTTGAATTCGTCTTCGTCGTCGTCGCTGTCATCTATTCTTCTCGTTTTCTTGCGTTTCACCGTCACGTCTTCGTCGTCGGATTCGGCATAACTGGTGCTTTTTCTCGCACGTCCGCGCTTGGATAGTGGACTGGAACCCTCCTGTGGGCGTTTAGGCTCGTCAATGGGCTGAACAGACGGCTGGGTGGGAATTGGTGACGATTGCGGAGGAAGCAGTTTCGATGAAAAATTGGCATCACATTCCAGCGTGAGAGGCGTCTCGTGGCTCGGAAGTTCAATGCTGATATCTGCGTCGTTTTCTTTGTCGCTATCATGGTAGACTACTTTTTTTGATTCTTTAACTTCGTCTTTTATGATGGGATAGGTCTGCTTAGACAGCAATGGCGAAGATTGGGGTTTTTCTGGTTTAAAAAAAGACATCAACGACAGCTGCCTCATCTTGGAGGAGCTGGATTTGGTCTCTACTGCCTTTTGTTTTGGAGTAGATGGCATCTAAATGGCAGCGAGGAAGTTGAAGATAAAGACTCCGCGGCGCGGTTAAAAATCGTGAGATTTCGCGTCGCGTTGTTGTGCTGCAACTGCAGAGAGGAAGAGAGGAAGAGAAGTAGAAAATAGATTGAAAAGGTCAATTAGTCAATTGGTTAATTATTCAACTTTTTAAGTAGTAGATTAGTCAATGCGGTCAATGCGGTCAAGCAAATCAGAGCTATGAATTGAATTGAGCCTATTAGCAAATTGTGTATATATTTCTCCTGGGCTAGTCGCGCTTCTGTGTTTCGCAGCCATTTTTCACTGATAGACTATGAGATTGAATCCTCATATAATCGTGGTAGCAGGGCAATTGTTGCTTACGATCTCCCTTAAGTCACATGGAAGACTAACCATGTTGAATATAGTCCACGAAACATACAACACTTTTATCACAAAACCACCTCTTAAACTTGGTGCCAAGGAGAAGCTGTGTCTAGATAACGTACTGGTCAACTATGTTCTCAAGCTGGCCAATTACTCCCAAGTTGAACATGCTGCTTCCGAGTGCCGTATCAACATGAGTCTGCGTTTCCGAGCGGTAATTCTGCCCACTTTCAATATTCATGATGTCGTCCACAGACACCAAGATCCAGTCGATGCCGAGTTATCCAGCATTATTCTTCAGCGTTCGGCAGAAAAAGGAGTAATACTTGATCCCCAATTCGACGACTTGGATTATGGGTACGAGTGCGCCATAGGGTACCAGGATATTGCACAAGTGATTCTCGTTGAAAATGTGATTCACGCAGACATTCAAACGGTTGTCGAAATTCCTCCGCAATGTATGTTTGGCAACGAGGAGAACCAAATCTTCATTGACAAAAAACTTGTTGACATTCCTTTGAATGGAACATTTTCTTGCAGACATGGAAGATCACCAACATGCAAACGAAATATCGCTGAATCCAGCAGTCCTCGTTACCGGCTCATCGAGCATTGAAATAACGAGGTTTATCGACTGGTTTGCTCATCTTCTTTCTTTATAAAATGCTTGACAACATCTATAGCCGCAAGCGAGTCTTCTCCACTATCATGCTCACCAGTTTGGATCACGCGACCAAGATATTCAAACGCAAGCTGCTTCAACGAGTACCTAAACTTCGGTGTGGCCTTATGTTTCGGATACAAGATTGCAGTATCAATCACTCGCTTGTGCAATATCCTCATGGCATTCAAGTCGTTCTCGAGACCATGGCCTATGAGTATGGTCCTATGGTCCATGACTTGGCCTAGCTTGGATATACCCTCCCAAAAGCTATCTGCGTCATCTTTGATACTTGCTACACCTGAAAACTTGGTATTCAAGTCCACAACTTCCCCAATTGGTTTCACAAGTATGTCAATAACTTCCTTGCCTGAAAAAAAGTCAATTGCTGTAACTCGTAAGAGTTCGAATCCCTGGGTGGTGAAACCCATCTCACAGTCGATACCAATGGCTTTGTATGCTTTGTCGTTGAAGGGAAAGAGATCTTCGGTAGACTTGAATGGAAGGAAAAAGTGCATCTCGCCTGGATTAGACCAGCTGAAAACGTGGTGGTCTGCGCTGGTACAAGGGTCAGTTTCAGGCGTCACTTCAGCACAGCAGCAAGTGTAGATCCGGGTATTCTTGTCCTTCTTGGCTATCTTTCCTGGATGATAGAAACATCGTTTTGATTCGAGTTGATCTTCCAATTTGAATTCCGTCGAACACCGTCGACATATGCGATTATTACTAGGAATAATGGGTTTGGGCGCCAGAGTAATATACCCGAATTTGCTTAGAGTTTCCTGTGGTACTATGCGCTGCTCAAGAGCTTCCAAGAAATCGCTATCTGTCCATTCTTTGGTCCTGCGTTTGAATTTTTCGGGGTGTTCCAACTCATATGCTTTCTTCTTAACCAATTGGACATATGTGGCCGTGGTGGCGTTTTGCGCCACTTTGTATTCGATTTCGGTGGCTCTTAATATCGGCGTAGGCTCGTTGGGGTCAATTTTCGCTATGATTTTAGACATCACCTTGATATAGTGCTTGCGAGCAGAAAGCTGAGCCGGCGCCGGAACAACTTCTTTTGGTAAAATATAGGCTGGATCATGTTCAGAACTCTTTTCTTTCTTCACAATTCCATCTAAAGGCCTGGTATCGTCGGTTAAATGGGCTGTTTTGGGTAAATCCGATTGGACAGCTTCGGGTTCGATTCTGCTAGTTTGACGTCTTTTAGCTTTGGGTTCGTATTGGTTGGCTATATGACCAAATATGCAGTTCACCACTTCACATGTACCATTGCGTCTTTCCTCAGGACATTTGATTCTTTTAAAGTACCCATTGGGTACCTGGTACATCAGGTAGTTGACTGTTAGCTACATGCAGTAAAAGACAACCTGTTCTTCTATGCAGTATTAATACGGTATTCTTCTATATGCAATACAATTCACTTTTTTCTACTTGCAGCATAAATTTTCCACTTAAAGACCAAAAAGCAGCGAAAAAAAAGCATGTAGTAAGCTCTCCGAACCTACCAGGATACTCAATAATCTAACTAAAGTTCAATTGAGCCTGTAAATTAAATTATTACCTCATCTGCCTCAAAACGCATAATGACGCATTTTCCTTTATAGGCCTACATACACAAGATATCTACGGCATTTTCATCCTCAATTGGGCTGCCAGCACCGGCTGTTGCCCCCATGGCGTTTACCGTGTCCGATGAGGTCGTGTGCGTTGGCGAGATGAGGTCGTGCGCGCACCGATCTGCCGGCTATAAAAGAAGCTCGACCTTGGAACGTTTTTTTCTTTGTCGACGTACTTCATAGGATCATTTCTATAGGTCACGTCCCTCTTTGACTCTTCAAAAGAGCCACTGAATCCAACTTGGTTGATGAGTGAGATACCCTTACACCCTCAAAGTGAGACTATATTTAGCTTGACTGTGATCCTTAGCGGTCTGGTCATCTACCTATTTTTTGCCTTTTAGTTATAAGACTTGGATTTATCCTGTGTCTTTTAAAAGGAGCGATGATCTTGACCCCTTTCTTCATACTTCTTCGGAGGTTTTAGATTGGGGTGGGTGTAAGTGGCTGTCTGACAAGTTACTCACAATTCTCATTTGAGTTTGCATTTGCTTGCTTTTGCTTGCTCGGTGTCGATTGTGGTGACTATAGCAACACCTGTTGGTATGTCGGCCAAAAGTAGTGGTTTTCTTTAGCAATACAGATTTCTCCACTGATATCAATGTAGTATTTCATCTATACAAGTTCGCGGGCATGTTTCGGCACCTCATAAAGTTTATAGTAGTCCACCACTTGGCCATTCAAATTGTTCTCTCCTTCAATTGGCAAGAAGAAAAGACTTCTGAATTTGATTTCGCCGAGAAACCAAAAGTCAAGCCAATTCTGCTTAATTCCATGGTCAAAAGGAACATCTACCGTCTCCAATGGATTGTAGGCTTCATTTGAAGTGCGATTGATGAAAGACATGATTGTTAATTTGGCAGTCATGAAGAATTGGTCGAGTCCCACCAACTGAATGCATGTAGTAAAAGGCAGTTTATGTCTGTGTGTGGGTGAGGCTGGTTGGTTGGAAGCTGTAGCAATTCCCACACCATAGTCTGGAGGTACCGTGGAATGATTGTAGGCGCTTGTTCTCTCCATTTGTGAGTTGAGAAGACGGAATTCCCACGTCGTTAAACCTTTCGAAATCTGGAACATTTGCCCCAAGCAGAGGGACGCAATCCAGATATATTGCAATAAGCACCAAACCATCAAATTGAAATGGAAATGGTGATGTTTGAACCCCAAGCATAAGTCGTCTGAGAGAAGGCTGCACTGGTTGGATTCGTCGTCGCTTTCATACCCTGGAGCATCTTCCAAAGTGCTGAAAAGATCTATAGTCAAGTAGGTGAAGAGTACTATAGCCCAATGCAATGCAAAGACAAAAGTCATGAAAAGTTTGTGATTTCTTACCCCAACGTCATTGTAGATCCATGGGCAGTAGTGGTCGAATCTGGCCACCAACCGCTTGTTGAATCGTGAGTATTTGGACCGTAATGGTTTGCGAACAAATGTGTCCACGCAGAAATGGTCGGTGTCGAATTTTCCCAAGTCAATCAAGTCTTTGACCTGTTCGAGTATGACTTCATTGTCAGTGGGAGTCGGTACGAATCCTGGGTTTATGAACATTGCCTTGAAGAAACAAAAGACAAATCCAACAATGAGCACCGCGAGAATCAAGTTGACGAGAACATTTGCAAGTGAGATGTTGGGAAGTAACTTTGTTATCCAAACAATAATGCACCAGAAAGCCGTACCTGAAAAAATGCCCGCTAAAAATGGCGACTTGGGAATCGGCTTATCTTCAAGTAGGTAGTTGGGAACAATGACGTAGCTTAGGAAGTAGAACATGGCCACGAAAAGGATCACCGATGAAAATAATTTGGGAATTGCAAAACCATTATGGAACGAGCAGATCTCGAACACTATTGGCAACACAACATATGGGGTAAAAAACGTCACTAATTTGGCCAACCTGGGATCAAGCCAGCGGTACTTGATGGCCCATTCCTTTTTGGGGTCGCGATTGGCTTCCTTGAGTACTTTTACCCATAAATCGTAGCAGTTCATATCTTTGGCCACAGCAAACGAGTCCTTTCCCTGGTCGTTTTTGGCAAAGATATCCGAGCCTGCTTCCAACAATGTCTTCAAAACCGACTTGTAGCCCTTCATAAATGCCCAATGAAGCGGAAGGAACAAGGTATTGTCGACCTTACTGGCATCGGCGCCGAACCTTAAAAGAGCATTAACACTCATAATATCACCTTGATATGCCGCCCAATGCAAACATGTTCTGTTGCAGCTATCGGGTTCGTCAACATACAACTTTTTTCCCAGTCCACAGCAAGAAAGAAGCATATAAACGAGTAGGGTTATGTTGGAACTATGGGTAGCCAAATGAAGTGCATTATAAGACTGGGCATCGCGAAGAGCAGGATCTGCATCGGTATGGCAAAGCAAATAGTCCACAACGTATACTAGACCATTTCTGCATGCCCAGTGTAAAGGGGAAGCCCTTAACTCTCCTCCCAATGCATTGACGTTGACTTTTTGTTCCACCAAATACTTGACGGTTTGAATGCGATTGTTGATTGCGGCCCAATGAAGCCCAGTGATCCCGTCTGAAAACGTTTCCGTCGCTTGAACCTTCCCGCTGGTCACCAAATCTTGTATAGTTGGCAAATCACCCAGCTGACAAGCTGCCATAAACTGAGCCAAATCCGGCCGAAGTTCTTGCTCCAGGATTTTATTTGCTGATCCGTTTACTTCGTCAAGAGCGTCTTTCTTGGTGTCCAAAACAGCCTCCGTAGAATTTATCGTTGCCAATTCAATGTCATTTTCGACGGTGAGTTTGTCGGTTTGAACTTGTTCACTAAATTCTCCAGAACGTTTGTGGCCATTTTCTATGCCCAGATCACTGCTGGGTGCTGCCTCTACCTCCTGTAGCGGTATACTGTCGTTAGCATGCGCCGCCATCGACTTGGTGTTGTTGATGGACTCGGCTGAATCAAATGACGATGGCTATACCGGTTACGTAAGCGGGATGATGGGTGCAAAAAATGAGCAAGACTCTATTTTCTTTGAGTGAAGTCTTTATTGTCTAAATACTCTTTTTGCTGCGGCCGTCTATGGACAGGGCAACGGTGGCAGCGTCGGAACCTGCATCGGGAACCGAACCGGAAACAGTGGTGGGCGCAGTCAGAGTGGTTGCTGATGCTACTGAAGATTTGAGTTTTGGCGTGCTAACTCCGGAGCTGGAGGCGCTGTGGTCGTGAATAAAGCTCTTGATTTTTTCGCCGGCCAATTTGGCGCCAGGAACAATCGACTCGTCCACCATAGGTTTGACCTTGTCGTTGATGAAACCCGGTCTAACCTCTTCAGGGGAAATCAATCCCATGTTCTTTTGGCCCACACGGTCCAAATGTTTCTCCAAGAGCAAAAAGTTTCTCAGGTTGGATTTGTAGCCCACTTCAATGAGGTCTCCAACAAACGGAATGAGTCCCAATAAAAAGTCTATGGCAATGTTGAGCAAGTAAAGTAACTGCAAATCGAAAGGCAAGCCGTCATCCAACTGGCGAGCCAGCCACAAGAGTCCAAGCGACCAATAAGTCGACACCAAAGTCCCTACAATCGGGACAAAACCAACGATATTGGTCCAACCAAACTTCACCCCCATAAACTGGAACCACATATCATAGCGGTACGCACGCTTTCTCACCAGATTAAGTACTTTTTCGTCATTGGCAGACAATCCTTGAGGCACCCTGCGAGTGACCTTTTTGTACAGAGTCTTGCCAGATTTTTCATTTACATGAACAGGAACATATTCGTAGAACGGATCCTCCACGCCAAACTTGTTCCACTGGTTATCCTTGAGTAATCGATTTGCTATGAACTTGACAATGAACGTCGACATGGTCAGTGGAAGAAGAATACATTGGTTGCTGCTGCATGATTATGGATTGGGTGGGCTCCCTGCAGGACCACAAGCTCAGTCAGGTGCGCAATAGTGGGACAGACTCCGCATTGTGCGCTTCTGCTGCTGCAACATATCGGGCTGTGTGCAGTCTGCCATGTGAGAGAAGCGATGGTTGTTGGGGATGGAGTTCTTCCTTAAATTTTATTTATGGGGCTACTTGCAATAGTTGGAGCTGTAACAAGCCGGGTTCCTTTGGTGCTGCGAGCAGCAGGGTGGGTTGGGAGCTCCAGAAGTGAATCCAGTGACGAGATAAGTCTTATCAGTGAAGATGGGGAAACCTCCGATGACTATGAGAGCGCCAATAGTTCTCCCCAGGCACGTCAACTTGTTCATAATCGGCTTTTGAGTAACCGAAATAGTGGCGGTATAGAAGGGATTCCTGAAGAAAACGGCTGCTGTCGTAGATATTCAGGAGAAAATGGTTCTGTTGATGGTTCTGTTGACGGCTCAGTTGAGGGTTCTATTAACGGTCATATTAGCAGCCATGTTGATCGTTATTTGAGCGATCAAAACAAAAAGTTTGATGATCTAATCTACAAAAACTTGAACGCCGTATTGGTTCAAAGCGGTCATAACGAAGAGAAGGAAGCGGAAACATCAACGTTCAGAAAGTCCGTATCGGGGGTAGTGTCCTCAGGAATGGGCGGTTTGGCGGGCAGAATCAGGTTTTTCGGACATAAAAAAGACGTGGATATCGCAGAAGCGACGACGCCGCCTGAAGAAGCTCAGGAATTTGTGAGTCCAGCATTAAACTCGGCAATGACATTTGACAGTTTTCTCGATTCTTTGGACTATGACACCAAGATTCAGCTTTTGAAAATGCTCAGAAGGGACTTGGGGCTTACAAACGATGATGAGCTTGAGCGCTTGGTTTTGAATGAGAATGACATTGAAAAACTCACGTCGATGCACAAATTTGAAACCACAGGACCGGTGATCGATAAAATTCAGCTTTTTGTGTTGATTCTGATCAAGCTCATGTTCATTGGACTCAAACTCATGATTCCTATATCGTATCTCATATACACCAAGTTTGTGGAAAACCAGCTTTTCTTGTTCAACAACAAAAACTTTAACAAAATGCTCCTGGTTTGTATAAAAGTTATGAGGACTTTGGAGCATAAACTCAACGATGAAAAGATACAACCATACCAATACGGTTACGACCGAACTCAAGCCTTAGAAAAGGACATAAAATTCACCCAAGCACAACAAAACCTTGACGAACTCTACGACGAAATGACATTAAATGCAACTTCTTTTTTTAATCAACATATGGATATGGCAGAACGATCTTCATGGACACGATCGGTATTCGGATACATGGTAAGCAAGTATCTTGGCGCCGCAAAGACACAACAACCTCCTCCACCTACTAAACCATTACATGCTTCACCACCGCTTCACAATGATCCTAAATTCTCCAAATATTTTGCAACTCCTCCCTCCACATCCAATGGAGCTCCATCTTCCCCTGGGTTGGGTTCTAGATCGCTACCTGGTTCTAGTGTTAACTTGAACTCTCTTTCTGTGATGGAATTGGCACAACAGTTTGCCAATGAGTTGATTTAGGAAATTACGAAAAGTACGAAATTACAAAAAGTTGCAAATATGAATAATTACGAAAACAGAAAGCTATAAGGCATGGATATGAATTGGATTGGGGCCAATTTAAGTAGGAGTTGAAGAAGGGATGAAGACTTTTGTTCAAATTATAAAAACTAATTATCATTTTAATGCGATAAGAGAATACAATTAAAGTTAAGAAACAGTAGCTATCAAAATGCGAACCGTTGAATGGTTGCGGCAAAGAAAGCAAGTCAACTAAAGTCTATTACAAAACTGCAGTATTGAGAAAGTTTCATGCTGTAGCGCAAATCTCAAAGCAATCGGTGCTAAACTTTATAAATTGTCATTTTTAAGAGAGGTAACAATTAACGCGCATCGCAAGCTACCCGTATTTGCGATTTCTATGCATTTTCTCGCCGAAGTAGATTCCCGCGTGCATCTGAAATGAACCTGCCTTATCACCCCTATTATCAGGATACCCCATATACAGTAAAACTCTCCCTTACAAGAGGGCACCTAACCAAATTGGGCAGGGAGCATAACGCAGGCCCAGACATCATTTCTGGTTTTAGAGGTGCCTCCAATGGTTCACAACCATTTTGTCGCCGCACACGACAAAATATGCACGCAAAGCGGTTACCCGGCAGAACATTTGACGCGCCTTGACATAAGCGCCATACAAAGTACGGCAGACAACCCCAAACGCCGCATGCACCAAGTGTGGAAAATGCCAGCAAGTTGTTTCCATCCCCCCTTTTCTTCCTAAATATTATTCGGCCAATTTCCGGATTTTTCGCACTTTTTTTTTGTTAGGATTTTCCTTGCGTAATAAGAGAGGCTCAAATTTTTTCATAGCCCACAATCCATACTTAACCAGCTCATTTTGTCTAGGTTTTTGTTTGGTCAAAGGAAACCCGGCTTGCCTCCTTTAAACAAACACTCTTATTACCGATAGTTTCCGTACCACGAGCTAGCTCTGTTGGACCAAATCTATCCTTACTAAGTGTTTTTTCTACTCGCCACCAAACGGTCATTCCTATTGGACAGCGTGGCAAGTTTCTGACGCCTTGATTGGTTGGTTCAGAAAAAGTTTTTTCGGTGCACTGGAAGTGAAATTTACATCCACACACCATGGCGTTGTGCTCACAAGCGTTTGCGGCTCCACTGAAGCGTGGATGTTGCAACTTGGACAACGACTCAAATAGTAAACGGTTATGCTTGGGAATCAACAAATCGATTACAGACGACCAGAGCTCTTCTGATTTTGATTCGGATGATGAACAAGCCTGTTATCAGGCAGATCAAATCCGGGCAAAGAAGAGAGCTTCTAATAGAGTGTCGTTTACCTTCAATAATATCAGTAACTCGATCTTATCGAGAGCTGTGTCCCAGTATAGTGATGACGATGAGAATGATACGGAGGAGTATCATCGTCGTAGTTGCGATAGTCCTACTGGTAGTACCCTGGCTATTGGCAAGGTGGCACGCAGTGCTAGTTTTGTTAGTACCAGTGCTGCCATGGGAAGCGATCCTCATGCTGACTGCAGATTGTCTGCCGGTACCAATTCGATCTATCCTTCAGTTTTGTTTTCAGACGACGTTTCTTCAAACAAGAAGGAAATACCCGATTCCGACAAACAATGCAGAGCTAGATGTTTCGACTATTTGGTCGGTGCTATCGATGAGGCATGGGCTCGTTATTGCGACGCTACCACCAGCGTTGAAGACGAAGTTTACGGGTACTCTTCTGGAGTTGGCAGATGCCCTGCCGATACCAATACTCCTGCATCAGTAGCTACGGACGAAGAGGACTACTTTGCAAACGCAACCGATTTTACTGATTACGATGATAGCGATTTTGATATCAATCACAAAGGCGCTCAAGTTTCGAGACGTCCCCTGTTAATGCCCGTACAACAAGTTCAGGGCAACAATGGTCCTTCGTACTCAGCCAAGGATCCTTCAAGTTGTCAATTGCAAGCATTGAAGGACCGGTTAACCAAGGCTAAGTACTATTTACAAGATCTCACTGATTCCGATATATTCCAAGATGTGATTGCATTTTGGAAGCGGTGGGATATGATCAAGTACGCCACTATTGAACTTGTGGAAGATGATGATGATGACGAAGTGGTGGAATCCACGATCGAAGAGTTGGAGCGTGGCCGTATGTTTGTTCATTAGAACTACATGGCTACCACTCCACAAGCTTACTTCTATTGTCTGTTGACAATATTGTATTTTAAATTAAGTTAGGAAAGGTGTTAGTTGGTTTTGGGTATGATTTATGCGAAGTTATGATTAGCATGTATAATAGATGGTTGGTTTTTATCAGTGTAGCAGTGTGCAGTACTGCGAACGGTGCGATAAGTTTAGTCGCGAAATTTCATTTAAAAGAACAAACTTGAATGATGTTTGCACCAGTTTTCAAAGCGCTTTCACTCTTAATTTTGGCCCAGTTTGCTGTTGCTGGTGGTCTCCAGATTGGTGAGTATCACTGAGCACATTTTTGGTTCTTTAACTAACACAGGTGTTCTCAAAAGTATTCCTGAAAGTGAGTGTACTGTCAAGTCAAAAGCTGGAGACTTGATTCTGGTCCATTACGAGGGAACTTTGGAAGATGGAACCGTGTTTGACTCCTCTTTCAAGAGAAATTCTCCTATTACGTTCCAGCTTGGAACTGGCCGCGTGATCAAAGGCTGGGATCAAGGCTTGTTGGACATGTGTATTGGAGAGAAAAGAAAATTGACCATTCCATCCGAATTGGCGTATGGAGACAGTGGAATTGGACCAATTCCGCCCAAGGCTACACTTGGTAAGTATAAATTCGGAGGTTCTTTTTTGGAAAGTTTCGACTAACCGCAGTATTTGTCACCGAATTGGTGTCTATCGATGGAGGTCACGACGAATTGTGATATAAAATAAACCCTATGTAGATACATTTGCGGTCTACTTTACCCCAATTGCACAATTGAATAAATTACAATTTTCAAAGAGCTCAATCTAGTGTGCATAAAGTCGCATCATGTTATCCGCAACCCTCATTTCTTCTTTATAACACCATGAGTCAATTATCAGCAAAATCACTCCAAAAAACCGTCCAGGACTTCCTAGCGTCTGGCTCCCATCTCAGGATCATCTACAATCCATCCCTGGATGCATTGGCCAACTCAAACACCCGTCGAATTTGCGTTCTTGATTCCTCCTTCAACCCTCCTCATTTGGGCCATTATGCTCTCATCAAAGAATCACTAAGCTACAAGAACCAATTTCCCAAGGACAACCAGGCCGTCTTGCTCTTGTTCTCGGTGAAAAATGCCGACAAGGTCACGGCTGCTCCAGCTGCTTTGGAACACAGACTTGCCATGATGTGCTTGATGGCTGATTACGTTCAAAAAAAAATGCAAGTAAATGTTTCTGTTGGGATCACAGACCATGCTAAATTTGTTGACAAGTCATCCACGATCCTCCGCTACTTGAAAGAACAAAATTTGCTGGCAAAATTGACGTTCCTTGTTGGGTTTGATACACTCTTGCGGATTCTCAATCCCAACTATTACCTTCCAGATAAGATTCTGGCGGCTCTTAGCGAGTTCATGGGGTCTACAGACTTGTTCTGTTTGACGAGAAATGACGAGAAATTGTCGGTTGCTGATCAATCGCTGTACGTTCAAACTTTAAGAAGCGGCGGCCACGAAGATCTTCCGTCGATTTGGTCGCAAAGTATATCACTTCACACCGGAGAAATCGACATTGTGGGAGCCATGAGCTCGTCCAAGATCAGAAAAGAGGTGGCTGATGGCCATAAAGAGTGGCATAATGAAGTGATACCTGAAATTCACCAATATATTGTTGAGCAATCGTTATACAAAAAGCTAGAATAATCCCCAAAGTGCCACAAGGTAGATGGCCAAACCAAACTTGGAAGCATTGGCAACATCCTCAGAAACCACCGACAGAACAGAATAACCAGCAACCATCGTTTCATTCTTGGCATTGCTACATTCAATTTTTCCTCCTCTGATAACAGAAGACATCTCGGCGGTGCTCCATTTTGCACAGTCGAAACCAGCAGCAAAAGACTTCACACGGGCACTTCCTTTGACAAGACGCAATTGTTTCAAGCTGGCATCTTTAAAGTTACCCACAAGCTCGATAGCTCCTCCAATGACATTGAGTTTTGGTAGAAAGTTGACGTGCTCAATAAGGGTATTGTTTGCAACGAGAAGACCGCCTCCGATGTCTGTAAGAGAAGCGAAATCAGTGTGGCTCAATTCGTTGTTTTTCACAAGACTCAAGGTTCCCTTGACACTCGAAAGTTTAGGAAGCTTCAAGCTTTTGAACCGATTATTGATGAGACTGGCAGAAGCACCAACACTCTCAAGCTCCGCCAAGTTCAACTGCTCAACATCGTTGATGCTCATGTTTTGAGCGAAACTCAACCGGGGCAAAGACACAAACGCATTTCTGGCATTGGCGGAAATATGGAGAGACTCAGTCACCTTTTCCATATTTGCACTTATCAGCTCCAAGAAGCGGTTGTTGTTGATGTCGAAAATACTCAACTCGTTGCTTATAAAACCAGAGATGGCTGTTAACGACGTATCAGAAATCTTGATGCTTTTCAACCCTTCAAGTGTGCCGGCAAAATTGATGTTGCTCAAAATGGGAATTACCTGCCAGTCAAGGGACTGCAAGTTCAGAAGCTTGGGAAACGATACCAACGACAAAGAAGTGAGTTGTTTCAAGCCAAAACTACCGCTGATGCTCTCCAAAAGAGGTGCCTCCATGCGAACGAGCGACGACGATTTTCTGACCGAAAGCGAACCCAATATCTTCTGGATATCTCCAAAATGAATAATGGGGTCCTTGAAGTTTTCAATCGAGACGTCTCCGGCCACCACCGAACAGCGAGCCAATTCTTTGAGGTCTGCTAAACTAGCAATAAAATGGTTGGTTCTGTTGCAAATATCAACGGGACTTTCGAAGCGCCAATCATAATCTTCAACGAGGGTGTTACCTTCGTCTACTGGTTGTCCTAAGACGACTCTGATTGCCGGTGAAAGTATGGCAAGATAATATTTTAAAAGCATGGTAACGTATTTGTGAAAAAATGGGTTTTTATACTCAGACACAAATGCAAAATTAAAGAATGGCACAAAAAAAAAAATGCAAGTATATTCTAATTCTAATCATATCTTGGCGTTATCAGAGACACCATCTTGTAGGTAGGTCAACCCTTCTTGGATAATGGTTGCTACACAAGTCCCCTCTCGGTTGTAAGCATAAACTCTTACCAAAGTTCGGTTATTGGAGTGGACCCTAAATTGATAGTGAAAAGTTAGCCAATTGTTTATCAAATCGAACCCGTTTTCGTAATCGTCAGTGTGGAAATAGATGTGATGGTCCATGGACATGGCATTGTAGTGGTAAATATGCATCATATTCAACGATATGGGCATGAGCTTTCTGGCATCTTTTTCCTCGTCGTACTCTCGGCGTTTATTGTTGACTGTGGAGTTCCATGGCATGTGAAGAGCACGGGCCAAAGTGGTGAGAATCACCGAATCACTCAAGTCTGCTAGTCCAATAAAATTGAATTTGGGATCTTTAAACTCGTGATCCTGCTCAATCTTGTGGAAGAGAGTAATCCATCTTTCTGAAGCAGGAATTTTCAACTCATCTTGGGCAAGAGACTTGTCCACAAATTCGGGAGGATAAGCATTTCGAATATAGGTTGTATGGACCACTTGTTCCAAAGTATCAGGGTCTGTGGTATCCAAGAGTTTTGGTGGAGCAACCTGAGTATCTGGACCCGGTTTAGCACCCTTTTTCGTCAAAGAAACAAGACAATTTAACCGCACAGTGCCCTTTTGAACCACCTTGATATACCGACTGGCAAAGTTTTTTCCAGTATGCAATTCGGTCACAAAGTATTGCATGGGTACCGTACTGTCACCAGGACCAATAAAGTACGAGTGGAACGAATTTGGAATGTAGCCAGGAGCAGATTCTATTCCGACAAGAAGGGTCTGCGCAACTGTGTGGCCACCATAAACTCCTCTTGCGAGCCGAAGGGGAAGCTTTAAAGGATGGACACCTTCCCATTTCCATTCGCCAACTTTCTTCACTCGAAATGATTCTTCAAAGTCCTCGGACATATTCTAGACGATTTCAAAGTGTAATAAATAATCAGCAAGCTTATCAATAGCCTCCCGTAACACAATTTAAAGATTCTTGACGTTTACTAGAATATTAGGAAGAAGTTCTCAACGACTCCCCCGCATTTCGCGCACATGATTTTTTCACATGAGTCCCATACGCCAGAATTCCATGATCAGCCAAACTACAGAAAATCAATGTTGAAATGGCTCTTAAACTTGCGCTCGGCCTCGTGACGGTCGGGTCCGCTAATTGTGTTGTTTAGGGCAAGTTTGGGACGCAGGCGGAGAAATTGGCTCGGTTCGGGTTCAAGTCGCAGCCGAAGTTGCAGCCGATTTTGCGGCAGTTCACTCCGGTAAATGCCAGAGGACCGAGGAATTATCTGTGCTGTAATGTCTGTAGAGGTCGCTGGGGCCAGCATAGGGCCGTAGGTTTGTCCATACTTTGGAACTTGGGTTGTGGTTCCTTGGTGGGTCAATTCGAACCGCCTTTTCTTCATTTTCAAGGCGGTGTCATCCTCGTTCGACTCGAGTGGTTTCAAGCCACAAAGCCTTCGCTGCTGGTTGGTCAATGGCAAGTCGAGACACTGATCTTGGGAGCGAAGAAGTCGATACAGAGCAACGACAATGTTACCCACAAAGAGTGCGTAGACAGCTTTGATGATGTAGTTGGCGTACAGAGCCGATGCTGACGAGTAGTGCTTCTGGTAGAAACTTGAGGGTGCTTGAAACTCAGCCTGATACAATGCTAGAAAGTAGTGTCCGATTTGAACAAGTAGCTTGAATGCCGCAATGTAGAGTATATTGGCTCCAAATCTGCGTACTTCTCGTTCAGTATTGACCTGTCTTCTGAGTGCCTCTTTGACCACACTGCTGGTCCATTCACCAGAAGGAGCATTATCTACCTCTGCATCAACTTTGGGTGGTAACTGAGGTTCACTTTGACGAACCAGAAAGTTTCGATTAATACGAGGAGGAATTAGGTGGTTCACGCCAAAGAGATTGTCGGACGATACTGGCGGCCGATAATAGAGTGGTTGTGATGGTGGTGCTTTTGACTGGTTGTTCGCTGGGTCAACTTTATTTTTTTCAATAGTAAATTTGGAATGGAAATTCAGCGTTGGAAGGGGTTCTAGGGGACCAGAAAGGTCGCTGGACTGGTTAGGGACCATTGTAGTTGTCCTTTTCTGGTCATTAGTGGAAATAGGTTTTGATGTTGTACGCTGTGACGTGCCCCACTCGGTGTAATTATTGCTCGAAACTCGCTGAAGCGGCGTGAAAAACTCCAGAGCATTGAGCGGCGTGTCCGTAACGGTGTCTGCCTCGGCTAGGCGCTTGGGCAAAGGCGTGGACACTGGGAACATTTGCACGATATCACAAACAAGTACCGAATCCATCGCGAATAATTATGGTGAGAGCGGGTGTAAGGATGCTCTCACCTCGACCACCGACGGTCTTCCATGAGCACAGTGGAACGGATGCTGGCAACGGAATAGGCATTGAAGCATATAATTCATTTCTGCAAGTGTTAGTGGTATTCCGAACATGATGGCCGAACGACACGCTCGCATATTAATGCTGTCGAGAATAATCTGGGGTACATCTTTCACAGCATGGGTCCAATGGTGCGGCTCACCGATGCGGCTTGACTTTTGATTTGCAGCAAGATGTTCCAAGTACTGGGCTATACCAAGAGAAACAGCCGAGACAGACTTGTCGTAGAGGACTTCGGGGACCTGAAGCAAAAAAGCATGGTTTTCTCGAAATTCAATGTCAAATCCAAATGATTGGAGTTGAGCATGGTGCAGCTGGAGATGGAGAATTTGAGTCGGGGAAAGTTCAAGTTGAAGTTGCTGGCTCAACTGAGCTTTATTTTGGTGTTGGTTTACTTTTGTCCTTTGGATATAGTCTTTGAGGTAGGATTCGACTCGAATTCGTTCGTCGCAGGCATGCTGGTCAACGATGAAAAGACGCAGATGGCTCTCAACAATTGCAACAAAAAGAATGTATTTTCGGTCGAGCTGCTTCAATACTCGAAAAGAGTCGACATTGATGGCGGATATGGTTTTGAATGAGGAGATTGAGTGGTTTGGGTGTAATTGGCGAGAGCTGAAAAGGCCCTTGGTGGGACTTTTGACAGGAGATCTTGGCTTGGAAGGAGATTTCCTGGGACTGGAAAGAGATTTTCTGGGACTGAGATGAGACTTCCTTGGACTTCTTTCTTTCATTGGACTGTCCAAAACGCCAAACTTTTCTAGTAGCTCCAAAATCATCCGTTTGACAACTTTCCAGTGATGTACACGATAGAGAACCTTTGCTGGATCTTGGGTTATCTCGTCTGTCGGACAGGTTACCATGAGCACGTAGGCCAGGTTGTGTACCAATTTGTTGAATTCTTTCAAGTCTTGTGAGCTTGCAATGTACTTTCGTTCATTGATAAAGATAAACTTCAATGGCGAAACCCACGACCATTTGCCAATAATTCCCGATATACGATATTGCTGGTACCTCACGTTGACCAATTCGTATGCTGGAAGCGCTCGAAAGCCATAGACGGACCTAATTGTAGACACCAAGGGATTTTCCATCGATGGTGAAACGACGATGCTTTGTTCAGCCGGAACAACATTAACCTCAATTTTTACACGGGGAAAAAGAAGCAGACACTCAGCAACCTCGTTCTTGAGCTCCGAAAGAATACTCTGAATATTTTGTGACAATAATTGTGCTCGACGCACTTTGAAGTTGGCAAAGAGACCGCGAACAATCACCACAGTCCATGAAGTTCCCAAGCATGTTGGATCAATAGCAAAGATATCATTACAAACCTGAGCATCCGGTTCGAATAAATCCACATTTGGATCACCCAAATGTCTTGTATTAGCACCAAAACCATCCACTTTACTGACGATGGTCGTGCTCGAAACTTGTGATATTGCAAAAAGAGCTTCTCCCCGAAAACCCATAGTTTTGACGCTTGAAAGATCTTTCTCCGCCTTGGAAGTATAGTTCTGGGTGCCCACCAACCCGAGATCTGCCTCGTTGATGCCAAATCCGTTATCAGTCACCATCACACTCATCGAGTCCAAGTGAATTTTCACGGAGATAAACGTCGCTTGAGCATCTATACTATTGTGTAGTAGTTCACGCACAGCACTAGCATACCCAGAAACGGAAAGTGGAGCCACCAACTGTTGGATAACATCTTTATCTAGCTGGTGTAGCTTCCCCATGGCACCGTGAAGACTTCGCGCGATAAGAATTCGCGGGAAATCATTTTGAGAATTGATTAAACTCTTCACAAATGATAGCGAAAGTTTCGCTAGAAAAACAATTGCTGCCCATATTGAAGCTGCTGGACCCGTTCCAGGCATACTCCGATGCTGAATGGACCAAGTTGGCTGCTGGAAATGATCCAGATATAGTTCAGCTCGATGCTGATGCTTTTTTTGATGAACAAGTTTTTCTTCCGATGCTCTTAAATCCATTTGAACTTGGGTATTGGAGCAGAATTGAGTCAGCGACGACGGCAGCAGAGCAGAATATTCGAGATCTCGGCCTAGAGACGTTTGTGATGTCCAAAGAGCCGGAAATTGTTCGTCCACCAATGCCAAAATTGACGAAAACTCAGAAACGAATGTCGCTAGGACTTCTAGATGTCAAGAAACAAAGATCATTAAAATCCCTGAGCTTGCGGAAACCCCCGGAAACCGCAATGAGCTCGGTAAATATCACTACAAACACCGCAATTCCGGTGGTCTCTAAGCACTTTACATTTAAAAATACCATCCGAGACTTTCTGGACAAGCTAAGACAAAACCACAAAAGTTCGAGCACCACCACAAAAAGACGACTGTCTTTGGTGGACGAAACGTTGCCGAGCTATATACGAAAACAGCTTGCGGAACGAACACCGGAAAGCTACAAATCTCTGGAAGAAACCCATAAACATTCGAGTGGAACGTCTACCCCCGGAAAGAGCCGCCTCGACAACCTTGTTGCCAATTCCCAGTCGATTTACGCCAACATGCCCCACAAACCAAGCAGCAATGGTTCGGCGTCGGTATCCGAAAGTCGAACATCTGAGGACCGAGAATACATTCTGCCCGGTCTGTTCACCAAATATATGAGAGGATTAGGTGAGCCTGCGAACGAAGAAGACGAAGAAGACGAAGAAGACGACTTTATCACGGTAAACGCCACGAGTGACGAGTACCTCTTCAAGTGACGATACCTTCAAGTGACGAATACTCTCAAGTAGTTAATTCATTCTGTCACTCTTCTCTTTTTCTTCTTCTCTTCTACATCCCGTTAAGCACCACCTCGTACACGAACAACGAAACAGCGCTCGTGGGTGCTGTCTTGATCAAGCTGATGCCAAAGCCCTTGTAGAACCCAAATAAGCCCTCTCGCCGCAAAATTGTTCTTGCGAGCCCGATTATCAGCGTCTTACTTGAACGCATTTGCATCCGCTTGCGAAGTGTATCGAGAGGAAAAGTGATCCCCTTGGATGATGCACCGGCAAAGAAGCCACAGAACCCTTCAATGAACGGTATATTATCCTTATACTGGGCCGAAACTTCACGAGCGATTTCGTAAGTCCAGAACATTAACCCAGAATTCAAGCCCAACGAAAGTAATGTAGGTTTAGCGCCCATATAGAGCCCTGCCAAACCACCAGAAGCTCTTACTTGCTTGATAACTGCGGTCATGGATAAGAAATGGCGCTCGGAGTTGGCTGCTAATCTTGTTCGTAATAGGTCAAATGGATAGGTGACGATAAGACTTGTCAAACCTGCCGAGGTTCCCACAATTAACAGGTGGTTGGAAGGTCGCAAGTTGAAGCCGTATGTTGTCTCGAGCTCTGTCAATGCCTTACTGAACATGCTATAGGAGGTGAATTGGGTTGCGCCGTAAAGAATGTACATGATCTCCGCCGGAACATTTCCCTTCCAAAAAGCCCTGATGCCCTCGTTTTTGAATATGCGCACCACCGTCTGTCGAAGCCCATCGTGGGCACCCAAACTCTTGTTCAGGAGTTGAAGCCGAATCTTTACTGTATCCAACGGCGCGGTAACCGCTCTGAGTTAGTAAGAGTTGTCAAAATTTCAGGTTTGCAAGTATGATACCTACCTAGCTACCGCCCCGGACACAGACCCGGCCACCAACGTGTGGTATACCAGCGCCGTGGCTCCCTTTTTGAGGTGGTCTTCTCGAGGCGTCGCCATTCATGAAGAAACCGCCGGAGCGCATTGCGATGCAGCCGTTTGTGCACCGGTGCACCAGACCATTAGCATCAAATCCAGCTCAATTCTACCCATCAAATCCAGCCCATCAAATCTTGCTCAAATCTAGCCCATCGAAGTTTAGCTCAAGTCTATAGACCCCCACAAGTCCCGGAAGCCCCACCACGACGCACCGGATCCGAAAAGACCCACCCAGAACGGCGAAAGACACCCTTCACGCAAAGACCAGTGCACCACCAATGGAAGCTGAACCACCTGCTTGAACAAACTAAGACGCCAATTGGCGTCCCATTTACTGATGGGAACCCTTCTAAACAACTCCACCACCTCTAAAACCAAGTAGAGTCCCCACACGCGCGAGCACCATATGTAGGTCTCCATGCACCAGTAGTCGTTGTCACCGGTTCCTACCCAATTATGGTCGGTCAACCAACCAGCATTTTCGAACAATTCCAATACCAAACAATTGATCGACTGGACAAAGTTGACCACGCGATGCGACCGTGGAACCGAATCTCCCGGTTTCACCATGGCAGCGAACTCATCGATGATCCACGGCATATATTTTATGGAGTCTGTGAGCCGGTTGAAAATTCGAATATCCAGCAAGTACGACGAAATTGCCTTCAAATGAACAGCAAGTGACGAAACCGGCTTTTCGCCCTTGTGCTCATACTGGGACCAGCTAGGTTTCTCACCCAGAAAGACCTCAGCAACTTTTTTATTCAGCGACTGACGAAGATCGGAACCCATGGTGGCTGCAACAGCCCGGCGCAAAAGTTGAAGCAATTGGTGCTTTCTTTGTGCAAGAAAAAACCTAATTTGCGGTTTGTTGTTGAGCACACTCGACACCAAGAGGGTGAAGTAGCAAATAAAATAAAGATTGGCATCTACAGTTGCCGTGGAAGCGAGCACCTTATCGCTGATTTGCTGATAAAATTTTCTAGAAAAAATGGACTTTTGTAATGCATGGTTAAGACGAAGCAAAGTGGTGAGGGGAATGGAGCCGCGCTTTTCCCCGGCAATGGGAGCGATAGAAGCAATAGTCATAAAAATCAACAAGCAAATAGGAAGAGAAATAATGCACTAAAGACCGCGGCATGTAGTGGTGGTGCACGGGCGCGCGGCGCATGCTAGGTGATCTGATAAATCTACATCTGATATAAGATATCTCACTTGTAATGTCTTCTTTATTTTCTTTCGTATTCTCTTTATTCTCTTTTATTCTTTCTCTTTATTGAGACGACGTCATCTGTCGTGACCGGATAGACTCCAACTTCATGCCTTCTTTTTGTGCGTACAATTCCATTCCTCTTTGGTCGGCGGACCCCACCGTCTCCAAAACCACCTCGTTGATTTCCTCCACTTCATCCTCCACTTGAGGCAAAAGTAAGTTCAAAAAGATACCCAAGAAACCGGTGACGGCAAATCCGGTCTCCATAACCAAAACTATAGCATCCAAAAATCCCTTTAATGCTTTATTGTCTCCACCGTACGTGAACACAAACGAGAACCAATTGGGTACCAAAGTAGCACCAAGTCCGGGCAATAACGACGCCGTCAACAAGAACCTGTCTCTTCTGGTGAACTCGGTGGTGGAAATGATCTTGATACCAGAAACCGTCACCGATGTGAACAAAAATGTCGTCATACCACCAAGAACCGCTTTAGGAATGGATACAATGGCGGCTGCAAATTTGGAAAAAATTCCCATAACAATCATGAAAAATGCACACCAGTATCCAACCCTTCTGTTGGCACATTTGGTGATGGAAATCACACCGTTATTCTGGGCAAATGTCGACATGGGAGTCACCGTCATCAACCCCGAAATCATACCGTTGAGCCCATCGGCCAAAATTCCGCCCTGGATCCGCGAGTCGTACAATTCTCCCTCCACTTCCAACCTGGAGACATCAGAAGTAGCGGTGATATCTCCAATCGCCTCCATCATCAAAACAATATAGACGGCCAAAAACGGAAGAATTACCGGACCGTACACTTCGAGCTTGAAAGTATGCACCCACATGAACGTGGCGGCCGGCGCAGCGTCAATGGAGGCGTGAGAAAAGTATCCGCATGCGGCAGCCACGATACAACCGACAAGCAAACCGACGATAACCGCACACGATTTCATGATTGGCGAGCCCCATCTTTCCGCGATGATGATGGTGACATAAACCAAAAAACCCAACCCCACAAACTGGGCTGAACCCCATGGCAACACATGGGCGTCTCCACACATGCCAGGGACGTTCCCGTTGGAATCTGTCATGCATCCAGACCCACCGACCCAGTCCTCGAGTCCGGTTTCTACCAAGTGCGCACCGATCAAAAAAACCACTGGACCGGTGACAATTGGTGGAAATGCCTTTTGCAATATGCGGGGCGGACAAAACGAAAGGAACATTTCAAGAAGCGAGCACACTATAGCTGACGCCAAGATTCTTCCGTAAGCCTCAGGACACGGCTGGGGAACGCCATCGACAGTTTTGCAGAAGCCGTCGGCGTACATTTGTGGGATAGCTTTGGTGACAATGGTGATGGTGGCAAACGACGTGCCCACCACCGAGAGCAAACCAGTGCCTATGTAGTACGGGGTGCCGTATATGTGGAACCGGGTGATTTGAATACATGATAAAAGCCCGGAAACAATGAGGGAAACGGAAACCAAATATTCGGTGATCTCATCGGACAAGTTTGCGGTTCCACCAATGATAAGAGGAGGTGTTACCACACCAGCCAACATCGATAACGAGTGCTGGAACCCCAAGATGAACCCCAATACTATAGGCATGTCTGAATTTAACCCGAAAAACGGCTGGGTTTTGGGAACTTTTTTGGAGAAGGGAATGTCAGGAACGAATAAATATTTGTAGTCATAATCACCAAACAACCCTTCTTTGGTGGTCCACTTGCGCACAATACGCTTGCCTGCGGCGGCGACAGTCTGACCGTTGATCATCGTACGGGGAACTGAAGCGTAGGAATGACTGCAACAGGTGCGAATGAGAGCTTTTATCTTGCTCGAATTTTGGACCCCACCGGGCGCGGCGCTGTGCAGGAAAGATAAGGACGGGGCGGTCGGGGAGGTCCGCGAGACGGATAACAAGGGGACTAAAAGGAAAAGACAAAAAGACAAGAAGAGAAAAGAGGAAAAGAAGAAAAAAAGAAAAAGAAAAAGAAGAACAGAATAAATTGAAAGAATAAATTGAAGAGAAAGGACTGAATAGAAGAAACCAGTTAAGACAATGATATTGTTATCGTTGATCTCGGTTCCCCATTAAGCTCGCTCGCTACCGGACTTATCAAGATAAGCTAGCGTGCGACTTCCCAGACACAAGATTTCTGCGACCTTATCGCCGCCGAATGGGGAAGGATCGCTCCGCGCGCCTCGGGATTGGCCGAGATAACTAGACACAGGAAAATCGTAACTAGCACCAAAGAAAGAGCATACGAGCATGCAGAATGATAAACCATGCAGATCGTTTGGGATGATTGCTTGGCGCGGTAAGTCTTGGTCATGGTGTTAGTTTAGTTTTGTGGTTTCACTTCCATTTTTTGGGGTTTCAGTTTTAATTCTTGTATTTCATTTTGAGTTCTTTATTTCTACATCTTTTGATTTCTTCTGCATTGAATGTTGTTTCCTCGTTCGTAGGGTGACTCTAGGTTTCTGGTGCTTCAGTCTGAAAAAACGGTGAAATTTTAGACGGTGAAATTTAAGACAGAGAAAGTTAAAGACAGAGAAGTTTAGAAGACAGTAAAGTTTAGAGATGAGAGTTCAAAGCAAGGATTTTAAAAGAAGACAGAGTTCGGAGATGACGGAGATGAGAACGGTAAACTTGAATTAAATGGAGTTTGAAGGAAAACCGTCAATATTTAGGGCCGAATGTTTTGTCTTGATTCTGTGATTCTCTCCACCAACCTAGTTGACTATTTGAATTGATTTTGTCTAATATTGCGGTTTCTTCTCGAAATTGAAGCTAGAAATATTGAGTGTTTGACCAAATTTTTCTTTGCCTTATTATGACTTTCTGGTCTTCAGAACTCTCTTCGCAGATATATTGGAGTTGCAACACTTAAGTTTTTGCTGAAATGTTATAAAACCTTGGACGATGAAAGGCGATTGTACAACTTTGGCGATGATCTTTTAATGGTCAGGATTATAAGAAATCAGAGTTACAGTAGAGGTTATTCTCATTAAGGCAGGCTGAAATTCGTAATCTACAGACGTAGTAGCCGAGCTTTCTTGAAGGATTTTGGTTCCTTGTTCTTAGTTTGCCCAGCTTCAAAATTGTTCAACTTTAGGCTCGGAAATTGACCTCTTTTCGTATCTCTTGAAGCAGGTACGGCCGCATTTTGCAGCCAAACTTTAAGGCAATTGATGGTTTTCAGAAGAAGTTTTGAAGCCAGCACCACTCACAAGTGGTCAGGTTACATAGAAGACAATCCAAAAGTCTGTCAAAAAAAGCTTAACATTGAGTTACAGTTTAGTATCGTGCAGCACAAATGTGTCAAACACTGCGAAGTCAGTAGATCAGAATACACTACCAACTTGAATTCCAGCCTCAGCACCAAGACCAAATGGTACTACCAAATGAACTTTAAATAAATATCAAATAGTAACCTTCAATTCACCCTAGTAGTAATTCAACTTCAGTCCGAATATTTTTTGCATCTCCGAGATTACCTGCACAGCATTAGCCTCGATGCATGCAGGCAGGCTTAGTTCTCGTAAATCGGGAACACATCCTAATAACTGTGCAGCTTTTCACGAGGGGCGATGTACTATAATGCAGATTTTTAAGCATGCAACCGCAATCTGATGCCATACACTTTCAAATTTGCTTGGAAACAGTCTTGTGACCAAGAGTGTATACAACTTGTGGATCACTTTATTTCTTTTTCTCCACTATTTTCTATGTACGGCACCCAAAAGAAGTTTCAATAATATGCACAAATGCTTATGCAAACTCTTTCGGCACTCTTCACTACCTCCGCCACTACTGCGGACACTACTGCGGATCCGCGGCAACTTTCTGTAGCTGTTAAAAATTTAGTTTGTGTCATGCCGCAGGTCTCCGCCGTCGCACTCCTGGCTCATAATCGATCGCGCGACCAAAAGTTTTGAGGGGAGACTTTTTCTATCTATTCTTTCGTTTTTATTTGCATGGACCGTCGTGGATATTCGTGGCTATTCATACTGAACGGCTTGCACTCGTACAAATAGACACTCACATATTCAACAGCATCAAATATTAGACGACAAATTGCATTTTCATTCAACCTGAAGTTATCTTTTTCATCGACGTTCAAGCATTGACTGTACTTAAACAAAGCATTATTGAACCAAATATTGAACCAAGAACCAAATTAAACCATATTGTACCCAAGAACTCCTTTCCTCAAATTGCTCAGTCATCGTCATGTTCACTTTTTCCAACTTTAACCTCGCCAAGCTTTCGAGGAAAAAACTTCACACCGCCGCCATCTTGGCGCTTGCCTTTCTCGTTCTGCTTTCTTTCTTGTCGTTGGTTTCGGTCAAATCCGATATAGTTCCACAAATAAGCGCCATCAAGGTATCTTCCATCGACTCGCTCGCATCTCGGTTGTCGTCGGTGACCGTTGGAGATCCCGATGCTGCATTGGCAAAAAGTGTCGAGAACTTGTACCACACCAAAGTTGAAACCGATGTCGAAAACAAGTTCTGGAGACTCAACACCAAGATCGCCGAGCCGGAGATCGAAATCCCTTTTTTTTACAGATCTTCCGATTCGCAAAAACCGTCGATCCAGCCGTTTGATCCTCGGTTCACCATCGGCGTTTACTATCACCACATCAAAAAACAAATGGCAAAGGACCATCGCGGGTTGGTGTCGGTGCCGTTCCACTGGTACGACTGGCTCGACATGTCGGTGCTCAACAAGTATCTTTTGGCCAATCCAGCCAATAAAGGCGGCTGCGAACTTGTCGATGCTCGGCCAGAAAATGACAAAAACGAAAATAAGGGCCCGGACCCGGCTACTTTTTGCATTTCAGGAGACGATATCCTGTTCAGCCACGACGACGGTAACTCTATCCGGCCCGGATTCAACGTTTTCACCAATCCTGGACGGTCCACTTCCTCACAAGCAATATTGGCGGGCCAATCTTACCTTTACACATTTGCTCCTCCACCATCAAGAATGTACTTTTTGACCAAAGACGGCTACTACGACGTGGCCACCAATAGCAGAAAGAAATTATTGGACTCGGGACTCGTGGAGGAGTATGTGAAAGACACCCATGCGAGCAGCATTAACATTGCCAAAGAATTTAAATCACTTCAACGGAAAGTTCCTTCAAACAAAGAGGACATAATTACCGCTTACGAGGTGGAGATTCCAGAGGAGTCGTTTCATTTCAAATGGCAGGAAATTATTAATGAATACGAGACCAAAATTCTTGGAGGAAAACAGCTTTCCAAACTGGAATTGCGCTACTACCAGTCGCTCAAGTACTCTGCCGCAGCCGTGGCGCTGAACGGAGGTCCTCCCAAGTACTTTGCCGAGGCCCGACTTCACGGAACAACGTTGGGAGACCACTACGACTGGAGATTTTTCAACGGAGTGATGTACGGAACTTATGAACAGACGCTTGTTTTGCACCGGCTCGTTCGAACATGGCTCTCCTTTTGCCGCAAAGTGGGTATCACCACCTGGGTAGCTCATGGATCGTTATTATCATGGTACTGGAACGGATTTGCATTTCCATGGGACAACGATGTGGATGTCCAGGTGCCCATAATGGACTTGCACAAGCTCTCGCTCCACCATAACCAAACGTTTATCGTGGAGGATACCGAGGACGGGTATGGACGGTACTTTTTGGACTGTGGAACCTTTATCACGTTGCGTGAAAAAGGCAACGGAGAGAACAATATCGATGCGAGATTCATCGATGTCGATACCGGACTTTACGTCGACATTACTGGCTTAGCGCTTTCAAACACACGGCCACCGGACCGGTACCGGGCTAATCTTCCAGAAGACTTGAAGGAAAAACATTTCGAAGCCAACAAACAGTTGAAAACTTATAATTGTCGCAACAACCATTTTTCGTCGCTAGACGAACTTTCGCCCATGGTGAAAACTTTCGTCGAAGGTGAAATCGGATATGTGCCACGGGGATACACAGGCATTCTCCAGGCGGAATACTCTCGTGGATTGTTGAGTAAAACGTTCCAGGGCCATGTTTTTCTTCCGCAGCTTCGATTGTGGCTCAAAGAGTACGATCTCTTTTACTTTCTCAACGACCGAGAAAAATGGAACAAATATCACAATTACAACATCGAGTACGCCGAGTCGTTGGGAAACGGCGACGTCAAGTTTGACGAAAACAATTATGAATACACCGAAGACGAAAAGAAACACGGAGTCAAACAAGGAGATAAAATTGTTCCTGCCAAAGAAGTCAAGCTCACCGACGAGGATATTGAAAAAGTCATGAAGTTCCGCTCGGAAGACCTACTCGAATTCTTGCAAAAAGACGATGTGTTTATGTATTACTACACCACACAGCATTTCACCGCATTCCATGAAGAAGAAATAATGCGACTTTCATTTGGAAAGTCGAGCGAGAAATTGGTGAACAATGCGCCCGATTTCCAGCCCATGCTCGTGGAGCCATTCGAGTATTACATTCACAATAACTATGTGGATTATACCGACGAGGTGAATAAGTATGTAGCGTTGGAGGAAAGTTATCGACAGCAGGACGCAAAGCAGGAAAAGCAGAAGCAGACAACATGAAGTTGAAGAAGTCACAATTAATGAATTCGAAGAGTCACAAATAAATGATTATTACACTTGACAATAAATCAAATGACACTTGATAGTCTACACAACAATCATAATCATATTAATATACACCAATACTTTACACTTGATGGAGAGACTTGTACCGTACTCAGATATCGAGCTCTTCACGCTCAGGAACTTCAATTAGACACTTCCTTCATTACTCTCCATCTCTCTTGTCTCTTCTCTCTGTCTCTTCTCTCTGTCTCTCGTCTATCACTCCTACTTCTCCTTGTCTTCGGCAATTCTTCTCCAGTGTTCAGCCTCACGGTATGCCTTTTGCAATTCCGCCTTCAACTTTTCATTCGAAGCACTCAATTCAGATACCGCTTGGTCGGTCAAAAGTTTTTCAAGAGTCCATTTTTCAATATTATTACTCTCATTTTCCTTAAGACGCTTAATATATTCCACCGCCCGTTGCAAAATCTGCGACTTGTTTGTATCGGTGGTGGGAATCAAATTTGCCAATTCCTTGATCCAAAGATTAATTGACTCACGGCGTCTGCGTTCCACCTCTTTATGGTTCTCACGACGTTGTTTGTGCCATTCCTCCGAACCATGCAGCGGCTTTGACGACGAAGGAGGAAGTGTTGTTGGCTGAATCAGAGACATTCCCAGAGACGGCAGGTGCAGCCCACCTTGCGACTGTCTGAATGCATTCTGGTACGCCAATTGTTGCTGCAATTGTTGTTGTTGATGGTGCTGTTGCTGCTGATGTTGCTGCGATGTTAATGCAGCTGCGGCCGCGGCACTTGCAGGTTGTGCAGCTACAGCGGCAGCAGCTGCAGCAGCTGCAGCCAGAGCTTCAGAAGATTCTTGATTACCCTCGGGACTCCCATAAGAAGTTTGTTGACCAAGGAGCTCGGAATCAATGGCAATGTCATCTTTCTTATCGGTTTTCAATTTCTTTTCACTTTCGTGTCCAATAGAATCGGCCTCTCTTTTCGACATGTTTGGGAGATTTTACGGCGTTATTTTTGGCTGCAAACTCGAGGTGCTGATGTTGTTTATAGCTTGTCACGAGTTTTTATCATGTGGATTTCAGGTGGGCGGCATGGCGGGGCACGACCACAGGAATGGGCGGGCACGACCACGAGTTTTTGTTTTTTTGGGGGGGGGGGCATGCGCTTCTGCGGGTGGTCAGTTCATGCGCTTACGTAGGTGCGTCACATCATGCTATGCATTTACACATCTCTTACATCCGCATATCGGATGATGCGTAAATGTGTATAAATACAGCGGCAGATTGCTGCAAAAATCATCATGACAGAAATTACTTTGGGCCGTTACCTCTTTGAGAGACTTTCTCAACTCAATGTCAACTCCATCTTTGGAGTTCCTGGAGACTTTAATTTAAGTTTATTGGATAAGATTTACGAGGTGGATGGCATGAGATGGGCAGGAAATGCAAATGAACTTAATGCTGCTTATGCAGCCGATGGATATTCGAGAATCAAAGGTTTATCCTGTTTGGTGACGACTTTTGGAGTTGGTGAACTTTCGGCACTCAATGGTGTGGCTGGTGCCTATGCTGAGCATGTTGGACTCTTGCACGTTGTTGGAATTCCCTCAATCACCTCCCAAGCTAAACAGTTGTTGTTGCACCATACTTTGGGAAACGGCGATTTTACAGTTTTTCATCGCATGTCAAACAATATTTCGCAGACAACGGCGTTTATCTCAGATATCAACCATGCACCCAAAGAGATCGATAGATGTATCAGAGAAGCCTATGTGTACCAGCGTCCCGTATATGTGGGATTACCTGCTAATTTGGTTGATTTGAAGGTTCCTGCTTCTTTATTGGACACTCCACTTGACACATCGTTGAAACCTAACGATCCAGATGCGCAAGAAGAGGTTGTGGATCTCGTTTTAAAGTTGATTTCCGAGGCCAAAGATCCTATAATTTTGGTGGACGCTTGTGCTTCAAGACACAATTGTCGTGGTGAGGTGGAAAAGTTGGTGGATGTTACCCAATTTCCAGTTTTTACCACTCCAATGGGTAAATCTACCATCAACGAATCCCATAAAAGATTTGGTGGAGTTTATGTTGGAACTTTATCGCAGCCTGAAGTGAAGGAGGCTGTTGAAAGTGCTGATTTGGTGCTTTCTGTGGGCGCCCTTTTGTCTGATTTCAACACTGGTTCATTTTCCTATTCTTACAAAACCAAAAATATTGTCGAATTCCACTCCGATTACACCAAAATCAGACAAGCTACTTACCCTGGAGTCCAGATGAAAGAGGCACTTCGAAAACTCTTGGAAAGTGTCGCACAAGCCCTGAAAGGCTACCAACCATGTCCGGTTCCCAACGTCAAATTGCTCAACACTCCCGGTCCAGCTTCGACTCAATTGAGCCAAGAATGGCTCTGGACAAAAGTTTCTTCGTGGTTCCGGGAAGGAGACATTATCATTACCGAAACCGGTACTTCAGCTTTTGGAATTGTCCAGTCTCGGTTTCCCAACCAAACCGTGGGAATTTCGCAAGTTTTGTGGGGCTCAATTGGGTTCACAGTTGGAGCCACTTTAGGCGCTGTTATGGCAGCCCAGGAAATTGACCCGGCTAAGAGAGTCATTCTCTTTGTTGGAGACGGTTCGTTGCAATTGACAGTCCAGGAAATCTCCACCATGGTCAAATGGGAAACCACTCCATATCTTTTTGTTTTAAACAACGACGGTTACACCATCGAAAGATTGATCCACGGAGTCAATGCCACTTATAACGACATTCAACCATGGAATAATTTGGCGCTTTTACCTTTGTTCAATGCTAGAAACTACGAAACTTACCAAGTTTCTACCACTGGTGAAATTGACAAATTGTTCTCCGATCCCGATTTTGCAACAAATTCCAAGATCAGAATGATCGAGGTGATGTTGCCTCGTATGGATGCTCCGGCAAACTTGGTGGCTCAGGCTACATTGTCGGCACAAACAAATGCTGAAAACTGATGAGATATGAAGATAGAATAATAAGTTTGTTAGATGCTAATAGTATGAGAAAAAATACCGTTGGTGCTTTATAAACGAGTAAATTCATATCTACTCTTCTTCTCCTTATGAAATATAACTTAGATTTATGACTATCATTAACTCATTAGTACTTTTAGTTTTGAAGTAGACTATCTATTTCTTCTTATATATTTTACGTTCCAATCATAACTATATAAACCTGATCTAATTCTTTATTTATTACTAGAACTTTCATAATAAATTATCTTTAGAAGAATTTGGTACTAATCTTAATTTAAGGCTCAAAGTATTAATGGACCTTTAAAGACAAAATCCAAAGAACCATACGAACATGTCACCATGTAACTCATCCAAAAATACTACTAATTAATAAACCGATTACTTTCTTGTATCTATTGTAATGAAAGCTTGTATTCTCACTATTTTAGTTGGCCTTTTATCTGATCTGCAACCGGCAGGGTACATGTGGTGTACGGATGTGTTTACTGTGGATCGGATCCGAAGATTACCATTAGCTTACAATTTACAACATCATGTGGAGCTTCCGAAGGCTTCCCGGGCGTGTAATGACAGCAAAGCTCAGTATACGGCCGTTTTCGTCGTTCGGATTCCGGCCAGCTATATCGAATGGTACGGGACCAATTCCGGCCATTCCAGTTCCGAGGTCGGGTTTTGGCAGCCGGTCGCCGTTACCATTCTCGAGAACGATTCTGCGTGCATGTACATATGCACCGAAACCAAGGTGCATCCGAGGGTTGCATACCTCATCTCCGCTCAAGAATGAAAAGCCGTCCAGCCTCTTTGGCACGGAAATCTCAACGTCCCAGCTGAAGATGCTTGGGTCGTTGTTGAAGACGATTTGGCCGAAAAATAAACCAAATTTCAAAATCAGAGTGGTTATAGCGCTTTTACTCTTGATCGGTTCCAAATTATTAAATGTTCAAGTTCCGTTTTTCTTCAAAAGCATTATTGACGAGATGAATATCAATTGGGAACAACAGCTAGGAACGGTGGGAACCGTGGTTGGAACATTGATCCTTGCTTATGGTGGAGCCAGGTTTGGAGCGGTGCTTTTTGGAGAGTTGCGAAACGCCGTTTTTGCGTCGGTAGCACAGTCGGCAATCAAGAGAGTAGCCCAGAACACATTCAGACACTTGCTCAATATGGATTTGCAATTTCACCTTTCACGGCAGACCGGTGGGTTGACCCGAGCCATAGATCGAGGCACCAAAGGAATATCCTACGTACTAAGTGCGATGGTTTTCCACATTATTCCCATTTCTTTTGAGATTACGGTGGTTTGTGGCATTTTAACATACAATTACGGAGCCACATTTGCAGCTGTAACGCTTTCCACCATGTTAGCGTACTCAATTTTCACCATTAGAACCACCGCTTGGAGGACCCAGTTTCGGCGAGATGCCAATAATGCCGATAACGAGGCTGCAAATGTAGCGCTTGATTCATTGATAAACTACGAGTCGGTCAAGTACTTCAATAACGAGCAGTTTCAAGCTTCCAAGTACGAGTCTGCACTTTTAAAATACCAAAATGCCTCTATCAATACGGCAACTTCTTTGGCGTTTCTTAATGCCGGCCAAAATTTCATCTTTACTTCGGCTTTGACCGCTATGATGTATATGGGGTGCCAAGGCGTGGCTACTGGTGGTCTTAGTGTGGGAGATTTGGTGTTGATCAACCAGCTAGTTTTCCAACTTTCGGTTCCGTTAAACTTTCTTGGTTCCGTTTACAGAGAACTCAAGCAGTCGCTTCTTGACATGGAAAACCTTTTCCAGCTCCAGGAGCACGAAATCAAGATCAAAGATGTACCTGGAGCCAAGCCGTTGGTGCTCAACCAGCACACCATTCCCGGAGAAATTCGGTTTGAAAATGTCACTTTTGGGTACCATCCCGACCGACCCATCTTGAAAAATGCTTCGTTTGTGATCCCAGCAGGCCAAAAAGTGGCTATAGTTGGGCCCTCAGGTAGCGGAAAGTCAACGGTTTTGCGGCTAGTTTTCCGGTTCTACGATGCGCAACTGGGCCGAATTTTGATAGACGGCCAAGATATCTCGCAAGTAACCATTGAGTCGCTTCGCCGAGCCATTGGCATTGTTCCACAGGAAACTCCGCTTTTCAACGATACTATCAAGGAAAATATTCGGTATGGACGACTCGATGCTTCTGACGAAGAAATTGACGAAATGATAAAACGAGTTCAACTCGACAAATTGGTTAAGGATTTGCCCGACGGAGTCAACACCATAGTAGGAGAACGAGGAATGATGATTTCTGGCGGAGAAAAACAGAGACTTGCCATGGCTCGGTTGATGCTTAAGCATGCACCAATCACATTTTTTGACGAAGCCACATCAGCTTTGGATACCCACACCGAGCAATCGCTTCTCAAAACGATCCGCGAAGTGTCGCATTCGGAAATCAACACCAATGTCAGCATTGCCCATAGATTACGAACCATTGCCGACGCCGACAAAATAATCGTTCTCAACCAGGGCCGGGTGCAAGAAGAGGGAACTCACAAGGAATTGGTGGAAAAAGATCTGATCTACGCCAATCTCTGGAATATCCAAGAGATGTTTGAGCTCGAGAAGGAGGAAGGACTTGAGAACGAGAAGCTCCAGTAACACAACTAGTTGGTAGGACCGAATTATGAGCCAGGGACCAACGTGCATATAAGCGAAACCCGGGGCAAACGTGTGCATAAATAATATGCGGAGGGCGCAAGGCGCTTCCCTCGGTTCATGCATATGCTTTGACAGTGCTTCCAGAAGCACGAGGTGCAGTTCGAGTTTCGAATTTCGCCCAACGGGCTGTTATAAGTATGTACAAGTATTTCAAAATCATCTATGCTCAAGCCAGTTCGCTTGAAACGTAATAAACTGGATGCCCCGAATTCGGCCAATTCGAGTCCATTGGTATCACAGTCAGGCATTTTCGACTCATTTCCACCGTCGGTTCCATACTCATCTCCATCGGCCGCAACTTCCATGCCTAATTTCCACGTCAATTCGGGAAACCACACCAAAAAAGAATCGGTTTCTAGTCAATCCAGCGGGTTTCTGGATCGAAAAACAGAGTCGATTCTCACAGATATATGTACCTGTTCCGATTGTCGCCATGACTATGAAAAGCCAGCAAGCATTCCTGTTTCTCGTTGTACGTCTCCTATAGCTGAAGACCACGAAGAATGGATTGCTAGTACCATTCTTGCTGCAGTTAAGACCAAGAGCGGGTTCCAATGGGATATATAGAATAATGAGAAATTTGAAGAAATTTCAAAGTGGTAATTGACTTCAAACTGAAAGTGAAAGTAATCTTAATTGAATTGAATGAAGATAATGTAAGAAATTCAGCTCTTAGAGTGAAAACTCACCAATGTATTTTTCAGTTCTGAAAATATTCAATCTTCAATTCTCAGTAATTCGGTCTTCAATCCACAGTAATGAATAATCCATTTTCAGTAATATTATAATCATCAATTTTCAGCAATGAATAATTCAGTCTTCCATTTTCAGTAATAAATAATATTCAGTCTTCAATTTTCAGTCCTGAAAAACATTTCAGTTTTCAATTTTCAGTAATGAATAATATTCGGCCTTCAAACTTCAGAGATGAATAATAATCCAGTCTTCAATCCTCAGTTTTAACAATATATCAGTCTTCAATTTTCAGTATTGAATAATTCAGTTATCAATTTCAATAATTCAGTCTTTCATCACAGTAATGAATACTTCAGTCTTCAATCCGCAGTAATGAAGTATTCAACCTTCAATTTTCAGCAATGAACATTATTCAGTCTTCAATCCTCCACTCCACAATTACTCAAACACCTCTTTCTCAAGTCTGTCATAATACTTTCCAATAATTTTCTTCTCCTCATTTTGAGCCTCGATCTCCTCCATAATATCTTTAAGACCGTGTTCCAGCAACTTTGCCAATTTCTCCTCGACAAACCGCTTTCTCTTCAAAATAAGCTCTTTGTCGTATTGCATTATGTCTCCCAAAATAATAAGGTCCATATTCTTCATTGTCAGTGCAAGCTGTTTCGCCCAATCGGAGCCCTTTCTTAATGATTTTTTGGCCCATTGATCATAATGCAAATTGTACCACTCAAAGATCTTGAGCCGGTGGTGCTTGGAGGGCTTGAACTGGAACCCCAAAAGACTCAATTCAATCAATTTGGAGTCGATATTTGTCATGGTGAAATTCAAGCTTTTAGCTAACAATTCCTCAGATTCACAGAACGATAAACTTGAAACGGCTACGGTTTGCAACTCAGATACCGAAGCGTTGGTATGGGCAAGAATCGACAGGTTGGAATTTTTCACCATCAGAAGAATTTGCTTATATTCCTTCTGGTTCGCAACCGCCATGGTGAGGTTGAATACTGCCGATAAAAGCTCTTTGGGAACGAAAAAGCCAGGCTTGGGGTTCATTAGCAACCTGAATATCCGGCGGCAGAGACTGGTGGAGTCTGGGTTTCTACTCAACAACAAAATTGAGTTTCTTGAAAGCATTTCGTTTTGTGAGTAGTTGGGTTGAATATTTGTCAAGTTGTCCCAATTGCCCAATTTGCTCCAGAGTTCTGCTGTATATCTTGCAAGCCAATTCTGGAACGCACTATAGTGTGAAAAGTGTAAAAGAATGGCGTTGAGAGTCTCCAAATAATTCATAGCCATGGTGAGAACCTCATAATCCAACTTCCATTCTGGTTGGCTCAATACTCTAAGATAAGCTATGAGTGTCTTTAATGAGTTTTCGGTGTACAATTCCTGTCCCAAGAGCTTTCCTGAGTCGAAAATAAATGATATTTGGTCTTCGGTGGACATGTATTTGACATTGCTGCAAATTTCACCAATTAGCATTTCCAGGTAAGACACACGATGGTACCCGGAACCATTGAAATTAAACAAAACTAACCGAGAAGACGGCAAGTTTATCTCTGTTCGGCGGTCCAGAAGTACCAAATTAAGTATTTTGACGTCTCCATTATCGTCCAAAACCTTTATGGAAAGAGGAACTTGATATGGAGAATTTTCAATATCTTGCGACTTTGGATCCGAGTTGAAAATGAATCGATTTTGCTCAATTGTTATGGTATCGTCTGCTCTTGAAACCTGTAAAATTGGGTATGCTGATTGACGGACCCAAGAATGGTAAAACGCATTCAAATCTGCCGAAGCATGGTCGTTGACAACGTTCCAAAACTCAAAAGCCTTAATAGACTTGAACTTGAAAGCCTGTATAACCTTTGAAACCGCCAGAGAAAACCGGTCGTATGTCTTTGACACTTTTAACGTATCTTGTTGGACAAGATTTGCAGCCATATTCAACATATTTATACCTTTTTCGTAGGCAGTTCTATCAAACAACGTAGAAGTTGAACATTCCAAACCGGTACTCAACGACTTGGTGCAGTCATGAATACTAGGAATGATTCCAGAACCCAAGAAGCAATCTCTATCCATCATTTTTTCATAGTCGAGAATCATATTGAGTTTGAAATTTGGATACAAACCCACCAAATACAACGCATAGTTTCCAAACCAGGTTGCAAATGCCTCATTGAACCAGAGATCACGCCAGTCTTCAAAAGTCACCAAGTTTCCAATCCATTGGTGAACCAATTCGTGTGCGAGAAGTTGGTGCAAACTTTGTAGCGATACCTCGTCAGAATCCATAATTAAAAGCTGACTCGAAATCACAGTCACAAGACCCCAGTTCTCCATGGCTCCATCAGACAAGAAAGGCAATGCCACAAAATCGAGTTTGTCCAACGGAAATTTGCAGCCAAGTAGGTCCTCCAAAGTGGGTAATAATTTAGTGATCAAGGAAAGCGCAGCTTGAGCATTTTCCGCTTCTCCTTTAAGAGCATAAACTCTCACGGGAATTCCACTTACGTGAGCTTCTACATGGTCAAAGTGACCTGCAACAAATCCAAAAACCGATGTCGCAATTGGAGGAGTTTCTTTGAAATGAAATTTGGCCATTCCGTCTTCTAATTGATCCTTTTTCTCGAGGATTCCCACCGAGGCAACAGAAAAGTCGTCTCTGGTCTCAATTGACAACTTTATAGGAACTTTGAGAGACAATTCATCGATTACCGGAAAAACTAGTCTTGCTCCGTGAGGCTGCATATGCGTAGCGATGATAAGATTATCTGATCTTCCTTCTATAGCGTCCAGATAATTTGTTTTGAAGAGTCCCTGAGTAGTGTCTTTGAATGTTTTAATGGTGTTGATCTGGCCCATATAAGATATGTGAACCGAGACTTTGTTTGGAAGCTTTTCCGGTACCGTCAAAGTGACAGTCTGTGCCTGTCTGTCATATGCAATCTGAGCCTTCTTTGCAGGTTGGGACTCGCAGGATACCTGAGCCGACATGATTACGAGCTTGTGTGCATGAAGTACCAACCGGAATTCATCATCATTATCAATTCCGGTCCTATCGACCTCGGCCACCAATTGCCCGGAAAAATTGGGCTTAGCGTAGTCCACCTTGACATCCACGGCGTACCGCGTCGGCAAGTATGCATTTTCTAGCGTCAAGGGCCGCATCAAATCTGGAGGTTTTTCACTGGTTGCAGCTTTATGAAAATATAACGCTTGTCCTGCATAATGGCCGATGCCAATACCGCCCGCGGTACGACGGTTATGTGCAGATCCGGGCCCCAACATTTGCAGATAAGTGGTTAGCCAACAGGAGTTAGGGTATTTTGGTCATTGTCATTGTTTTGAGATTGCAGCTTGCGGACAAGTCAAACCGGAGGCTTAGGGCGCAATCAGCTGACACCCAAAGTTAAAATTGTACACTTACAAATATTTATTCACGATTTTTTCAACCAGTCACGAATCTTCAAAAAAGTGGTTTTTTTAGTCAAGTGGTCAATTTTCATATGTTGGACGTCAAACCGCCACACAGCGACTTGAGCTTCAACTCTGTAGACCAGGGTACCATAAAAATCGAGAGTTCGGGAGCTTATATTGCCAATGATCATCTTCTTCGAGAATACAATCGTTCATCTCGAACACCAACTCCGCCAAGCTCAGGACAACCTTCGTCAGATTCCGAGTCCGATACCGACTCTTCGGGTGAAGGAGCACCAATGACTCCCAATCATGAAAGTCTGACTGTCAGTTTGGACGGAAAAAATTTGGCAGTTGACACTCCTACCAAGCGCCAAAGAGCTGCTACTCCAGACGCCCACGAAGTCGCTAAGAACATCACGCTTCCCAAACACAACTCGGAGGTGATCCATATATCCGTTGATATCGGCGGAACCCTTACAAAATTGGTATATTTCACCAAAAGCAAGGACACAGAACAAGGCCGAAACGGTGGAAAACTTCACTTCAAAGATTTCCCCACCGAGAGTTTTTCGACAGAAGTGCTCAAATTCATGATCCACTTGATCAAAAAGTCCACCAATACCAAGTCCCAGCCGCCCATCACATACATTCTTGCAACTGGTGGAGGCGCCCACAAGTTTTACCAGCTCATGACAGATACGTTTCGGAAACGGAAATTGCCGATGAAAATCGTAGCGGAGGACGAGATGGAGTGCTTGATTCGCGGGTTGGACTGGCTCATCACCAAGATCCCCAATGAGATTTTTGTGTACGATCTCAAGGAGAACAGCACTCTGTTCATTCCCAACCGACAAGACGAAAATATCTATCCGTATCTTTTGGTAAACATCGGAAGCGGAGTGTCGATGATCAAGGTTACCGGACCTGGTCGCGACGGATTTGAGAGAATTGGAGGCTCTTCCTTAGGTGGAGGTACTCTTTGGGGACTTCTCTCGCTTCTCACCGATGCCAAAGACTACAATGAAATGTTGGAAATGGCCCAACGAGGCAACAACGAAAACATAGACTTGCTCGTGGGTGACATATATGGAAGCAGCTACAACAAAATCGGACTTAAATCAAATCATATTGCATCTTCGTTTGCCAAAGTGTTCAAGAAACTCAGTTTTCTGTCGGAGAAAAAACTCACTCCCGCAGAAAAACTTCTGCAGTTCCGGTCCGAGGACATCTCGCGCCTGCTCTTGTACCTGGTGTCCAATAACATCGGTCAAATTGCATATTTACAAGCATTACGATTCAATCTCAAAAGAATATATTTCGGAGGAAGCTACATCTCGGGCCATATGCAGACCATCCACACATTGAGCTATGCCGTGAACTTTTGGTCAAAGGGCGACATGAAGTCGTACTTCTTGCGCCACGAGGGCTACTTGGGAAGCGTGGGTGCGTTCACAATGGGTCCTAATAGTGAGGTGATAAATGGCTAGTGGCCTGGTGCATTGATGTGCGGCTAGGTCCATGCAACGCCAATGCAACCGCAGGTTGCAGCGAAAAAGTCCGGCTGCACAGCTGCAGTACAGCTGCAGTATTACGAAACATAACGGTAAATATCCTGGCAATCACGACATATATTTCAATTCCACTGCAAATTTTTCATTTTTTCCATTTTTCTTTCTTGCAACGTTGCAGTGACACAAAACGGCGCTTACGTCATCGCAAAACCCCACCACCTCGAGTATAAAAGGCTGTCAGCTGAAAACACCAAAAATGTCAACCACGGGTGTTCCCGCCTATTATCAAACCAATCGACAAAAGGCGTCTCCGTTTGTCAACTACTACCACCAGAACCTCTACTCGACGCAGCCGCACCAGCCAATAAATCTGTACAATTCAGAGTGGAGATCGCCTATAAATACCCCAACTAAAGAAATGGCCACTATAACATCAACAGTCGTGACGGAAGAAAGCGACCCGCGAACTCCCAGCAAATATTATGTGACGCCTGGGCGCGACAAGGTGAAAGAAAGGGAGAGTTCCGGGCCGGGAGGTGAAGTCGGTGGAGTCGGTGGAGTCGGTGGAGTCGGTTCTGCAACCGGTGGAATCGGTCCTTCTACGACTTCCGGTTCTGCAACCGGTGGAGTCGGTTCTGGGGTCAGTCCTTCGTCCCGCCCCTCCCCCGCTCCCATGGACGTCCTATGGGGCATGCTCAACACCATCGTGGGCAAGGATAAAATGGCCAAAGTGGGCCAGTACACTTTGCGGTTGTTACTCTACCATGCTTCGAAATCTCAGGAATATTTGAGTGACGAGTCCATCAATATCGACGTCATCAACCACCGGTACTACGACCGCACAGCAAAGCTCAGTCTTTTGCAAAACTTCTTAAAACATCCAGCCAACTTTCTGCGCATCGTCATTATACTATTCTGTTCAATTTTCTCAAGTCGATTGACGCCGTTGGTGGGCGGCTTGGCAATGTATCGACAGTTTCTTCGATTTGGAAAAAACTCCATTTCGAGTCCGTACTTTGACTCGTCAAATACGTGCTACTGTCACCAAAGATAACAAAATAGAACTCTCCAAAGTGCAAGATTTGATGACGAGAAAAACCTTGGGCGACTTGTTCTCGTTGTACTACGGCATCCATGACGAAATTCTTCTTCTTTTCAAACTCAAATTTTTCACCAGCAAAAGTTTCCAACAGTATGCCGCTCGTCACGAATCCCGAGCTTGGTACTACGAAACACTTCTTGCGCTTTACAACACTTATGAGCGACTTCAGCAGCTTTCGCAGCAGGAAATGGATATGCGAATTCAAATTCAGGTCAAACAAAGAGCAAAACTGCTTTCTAAACAATTGTTGGGAGGATCTCAACTGTTGAACTCGAGCCATTATGAGGACCCTACTGACCTCAACCAGCTAAAGGATATCCAGTTTAAAAAGTATAATGCCTACATTGACATCTACAAGTGGCTCGCCGACTTTGCATTCAATACTTACACTGTTTTCAACTTGAAGCTTCCATTCGATACGTTTCAAATATGGATGGGAATAACGGCTTCGTTGCTTAGTAGCATCAAGTTGTACCGAGAGACAAACAAAAAGTTGGTGGAGAAACAACTCGCGCATTAATGATTATGAGGTGGATTTCTGTATTAATATCTAAGAGTAATGATGTGAAGCATTCTGGTTAATGGCATCTTAGAGGAATAGATTGAGGATTCAGTTCGTGTGAATTGAATTGGAATGGTCAATAATTAGGGCGATCAAATCTTTTACTACTGAGAAGATCATTCTTGACAACCTACAGTTCAGATTGAATGTATATACATGCTTGATACAATGTGTTCCTGATAATATGGTTCAAGCTACTTGATGCAATTGATAGAAAGAAGATGGAGCATGCCAATTTAACGACGAAGGAGTTCTTAAATTGTAGACAAATGATTCTTATACAAGAAGCTATCATATTAGATATTCTACGAGAAGTCAACAAACTCAAGAACTAGATTCGTTGGTATATATAATTGAAGATTTATTGGATTCATCACGTCAAGTATATACAAGTGGATATTATAGATTAAATATCATTTGTAAAACTATTGTAGATTTTTGTAGACTATTTGCAGAATCATCGTAGAATTATTGTAGACTATTTCTATAATTCTTTGTAGACTGTTTGTAGATTATTGTAGACTATTTGTAATTATTATATCTCACTTACTAATTCTCCAAAATCTCATCAAGCCTAACAGTATTTGGTACTTGTGCCGCTTCCTTCCAAAACTTGGAAGTATGGCGCTCTCCAGAGTCACAAGCAATGGTAACAATATTATGGCCTGGACCTAATTTGTATGCTAGTTTTGCAGCTGCTACACAATTTATAGCTGCGGAGGTACCCCAAAAAAACCCATCATTCACCGTAAGAAATTTAGCCATTTGAATCGCCTGGGTGTCAGAAACTCGTATAGCTTCGTCAATATACGGTTCTGCTTGCTTGAAGTTATGTGTGAGTCGATTAAGACCAATTCCTTCCACAAGCGTATCCACTTGATGTCGTCTGCGAGTTCCTTCTTTTTCCACCAGATCGTACATGACTCCAAAATTGATCCTGTTTGCCAATCCTGATCCTTGTGGGTCAGCCAATACCACGCGAGTGTGGTGGTCTTGTTCCTTTAAGTATTTTGAAACTCCAGCAATAGTTCCTCCGGTTCCGGAACCAGTGACGAAAGCGTCGATTTTGCAGCCGTCCATCTGTCGCGCGATTTCCGGGCCGGTGGTGCGGTAATGGATGCGCCAATTGGCGTCATTTTCGAACTGGTCGGCAAACGCAGCCCGTCGCCGGTCGGTTTCGTCTGCATTGATTGCAGCTGCACGAGCCCGCGCTGCATTCGTATATTGGTTGGGATCTACAATCAGAGCCGGATTGACCGGTTCTATGGTTGCACCCAATGCCTTTAACACTTGTAATTTTTCTGGCGACGTATCGTTGGGGAGACAGATATGGGCCGTATATCCTAAGGCATTTGCAAGTACCGCCAATGAAATCCCTGTGGATCCTGAGGTGCCTTCAACCACAACGTCATTGCAGCGAGGACGTAATGCACCTGCACCCTCGGCTGCACGCAAAATGGCGAGGGCAACCCGGTCTTTTGCCGAACCCCCGGGATTCATCAATTCGAGCTTGGCCCAAATTTTGCACCCGGTGAGTTTTGAAAGCGATTTGATCTCCACCATAGGGGTGTTGCCAATCAATGACTCCACGCCACGGCTCCGCGGACGAAGGACCGTAAGGTGTTGGTGGTCTTTAACTAGCTGGTATAATTTGGAAATTGCAATTGCTGCAGCTGCAACTGCAACTGCGGCTCGAAGTGCAGCAAACGAAGAAGACATGCATTCAAAAAGAAAAAATCGCACCTGAATCAAAAAGTTCCCTGAGCGGCTTGCACCTGCATAAACCAACGGCGGGCCAGTGTTATATTTTGTGGGGGCAGTTTTGGTTGTCATATAACCGCACCACCGATGCCCAAGGGAGAATGGAAGTTACGAAAAGTTCGGAGCGCTCGTGCATGTAAAGTATGCCGCATGCGTAAGGTGCGGTGTGACGCCGAGATACATGTTCCCTGTACCAACTGCATCTCATTTGGATGCGAATGTCAACTTGCAGAACCTCGGAAACGACGAACCGGGGCTGCAGGAGACGCCGGATTTATTATGCTGAATCTCGAGGGTCAAGATGACGGGTTTCGCATTTATGCCGGCCAAAACTCATCCAATTTTTCCGCAAGAAAACAATCTTCTTCTTCCCTCAATTCGCCCCAAAATGAAACAAAAGCAACTCCTGAAAACAACGAAAGATACAATCCCAATGAACCAACCTTGAACATCTCATCCACAAATGTAGCACCTACCTTCAATATCTTGGGAACTTCCAACACATATACCGGGGTAAAACCTTCGTTTTCCGGAGTCAACGAATTCTACTATCTTGGTCCATCTTCCGCCTATGATCTTATAATGTCTGAGGCGTTGGGAGCCACCTCCCACGGAGCCCAGGATCACGAGAAAAACAATCCACAACCACTTCCCATCGATCCTGCTGAATTAAATGCCGAAATCCAAATTCTCACCATGAAGGGATCTTTCCATCTTCCTCTGGATTTCGTGTGCCACCAGCTTTTTGACACGTTTTTCCAGTACGTACATCCCCAGGTGCCCATCGTGAACAAGCAGGTGTTTTTGGCGCATTTTAATGACCCGGATCCCAACAAAAGACCGCCTCTTATTCTCATCCAGGCGATTCTTCTCGTTGGTGCCAAATTTTGCCGCCACCCCAGCATTCTTGACGCCAACAATTCCACTTCCACAGTGGTGAGGGCGCTTTTCCAGAGGGTTAGGACGCTCTACGAGTCAACGGTGAGCTTCGAATACGTCGGTTGTGCTACCGACACCGAGGTGGATGAGGGCCATATTATATTCAATTATCCCACCGTGATCGTCCAGACGCTCTGCCTTCTCTCGTGGTACGACGAAACGCCAGATGCACTGAACAAATCGCTGTTTCTTTGGCTTCGAAATGCTCTTTCCACGGCTCAAACTTACGGCATTCACAGAAACCTCGAGGAACTTCCTGTGTACTCGTTTCTCCAGGCCAAATACGGCAACACCCCGAAGGGATGGGCAGCACTCAAAAAGTTGGCGTTTGTTTGGCGAAAGCTTTGGTGGTGGATGATCACCAGAGACCGGTCAATGGCGCTTTCTTATGGCCGTCCATTGGGATTTGAGCTGAAACACGCAAGCGCTTTCCCGCTTCATATGGCAGACTTTCAGCAATACGAGGGCAACTGGTCCGGGCTGGAAGAAGATACAATTGGTGCCGAGTTTTTCATCCACACTACACGGCTAGCAGAAATCCAAGGGTTGATTTGCAATGAAGAACTTTCTGTCAGAACCGTGCAACAGCGCCAGGCTTTTAACCGAGTCCAGAGTGTGGTTCGCCAGTGCAATTTGCTCATGGGAGCATTTTTCCGGAACCTTCCCTCAAGGCTCAAATTTCTGCCCAGTTGCACCAACAAGTATGCCTGTATCATTGGAGTGCAATATTACATTACACTCTATCGGATCAACCGGTTGCAAATTGGCCGTGGGGGCAACAATATGTACTGGGGAATCCTGTTCCAAGCCATCTACACATGTCTGCTTATACTCCAGACGATTCTGGACAAAATTCTGGAGGGTGATCGGCCGGTATACCCAGCCTATATGACGTATGCTGTCACCCTTGTCATCTTTGTGTTTGGGCTGCACATCGACTCCAACAATGAGTTAGTTGCAACCACTCTGAGGCAACGGATCGATGTGGGATTGCGGTCGCTTCAAGCATTTACCAAAGTGTGGCCGTCGCTAGCAAAAATGACGCTTGATTTTTTGGCCAACAGACTTTCGTATCCTGGTGAGTCTGACTTTGCATCGCGATTCAAGCACGTTGTGGTGCGTGCCAGTAATCTCGATAGGGCTTCTACACCCAGCAAACAACCAAAACTGCTTGCTATCAACTTTTTGCTTAACGATACCAATCTGGATGCCATGCACGAGAAGTTTGACGATCCCGACCAGTCGCTTCCAATTTATAATCTACTCACTTTTGAACTTCCCGAAGTGGGTTCTAGCTTCTACCTGACATTTACGCCAGAACAGTTGTTTCCCAGCCGTGAGGAGATCATGGAAGAGGGTCCAGACCACCTTCCAGATCTTCGAATGAAGATGTTTGATTTGGGAGAGCTTTACGACGGGTCGTTTTTGAACATGGACAGTGGGATTGACTGGAGCGAGTTGTATAACCAGACATGAAAAAAAGAAAAGGGTGGAATGAAAAGGAAAATTAATGGATAAATGAGTTAATGAAGGAGAGAAGAACTGAAAAATGAAGTCAATGTGGAAAGGAAAGGAGAATCAATGGTTAAATGAAGGAAAAAAAAGTTGGAAACCAATGAAGGAATGAATGAAGGAGGGAAATGAAAATGAAAGACAATGTGGTTGGAAAAACCAGATAGTATTTAAGCTAATGAAAGAAAAGGACGATAATGAGGAGGAAAAGAAGGAAAAGATGAAGAAAAGACCTGGTTGAAAATCGGTTTGAAAACTTGCGGAGGCTGCAAAATTAAAGACAATAGAGAGGAGAGTGTTATATGGTATAATGGAAGTGTAATGGTATTCAGTTCTTGAGTACTTTGACTTTAACTTTTGTAGCTTTTGAAAGACAGTTTTGGAGTAACTTTTGACTTTCGAAATATATTTTTGACTTTATTCAATTACCGTATTCGTCCACTACCCTTTCCGTCCGGTTCCGAGTCCGCACTCTCCGTGCTGGCTCCAGGCGCGGGGCTTAACGCGGGGTAAGAACCAAAACGTCGCTGCAGCCAAACACCAAATATAGATGTGCGCCTTCAAACTTGTCGCGGGTAAACAATTTTTAGTTATTCTGGTAAATCCTCATGACTCGAGTCAAGCTGGAAAAACCAGAAGAAAAGCCAAAGGCTTTCACCATCAAGTATAAAAGACCTCGTGGTTCCAGAGCATGTTTGGTATGTCGTCTGAGAAAAGTAAGGTGTGATGCAGAAATGCATATGCCTTGTACAAATTGCATCACATTTGGCTGCGAATGCACTCTTCCTCAGGCACGTAAGCGAGGAGCTGCGGGAGGTTCTGATCCTCGTGCCAAAAGACGCACGGAAGATGATCATTATGGCACACCTTCAACTCCGGGAAATACAAATCTGGCCGATTCTGGGGTACCTTTTTCCAACCTTCCCCATGCTGGTTCTACGGTTCCAGCTACTTCTGGCGGATCCCAAGGCTCTAGTACGGTAGCAGAACCCGTTCTCAACATCTCACAAGTTTCTGTGCCTCCATCGCTTACTTCTTCCTATAAAACGAGACCGCTGATCCACAAAAAAGAGCTCTTATCGTCGCGTGCTCGAGCGTCGCTCACGTTTTTGGGGCTGTCTTCCATCGGACCTGTTGCCAAGAAGGTGGGCGAAAACCACGTCCAGCTCACGGCAGACTTGTTCGATATTAGAGACGAATCGGTGGATTCGGTGGAACTCGAAATTTTGAAGCTTCGCGGGGCGTTTTTTCTCCCGTCCAAAGAACTCAGTATCGATATCATCAACTCGTACTTCGAGCACGTCCATCCCCTCATGCCTGTGATCAACAGAACCGAGTTTATGCGCAAGTTTATGGACCCCAACGACTCGCCGCTGCTTATGCTTCTCCAGGCAGTTTTGCTCTGTGGCTGCCGAGTGTCACAAAACCCGCTTTTATTCGACTCAAACGGCTCCAATAACTTGGCTTGTCTCACATTCTTCCGCCGTGCCAAAGCGTTGTACGAAACAAACTACGAAAGTGACCCGGTTTCCCTAATCCAAACCATCATTTTGATCGGCCTGTACTGGGAAGGTCCCGAAGATGTCACGAAAAACTCGTTTTACTGGACAAGAGTCGCCGTGGGACTCGCCCATGGGTTCGGGCTTCAAAGAGACATTTCGTCGTCCACGTCGCTTTCAAACGTGGAAAAAAAAATCTGGCGCAGAATCTGGTGGTGTCTATTCGAAAAGGACCGTAACGTTGCCATAGCGTTTGGCCGGCCCTCGGTGATAGACCTCAACGATTGTGACGTTCCTATGCTTACGATTGATGACTTTAACGAAGACGAACCAGGAAACCCTTCGCCATATCCTGTCAATGTGACGCAGGCGCTTTACTTTATCCATCTCGTGAAACTCGCGGAAATCACTGGGATTATCGTGAAACACCAGTACTCGGTCAAAGCCGAGCTGAACAAGAAAAACAAACTGCCAATCATCCAGCACTGTGATATGTTAATGGGTATCTGGTTCACCAATCTTCCTCGCGAACTCGAATTTTCCCTCAATGACACTTCCACCCAACATTTCTACAGCTGCCTTCTTAACGCCCAATACTATAACCGGTTGTACCTCATCCACCGCTCCAATCTTCTCAGAATGGCAAGACTGAACTCCACCAATCCTTCCAACTACAAGTATCCGTCATGGGGAATTTCCTTCCAGGCTGCTCGGATGATCTCCATCATTTCCAAGATCCTTCTAGACAAGCAGCAGATTTGCTACAGTCCTGTGATGTTCGTGTACATTTTGTTTCTGGCGATTATGATGTTGATATATCATGTTGACCTGCCCAATCACTTGATTTCCAGTGCTGCTTCCGACTCTCTTTTCGTTCTGAGAGCAGTGTTGAAGGAGCTCTCCAAGTACTGGCCCATTGCTGGCGTGTTGCTGAAGCTTTTCGAAAAATATGCCAATGACAAAATCAAGCGGGCGCACGTTATTGAGGTGGGCTCAAAGATGGCAGAATACGAGGAAATGTCGGCGGAAAACAGACAAAAAACCTACTACGAATATGACAATGATGGCGACCAGAGAGCTTCGGGCGAGAATAACCACCACGAGCCACTGAACAATGTTGAAAGTACAGATAACTACAGTCCCAATTCGGCGGTTTCTCCTACAGCGCGGCCAATGGGCGAGCAGCCGTTGGACCAGCTTGTGCACCAGTTGAAGCAATCGCTGGGAAAGAAGTCCAGCTCGGAACAATCTCCCACTTCGTCAACACAGTCTTTCCCAGACATTTCGTTGGTGACGGAAAATCTTCCTGCGAATCAAACATTTTTCGATAACTTTGAACCTACCCAATTGTTCCCCGATATCAAGCCCAGTCTTCCTCCCAGCCGTGCCCAGTCGCCGCCAACCATGAAGGAGGAAGCTGATATGTACGCAGACACTCCTGGGGTGACGCCCGGTGCACTCAACACAAACTTCGTTGACAGTTCGTTCATCAATATGAACCTTCAATCCACGGCAGACAAAAACTTTTTGACCGATGATATTGGCCTGTTGTTCAACTTTAATGACTGAGAACACGCTCTACATAGGAGATCGTATGACCCATTATTTTTTGTTGCGTTGTAGAAGTTCGTCGCGGCGCAATCGCTGGCTGTGTCCGATCAAGTTTTGCACCACCGATTCGTATATTTCAAAGTCGTTCTGCAACACAGACAACTCGTTTTGCCACACGCTGGCGCTGGTGCGCAACTGGCTGGCGTTGGTTTGGTATTGTTGTAGTTTGGCTCTCAAAGTTTCCACCAGAGCCGATTCGAGATACTGCAACGATGAGTTTTCCATATTTTCCGCCTCAACTCTGTCTATGAGCGCCAGGGTGGTTTCGATGTGGTGGCTACGAGTGCCAGCATCGAGATGCAATTCATTATAGTCGGGAATGTCGAGTCCATTCCAGTCGATTTCGGCGGCATTCACCGACTTGCGGCGTTCTCCGGCCAGTTCCTGACTGGCTGGAGCGGTGCTGATTTCGTCCAAGTTGACGGGAATGCCTAGGTTGACCAAGAGACGGTGGCGGACCACCAGACGGGTCCAATTGGGTGGCCGAAGGTGGGGAATGTCGGAAAGTCGTGAGTAGAGTTCGCTTGAACGATCCGAAAGAAGTTCTTCAGCAAGGTTTTTCGGTGATGACGGTGGTACGGGGAGCTCAAACATGACATCTAGGGACCGTTTTATGAGGGTTTGCCGCTCCTTGGGGTCGGAATAGTCTATCGTTGGAGTTGTGGGTGCAAAGGAATCCTGATCGTTTTCGTCTTGGTCGAAAGAACCGAACGAACCAAAGTCACTTTCGGAATCCGACGCGGATTCTGTGTGATCTGGGAAACTTGGGGGCTCCTCAGCGGCAAGCGGAGCGCCATTTGTGTCCATGGTAGTTCTTGGTATGTTGGTGAATTCGCGAACGAAAACTATCAGTGCGAAAACAGTATCTGCGAAATCGTGCGAAATCAGTGAGAAATGTTAATTCAGTGAGAAATCGTGCGACTAATTCAGCAACTAGTCACTATTTATACTAAAAGATTCAAACAACTTGCTTTTATTTTTTACTCGTTACCGCATTTCCTATCTACCACCACCACCTTATGACAATCATCTTTTTTTCCGTGGGAAATCCTCAGCGATCAAGACACTCGGCAGGACATCAAGTTCTCGAACACCTTGTAGAAGAGTATGGCAATTCCACCCTTTCCAGGCCGTCCAAGGCTGCTTATTCCGTGGCCACCGACGGCGAGGGCGTGTTTTTTGTACGTTCTGAAACATATATGAACGAATCTGACCAAGCACTCAAACAGTTTCTTCACCAGAACCGAATACGGCCAGGCGATAGTTCGCTAGTAATTGTCCACGATGACTTTGAACGTCCGCTCGGGACAGTAGGGCTTTCGCCGGCTCGGAAAAACGACTCCCACAATGGTTTGAAGGCATTGAAGCCGGTCCTAGACGGAATTTCCACCATGAAAGTAGCAGTGATGAATGTTGGAATTGGTCCCAAACCCAAGAACGCCTCGTCCAATACCATGTCCAAGTGGGTGTTGGCGCCGTTCAGTGATGTCGAGCAGCAAAGGTTTGACACCCAAACTGCAATTGAAGCTGAAAAGTTGGCAGCTGGTATTGTTACTGGAGAAAGACAACTAGTCTAGTCGTCGATCTCGTCGTCACTCGAATCGTCGTCAGATTCGTCTGTGAGCACAGCATGGGTCCCCTGGCTGAATCCCGGCAGCAAGGTTTCCTCTGCGCTGGATTCGGAGTCGTAATCGTCGTCGTAGTGTACGGTCTGCAACTGAAATTCTGGACCTGCAAATTCCGGAGTGCCTGAAAACCGAGGAGAGTGCTCGAGGTGGGCGGTGGAGAGCTTGGACTTAGTTCTGCCTCGTTCTATGGCGTTTTCAATCGATAACCGGTGTTTGAGAAAGAGAATTTTGGGAAACATATACCGCTCACCTTTCCGAATCATTTCACCAAGCCCTTCCTCACTTGGATCGCTCAAAATGTACCAGAAGTCCCTGAAGTTGTTTCTGGGCCAGATGGTGATCAGCCCCGTGAACCGCTGGAGCCAAATGCTCAGCCAGTCCAGTTCCAGAAGTCTTGGAAGCAAGTCGAGCGTTTTGATCATTTCCAACCATTTTTTGATTTCCAACTTGAAAAGGTGCTCTAGTGCCGTAGCGATGAAGCCGCCTCGAAGGGAGGCGTATTTTTCTCTGCGGGTTTTTCTTCGAGACAGTGCTACTGGTCTGCCAACCGACCCTTTTGGAGCAAAGAAAAAGAGCAGAATGTGTGGATTTACCTGGGAAACCACGGTAAAATTAACATTATAGTAAGTTTTGAGAGCATCGATTGGGATATCTGTTCGAAGCGAGCCGTCTTTCCACTTCGAACCCAACGAAAATGGAACAATTGTGTTCTTTTTGGAGTCTTTCATCATGAGAACCACCGGGTTCAAAATGCCAGGAACCGCCGACGACGCCAACAAACACAGCCAAATAATACAGTTTGGAGCGGTGATGTTGTTGCACAAGATTACTGGGGAGTGGGGGTCGGCAGGGACTGTGGAAATGTTAAGACGTCTTCCTGTTCGATGATACGCTTCCTGGAAAGTCAACGAACCAAGGGTAAAATAGTTGCTTTTACGAGCCCACGCCGTGGAATCAAACCTGGCTCCAGTGCGCCACCACCGGGGGATCCACACGTACCAGGGATCTTCACAGGCAGTAATTTTGCGAGCTAGACGAGGAACCAATAATTGTTTGAGTTCGTCGTCGGTACGAGTACAAGCCAATGCTGCGACCAACCCACCTCCAGAAGTTCCAGTGATGATGCTGGGAAGAAGATCGTTGTCTAGAAGCGCCTTGACAATGCCAAAGTGGGTATAAGCAAAGCAAGCACCTCCACTGAGACATAGTGCGGTTCTTCCATAATTCCGCAGTACGCTGCGGAAGAATCTGCGTTTATCTTCTGGGGTAATATTCTCAGATTCGGTGACATGGTCGATGGAAGCTACCACCTCGTCGATATAGACATGGACAACATTTTTGGTGCCGTAGTAGCGGTGGGCATAAAGTTGGCGATTTTCAATTCCGGCGAAATTCTTCTTGAGACAGCCTTGAAGAAAGACCATTAATTCTTCGTCCATTCCCCTCATACGAAGCATGCGTAATTTGGACGTGGTTCTCTTAACGGTGCGGTAATCATAGTACGAAAACCGGGGGATCGAAGACCACTTGTCGAGGTGCAAATATCGGTCAAGTTCAAGGGCATTTTCGATCCATTCCTCATAAGTTTTCGATGCCCGCAATTTGTTTCTCAACACTTTGCGCTCACCCACCCATGTCAACATATACTCCAGCAATGCAACATAGGCACGAACAACAGTATAGAGTATACAAAGTAGAAGAATCCACACTGTGATTATTATTAGAAACGGCCATCGTAACAACGTATAAGCTGCAGACGACCGGAATTCATCACGCGTGGAAGCCCGCTTCTTGCGTCCCTTTGCGTCTGCCTTTGCTTTTGATTTTTCAGGTGCATTAATAGGGTACCAGTCGTTGTGAGACACCACAAACTCGGGACGGCTCTTCTCCAGCTCGTTATTTGGCTCTGGTGTCAAAACCAGACTCAATTCCTCGGCATTGACCTCGGCAAGCTTATCACCCTCATAGGCCGGAAGTGGAGGTGACGCTAAACCATCGTGATCGTCATCTTCCCAGAGTAAAGCTTTCGCAAACGTGTTGATGTGGTTCTCATCGATATAGTCTTCGTTTTCGTCGTACAACGGGGTCGACAGGGTCATAAAGCAACTTTGCTGAGTTTCGGCCGCTGCTTGATCGGTTGCATGAATCTCATGCACAGTGTTAGGTTGCAATATGCAGGCTGATGTACTGTGCGGTGATACTCGGCCAAGATGAAGACGGAATGCCGCGAATTGTTTGCAATGACCGTGATTCTTGATATTGAGGGTACTGTTTGTCCCATTACGTTTGTCAAGGACACGTTGTTTCCGTATTTTCTTGAGCAATTACACCCCATATTGTCGTCGCTTCAGTTTCCGTTGGACAAAGCCGACCCCGTCGCCAACATATGCCTGCAGTTTCCCTCGCATGTGCAGCAAGATGAAACGTCGCTCATCACATATATACGACAATTGGTAGCATCAGACACTAAGGACCCTGTCCTCAAATCGCTTCAGGGATTGGTGTGGAAAAAGGGATATGACAATGGTGACCTTGTGGCACCCATATATGACGATGCCATCGCGTTGATAACTACAAGTTCAGAGCCAATTTACATATATTCCAGCGGCAGTGTTGCTGCACAGAAGCTCTTATTTCTGCACGTCAAAGGTAATCTCGATTTGACCCCACATTTAGCTGGATATTTCGATATCACCACCTCGGGCCACAAGCAGGATAGTACATCGTACAAATCGATTTTGCACGCCATAGGCAACCCGGAACCGGCCACAGTGACTTTTTATAGCGATTCTCCCGCCGAGGTTCGTGCCGCCATAGAAGCAGGCATGAAAGCCACCATAGTGGTTCGGCCAGGAAATGGGCCATTGACCGACCAGGACCGCCAATTGGGTACCATAACGTCGTTCCCATGATCGTACGACAGTTATAGTACATGTTACATATCCCTAAATAGAATATCCGCAGCCACCTCTTCGTTCTTGTCACAGGCAATGTACACCTGAATCACCAAATTGCGGTCGAACCCCAACTCACATAATCTGCCGATAGCGCTCTCATCCTGCTCCGACAATTGTATCGCTACTTCTCCGGCACCAAGACCTCCTTCACCGGCAGCCAATTCTCCTTCTGCATCGTCAAACTCGATGTCTTCTCCCTCACCCAAAAACGTCCTCACAAAAGCCTCAGGGTCCTGCTGGATCAAGGTAGCCACCTGTGGGTTGGACGCCGCGAGCTGCTCGAGTAACGGCTGGATGAGTTCTGGGTTTGTCTGCAATGCGGTTCTCAACAATCTCAATTGAGCATCGTCGCCCTGGTCTGCTCCGCCAGCGGCACCGCTTCCAGCTCCTGATTCGCCCTGCTGGGCCGCGGCGGCGGCAGCCTCAAAGAGGTTTTCTGCTCCTTCGGTGTTGTCGGCGTCGGCCGAAGTGTCGGCTTCAGAAACCGCAGACGGAGCCGATACCGCACCCGAAGCAGCAGCGTTTGAGATTTGTGGTCTTTGAAGCGACTCGGGGATTCCCGTCAACAAGTACTCCACCGCCCGGTGAGGGTTGTTGAATGACGCCCGCAACGCAGCCTCCACCTGAGTTCGTTCGTACCCCATTTCCATTATATTCTGAATGCTGGCTTCGCGCTCGTCGCCCAGCGCAAAGTCGCCGCCGCCAGAGGTGACAGCACCAGAGCCAGAGCCGGAGCCGGAAACTCCAGAAGTGTTAGAAGTTCCGGAATTTCCTGAAGTTGAAGTTTCATTTCCGGCCGTACTTGTAGACGCTTCAGTTGCCTTGGTCTCTGACTTTCCAGCTCCAGCAGTCTCGCTGGTCTTCGTCTCGGGTTTTGCGTCGCTGACCGGCTTCTTTTTCGCAACCATGAAAATAATTGAGTCTCCTTCTTTCACCTTGGAGTCGGTGATGGTCTTGTCATCTTGTAAAACTTTTCCAGAATACACAAGTTTGAGCTGTTCTGCTTCACAGCCCTGCTCTGCCGCGAGCTTCTGCTTAGCCACAAGCACCTGTATTAGTAAAAATTGTGTTTTTGGAGCCAACATCGTGAACCAACAACGTCGACATCGGTGAAAAAATCGTGATTTAAACCACCAAAACCCAAGTCCAAACTTACAGTGTCGTCCAGCCCGACATCAATGGTGACTTTCTGTTTCTTAAAGTCCTTGAAAATCACCTGCATCTTGTACTAACGCAATGCTTTATCCACTCGTCTTGACGTTGTGGCGATCTACCTTGTTGGTGTGCGGGTCTGTGCGCGCACGAATGTGTGGGTGCACCGGTGCGATGCCATTGATTTGGATTCGTTAATCAGCATCCTCTAAAGAGTTATGGCACGCCAGAAAAAGTCAACAGGGGTCCGCGGACCCAACAGTGCGTTGACAGAGTTCCTCCGTGTGGAGGGTATTACGGACGCGTTTCGGCGGCGCCAGGAAAGAAGCGAAAGTGTAGAAACTAGCGAAACTTCAACTGGTCCAGAAGAAGCCGAAACCTCAAATGGAACCGTCAGCAACAATGAAGAGGTTCTGGTTGCTGATCCCGAGGAAGACGCGATCCGCGAAGCCGGCAGGCGCAAAAGAGCGGGAAAATATGACTCGGACGACTCCGATGATGAATGGGTAGACGATGAGAGCAATCGAAACCAGGACAAATTCGGAGAAACTAGTGAATGTGCCGACTGTGGGAAACCGTTTACGTTGACGGTGTACTCGCGGTACCTTGCTGCCCGCAAGGGGTATCTCTGTGACGAGTGTAATGAGTTGGTTAAAGAGCAAGAACGAGCCAGTCGTCGGAGTCAATTTGCGGCGAGAAAGCGAAGAAAGAAAGTGGCGCTGGCGCTCTTGGATAGGACCCGGGTTCGAATTCCCAAGCTTCAGGACGTGTGTATCCGCAAGATCACGGAGAACATTGGCGATGTCGATGCTCTCGGAGACATTGGACAGTCCAACATTAACAAGGTTGCACAGATCTTGAGCAAAAATAGATCTCTCGATGAGACCACCATTCCGTTATTTCTCAACCCACAAATCACATCGCTCCGCCTCTGGGACTGCTCCAACGTGGACTCCGACTCGTTGAACAAAATCGTGGCATTCTGTCCCAAAATCCAGTCGTTGACCCTCTTCATGTGCGGCCAGTTCCATAACGATAACCTAAAGTACTACGGCACCAATCTTCTCGAGTTGACGTCTCTTGCACTCAACGGTCCATTTTTGATCAGCGAGACCGCTTGGCTGGATTATTTCGCCGACGGAGGCTCCAGACTAACAGAATTTGAACTTCGAAATACCCACCGATTCGGAAACGATTCCTTGATCAGCTTGCTAGAGGGCTGTGGTTCGAACCTCACGTCTTTGAAACTCTCTCGCTTGGATGGACTCAAGGAAGAATCAGTGTACAGCTTGATACCACATTACTTGCTGGCTTCGAAACTAGTTCATTTGGAGCTTTCCTACCCACACTCTGAGGGTTTGATCACCGACGACTTGATAATTAATATTCTTTCGGTTACCGGCGACACGTTGGTTTCCCTTAATGTTGACGGCTGTACGGACCTCACCGATAGATTTTTGATCGAAGGAGTTGCAAAATTCTGTCCTCGCTTGACACATCTTTCCATGGACTCGTTGGATCAGGTATCCAATGAAGGCTTCAGCAAGGCATTCGAAGATTATTCCAAGGTGAATAGTGGAGGACTCATTGGAGTCAACTTGCGTAAATGTGGACTTTTGGCAAACGAAGCAGTTTACTCGTTGTTAAAGCATTCCGGAAAAACTTTGGTGGAACTCAATTTGAACTCTTTGAGGCTCCTCACTAAAGATTTGCTCATAGATGTGCTTCTGCCCCATAAAGTGGACAAAGACAGTCAGTTTGATCCGCTTGATTTACCGCTACTTACTACGCTCGATATTGGTTTTGTGAGAGTTGTGGATAATATGGTATTGATGCTGTTGGGCCAAAAGTGCCCCAAGTTGGCGATTCTAGAGGTTTATGGAGATAATCGATCTACCAAGCAAGCCAACGTGAGGAATGATCTATTGGTCATTGGAAGACAAAGCGATACTGCTTAGCTATTCGGGGTACTTTATTGGGGTGTTGGTTTTCTCGACATTGCGAAAAGTTGGTAAGTCGGGTACTCCAGCTTGAGGTATATCGATATCCTCTATTGCAATTTCATTGGTGATACTTGGCTGAGCATCAACCAAGATACCAGGATGGTTTACATGCTTGCGAAGAAGCTTCAATAGCTCATATTCCTTGCCGTTTTTTTCCTTTCGGTCCTCCATATCCTGGACGATAAAGCTGTTATTGGCAAGTCGGCTTCGTAATTTGTGGTCAATAATTATGGAATTGCTACTGCTTTTCACCGACAACAAAAGATCGTCTTGGAGTTCTTCTCTGACAACCACAGGTAAATTGCACGTAGCATAATCGTACACTTGGTCCGCTATAGCATCGATGCATGTTTTGGGAAGTTGGCTATAGCTTTTGATGTAATTGATGACATTTCGAAGATTTACCATATCTTTCATCTTGACACCTTCGAACTCGACATAAAAGTGCCAGAATCTCGTGGATCTGGAGAGCGCTGGTTGACGATAGTATTGGTTGAAAAAGGTGCGCAAAGTTTCACTCGCCATTTTCCTGTCATCTTTGTACTTTTTGTCAACTAGGCGAAGATACTTGAAGACCACAATACAGATAGAATCATTATTCAAAAGTTGGAAAAACTGGTTGAGCTGGTCGCTATAATCTCCCTCTGGAATTGAAGTACTTGTATGGTCGTCTTCGAAAAAATTGGTGATTACGATTTTGCTGGTATTGACGAAATCGCTCGATAACTCAGCAAGAATATCGACAAAGAGCTTCACATAAACCAAATACTGCTGTTTGAGGTACAAATCTGGGCCAGCCATAGTTTCTATTATACCCAATAATTGGTCAAGTGCGGCGGTAGGCTCGTTTAACGACATCAAGTAGTAAATATAACTGACTCGAGTTGTTGTTTCGGTGACAGGAACAAAAGTATTGTTCGCTCTATTGTAGGCAACTTCGATTTTGGATCTTTTGTGCTCTATTTGAAAATTGGAAGAGTTTAGAAACGAGACGTATTTCAACCAAAATTGACTATCACCGCAGTTGGGAACGAGAGACCGCTCAAAGATCGAGACACACACGCTGTAATTGACCTCACTTGGCTCACTTTGAAATTTCGAGATAGCATAATCTTGGTACTCTTTCCAGATACTTTTTTCTTTAGGTACAGTTTTTCCATTGTAGTCAAAAGACTCAATTTGCGACTCAAAGTTCCAGAACTCACCCACAAGCTCTTGGATATTCGTGAAAACTTTGTAGCAGTAATCGTCGATGATTTGGCTGGTTTCAACCTCGGTGAATTCATCATCTGAAGACTTTTCAAACTTCAGTAAATATTCATCAATGACATCTTTCGAACAGATCTGGTGCAATTTGGCACCTTTGTTTATCGTTGAATAGTGCTCAAAGTAAATGGCGTATTTGTATAGCGGGATATGAGTAACTTTCGAGTAGATGGAAATTACCTCTTCCGACTCTGGACCGGAAACTTTCGTTTCAAAGCCAATGTACATGTCCCATATAGGATCGCTGTTAAAGTGGTGGCCAATGATATCAATTGCTTTGATAAAGAGGTTTCGAAGGCACTGAGCGTCGTTGTATTCGGGGTCTTGAGTGGTCATAGCCGTCAAGTATTCGGTCCACAATTCGACAGAAGTTGGATGTTTTTCGACAGATTGTGCAAGAACGTCAATTGAAGCGTCTATGCCCTGAAACTGAAACTTGAACACGGAGTAGTTCTTCCATTGGTGGGTCAAGTAGGGAAACCGTTCAAGTAGAGCTTTATAGTTTTCGTCCAAAAACAAACTTAAAGCATCGTCCAGCGTTCCATTTTCATTTTGCAGCTTGTATGAATCTTCTAAGGCTTTGAGGAACCGTTCCCATGCTTCAATGTCGTTTTTATCTCGATCCACCTCCGACCTCATCGCTTGAAATGGAACTTTAGATGGTTTGGGGGGGAGCTTAGAACCATTTGCAGGTGTGCTGGTGGGTCTATGGGGAATATTATTGTCGTTTTGGCGCTTTTCATGGGTTTTTCGTACATCTATAGGTAGTATTAATGTCATTTCAGTAATTGGTGAACCATGAAAATAGTTAAGAATTTCGCGATCTCATCTTTTTAGTTTGATTGAACATTTGCAGCTACACCAAAATATGCCGATTTCAAGCATAGAACCGTATAACGTTCAAACCGACAAGAACTCGGCTCTACTTTCACTTCTAGGTACCACAGAAACCACATACATACGCTCAAGACACAGAATACCGATTCCAGCAAATGTGGATTTTTCCAGCATAATCAAAGCCAACAATTCAAAGATTCTAAACAACACCAACGATATACCCAAGGACCCACAGGGCACTCAAACTTCCGAGGAAGTGTCACAAGTGGAACATGTTTCACAGAACCTCACATTGAGTCTTTTTGTTAATGTTAACGACTTCTTACCGTCCAACTTTCAAGAACAAGTTTGCACTGTTACCATCAAAAACTTTCCTGTGGTGCTGGAATTGGCTACAGAGAGCGTACTAATGCATTTCTTTGACAAAACCAAATTTTCGTGGTCAATAATAGAAAATTCGAATATTGAAAACCGACTCATTTTCATTCGATTTTCCAGTATCGATCATTTACGATGGTTTTTAGCCAAAAACGTCCAGCACGGGTTCCACGAAGCCTTCGGTGCCCAGGTCTATACTGAGCCGCTTGCTGGCGAGTTTTTGAAGGATTTACCCGAGGAACCTTTTTCCGCTTCTTTGGCTCCGATAAGAGCACTTTTAGCAGCATCCAAAGCCGACAAAGGAGACGATGCTGGCTTGGACTACTATAACAAGTACAAGGTGGATGAGCAGGAGCTCATTGAGGTGCCGAAAGACTTGAAAGAAGATATTAAGCGAGATATAATTCGATTTAGAACCAAAGTGCTCAAAGACGAAAAAGAAAACCGGCGAAAAGAAGCCGAGGCTGAACGGATAAGGACCAAAAACAAGCTCAAGTCGCTCTTCCTGGATGCTGTCAAGCAAGATGACGAGCCGGTAGACACACCAATGACCGAAAGTGCTGAGCATGAAGAAATGGACGACGCTCAATACGACGCATTTCTCAAGGAAGAAAGCGCCAAAAAGTACCACGATTTATACCAGACAAAAGTGTCCGCTTTGGATGAGCTTGAGAAGTCACAGAGAGCAGTTCTTGCTGCTAATCTTGAAAGAGAAAGAAGCTACGAGAAACAGGTGTTGGATAGTAAACTTCAAATTTTGCAGCAATGGAAAAATTTTGACGATGAAAAAATCGACCCTGATTTGCCGGCTCGTTTCCGCCTTTACTACACAAACCACCCAGAGTATCTAAGATTAAGAGCCAAAGAAAGAGAGCAAGAAGAAGCTTTGGATGCTGCCGATGAAGAAGCTGAGAAAAAAGAGCTCGCTGCTCACGAAAATGCCAGTCAATTTCTCTCATCTTTCGTCAAAGAAAATGTCACCGAAAACACTCCAACTAAAAATTCTGTCTCTAATGTGGTTTTTGCAAACCTCGACACAGAGTCGTTGCGCAGCAAAATCAGTGATTTGGTTGAAGAATTTTTGGGTGTTAAAGAAGACTTCGTTATCGACTTCATCTACAAGCATTTGATTGCGCACAACTTTGAAAAGAACCAAGAGTTGATCGACGAGTTGACTGAGATTCTTGACGAAGACGCAGTCACGGTCATAGAGCGCTTGAAAGAGTACGTGAGTCTGTTATAAAGGGTATATTGAATACTAGAATAGAATAATACATGAAATGACGAGAAGAACTCAAAATGTCCGTTTAGGTCTGCCCAGAGTCGATCTTCGATCTTTAGACTATCAAAAAAATGCTAGTTTGCGTTCCACAACCTATGACCACCCGAGTGAGTTCGATGCTTGAACTGGGTCAGAGATCTGGACACTCTTCGAGTGCGAGCCGCTACCAGATGACTGGTCGACTCTGTTGTGGAAAACAAAATCCTCGACGGATCCAACATGACTCTCGGAATCCGAGTAGGGAAGCTCGATTCCGCTCTTCTTTTTGTATTTTTTGAAGAGGAGGACCATCAACGACATATACAACCCAAAACCTGCGGCTGCTCCAATGGTGATTCCGGCAATCTTTCCTTTGTCGGAAATCTTGGAGTTCGCTCCGCTAGAATCCATTGAACCGTAGTTGGTGGATGTACCGCCTCCGCTATTTGAGCTGCCAGACAAGTCAATACCAGTCAACGGTATACGGTTGTCAATTAATGCTGCCAAATTGTGCTCAGTTGGATTGGTATTTCTGTACAATTTGGAGTCCTGGGTAGTAATGAATTCTCTCAACGCATTCACGGACGCCGTTGGGAAGTAGACCTCAGCCACAGTAATTGTGTAATCAATACCGTCGGCAGTGAATGGAACCAACCTCCGAACAACGACATCGTCATACTTGTCAGATGCTGTGAATGGAAATTTGAGGGTGCCAGGCAAATACTCGAATATCTGAGCAGAAGAAACCGAATGCAGAACCACAAATGGATAGTTCAACGCCGATTTGAATCCTATGTATACGATATCGTAATCTTTACCTGGAACGGAAGTAGTCACGGGATTGATAGCACTTGGCAAGCCCGAAGTTTGAGTCGCATCGCCCGTCGCTTGCGTGATACCGTCATCAGTGGTTTTGGTGGGTGTTTTTGTACCGGTACTTTCGGCGACAATGGTAGTTGGGAGCCAGTTGTCAGTGGTACCTGGTGTAGGTGCTGGTCTTTGATGGGAAGAAGGTGTTTCCTGAAGTGGAACTTCAGTTGTTGATGGAGTCTGAATTTCGAAAGAGGTTGTTTGTTCAACATTTGAAGCAACAGGAATGGTACTGGTGACAGGTGTCGTTTGCAGTGGTACCACATTACTAGTAGCAGGAGCCGACAGTTCTTGAACCACTGAAGGTTGAATGGCGGTGGTAGTTGGCGAGGCAGAAGTCTCAGGAGAAACCGTTACTGCTGCCGAGACAGCTGAAGTGGTAGTCTCCTCTGGAGTCTCTGAAGTAACAGCTGAAGGCACTGGGATGACTGAAGTCTCAGCTGAAGACACAACTGGGATCACTGAAGTCTCAGCTGAAGGTGCAACAGCAGACTCCGAAGTAACAGTAGGCACAACTGGGGTCAGACTTGATTCCAGCTGCACTGGGGTAGAGACAACTGCTTGCAGGACAGTGGTTGGTGGAGTGGACGATTCAACGGTTGGTGAGACAACTGGCGTAGTCGATTCAGTTACTGGTGTTGAAACTATAGGGACCGACAGAGTCGACGACGTTGTTGCAACCGTTGAAGGGGAGACGGGAATTGTAGGTGGAACCGACGACTGAGATACACTACTCGAAATTGCCGTGGGAGGAAGTGGAGGAGTAGAAGAAGACACAGGTAATGTCAGCTCCGTAGGAGACACCAAAGATGTTGATGGCAATGTCGACGAAGTTTGAGGCACCAGCAGCGCAGGAATGACTTGAGCTGCCGAAGTCACGGAGCTTTGCTGGGAAGTAGGGACAGGCGCTAAGGCCAGTGTAGACTCGGAAACAGTAGTTGGTGTAGATGAAGTAGCTTTTGGAACTGGAGTAGTGGAACCCAGCTGAGGCAAGGTCGAAGATGCACCCGATGTCGCTATGAAATCGGCCGGAGCAGTAGACGCTGAGGCGGTCTCTGAAGCGACACTCAGAGGAGCAGAGGTAGCAAGTTCTGCCGTAGAAGGTTGTTGAAGACTCGTTGTGGATTCTGTGCCAGATGGCGTGGATGTAGTAGAGTCTGTTGGAGTAGCAATCACCGAATCAGAAGGAGCAACAGTAGATGATTCGACCTTGGGTTGTGTTGTGGGTTCAACACTTCCGACCACCTGAGAAGAAGATGGTTCAACCGTTGGTGTTGCGCTTTTAGAAGGCGACGTTGTCGTTGGTGTGGAAGTTGAGTCTTCAGCAGTTGCTGTGGATGGAGCGACCACCAGAGAAGAGCCCGAGACTGTCACGTCCACAGCAGCACTAGTGGGGTTCGTGGAAGTAGTCGTTGGACTTGTAGAAGTTGTTGGACTAGTGGTGGTCGTTGGAGTGGTCGTTTCGCTGGCTGTTGAACTGGTAGTGGGTGTAGTAGTACCACTAGATGTTGGACTAGTCGTTGGGGTAGTAGTAGCACTAGTTGTTGGAGGACCATCAGCAAGCATAGCGGTAGATGCTTTCTCGGTACTCTTTGCGTCTTCAGCAGCTGCAGGAGCCAGAGAGGTCGCTGCAGTAGTGGGTTCAGTCGTAGGGGACTGAGTGTCTGCCGTTTTGGTAGGCGACGTTGTGTCCTCCGTGCTAGGGGTATTTGCTACGGACTTTTCAGCTGCATCGGTCGATGTCGTCGCAGTTGTAGGTGCGGGAGTAAGCTCCGTCGTAGGTTCGGTCGTAGGATCCGAAGTAGGAGAGTTCTCCGCGGTGGATGTGGGCGTCGTTGAAGGAGTCTTTGTCTCGGCCGCTACCGTTGTAGGCTGGCTCAGAGAAGGCGCCGTTTGGGCCTGTGCGAAGGGATTGTTGAAGAAACCCGTGTTTTCGTCCGTCAGCGTCGTAGGAGCCGAGGCTGGGCCATTAGTGGCCAATAGACGACTGAGAAAGTCCAATGGGTTATTGTCGGACGAAGTGGAAGATTCAACCTTGGCTTTGCCATTGTTCAGTTTATCGTGCTCAGCAGCCAAAACCGTGGCAATAAGCATCAAAGCTGAAGAGGACCACAACAATTTGGGTAACATGGTAAAAGAAAGACAGTAGTTGGAGTGTAATCAAATAATCGAGGAAAAATCAATAAAAGTGGAGGAACGTGAGCCAGTCAACTAGAAAATCAACATTCAGTATCAGGAGCAAGTCTGAAGGTTTTCAAACTTGTTGGGTATCAAATAAAAGGTAAAAACGAATGAATGGGAGACAAGTATAGTCGGAGAAAAAAACAGTAAGATTACAGTTTTATAAGTACTCCTGACAACTTATTATTTAGTGATCCCGACAGAAATAGGAAAACGAAGACCCAGATCGAACTAAATGCCCTGATTATTGGTTGAGGATGTCAAAACAAAGGGGGTTCAAGTATTTAAAAAAAAAACTTAGACGCCGCGAATGCGGTGCGCGCACACCCGCCTCAAGTTGTACTATGAACACTGGGTGTGCATAAACAATGCGGTAGACGGCGTAAAATACAAAGGAGACGGGATACAGGAATGGACGGAAATGGGTTCCTTTTCGGGAGGAAATCCAACGAAAGAGCGCTTGAGAGGTAGCTGCGACCGATTCATTTCCGGTTGAAGTCCCGGCTCGAGGCCTGTTGCTGCGGCCGGTGGGACCATCCTGATACATCAGGTGTGCGGAATCATGTTTGAGGTACACGTCACCGATCTAGACTCAGCCGTTTGGCATTGGAATGCGCGTTTTGGTCGAGGGGTGCTTGTGTGCAGTACCGCGCCAAAAGTTTGAGAATGCCACCGAAATATTCACCACATTGGGCAGTTGGACAACTACATTTGTACCTGCATTGGTGCGAATCCTTTGTGATCTGCTTATGTAACGGATATTCAACCATTTTACTTCAACTTATCCGGCTAAATGAGACGTCGAGTAGATTCGATTATTACTGAGCTTTCGGGTGGACCCATCGATCATGATGACCAACAATATTTAGTAGAGCAATTTACAAAGCAAACCAGTGAATCTTACTTCAAATTTCGCCGATATTTTACGATTTTGTTGGCTATTGAAGTCCCGATTCTCAGCTTTGTAGCAAAAAATCCATATTTAAGGTTACTCACGTTACTATCAGTTTTATTAACGGCATTTCTAACTAACGCGATATTTCCGCGGTGGCGGTCGTCATATTACGCGGCCAATTTTGCCGGATGTTTTTTGTTCGTTTACTTGGCCTGGTGTATGGGTGCGCAATCTCTATGGATTTTACTTCCAGTAATTAATATGGCGACAATGGTAATGATGGAGAGTACAAACAGCAATGTTATTGAGGAGATTGATCGATTACGGGAAAAGACGTACAAGCTCAAAACGGCGTAAATAGAACTAAGAAAATAAGGATAATGCAATTCATGATATTCGTTTTGATGACAACTATAAGAGGATAATAAGAGGAGTGACTCTCTACACGTTTCCTGTCATGTTTAGATTATGCATTTGACCACATGGCTTATACCGTTGTACGTACACCTGTACACCTGTACCACCACATGGCCCCAACACCCACCACATGGGTGGATTCATCCGTACACCCACAATATGTAACCACATGTCCCCCCACGCCCAAAAATAGCAATTACCGTTTTTGTTAATGGGATCGCGCAACGAAAATTTTTAGCCTATTGATGACCTCATTGGTCAACACACGTGACTGTAGGTTGCTGCACCAGATTGTTAAAATCTGCCGCCTGAGTGATGCCAATGCATTATTGTGTGCCGATCCGATTTCCCAACAACATGTGGCTGTAGGCCATGTCGACTTGATGCACCAATGCGGCACCTCCCTACATCCTCTTACATGAATTGGTTTCTACCGACTTCGACTGCCGCAGCAGTTTCACAGCACGTTGCATTGCCACACACGTCACCACGGTCTAGGCCAATGTGGTGTTTGGATGTTTGGCCCACAAATCTTCTAGAATTGAATTCCGACTGCGGAGACCGAACCCTGTGGAAACCGGAATTCGAATTTTCGCACCAAAGAAAAAACTTTTACGGACCCTCGGATCTCGTGGGCCACCAAACCTTGTCTCAGGTTTGTTGAGTACCACCGAGGTACCAACACCGATTAACCCCCCTAATCCTCGGTAATGGTCAACCGGCCCAACCTTCCCCTCGGACGCATTGTGATCCCGACCTGTTTACCTTTACCAACAATGATCCCCACCTCCTATATTCCGCGCCCAATTGCCCATTTCGAGTCTCCACGTTCACCCACGAGGTCCCCGCTCCGGACATTCGGCGGAGCTGGCACGTGACCTGACCACTAATAAAATTTGCGACTTCCGAGGGTGGCAACGAGGGCATCGGTCGATGACGCGCGAGCCCGCATTTCAACTATTCCAAGCAAAAAATAAAAAAAAAAATGTGGCTCCATCCACATAATTCATATATAAATATGCCATGGCCGCAAAACACAATAAATTTTCTCAAAGTTGAACACACACTGAAAAAGCCATTTATTTGGTTCCTATAAGCATTAGAAAAGCATTGCTACTATCGCAGCCATAGCATCTAGTTGGCATCGAAATATCTTCATCTCCAAAAAAAAATTCTGATGAGTGATTTGGCGTTTGACAACTATTGTATAGCCTGTGACAAGGTGTGCGAGTCTCCTTCAGCAATTTACTGCTCTAATGAGTGCAAACAGCACGATGAAACCCAGTCGGTGAATATTCGACAGGGTGCAGGATCGGCTCCCTCCACATATGCGGGGTCGGGTGAGGTGGCCCAAGACCTCGTTTCCCCACTTTTAGCGCCGGCGGTTCAAGCCAGCACTAATTACTCTACATCGCCGTTATTTTTGGGCCAGGAAGATGCGGCAACTTTTGACCTTGATTATAACGCAATTGACTTGAATTACACCGAGAGTCGAAGTTCGGATTTAACCGAACATTTTCCACTGACGTCGCACAACTACCGCAAGTGGTTGACGGCTTGTTTATAGTGATTTGCATTTTTACGATTTATGGGAATTTGATTTTGGGTTATAAAAAGGTTGCACAGATTAGCATACAACATACACGAAGATAACTAATGTAGACACACGAAATTGATGTAGACAACTAACACATTCAATGTAGATAAACAACATCACTAATGAGCGGATACAGATACTAATGAGCGATACGAATGTACCTATGCGAATGCATGTGGCAGTCGCAAGCGGCAGCCGATTGTCGTATTTGGCTAATTCGACATTGCATCTGCGTAGTCTTGATTGCTATGCGGTAATTCGGGATTTTCGGTCGCAAATCTTATTTGCAGCAACTTCCCAATTGGGTGCAAACCAAGCCAGAAATAAGATTTTGAGTGAGACCGAAATTCGTTGAATTCCGACCAAGCCTCGAAATGGAAACTTTTCAGCAGTATGTTTGCGTCGCCGTGGCGCCTTAAAGGTAAATGCTCATGAGGCATTTATGGCTTGCATATGAGCAAATTGTGGCCGAAGTGAACTGAAAAAAAAAAATGAGTTTCAGCTGAAAGCTGAATTTTAGTTACGAAAACTATAATGGATATAACTGAATTCTAGACATAACTGAACCGAAATTGACCTACACCAATTCAGTTGACCCGTACTGGCATCCTCTACTGACTTTCGCACCTCGACTGGTTTTGCACCCAGACACCACGATATTGTTCACATCGCATTTCGACAAGTGAAAATCATGTTTGGTGCCTTTCGTCCTTCGGCCACTCTTAGCGGCGGTTACCTTTGGAAAGTCGCTCCCCGCATGTCGGCGCCACAGAAAAATAGGCTCCGCCGCAGAATGAAGCTTGTGGATCAAAACATCGAGGTTTTGTACCAATCCTTAAAATTGCCCGACCAAGAAACCACCGGTTTTGACAAAATAGACCATTTGAAATTCAACTTTCCCAAAGAGCACGAGATGCTGCCTCGCGACAAGTATACCACGTTTGACAAAAAGGCCAAAGATTATAGAAAATCGGTGCATCGTGTTCCCAAATGGACCAAGTTGTCATTTCGGGAAAACCCCAAATATTTTTAGTGTACATAGAAAGAAAGTATCTTTGAGATGGAGTAGACAGCACCAGCTACGCTGCTGCTGTGTCACAACCGGTCCCATATGTGGTTCGTGATAAAGTAATCACTGTACTTGTCCGATACATCAAGCACACTAGAAACATCAGTTTCCTTGTTATAAAGGAAAATCTTGTCTCCTGCTCCGCTCTGTTCGATTGACACTCCGAGGCTCTTGTAGATATTGATCTTCATGACTCTGGAATCAGGATTATTCATCACGTTCTCACTGACAATATCATCCATTTCCTGCAACAATTTGGTATGAGAATGGTCCAAGCTACTTTTCTGTATTCGCATCGAATTCAACTGGCTCTCGAGATCATTGAGTGTTTTTGCAAACGTCAATTTCAATTTATCGAGTTCATACGATTTCCGATTCATAGCAGCAAAAATATTGTCTTCGGAAATTTCCGGCAACTTTTCTGTTCCCAACAGGTTCAACGTATCTCGGTTGATTCCCGATACTTTGGTGAGCAACCTAACCTCATTGAGTAGCGTTTCATGTTGATGTTCGAGTTGTTTTATGCGATTTTCGTGGGTTTCAATGGCTCCTGTTCGAAGTAATTTTGTTTCCGCAATAGATCTTTCTATACGGTTTATCGAGTAGAGATCTCCCTCGATCTCAAATCCTTCGATGGACTCCTGGACCAACTTTCCCGGACTTTCGTCAAACATACCAAGATAAACAAGATAAACAAGATCAGTCTGCAGGCAAAACAGTTCGCAATGCACCCGTCCACCAGTCCACCATATTCGCACCCTACCATCGCACTAATTCGCACCACCAAATCATCGAATTCGCACCACTAGCTCATCATGGCTCCACCGAAGAAAACCATGGACGAGGTGGACTTGCCCACCAACCCGTACCTCCCTGCGTGGATCCTTACCCCCAAGGAAGAGAAGGCAATTTTTGAAAAATGGAGAAAGAAGGCTTTTGCAAAGTGCGACGATTTGATCCGTGCTTATATAGACTGCTCGAATAGCTATCAAAGTCCGTTTGAAGCGATGTCCAAATGTGAAAAGGCCAACCAGGCGTCCATGGGATGTGTTGAAAAGTACCAGCAAAAGAAGTATTTGGATATTGAACGAGATATTTTGATCAAGGAAAAGATGGAACGCCAGCGTCAGTGGAAAGAAAGCCAGGCAAACTAGATGTAAATAGACAACGGGAATATGAGAATCACGTAGTCCGTAGCCACGTAGTCTCTTTCACTGGGTTTCATTGCGATTCAGCGACTTCATTGTGTTTAACGCGTCCTCTTATTCTTCTGGTCATTCTTCTTTACACTGTTGTCATCTCTATTTTTTCCATTCTATCACTTTGTTTCTTCTGCCACGAAATCGTTTTACTTTCCAACTCAAGATCACTCAGTTCAACTTCATCAATCAATTCAACTTTATCACTTATTTTGTCTCTCATCTATACTAACTTTATACTTTTCACCATTAAATTTCTCATTATATTCTCATTATATTTCCATTATCTATTTCTTATTCTGCCTGGTCATTCTCAAAAACAGTATGGCTGGCCATAAATAACGACCCATGCATCACCCCCAATCTCTGAATCAGTTTATACTGAACACAGGTGGTATTTATAAGATCGGTAAAATCCGATAAATTCGCGTGGAGCTGCGCAAGTTGCGAATTGAGATGACTTAAATGCCGCTGCTTGAGCGATGAATGACCTGCTGCAGATGGCGAGCTGGCCTGCGTCATTATAAATACCGGTGGGGTCGCTGCAGTTTTAGTTGTAAACAGTCAGGCGCGCCCGCCCAAACACCAGCCCGGAATCATCAATCTTCGCAGTTCCGGATCGTTCGCGGGTCTGCGCACCGGTGCACCAGCACATCCGTCCTAACCCCGGATGCACCCGCACTTTAAGCTCCTGAGTGTCTCGGATCTCAAACATTATTAGCCCGAAGCAACGGCAAATTTTTCTTTTCTTGTTTCTCAAGCAAGAAGCACGCTCTGACATAGCTGGTACGTTTCTGTCTACCAGCTGCAATATCAGCTTTAGAAAATCTCACCAAATCGTCTAGATTCATTCTTTTGGGTCCTTCGATTTCAAGCCATTTTGGCACTCACTTATTCCACAGATGAACCATGTCACCCAAGACGCCGTCTTCATCCATATCCGGCTCAATACCAATAGCTCCTGCTGCAAATAATGACCAAAAAAGACAAGAAAAGTATCCCAAAATCCAGCCTGCCCTCGCCATAAAACCAAAACCGGTGCCTATAGCAGTGCTCCCAAAACCCTCAAATCAACCAATCTCCACTTTTGACCCCAACTCGCGGACAACGTCGTTGAAAAATGACATTTCTCTTAATATTAATACTTCCAAAAAATGGGTTCTTCCCCCACGTCCTCGGCCCGGAAGAAAGCCTACGGAGGAATGCCCCAAGAGAAAAAAGACCCAAGGTGGTGCACCTTCGAGTCAGGCGTCGCCGGTGTGCCAAAACACGTCGATAACGAATCAACAGCGTCCAATAAACTCCAGACAAATAACCCCCTCTACGCCTCGACAGAACACTACAGCTGCCTCAGGAACCGGACAAAAACTCCAGCCTGTACGGCCACGGCCTGTGGTCGCCGAATGCACCGATTCAGAAGAGGTGAATAAACTCAAACTAGAGTACCTTGCCAAGTTGAAGGAGCAGCAACTCATACTAAATTATATGGAAGTCATCACCAAGCAGATAAAAGAGCTCAATTTTGTTCAGAATGGAGTGATCACTTTCGATGCATTGAACGCCGATTTGCGGACCAATTCCCGGTCTGGAGAAACCAAACCTCCACCAGAACAATTGGAAAAAATTAACAATATCAATGATCTTGAAAAATTTCTTGCATATCTTACCAAATCTTCCAATATTATCCACTCTGTCACCAAAAAATTCATGGGACTGGACTTGAATAGTCAACTTAAACAGTACTTGGAACTACGAGAAAAGTGGAAAAAAGACGATAGAAAACGACAACCAATTTTACCCAAGCCAACCCCGCCGTTACAGCCTACAAGTCCAGCACTATTGCTGGATGAAATTACTCCACGATGTCCGAGATGTGACAATAATCCATGTTTCTGTCTCGACGTCGATGGACCAGTAAAATGATTTAACGATAAATATTTATTTCCGACTTAAAAAAATGTAAGATAAGTCCCTGCAATAGCAGATATAGTCAAAACGGTATATCCGGTTCTGTAAACACCCTTGATGGTCAATTCTTTACCAAAATCCCAAATCAAGTGTCTGATACCATTGGCAAAGTGGAATGCAAATGGGAAAGCAGCTGCCGCTTTTGCACCAATTTTAGCATAAATAGGCAATCCAGCAAATGCAGAAACCAATGTTGCGCCGTCGAAAGGAATGCTAAGAATGGAAGTGGCGGCAAATGCAACAGTCAATGCATAAAAACCTCCGGCCATGGCAACCCCCGTAATTCTGTGTAAACCGGAAAGAAGCATTGTTAATTGCGGTTGGTAAATGGTCAAATGGGGTGATACCGGTCTGTTTGATCTTTGAGCATTTAAGATTTCGATTTCCGACTCGGAAGTGCTTTTGACGGTGGCAATACTACGAATAGCACCGACACGAGGTGCCGTACGTGCAAACAAGGATACTGAGTTAGTGATGACGGGGGTACATACGAGGGTATATACGGGGTATAAACGGGGATTTTAACGAGGGTATTACCGAGGGCAGTACCGACGGTACTACCGGTCATACTCCACCTTACGTATACACTGGGCATGAAACTTACCTCCTCTGATTCCAACCCGGGATAACATGATTAAACAACGAGTAAAAGTTGAGTTCCGGGGAATATTTCGCGCTCACCGACCAATCACAGTGCGCAATTATGTAATCTGCGACATCCACCCTTTAAATCACCATTTAACAAATTATGATCATGCATGGCACTGAATGCATGCTGCACCTCAACAATCGGGACTTCAAACTCCCTTCAGTGGCTACTTTAAAGGAGCACAATGTCCTCTTCATATTAGGTAATCGGTGGGCTAATGTTACATAGCTCGCATCTACCTTACATAATCGACATCCGGGTCGGGTCCGTCATAATGTAAGCTTCTCCGCGTGCTGACTTAATCAGCGTCGCAGTTCCACCGCCGAGCGGCGCTGGCCTGGCCCGTTTACGTAAGCAGCATCGGCTGCAACCGCAGTTCCGCTATAAAAAGTGTGCAAGCCGCTCACGAAGCAGCCATCTTTGCAGCTCAACTCTGCAATAAAAAAATTCAAACTTTACGTGTTTATATTTATATCTCGGCTCACACGACTCTGAAACCGATTAGGAACCCATTAAGAATCCTTTAGGATTCATAAGGAACCAATTCAAGATTTTTTGCAACCCATTTTTTCAACAAAAGTATCACCGAATTATCACACAACAACCAAACCAAAATGGAATGCCACGAGTTTGCCCCCGGAATGTGGTTGGGGACATATCAGCTGTTCGAGCTGGTAGCGATGACCCGTCACAACTTTAAACTCGTGATTAATTGTTCTCCCACTTACAAATTTTTGGCACATTTAGAAAACTCTAACATGGCTATTTCTTCAGATGTGATTATGGTGAGTTTGGACCCTGGTTTTTCCACCGACAATTTCTCGCCGGACGAGCTGGAGAGGTTGATGGAGTATATCACGCGTCTTAACCGCGTTCTTCAAAACTATATTGGTCATTTTTATGGTCTCAATTCCAGAGCCCACAATCTCATCCACCCAATGCCCAATGGCCGTCCGTTCTCCATGCTGCTGCCGGTGTTGAGTGGTAGTTTGAAACCACATTTGTTTTCTCTCAATCGTTTAATCAAGCTTTTACGCCATGTCGACGATACCATTGAAGTGGCGATTGTTCTGAGTGAAAACTTTAACCTGGTTGCCACGGGGTTGGCCATGTCGTACTTGATGGACCACTACGGGCTCAATTATGGTGCCAGTTACAACCGTTTGGTTGCACGGACCGACGGAGTTTGTCCTCTCAACCCCAGCTTCTACGACGACTTGTTGGTGATTGAGGCGGTGCGCCAGTTCAGCACGGAAAACAACGCCATCAAGCACAACAGCACCGTGCTCACGACACACTGTAAACTCAAGCGCAAAAATGATGACGACGACTTGTACAGTCATAAGCGTCGCACAGGTGATGATGTATTATATGTAGACTAGAATTTATTTGCAAATTTACTTTGGAACCTGGAGGCCCACCCGGTTAGCAGTCTTACTAACATTGTCCTCCTGGCTCATGGTGAGTCCCGGGTTATAGCGTTCGATGAGTTCGTTATAAGTTCGTTGAGATTTAAGAAAAACGGCAACATTTTTCAAGTTTTGAATACCAACTTTAGGCAAATGGTCGGGGGATTCCGCTATAAGTGACCGAATCACATCAGTTTTGACCTTAGGAGGCCTAGAAGCGGCGGCTAATTTTGAATTTATTTCATTTTCGATTTCCGAAATGGGCTTTTTTGCTCGTATAAGCTGGATTTTTTGGTACTGTAAGCGAGCTTTGACCCGTTCAAGCTCCTTGGCCGAATGGACCTCGTGCGACTTTCTGTTGATGATTCCAAGCTCACGGCGAAGCGCCCGGTAGAGTTGGGGTAACATGATGAAAAATGGTGTGTGGGTGGAAGAAGAAATGAATGAGAGTGAGAGGTGTCTGGATGCAAAAGGTGAGAATGAAAGAAACTAGTGGTGTATTGGGTGCAACAATACCCCCAATTTTCAATTTGAAAACGGAAGGAAGAGCCAATTTGGTCCCGTTTGGCACTGTTATGCACTAGCCCGCCCACACTCTTAAAAAAAAAAATTCTTCTTCCTCCTTTTCAGGGTAGCCTCCCTCGGCCAATCACAGCGCGCTCGGAGCCGGGGCCCGCGGAGTTGCTATCTGCAGGCGCCAAAATACGTTTTTCAAAAATTTCATCAAATCATCCACCACACATGTTGAAGTCAATCCAAAAGGTAAGTCCCAAAGATTTTTAACGCGCAAAGCAATTGAACAACAGAAGTCGCGTGGCTTCATATCCCACTATACAATTGTGCACCCTTTTCAAAAAGTGCTTCTCTTGCATTTCGGAGCTCGGAGTCTCCCACCCCCGAATTTCTACTAACTTCAAGTCATCAGTTCGTAGCTTGGCTACGTTTGCATCGCCGGAAGCGGTGTTGCCCAAGAAGTACGGGGGCAAGTACACCGTCACCCTCATTCCAGGAGATGGTATTGGTAAGGAAATCACCGATTCCGTCAAGACCATTTTCAAGTCGGAAAACGTCCCCATCGAATGGGAAACTGTTGATGTTTCTGGTTTGGACAAGGGTACCGGGGTTGCCGAGGCTGTGGAATCGTTGAAGAGAAACAAGGTGGGATTGAAAGGTATCTTGTTTACTCCAACTGGATCGTCCGGCAAATCGTTGAATGTTGCGTTGAGAAAAGAATTGGATATTTTTGCTTCGTTGGTCTTGATCAAAAACATTCCCGGCGTCAAGTCGCGTTTGCAAGGCATTGACTTTGCCCTCGTCAGAGAAAACACTGAAGGTGAATATTCTGGATTGGAACACCAATCTTACCCTGGTGTGGTTGAGTCGATGAAGATCATGACCCGGTTCAAATCCGAGAGAATCGCCAAGTTTGCATTTGACTTTGCCAAGAAGAACAACCGTAAGTTGGTCACCGCCATCCACAAGGCCAATATCATGAAATTGGGAGATGGTTTGTTCCGTCAAACCGTGAAAGATGTGGGTCAATTGTACTCGGGAATCGAGGTCAATGATCTTATTGTCGACAATGCCTCGATGCAAGCTGTGGCCAAGCCTCATCAATTCGACGTTTTGGTCACCCCCAACCTTTATGGTTCTATTTTATCCAATATTGGTGCTGCTTTAATTGGGGGTCCAGGTTTGGTTCCCGGTGCCAACTTTGGTAGAGAGTACGCCGTTTTCGAGCCAGGATGTCGTCACGTTGGTTTGGACATCAAGGGTCAAAACACCGCCAACCCAACCGCCATGATTTTGTCGGCTGCCATGATGTTGAGACACTTGGGACTCAACGACCACGCCGACCGAATTTCCCGTGCCACTTATGATGTGATTGCCGACGGTAAGATCAGAACCAAGGACATTGGGGGTTCGTCGTCCACCACCGAGTTTACCGATGCCATTTTGGCCAAGTTGAACTAGTAGGTAATAAGAGAAGTAAGAGAAAGAAGAGATAATGTAGAAAAAGAAAAGAGAAGCGAAGTAAAGGAAAGAACAGAAAAAGAGAAAAAGAACATAAAAATGATCCAAGAGGATCAGAAAAAGTAAATCCTATCTCATCATGATCTCTACCCTTCCTTGATTTTTCACTAAAATAGCTTATGCTCTCTTTCTCTCTTTCTCTTCCTCATTGTCTCACGTTCTGACTCTGAATTTAGGTCGTGCGCTGCCAAATTAACATAAATCTTCGCACCGACGCTCTTGGCTTAAGCGGTCACTTGTACGCTTCACGCTTCTCCCTAGCGTTTATTACTTTCTTCTCAAATCATGTGTGACGTAGTCCTTGGCGCCCAGTGGGGTGACGAAGGCAAAGGAAAACTCGTGGATCTTCTTTGTGACGACATTGAAGTATGTGCTCGTTGTGCCGGTGGAAACAACGCTGGTCACACTATTGTGGTTGGAAAAACCAAATATGATTTCCATATGCTTCCCTCGGGTCTCGTGAACCCCAAATGCCAAAACATCTTGGGTTCGGGTGTGGTTGTACACATTCCCTCGTTTTTTGAAGAATTGGAAAATCTCGAAAAGAAGGGCTTGGACTGTAGAAACCGTCTTTTTGTTTCCTCCAGAGCCCACTTGGTGTTTGATTTCCACCAACGGACCGATAAGTTGAAGGAGGCCGAGTTGTCCGAGAACAAAAAGTCAATTGGTACTACCGGAAAGGGTATTGGACCCACCTATTCCACCAAGGCTTCGAGGTCGGGTATTCGGGTTCACCATCTTGTTTCCGACGACCCGGATGCTTGGGACGAGTTCAAGACCAGATACTACCGTCTTGTGGACTCGAGGTACAAGAGATATGGCGAGTTTGAGTACGACGCTGAAGCCGAACTTGAACGCTATAAAAAGTACCGTGAGGTCCTCAAGCCATTTGTCGTTGATTCCGTCAATTTCATGCACAAGGCAATCAAAGACAAGAAGAGGATCTTGGTGGAAGGTGCCAATGCGTTGATGTTGGACATTGACTTTGGTACTTACCCCTATGTTACATCGTCGTCTACTGGTATTGGAGGTGTCTTGACTGGTCTTGGCCTTCCTCCCACCGCAATTAGAAATGTTTACGGTGTAGTAAAGGCCTACACGACCAGAGTCGGTGAAGGACCTTTCCCCACCGAACAATTGAACGAGGTTGGTGAGAAACTCCAGGACATTGGTGCCGAATTCGGAGTCACCACTGGTAGAAAGAGAAGATGCGGATGGTTGGATTTGGTGGTTATGAAGTACTCCACCGCTATCAATGGCTACACTTCGTTGAACATTACGAAATTGGACGTTTTGGACACTTTCAAGGAAATTAAAGTGGGTGTATCGTACACTTACAAGGGCAAGAAATTGGAAAGTTTCCCCGAAGACTTGAACGTTTTGAAAAACGTCGAGGTTGACTATGTCACTCTTCCTGGATGGGAACAGGATATCACTGGAATCAAGAAGTACTCTGATCTTCCTGAAAATGCCCAGAAGTATTTGAAGTTTATTGAAGATTTCCTCGAGGTGCCAATCGAGTGGGTAGGAACTGGACCTGCCAGAGAGAGTATGTTGACCAAGTAGAATAAATCCTTACACACCTGACCTCTCAATCACCTTAAATCTACCTCCTTCTTTTTATCACCTTCGTTTATTACCTTCATTTATCACATTCATTTACCCTTCGACTTTTTACTCTACTCTCTCAATTCTCACATTTTGCAAAATCTCATAATTTCGTTTTCTTCTTTCGCAGCTATGACTTCTGAGCCCATGAAAAAAAAGCCTAAACCGCACAAGAAAAAAGCCCAGAAAGCCGCCTTAGGCAACCAGTATGTTCCCAAGACCAACATAGGCAAGCGAATGTCTGCAAATGGCATCAGAACCATTCTTATAAGTCTTTTAAATGACTCAAATCTGCCCCCATCTTGGGCATCATCCTGGCACAAACCCACCGATCCGCGGGCAATTGTGTGTATTGTTCCTGGTATTGAGTCTGGCATCAAGTACAAGGTCAACAATGACAAGACGGACATTCCAATTGAAGAAGTTGACCTTGGTTTGTTCCTGAGTTTGTCGAGCCTTCAAGGTCTAAATTGGCTCTTTCAATTGCGGTCGCCAGCTCAAAGGGATCTGCTATATCTGTTGACCGAAGCGATGCTCTCGATACGGATGACCAGGAAGGAGAAGAATGACCGGTTGGAGGAACTGAAGAAAGCACAATTGACTCCAGATAACTGTCTCTTGACAATTGACCAGATGAAGTTTCGAGAGTACCCGATGCCCAATTGCGATGGATATTTCACCACAAAGGACTTGGGAACTCCTAAAAAGATATTCGGGTTGGACTGTGAGTTTTGCAATGCTGGAAGCGAAAAAGTGTTGACGAGAATCTGCTTGATCAAAGAAGACGGATCGGTAATTTTGGACCAACTCGTCAAACCCAGCGAGGAGATCACAGACTACAAGACAGAGTACTCAGGCATCACCAGGGAAATGTTGGAAAATGTCACTACAACCTTAGGTCAAATTCAAGCAACACTTCTAGCGACCATCTCATCGCACGACATACTTGTGGGCCATTCTTTGGATTCAGATCTTCGGGTTTTGAAAATTTCTCATTCCCGCATCATAGACACATCGATTCTCTATGAGCATGCCCAGGGTCCACCTCGGCGTCCTCAGCTCCAATGGTTGGCACAAAAATATTTGAACCGTGAGATACAAAATAGTAGTCTTGGACATTATCCCGAAGAAGATGCCAAAGCGAGTGTGGACTTGATGAAACTAAAGCTTCAGAATGGACCGCTTTTTGGTATGGTTAGTGAAGAAATTCCGCTAGTGGAAAGACTTAAAGTGAGTGCCAGTTATACCGACAAGCTCGCTTCGACCGCACCTCCAGGGTTCGAATTTTGTCCTGTTACCAGCGACGAAGAAGCCACCAAGACTTGTCTCGAACAAGTCAAAAACAAGAAGCTCGTTGTTCTCACACTTCGAGACGCCGAACTGGAAAATAAGATATCGGTTGCAAATTCTATACAACTTTTGGTGGAACAAGCACCACCGGAAACTGCCATCATTATCGTATCGCCCACCACCAACGAGCAAAATGCCCATATCTGGGCCTCGAAGAAGAAGCAAGCACTTAAAACCCGCCAAATTTGGACTCCAGAAGACCAGCAACAGCTACAAGAAGCAGTGATGGATGCCCGAGAAGGCTACTTTCTCTTTGGATTCAAACCGTAACTACACATTATAAACTCTCCGTGAACTCGTCAGCTTCCGTGACCACCGCTTCGTCTCTGCTTTCTCTTCGAACAACGGGAATCTTATCGTTGTATCTCCATTGGTTCAAATCTAGAACATCTCTGGTCGTCACCACCAGGTGTTTTTTGTCAGATTGCTTCGACCGGTGCCACCCATTAAGTTTAATTTTGATAGAATATCCCATTTCTCCACTAAGTTCACTGGAAGCTGGCGTATACCAGTCTTTGACCCACAGAGATTTTGGTTCGTCGTAACTCATGATTTTTTCACCTACAAAAACAGTGGTAATTTTCTAGATGAGAACGCTCCAATTATATACCACAAATGGTGCGGTTGCCCCGCCACCTTTTGTCAGTAATTACCGCACCAGGCGTTTGTACGTCACCCCTAAAACGATCCATGTGACCACACCCCTCTTGTAGGATACAGGCGTATTTTTTATCTACATGGCGCGGATGCAGGACGGGACCAAGATCTGGTTGCTCCGGGTATTGCTATGAATGTAGTTAGATGGAGTAGCAAAGGACTAGCAGGAACCAACCAAGAAGATTTCAAGAAGATTCTCCAAAAACTTTCCAAAAAGGTTAGCGAAAAAATTAGCAATTTGAAAAGTTGCGATCGCCGAACGGTATTATGAATGAATGAAGGAACAATCCGGCGTTAGTGTTTTATAATAGCAACCGTAGAGAGCGAAAGTTCTGGACAAGTACAGCTTTTAAAGATTATTCGTGATCTCTTTTTCCACAGTAACTCTTTTTGTCTTTTTCTTTTTGTCTTTCTTTACTGTTCACTGCGCTCTTCTTTCTCTCTCTGTCGCTTCAGAACATTATGCTTCACTTTTTCCAACTTCTTCTTAATTTCAAGCCGTCGCTGTTCTTCCTGCCTCACTGTGCGCTCGTACCACTTGACCATCTGTCGAGGCTCCACGCCGTAGATCGCCTCGTACTCACAAAAGAGACAGCAGCATGAACCACTAGCGGCACTCGGTTCCTTATTCTTTTTCTTCTTATTCTTTTTCTTTTTGCTCATTGCCGGTCGGTTCTCGAGCTGGTTTTGTCGCTGACCCTTGGGTGGTCGCTGAGGTCGCTGGCTCTGGAACTGTTGGTTCTGAAGTTGCATGAGTCGCAACTGCTCTTCAACATTATTACTGGTGGGGATCAACTTGCCATTATGGTCGTATTCGAACGTAAACTCACACGACGGCCCCTGGTCATCATATTCGTCGCAACTACAACTGCCTTCGTGACCCTCACATCCCGTACCCCGATCCACTTCCACTTCGATATGATGGGCCAAATCGTCGTGCACCTCATCGATGTCGTAATCGCTCTGACCGTAGTCCTGGTCCGAGAAAAACTCGGCGTTTCCGTCGTGCAAACCTTCCTCGTCCTTCGTATCGTAGAGAGAAAATCCGTTGGTGCTGTTAGGAGGAGAAAATATCTGCGAGATCTTCTTGTATAAAACGTCGATGTCTGATTCTTTTAAGAGCTGGTTCATTCGAAGTCCCTTTTCTTCACTGCTGATATGTTGCGCTTCTTGTAACACCCTGTAGAGATCTCGAGTCACAAGATGCTTTAGACCTTCTCCGTCGTCTGGAAACGGCAGAAACTCATCTTCACCGGAATCTTTCACAGTCATGGCTCTCTGCCACGCCTCGAAAAAGAGCTTGGAATCCACCTCCAGCCTCTTCCTAAGCCCTATGGGGGTTGCTGGATCGACTTGTGGGTCCACTCCGCCGTCTTTGGGCATCTGTTGTAACCCCAGCATGTATTTGAGAGCTCTAACAAATCGATGCTGCTACAATGGATCCGGGGTTGTGTGCAGTACTATATACCGGGTTATGCTAGTCTTTCTTAAGTGTTCTCTGCTTTTCTGCATTTTTCACGGTTTTTTCGTCGACGAAAAGCCCCTTCCGACGCCGAACATTGTTCATGTATCTTCGGGCAACGTTTTCTCTTTCGGCAAATTCGCCAAGCTCTTCCAATTCTTCCTCGGTATGAGGCACCCAGAACGGATCGGTTTGGAGGAAATCAAAGCCGTCAAAAACGAGCTGTGGACTCGCTGCTCCAGAAGTCTTCTTGCGGATCTCTTCCGAAAACCCAAATGCTTCCACCACCGGAATTCGAGCCTCAATGGTGAAAAATGGACTGCCTTCTTTCATCTCCTCTGAAATAATCGACCCTCCTCTCTTTTGAACCACGGCATATACTCGCCCTAAAACCTCTCCGCTGGCTTGAATGTCACACGTGTACATTGCCAACAATAAACGGGGCGACTTGGACAAGAAATGTGTGTGTATCAAGTCCCTAGTTACTCGGTACACCCTGCCAGAAGTATTGACCAACGAACCATCGTCAGCTTCAAAATTGGACCGCTTGATAATCACCAATACTCCCTGCATGGGCTCCGAAGAAAGCGGTCCGTTGTTGACTGCGAGTTCGAACCCGTTGATCACATTGTTCTCGTACTCAAACCGTGAAGATATCGAAGAACCATCACCAAAAATGCGCCCGAATTTGCAGCCGTTCAGTGCTGTTTCCACCAAAAGATTGGGTCCCACTCTTCTGGGTCCCATGGACACAATAAGGTCCAAAAACGACTCCCAAGTGTCGATTTCGCAGCCGTCAAAAATGTCTTTTTTGAACTCGGTAATGCCGTCGACAGCACCTAAAAATTCCCGCCGAAGAGACGTCCGTGCACGAACCTTGGCATCGTGCTTTCCAAACACCAAAGTCGAGATATCAGACTCGTGAGAAATCAAAAAGTTGGTAATTTCCACCGGCAACTTCAACACTTCTAACTCCAAGTCTAAACCTTCGACAGTGTAGTTCTCTGGTAATTTCTTGTAGGTGCTCTCAGACTTGTTGCTGAGAAGGCCCTCTCTGAAAGGAATCACCGGCTCCTTCACAGAAACATCGCATCCTTTGGCAAACCGTTCTTCTAAATCCTTCAAGCACCGTTCTAAATGAAGCTCACCAGCAACACACATAATCAACTCTCCTGTCTCGTCGTCAATGTACCACTCGAAAACAGGGTCAGCTTTCGACAAGAGTGCCAAACCACGCTCCAATTTGTTTAGCTTGGCAGGGTTTGTTGGTTCAATTGCAATCTTGAGAATGGGTTCATTGTGAATCAAGGTCGATGTAGATGCCAAGTTGATGTATGGTGTTGTCAAAGGTGAGCTTATGGTGGCACTTTTCAACACAACGTCGTCAAGACCGACAACTCCAACAATATTTCCCGCTGGAACTTCATCCATCTTCAAAAACAGACGGCCCATAATCAAATAAAGGTCTTTGATCACCGTCTCTTTCACCAGGTCTTGATTCTGAGCGTCGTCGATGGGCAAAGAAGGATCGTATTTGGGCCCAACTGTAACAATTGTCTGACCCACCTTGAGCAGACCCGAGAAAACCCTCGTAAAAGCAATAAGTGTTTCGTTAGAAGGAACATCCTCGTCGTCATCTGATTCTTGCTCAAAGTCGTCTTCCTCAAATTCCCACTCGAATGGGTCTTTTTTCTCCGCTGGCTTCTCTTCTTCCATGGTGGCCTCGCGCAACGCTGCTGCTGCTTCCGACGCTTTCTTGGCTAGTTCTCGTGCCTCTCTTCCTCGCTGGATGAATTCTTCGGCAGTCAAACCCGGTTCAATATCTTTAGGGAGCTCTTCATTGGGAACAGAAACCATCTTGGACACATAAGCAAGGACGTTTGGACTTGTCTTGTCGCACTCTACTATGGCTCTTTCATTTTCTTCGCTTAGAACTTCATTTTTAGGCTGCTCAGAGCAAACGTCAAACAAACACTCAGAAAGAATTTTGTGCATCCGCTGCTGCTGAGCATCGATTGGGCTCGGAAGAAAGTTGATAACCGTACCAAGCAAAGCATGACTGACAGGAATCCATTGAGACATAATCAAGTTTAAAAGTTGCTTGGAATCTTTCGAACGCAAATCTCTTGGACCAATTTTTGCACCCAATTTTTCAATGATAGATTCGAGCCGGTCCTGGTTCCGCTCCACAACACAATTCTGGTATATCATCCATATCTGTTCCAAAATGAGACCCACAAAGAGTGGCTTGAGCGACGACTGATTGGGCTTCAATTTGGGCCCAGGGATGATTTTTTTGTTTTTCATGTCAAGGTAGAAATCACCCCAGAGAGTTTTAGACAAGACGGTATGAGAAAAACCCAACTTTGCCAGGTAGATTTTGGCGAATGTGTTGACGCTGAATGCCCAGCCGTCGATGGCAGATGCAAATATGACATTATTTTTTTCTGGAGCAAAGTAGAGATCTTTATCGTCCTTTTCCACAAACTCTGTGGTGGAACCACTTTCTCTCCAAAGCATGTCGTCCTCCATTCTTTCGCCAGCAAAGAACGTTCCTATGACCGAATTGACCTGTTCCACTGTTCTGGAAAGATGCTGGTACGCTTCTGTTGGCGATAATTTCCATTCTGTGATCAAACGATCGATTTTATTGAGCACCAAAATCGGTTTGAGTTTGTCTGTCCAGCACTGTCTAAGCACATTAACGGTTTGCGAGCACACTCCTTCCACCACATCCACCAACACTACTGCTCCATCACATAAACGGGGATGCCGTGGACACTTCTGATGAAAAATCAATGTGACCCAGGTGAATCCAATCAAAGTTGATAAGGTACTCTTTTATGCCCAGATTTCCGACCCATCTTTGGGACTGTTTCATCACCTTGAAGTAAAGTGAAATGGCAGAAGACTCCATGGTGGATTCCACGGAGCTGTTCGTCTTCTCTTGAGTCGAGATAGCGAACTTTGCCTGCCATCCGATGTGAAATTATTCCATTTGTAGCAAGAAGCGAGTCACTCAACGAAGTTTTGCCGTGGTCTACATGTGCTAGAATACAGATATTTCGGATCTGGTCGGTATTATGTTGTAGTTCATGGACTTTTTGTGGCGAAAGCTTCATTATATTTAGTTCAATTTGGCTGCGATGCGATGCGAAAATGAGCAATAGGAAGAGTGGGAGAGGGAAGCAAAATAAAAATATGGGCTAAAATTTAAGAGGGAAAAGACACCCTGACACTTATAGTAAGCTAAAGAACAAGCAGCTCCCATTTTTTAGCATTATTCGGTTCTTTTTGCTCAACTTTGGCCTCTAGAATAATGAGATTCGGCTCGAAATTAAAGGTTAAAACCTTTTGCACACACACAAAAGCTCAATTCGTCTATACCAGAGCATTCAAGTCTCTATAATGTCCATCCCGTTATTTTTAACTCATTTGCAGCCTAGCCATAACTCTCGGTGTGGCCGCTTCACATGTCTTAGACTGCAGGAATTCGCAGCCCGCTACGTCCGGGTGACGCCGTCGTGCCCACATCGCCCTGCGGAAACTTGTTTCGAGACAATTACACGTTCAATTTAATCAACTAAAACTCCACCAAAAACCGCTTCAAAGCTCTTAACTTTGACCGTAGACTTATTAGCAAGCTTCTGATCCCAGCATTACACAACCTTGACCCAAAAATATCCTCCAGAAAATGTCCGATGATTGGAAAGCGAACCTCAATATTCCAGCAAAGGACTCCAGACCTCAAACCGAAGATGTTACAAAGACACAGGGTAAATCATTTGAAGAATTCGGGTTGAAAAGGGAACTTTTAATGGGTATTTTTGAGGCTGGTTTTGAAAAACCTTCTCCTATTCAAGAAGAATCTATTCCTATGGCCCTCGCTGGCAGAGATATATTGGCCAGAGCCAAGAACGGAACCGGTAAGACAGCGTCGTTTATCATTCCGGCATTACAGCAAGTGAAAACAAAATTAAATAAAATCCAAGTGTTGATCTTGGTGCCCACAAGAGAGCTTGCTTTGCAAACTTCTCAGGTGGTGAAAACTTTAGGCAAACACTTGAAACTCCAATGCATGGTTACTACTGGTGGTACCTTGTTAAGAGACGATGTTATGAGATTGGACGAGCCGGTCCATATTTTAGTCGGTACTCCCGGTAGAGTGTTAGATTTGGCTGCGCGGTCCATTGCTGACTTCTCAGAATGCCCGATGTTTGTGATGGACGAAGCAGATAAAATGTTATCCAGAGAATTCAAAGGAATCATCGAGCAGATCTTGGAATTTTTCCCCAAGAACAGACAATCGTTATTGTTCTCTGCTACTTTCCCTCTTGCAGTCAAGTCGTTTATGGATAAGCATTTGAACAAACCTTACGAAATCAACTTAATGGACGAACTTACCTTACGGGGTATTTCGCAATTTTACGCTTTTGTCGAAGAAAAACAAAAGCTTCACTGTCTCAACACGTTGTTCAGTAAACTCAAGATTAATCAGGCGATCATCTTTTGCAATTCGACCAACAGAGTTGAATTGCTCGCCAAAAAGATCACCGAATTGGGCTACTCTTGTTACTACTCTCACGCAAAGATGCCTCAACAAGCAAGAAACAAGGTTTTCCATGAGTTTAGACAAGGATCGGTTCGTACCTTGGTATGTTCTGATTTGTTGACTAGAGGTATTGATATCCAAGCAGTCAATGTCGTCATCAACTTTGACTTTCCCAAAACCGCCGAAACTTACTTGCACAGAATCGGTCGGTCCGGTAGATTTGGCCACTTGGGTTTGGCAATCAATTTCATCCACTGGGATGACCGGAAAAGTTTATTCAATATAGAAACCGAGTTGGGCACCGAGATCAAACCAATTCCCAGCGACATCGACCGAAGTTTGTACGTTACTGAAGACGAGGCGTCGATACCCCGTCCGTTCAAGATCGACGAGTTACCTAAGGGAAACGAACATAGTCGGAAAAGAAATGGATACGAATACAGAGGTCAACCTACCTCGCAAGGATTTCCTCAACAACCTCCTCAGGCTAATACAGGCTACAATCAGGTGCCACAGGGCTCACCACAGGCCCAGGGCTTACAAGGATCTCCTCAGGGTTTACAAGGGTCTCCCCAAGGAATTCCTCAAGGGTCTCCTCAAGGTATTCCACAGGGCATTCCACAAGGGCTTCCACAAGGAGTTCCACAATTTCCCCAAGGTTATCCCCAGGGCATTCCTCCCCAAGGTCCCCAAGCTTACCAGAATTACCAAATTCCCCCTCAACAGGTACCTGCTCAATTCAATGGCCATAGTCAGTACAGCCAGTACCAGTCACAACCGTTTTGAGATACTAATCCACCACAGAAAATAAAGAAAGAGAAAAAAAAGATGAAAAGATAAAAAAACAAAAAAAAAGAAAAATTAACTCTTATGAAGAGTAGAGCCATGTGCAAAAGTAAAAAGATCATAAGTTAAATCGAACTGAGCATGAAAAGAAAATAGACTGCATTTGCCCGAGAACCATTGGGCACCAAATTTTGGTAAAGATTTACCTCCGCATTTTCCCTTGCATCGATGTATTATTAATGACTTATGAGTTTGTTTTTGGTGTTATTTGGCTGCTGCTCTCATAGATGGGACTTTGTCCTTAATTTTTTATAGCCTTTAGAATATATATCTTTTGGCGATATCAGTGATTGGCTGCGAAATCAGTGCGGGTGATGGGCTGTATGCACTCCACGTTATTAATTTTTCGTTTGACTCTGTCCTCATCGAGCTATCGCTACACATCTCATTCCCGTTACGAAGTCTCGTACCCGTTTTCAACGCTTCATACTAGAGTATACTAGAGCAGTATGTGTGGTATTCTAGGAATAGTGCTCGCTGACCAATCAGCTAACGTGGCACCCGAGTTATTTGAAGGTGCCATGTACCTCCAGCATCGGGGTCAAGATGCAGCTGGAATCGTTACTTGTGGTTCTCGAGGAAGATTGTACCAGTGCAAGGGTAACGGTATGGCGCGTGACATTTTCAATGAACAACGTATGGCCAACTTGATTGGAAACATGGGGCTTACTCATTTACGTTATCCTACGGCTGGATCTAGTGCTGGAAGTGAAGCCCAGCCATTTTACGTCAATTCTCCATATGGAATCTCGTTGTCACATAACGGAAACTTGGTCAACTCACTCGACTTGAGAAAGTATTTGGATGAAACCGTACATCGTCATATCAACACCGATTCCGATTCCGAATTATTGATCAATATCTTTGCTTCTGAGTTGGAAAGATTCAACAAGCTGCGTGTGAACAACGCCGATCTCTTTCTGGCGTTGGAGGGCACCATGAAGCACGTTAGAGGAGCGTACGCATGTGTGGCTATGTTGGCAGGTTACGGAATTATTGGGTTCAGAGACCCCAATGGTATCCGACCTCTTTTGTATGGAGAAAGAAAACTTGCCAATGGAAAGTCTGACTATATGATTGCCTCAGAGTCGGTGGTTTTGAAGGCACATGGATTCGACAACTTTAGAGACGTCAATCCAGGAGAAGCGGTGATTATTCTCAAAGATGGATCGAAGCCAGAATTCAAACAGCTTGTCGAACCCAAGATTTTTGCACCAGATATTTTCGAGTATGTCTACTTCTCGAGACCAGATTCTGTTCTTGATGGGGTTTCAGTGTACCATTCGAGAATTGAAATGGGAAACAAGCTTGCTGCAAAAGTTGCCAATTTTTTCACCGACAAGAAAATCACCGACGAGATCGATGTGGTGATTCCAGTGCCCGATACCGCTCGTACGTCGGCGTTACAATGTGCTGTATCGTTGAACATTCCGTACCGTGAAGGGTTTGTCAAAAACAGGTATATTGGACGTACATTCATCATGCCCAACCAGCAAGAAAGACGTTCTTCGGTTCGCAGAAAATTGAATGCTATGGAGTCCGAATTCAAAGGCAGAACGGTTTTGTTGGTGGACGACTCCATCGTGAGAGGTACCACGTCGAAGGAAATTGTTCAAATGGCCAGAGAAGCCGGAGCTAAAAAAGTGTATTTCGCATCGTGCGCTCCACCCATCAGATTCAACCATATCTACGGAATTGACTTGGCAGACACCAAGGCTCTTGTAGGGTTCAACAGAGATGAAGAAGAGATAGCCAAGGTGATTGGAGCCGACGAGGTATTTTACCAAGATTTACAAGACTTGATAGACTGTTGTAAGAGCGACACCATCAAACAATTCGAGGTTGGAGTTTTCACAGGTAACTACATCACCGGTGTCGAAGACAACTATTTGCAAGAATTGGAGAAAATTCGTGCCCAAAACCAGCGGATTCGAGATGCCAAAAAAGGCTTGAGTGTCGATGCATGCATCGATGCCAGCGACATGGTGGATGTGAAAGCCGAGGTGGACATCAGCATCTACAATCGAGGCGACTACGCATAACTGCTCGAAAGCTAGTTCCGACTGCATAGCCAATTGCACGTGGTGAAGCAATGATCTGACTGTGGCAGAACACCAAATGAACCGAGTCACATTATATTGATCAAAAGTGACTTAAAGAACCGGATGACTCCTCTGGATACTTGGCATAACACATAAACGACAATTCATAACTTTTTTGTTTAGAACTCACCAATTGATGCCATTCGTGGCCCATTTTGCAGCTATTTACGACGCCTCATCGGACTGGGTGCAGGATGAAACTCCCGCCTCAAAACAAATTTTAGAGCTACCTGTGGCTATATAGACTTTCAAAAGACAATTTTGAATTAAATAATAGTGTCATCCCGTTATGCTCGCTTCGAATAATCACCCATTGTCTCCGCCTCACATCGCTGCGCCTGAACCGCGTTCAGGTACCAGTGCCGGGTAACCGCAGGCGCGCCCCGACAAGTATCTAATTCCTGCAAATGTTTTTATCATATTTGAACAGCAAATACGCACGGATTAGATTTTTGTTGTCTTTCAATCCACCGCTTTTTGCAAATTTTTGTTGTTGTTCCATAGTCTACGTGGAGCTTGCTGAAACCAGTGCATGGGTTTATTGTTGAGCTACCTCTTTGGATATATTTTCTACTCTGTTAACAAAAAATTTCACATCATGGAAAAGTTCGGTGCTTCCAATTCCATTGTCAATAATGGTCCCGTGTCGATCTTTGCGTACTGTGCTTCGTCGATCTTGATGACCGTCACCAACAAGTTTGTTGTGGGTGCTTATGAGTTCAACTTGAACTTTTTCCTTTTGGCGGTGCAAGCTGCCGTGTGTCTCGTCACGATTGCTACTTTGAAAGGCCTTGGAATTATCACTTATAGACAGTTCAACAAGGATGAGGCCAAAAAATGGTTCCCCATTGCGTTTTTGTTGGTGTTGATGATTTACACCTCGTCCAAGGCATTGCAATACTTGAGTATTCCCGTGTACACCATTTTCAAAAACTTGACAATTATTTTGATCGCTTATGGTGAGGTGATTTGGTTCGGTGGAAAGGTCACCACCATGGCATTGGGTTCGTTCATTTTGATGGTTTTGTCGTCGGTGATCGCCTACTACGGTGACACTGCGGAAACCGGTGAAAAGACCGCCGAGATGCACTTGTTGTACTTGGGATACGCTTGGATGTTCACCAACTGTTTCTCCTCGGCCGCGTTCGTGTTGATCATGCGTAAGAGAATAAAGTTGACCAACTTCAAGGACTTCGACACCATGTACTACAATAACTTGTTGTCGCTCCCCCTTTTGTTGGTATTCTCATTCCTTTTCGAGGACTGGTCTTCTGTTAATCTTAACAAGAATTTCCCCCCTGACAACAGAAACACCACCATTTTCGTGATGATTCTTTCTGGTGCCTCGTCAGTTGGTATCTCCTACTGTTCCGCTTGGTGTGTTAGAGTCACATCTTCCACTACCTACTCGATGGTGGGTGCTTTGAACAAGTTGCCAATCGCGTTGTCTGGATTGGTATTCTTTAATGCCGCTGTCAACTTTTGGTCTGTTTCTTCCATCTTTGTTGGTTTCTTGGCTGGTGTGTTCTACGCTGTTGCCAAACAAAAACAGCAAAAGGAGAACGCTCAACAATTGCCAGTTGCCAACAAGTAATAGGAAGGTGACCTTGGCGCCGTCATTGTTGTAGGTGTTGTTTTGACCTGCAATAATGCTCCTTTATAGTACTAATAGACATCCAAACCTTGTACACAGTCCATGAAATTTTCAAATCTCAAATTAAAGTCGCATCTTGTTCTCACTCGCCGAGTTTGCTCAAATGAACAACCTAGAAACAATCGCCCAGTATTTGGAGCTGTCGCTTTCTCCCCAACATGCCAAGCAAGCGGAATCGTCATTGAGAAGCCTCGAGTCTCAACCGGGGTTCCTGATAAATTTGCTACACATCGTCGCCTCTTCCAACTTGCAAGCAGGTGTTCGATTAGCAGCGGCATTATTCTTCAAGAATTTGATCAGAAGACGGTGGGTGAATGAAGATGGAGAATACTTGCTCCCTGTCGAAGATTGTGAGCATTTGAAGTCGGAAATCTTGGGAATTATGATCACTTTACCGAGCCAACTTCAGATCCAAATTGGCGAGTCAATTTCCATCATTGCTGATTCGGATTTCCCACACAAATGGCCAGGGCTCGTCGATGAGTTGGTCAACAAGCTCTCGCTCGATGACTTCGTGCTCAACAAGGGAATACTATTGGTGGCGCATTCTATCTTCAAGAGATGGAGACCATTATTTCGGTCCGACGAGTTGTTTTTAGAAATCAAATTGGTTCTCTCCAAGTTTGCGGAGCCGTTCATGGCATTGTTGGTGAAGAGCGACGAGTTGATCTCCCAAAGCTTGGCAAACAACGATAAAGCGTCGCTTTCAATCTACATGGAGTGTCTTTTATTACTAGTTCAAATCTACTACGATCTCAACTGTCAAGACATTCCCGAGTTTTTCGAAGATAACATGGTTTCAGGAATGGAAATAATGCACAAATATTTGAGTCTAGAAACCACTTTGCTCACAGATCCTGACTCAGATGAAGATGTCGATGTTCTAATCAAAACCAAGTCGGCTATTATCGAGCTTATCTCCTTATATGTCACCCGTTACGCCGACGTTTTCGAGCCTTTAATAGAGAACTTCATCACCACCGTGTGGAAGCTCATCAACTCATACATTACCAACCAGCAAAAGTTCGATTTACTCGTGGTCAAGTCGCTTTCGTTCTTGACTTCGGTCACAAAAATGGCAAAATACCAAGGCATGTTCAACAGCAGTGACTCGTTGAAAGAAATTATCGAAAAGATCATTCTTCCCAATATATACTTCCGTGAGGTTGACGAGGAAATGTTTGAAGATGATCCCATTCAATTTGTTCGCTCGGACCTCGAAGGTTCTGATTTCGATTCGAGACGGAAATCTGCTACTGATTTCTTGAGAGAGCTCAAAGAAGTCAACACAGAACTTTTGACAAACACAGTGATGCATTATGTCAACCAATTTCTTTCGTCCAAAGACGATTGGAAGCACAAAGATACAGCAATTTTCCTATTCAGCTCACTTGCTGCAAAGGGTTCCATCACCAACGCAGGTGTTACATCCACCAACGTTTTGGTTGATGTTGTAAAATTCTTTTCAGAAAACATCGCCAACGACTTGGTTCAAACAGACAACTCCATTCATGCCATATTGAAGGCTGACGCTATCAAGTACATCCTAACATTTAGAAACCAGTTGACGAAGGCTCAGTTACTTGATACGCTTCCACTTTTAATTCAGCACCTCAAAAGCTCAAACCCAGTGGTGTACACCTACTCGGCAATAACCATCGAAAAGTTGCTTTCTATGTCCAGTTTTTCGGATGCCAGCCATGCGCCAGTGTTTAACAAAGATGACGTACAGCCTTTCATCCACGATCTCGTCACCAACTTGTTTGCATTGATATTATCAGGGAACAGTAGTGTTCCTGAGAAGCTCGCTGAGAACGAATTTCTCGTGAAATGCTTGATGAAAGTCCTCAACACCGCTGAAAATAAGTTGGACAGTTCATCCAATGAGAACGACACCAAATTTAGATCTACTATCATCACTCAGCTTCTCAAAATCATTGAGATCACTTCAAAAAATCCATCAAACCCGAAATTTTCACACTATGTTTTCGAAAGTCTTGGATTACTCTTGAAGTTTGGCGCCCACACAGACCAGATCGTGGGAAACTACGTGGACCTAATCATGCCGCCTTTACTCGAAGTATTGGGAAACGACGTTCAAGAATTTATTCCATACACTTTCCAAATCTTAGCATATCTTCTTGAACTTTACCCATCTGGACATCCTTTACCTGGAAGCTACGGTCATCTTATTAAGCCACTCTTGTCTCCAGCTGCATGGGAGTACAGAGGTAACATTCCAGGCATCACCAGACTCTTGATTGCGATTCTTGAACAAGATCCCTCAGTGTTTGGACAAAATGACAATTCATTGACGCCGCTTTTGGGTGTGTTTCAAAAGTTAATTGCCTCCAAAGTTAATGACGTACATGGATTCGAGTTGTTGCAGGCGATTATATTCTCTATTCCCGTGTCATCATTATCGCATTATTTGAAAGATATCGCCGTGCTTCTTTTGACAAGATTGAAGAGCTCAAGAACTGAGAAATTTGTCAAGAAGTTTGTGGTATTTATTTGTACATTAGCATGCGTTCCCATGAACCAAGACCTTTCCAAAAAGACTCATTCCTTGATCAACGCAGACTTTGCAGTGGACCTCATTGATTCTGCCCAACCGGGAGTATTTGGCCAGATTTTGAAGAGTTTTATTTTACCCACGTCGTCGTCGTTGGCTAATTTGCAAGACAAGAAACTTGCAACTTTTGGGTTGCTGCAATTTGCAAGATCCACTGCTTTTACATCTGGAAGATACAGCGACCAACTAGTTGCAGTAGTTGAGCAATTGGCCAAAAATCTTTCTACTTTAGAAGGCTTACAGAAAAACACCAACGTTGCTGTGGCATCTAGTACTGGAGGACAACACCCGGCTGCCGTTGCCGTGGATGAACTTGACTTGGAAAGTTCGTCGTACGGTTCGCAATTTTCCAAGATTGTATCGATACAAGGGAAAGTATTCGACCCAGTACCAGATGTCAAAAGCAATGATTTTGCCGGGATCAAACGAGGATGCTTGGGAGCCATAGCGCAACTAGGCACATCGGGAGTGTTGGAACAGCTCAGTGGAGATGCAAAGCAGGTTTTGAGCAGCATCAACTAAAAAATATTATAATACATTGAAGTTAAATATACAAACTTTTTATGAGAAGTAAAACTGGAACGTAACGTTCAACCCATATTTACACAGCGAGAGGGTTAATCTTGAATCAACGACTGGAAGACGGTTTCGTCGCTGGCGATGGTATTTCCAGGATGCAGGTCGCCAGCAACCGGATTGTCGTCTCCAGCGACTGAACCCTTGGCTTGTTCTTGTTCCTTTAACTTGTCCAACCGTTCTTTTTCGGCGATTTCTGCCGCCGTCAAAAACCGTCCTCCTTGGCCTCGAGGTCTCCGCATGGCATGCTTGTGTCTAGACTCATGAAGGTAAGGTTTTCTAGTTCTAGCCACCTTCAAATTCTCCTCAAGTTTTGCACGGGCAATTCTACGCTTGAGAATACGGTGATACTGCTTTAGCATTGACGTAGAATGGCTGTTCGGCGGGTTGAACCTGGGCCCCTGGGAGAGGTGGTTCTGGGGCATCATCGGGGACTGCTCAGTTGATGAGTAGGTGGGTAAAACTGCTGCAGCTGTGGTGGTGCGGTTCCAGAGTAGTAAGGTGTCGAATTGTCGGATCCAGCCTCGGAAGTGGGCGAAACTACCGAATTTTCCATTCGGTCTTTGGTTATATGGCTTGAGTAGTACGATGTCCTGGAGTTGTTTTGATAGTATGGGGCGTCCTCCACATGGTTTTCTAGCGACGTCATGAACACCACGAGCAAATTGAAGTGATTTCAATGCACTGGCCAGGAGAAAAGTGGTGTTGATAACGTAGTGATAAACTGAATGCGAAAAACTTGCGTGCGGTATTTTGTGTAATAACCGATACCGGCCAGATGGGAAGTCAGGTGATCCGGACTAGGAGTTAAAAGAGAAGGCAGAAATGCAAAAGAAACAAATGAAACAAATGACGAATGAGTTCTTCTAGCTTTTTCTTTACGTTTCATTACCTTCTTTCTTCCTTATCCTTTATGTTTCCATTACATTAGTTTTCTTTTTCTTCATTTTTCATTCCTCATTCCAGTTTCCTCTTTACCCCTTCGTCACACCTTCCTCAAAATCAACCTGTTCCTCCACACACTCCTCCTGTAATGCTATCTTGTTCAACATTGAACTTTTACTATTATCGGCCCATATTGCACTAACACTGGTACTTACACTTGCACTTACCGCTTCTCCAACAGTTGGTGTAACAGTTGCAGCCACTTGTGGTTCCAAGTGAAACGGCCGTCGATGGGTGGAAAAGTCAGAATAAAGTGCGTATTTGTAGGTGGGATCCGTAAAAGTAGTTTGATATGGGGTTGTGGAAATTTCACTTGGGTGTCTCTGATTTTTCAGTTCAACTGAAAGATGTTCATTTTTTGGTTTTGCCGCTCCCTTTCCCTTAGTTATTCTTCCCTTAGCATTCTCCTCCCTCCCTCCTATATACTTGATTTCCCTAAGCGTTTCGTAAATGGCTTTTTTGCTGGCTGGCCATGAACATGGTAGGTCCTTATGCTTGCAATTTGAGCACACGGGATACGAAGATTCGTCACACTTGACTTTGCGCAGTCGACAAGTCAAACACCCCGTTCGCGACCGCGTTCTAGGAACATCCGGGGCACCCATAGGCCGTGAAAATAGTAGTCTGATAAGAATGTCAAAAGAATTTGCAAAATTAAGCGTGTGTCCCAATTAGGCAATTATAGCGGGTCTAAGCGCGCAAAGTCTATACCGAATGCGTGGTTGAGGCGAGCGGAAATGGGCAAAAAAAGAAGAGAAGAAAAGAAGAAAAAGGAGAGAAAGGAGAGAAAGCAGACAAAAGCAGAGTAAGTAACTTCCTAGAAGTAGTTAGATGGAAGAGAAAGTAGATTTGAATGTAGAATTGATAAATCTGATATTTTTCGCTTTCAAGCAAACTAGACAACTGTGTATTGCCTAGAACTCAATCTGTTAGAGCCAGTCCACATGCCTAACTTTAATACACCATTCTCTTTAAATTTTGTCACAGGTACCACTACCACTGGTGTGTGGATGCACTGTAGAAAACTCGCGACAACAAGCCAGTCACTATGAGCGATCAGCCGTCCATCTCCACGTCTGTTGACGTACCGCCAGGCAACGTTGAAGACATATTCACACAATATCTGATTCCCCAGATCCAGAAACTCAGTAAAAACTATAGAGACGATGCGGAACGGGCAAAAAATGACCTTTTCAAACTCGTAGGTCACAAGTATCGAGACCTTGTGGAAATCGCAGAAGACATAAGAACTATGTATCGAGATAGCATGGAGGTCAACGAAAGGTTATCGTCTTTGGCGTATAGCAAGCTGAATTTCAAAGACTTTACGAACACAAATCAATTTGCAAGATTTGATTCCGATGTGAGAAAAATCCATGCCCAGAAATCACGAGTGAATGGCAAAACTACGATCCTCAAAAACTTGATCTATGATCGCCTAGTGTCAATTGACCTAGGACTAAAGACCAAGGTTGACAACAGCGTTATTGACGAGACCTCTCAACTTCAAGCATACATCAACTACAGCAAAATCTACTTTACGATTGAATCGGTATTTGCTGATATTTTTCAAGCGGATATCTACCTCAAAGGAAAGTTTGACTACCTTAAATCAAGGTTCAAGTCGCATTTGGAGGTTCTTATTGCTGAACATAATTCTTGGGTGGGAAGCTTTGGATCTCAAGGCACCGCACTTCACAGCTTGATCCGTCATTATAACATGAGCATAGATATTGGTTTGGAAGAACTTTCTGAGATAATCTTAGAAGACGTTGATATCGAAGATTCGCAATTGCATAGTAATGGTCCACCAAGGCAGGTTCAACCTCTCGTGAGTATATTGTGTGCCTATGTTATCTTGAATCTGAAAGATCCAGAGCTTGACACTATAACCAAGGTATTTGAGAAATTTGCTGAAATCAGGACCTCATATGTCAGCTCCCTTATCAGCAATCCTGTTCCAAGCTCAAGTATGGACAGCAATATTGAGTATGATTTCTTGAAGCTATTCTTGTACATTGAGAACACTTGCAACTACATCAAGACATACTTCGATTCCCCTACGCTAAGAAGCAATCTTGTTTCCACATTGAAACAAAACACTGAAAACTGGTCGGCTGCTGACGTTATTGGGTTCCGCAACTGGTTTGAAACCGATACTGTCAAGTTCAACCATCAACTATATGAGGTTCGTATACCCGAATCATCTCTTGAGGCAGTCAACGATGTGGTAGTGACCTCAGTGAAGCTGGTGTCTACTCTCTGTGACAGTCTTTTAGAGCAAGCACAATCTTCTTTGAGCGAAGAAAAGACTCTGATCATTCAAGCACAGAAATTGTGCTATAATTTCTTCATTGATTTGACCAATTTGTGTCGTTTCTGTTATGGTCAGGGCGCTAAATGCAATATAGTCAGACTATTGCAAGACAATGGTCTGTTGTCTTCAGTATTACAGAATGTGGGATCATCGATAAGTACAGTGTATGATGAACACTTGAACCGTTTGATGCAAGATTCCAATGATGAACCAAAGGGTGGACTATGTTCAACTTTGACTACTTTGTCGCACAATTCGACTCATTCAGCGCTTTTTAGTCAACCATTATTTGACATGCTAGACAACAGTGTTGAAATGTACTTGGAGACTGTGCATGATATTGCGACTTCGACCTTTTTTATTCCCAAATCGGCTGCCCTAGGAAGTGCACAGGTTGAACAATGGTTCACCAAAGCGGGTCTACTTCACAATTTACTCGGACTTACTTCTGATGAGAAAGTTGTGCACGGTGAATCAAGATACAACCTACTTGATTTGGCTGAACAACTCAACGAGTTTGACGCTTCTAAACCATTCAGTGGCCTCGTAAACAAAAAGGTTAATTCTTTGAGGGACGGGATCCTTCAAAAATTATGGACAAGAATAGAAAAGTTTGTTGACTATGTGGTTACGATCTTTGAAGTTCAGGACGAGAAGAATGACATAAATACGAGGTACGATTTTCTTCGCATCCTTCTTTCATTGGAAGAGAATTTGAGATTATTGCTGTCTCGTCTTCCAGATGCAAATACCCACGACTCGTCAAGTATCACTAACAAGATTGAAGCTTCATGTCGAAAGAATATAACGCTCATCTTTGAACAGAGTTTGAAACACCCAATAGCAACTCAATTTCAGGAAGGGCTCAATGGTTACTTGAATACTAAGTCTGCCCGTTGTGGTCCATCAAACCAATTTACCGGTTTGATATACCACTTATCTTCTGTGTTCCTTTCCCCTACAGATCAAAGAGAAACGAGCGAATACGAAAACATACAATTATATCAAAGCTCAGTTGTCAAAAGCGAATTCACGAAGCTCAAGAGAGAGTGGATTGTGAGCAAGCTAATCAAGAAATTGGTAGAAAAGCTTAAAAATGATTCGGCTCAGAAGGAGGAGGAACCAGCTGACAAAAACGAAGCAGAAACCAACGGAACACACAAAGCTTCGAAAAATGAACCAGATTGTATCAGGCTACTTACTGATATACAATTCTTGTTGTCTCTTGTTCACGAAGAGTCGTCTACCTCTTCATATATCGCCGAAGCAGGTATCAGCATCTCTGAGGAAGCAGTCGACAAAATCAAGAAAGATGTCTCTGAGTTCTATGCATCCAGTAAACATGTATTTTTACCTTTACTGATCTAATATACAATACACTTTAATAGAGGTACACCTTTGAGCCAGAAAGGGTCAATTCTTTCAAAACCTCAGTGGTTTCCTTGATATCCCAAACGTTTTGTAGCTTTTTGTCCAAGTATGAATTGTCCAAGATGATAATTTTCACTTCAGACTTTTTAAGCGGAGCATCTTCTGAGGCGAGAACCTTGGCGAGTCTTCCTGGTGTGCAACAGAGGACTCGAGACCTTGTAGTTTTCACCAACTTGAGGTCGACGTCTAGCTTGTTCTTATTAATGAGTTTTAGGGAAGAGCCAGATAAGTCTCTTGTGGCTCGATGGACATCACAAGCACGAAGTGCAGACATGGAGAGCACGGCAATGAACTTGCGTTCGTCTTGGTCTTTTTGTTCTTCAGATTTTAGGCTTTTCTTGGACTTTTTTGAGCCTGCTGGAAGCATGTTTTTGAAGCGCAGTAAGATGAAATCGCCGAGGTTATTTAATGTGCGCTCATCGGTAAAGTCGGAAGTTGATCTGAAATCGGTTTTTGTAAAGTACAACTCGGATAACTCCAAGGAAGACAAATCTGGATTTTTCTGTGAGATCTTGGAGTTGACAAAGTCTGCAATAATCTCTGGCGATACCTCCTTCGACAAGTTTTTCTTTGTCTGCATGTCTGTTTCCATCTTAATACGTTTCTTCTCCTTCAAAGCAGAAGATTTGTGTTTTCGTTTGTTACCTGAAGAAGGCTCATCGGCTTCATCGTTATCATCAGCTGACCCTAAAGGGAGTTTTATTTCTTCTGTGTTGACAGCAGTTCCCTCATCTTCTGAAAGGCTCACGTTGTACTCTAGCCCATCGTCCAAGTCGTCTCCGCCAGCGCTGGTAGTCATTGTACTTTGAGTGCTTTAAAAAGAGAAATGATGAGCGTGAAAAATAAAATTCGAGCATCTTGGTTATCACCATGATGAAATGCATTACCACAAAAAAGAGCCTAGGGCGACTAATGGGGCATGTTTCTCGTCGGAGTACACTCCTTACCGCTCCCGCTACCTCTACATCCACACAAAGGCGAGGAATCATGCTAAACAGTGAACTTCGAACGAGACTAGCAGAAGCCGAAGTTCATCCTGTTGTGGTTATAGGCGGTGGTCATGCTGGTTGCGAGGCTGCAACTGGTTCCGCTCGCTCAGGAACACCTACTACACTCATAACCCCAGACATTTCAAAGATAGGAACCGCTTCGTGCAATCCTTCGATGGGCGGAGTAGGCAAAGGGACCCTTCTTCGAGAAGTTGATGCTTTGGATGGAGTAGCTCTGAAAATCACTGACAAGGCTGGAATTCACTTCAAGATCCTCAATGCCTCAAAAGGGGCTGCTGTCCATGGACCACGAGCTCAAATCGACAGAAGCATATATTTGAAAGAGATGCAAAAAACCATTCTCAACTACCCGAATTTGACGGTCCTAGAAGCCGAGGTCAAAGATATCATTATTGAAGACGTAGAAACGAACTCCTCTGACTTCACAGGACGAAAATATGGAAGTATAGTTGGCGTGGTGCTCGGAGACTCTAGGGTTCTCAGTTGCTCCAAAGTCGTTGTAACCACTGGCACTTTTTTGAGTGCAGAGATCCACATTGGACTTGAGTCTTTTCCCGCGGGCAGAATGGGAGAAAATGCCACTTTTGGTCTTTCGAAGACATTTAAAGAGGCTGGCTTCAGATTGGGAAGACTTAAGACTGGAACTCCTCCACGTTTATCATCCAGAACTATTCGTTATGAAGGTCTTTCCGAGCAAAAATCAGACTACCCACCAGCTCCAATGTCATATATGAGCCTGAAGGTTGACCTTCAAGACCAGTTGGTTTCGTGCCACATCACCTTCACCACAGCAGAAATGCACAAGTTGATAGCTGACAACCTTGACAAGTCCATCCATATTAAAGAAACCGTCAAGGGACCCCGCTATTGTCCCTCTATAGAGTCGAAAATCATCAAGTTTCCTCAAAAAACGAGCCATATGGTATGGTTGGAGCCGGAGGGATTGGACACAGATCTAGTCTATCCGAATGGTATTTCTTGCACCATGCCTCATGAGCTCCAAGAAAAGTTGGTCAAGCTTATGCCAGGCTGCGAAGACGTCAAAATGGTTCAACCAGGGTATGGTGTGGAGTATGACTTTGTGGATCCTCGAGAGTTGAGACAGACGTTGGAGACAAAACTTGTGGACGGGTTGTACCTCGCAGGTCAAATCAATGGAACCACAGGCTATGAAGAAGCCGCGGCTCAGGGATGTTTGGCAGGTATAAATGCCGGGCTTTCTCTTGCTGGTAAGCCGCCATTGATAGTTCAAAGGTCAGATGGATACCTTGGAGTTCTAGTAGACGATTTGATCACCAAAGGTGTTGAAGAACCCTATAGGATGTTCACATCGAGATCAGAGTTCAGGATCTCCATAAGATCTGACAACGCAGACAAAAGGTTGACAGAAAAAGGGTATCTTGCAGGTGTGGTTAGCGAAGAACGCTACAAACATTACAAGAATGAGATGAACAATTTTGACGCTATAAAAAGTTTTTTGCAATCGGTTTCTCTTTCGGGTGCGAGATGGGCTCCTGCGTTGAAAGGCACAGAGCTGGATGTGAACCGTACCGCTGTGGTTGACGGGTGGAAACTTCTTTCATATCGAGACGTTGATCTTGAACTTCTCATGAAATCTTTACCTCAAATTGTCGGAGACCTTCCACCAGTTTTTGATTCTATCAACCCACGGTTGCTCAATCGCATAGATGTGGAGAGCACATACGAGCCATGGATGAAGAAGGAAGAGGCTCATTTAAGGGCATACAAAGCAGACGAAAACTTACTTTTACCGAAAAACTTTGTCTACAATAATGAGGGCAACCTTAAAATTTCCTACGAGGTGTGCCATTTGTTGAACACAATCCAACCAAAAACCATTGGACAAGCAAGAAGAATTCAGGGTGTAACACCAGCTGCAATCTTTGAACTATTCAAGCTTGTCAAGGGAAACCAATCACAACTCGCACAGGAATGGGATCTGGCTACGTGAGTTGATGTAAATAGATGTGAATGAATAATGTACAAATTTATGCTACAATTCGGCAATATTGTCGTCCAGCGACTCCGAGCCGTAAAAATCGTCCACGTAAAGGTCGTCACTTTCAGCTGAAGACTTCAGCCCAGAAGACACTTCCACGGCACCAGCAATGCTGTTGTCTAATGATATTAACGTCTCTGTGGGTAGCACACTATGAGCCAATCTTGCTACTGTGTCGATCTCATCACTGTTGTTCTTGATAAATCGGATCCGGTGCAAGTATAGCAAGACGTCTTTGATAGTAATCTGGTAATTGGGCGATGCTGATCTATGACTTGCATACGCCTCGAGATCTTCCATCATTGCCAGGATGAACTCGCTCGACTTGGCTGCTATCTCCTGGTAAATCTCTGGCCGGAAGCGAACCTTTCTTCTCGCCGCAGGGACAAGATTTACTTGATTTTCAAATGCAGAAGTCTGACTAGACTTGACCATTTTTCTTATCATTGCAATGGGGAAAGAAGAGACAGTTGAGACTTCTTGGTCTGGAAGTGATAGCAACGCATGTGGAATCCGGGTCCGATGACTTAATGTTGTTGGAGACCGTTCAGAACTAGATTCTCTAGCAGGCAGAGGTGATGGCAGATTCCGTGAAGGTGGTTCATGTGGATTTTCATCATCTGAATCAGGTTCAATAATATCGGGAACATTCACAGCATCCATCAAAGTGTACTCCTCTTGAATTATACTAGGTGAAAATCCTAATACGTCTTGAAACGTACGCTCTGGAGTTCCATCAATACTGGGAGTGTGCACCAGCAGAGCGGTGGGTGGTGAAAGCATATCTTTGGCTAAAGTATTACCAAAAGAGGGTACCTGAGGTGATTCTGTCAGATTATCATGCTCTTGTTGGGTGTCTAAATCGTTTGGAATTTCAAAATTAGCTTCTTCGATGCCATCTGCTAAGTCTGTTTTCCCGATTTCCGTCTCGCCAGGAAGCTCGTCTTGTCCATTGGGGTCTTCAGAAAGATAAGGTGGTGTGGCTGTCACGGGAGCATTTGAAATGGGTTGCGGTGTAGTTTCCTGTTCGACAGGCATATCTGGAAGTGGCAGTTCGTGAGTACTTTCAATTCCTTTATCATCGATAATAAAAGGCGATGTTTGGTCGACTGGAGATTTCGGTGCTTTGCTTGCAGGAGTCTTGAAGCTTTGAGGACCAAAAGTGTAAGCAGGTGCTTCTTGTTTCTTCTGACCCTGGGACGCAAGAATTCTTTCAAGATACGAAAATGATTTTGGTTTAGAAGGGGGCGCAGGTTTCAAGTCATGGTTGTCATAAGGAGTATCATGCTCGTAGACATTGTCTGGGTCTGAACGAATTACGGGTGACAATAGAGGATGGGTATCAGATGGAAGTGGAAGCGAGTTGTTGAACTCGTCTATTTCAGGATTTTGATCGGAGTAGTGGATCAAAAAGGACGAACGAGAACGGGATCGGTTCGGTGGTGAATCAATAATAGGTTGTTGGTGTTCTGCAAGCTTATTTTTCTCTGCGATCAGAACCTTGCAAAAAAACTTGAGGTAGTCCACAGTAACTGGTTCTACATATCCTGGATTGAAAATGCGTTTAGTGCTGCGGTCCACCTCCACCAACGATGACCGTCGTCTTCTCTTGACTCGTTGTGCAAAATCTCCGCTCAGACGAGGATCGAGTGTGAGACTGTTTCTTCGCGACCGAGACCGAGAGCGAGATGTCGGCTCATTAGCATTAACCTGATGTCTTCCACTTCGTCTGGATCTTCTCTCCGCTCGGCGAGCTTCCTCTTGTGCCAAGGAGAACGATAGACGTGGAATATCATGGGGAGGAAGGGGAACTCGTACGCCTTGAGAACGACGATTGGGATCGGTATGGCTACCAGACGAAAGACGTGCTGGGGACAGATCACGAATGGGGGTGGATGGTTCGGTGACACTCCTTCCTGGAGTAGAGACTTCCATGAAATAGGGAATGGAAGTGGAAGAATTGAGGAATTGAATCAATGATAATCAATGATGAGGATGGAACAGAGCCAGTACCTGTAAAACAATGAAAGCCAAGAAAAACCTTCACTTCTGAATATCGATAAGAGCTATTGGTAGTTAAAAAATTGAATACAAGCAAGACACCCTCTCCGGTCCGAGGCCACGCAATGCCACTATTTTCGTAAACACCTCAGTCGCACTGTTTTTAATCTTAAATTTCACTTCGCATTACATTTTGGCGCGCACAGTTCTTTGCTACTATGACTACCACCACCCCCAATGGAGATACACTTGCCACTGCGTTGATGTCCGGCTGTGTGTCTACAGCCGTAGCCTCCACACTCACGTATCCATTGGACTGTATCAAAACCCAACAGCAATTGAATAACGAGGTTACGATGAAGAAATTCAATGTTCCGGGCAACTTCCCCAGCAGCATTGCTCAGGTTTATAAAGGATGTAGCGCCTTGGTTTTGGGCAGTGTGGTTAAGAGCTGTGCTCGATTGGTGTCGTACAACTGGCTGACAAAATTTATGGCCACAGACTCAGTGGATGGACATGGAAATCACCACCGCAAAACTACGGCTCCACGAATCGTAATTGCTGGAGCTATGAGTGGAACTTTAGAATCTTTGTGGATTATTCCCTTTGAGAATATCAAGATCGCCATGATCCAAAATATGTTATTGACCAACGAAATCTCCCGAACCGCCAAATCTGGAATGAATGTCACCGGAGGACATCCTCACCGCCAGAAGTTCGTTTATGGAAAATCCTACTTATCGCCTCATGCATACTATACATGCGATATTGTGGCCCAGGTAAAGGGTGGTACTCAGAGCAGATTTACTTCACCCCGTCACCCGACTCCTAAAGACATCTTGAAAACCTCGTTCAACAACCATCCTTCCCTGACATTTTTCGGAACAGTTAAAGAGATATACCAGCTCAAAGGCTTGACTGGATTCACTGCTGGTTCTTTCATCACTATAGTGCGCCAGGTGGCCGTCTCCACCGTATGGCTTTCCTCTTACAATGCCACCAGACAGCTTATAGATCCCCATAGCAACTCTGCTTCGCAAGGCTGGTTTGGCCATAACCATACATTTGTGCAGCTGTTGGGGCTCCATCTACTCTCCTCTGCCGCCGTTATAACTGTCACGCAGCCAATTGATGTCATAAAGAGTCACGTCCAGCTGAAAAATGGCAAGACTTTGTCCAAAGACTCACTTTCCACTGCCTACAGATTATTCATGGAACAGGGTCCTCGAGCCATGTTCAGAGGTGCATTGCCCCGAGGGCTTAAGGTAGTTGTCAGTGGAGGGCTCACGGGCTCCATCTACGAGTATGTGAATAAAATTGTTCATATTGCTGGGTCCCAAACGGTATTTGGCAACTGATGTCTATTAACTTATTGAGGCAATTCTAGATACACGGGAATGAGAAACTCGCCGCTTTTATGCATTTTACCATTGTAGTATTTGGATAGTAGTCCTCCAGACGAACTGGGTTGACTAAAGCCTAGTTCATGCTTGTTAAGAACAACGCCGTAGATAGTGTACTCTCGAACCGCATCCAAAAGCGTTTGGGCAATGCCTAGCCGTCGCCAGTTGGGAGCCACCCAGATCCGTGAGATACCAATTTTTATGGAGCTGTTCGTTTGCTCTGGAACAAGTTCTTGAGTGTTGAAAACCATCCATCGACACTGCAATTCAGGATTGACTATTGGTTCAATTGTACATACTCCGACCACTCTACGAGCAGCAATTGCCAAATACGCTTTCCCTTCAATACCGGTGTTTGTATACTTCCAGTGTTCAAACTCCGCTACAGCATTGAGCTCATTATTAACCACTTTCATTACCAGTTTTAGGTGGTCATTGGAGTCCGATTTGTCCACTGAAATTAAAGTTACCGAAGTATTTTTTCTCCCTTTTCGAAGTTGAATAGACTTGAGAGTCTTACAGGCAGACGATGCCAGCCACGAGGGTCCTTCTAGGAAATTTGTGTGATACTTTTTATGGGTATTCACATCGTTCTTGATATGTGAAAAGTATGACATATGGCACTGTTTGCATTTTGTAGGTATCTTGGCAGTGAAGGTGGATTGTACTTTACGAGCTGGGTGTTTAGGAGCCGTCATTATACAATGTACATTAAATTCATTTTCAGCAGCTTGTAAATTAGTTGGTGAAGATCACTTCAGTTTTCGCGCGCTGAATTTCCCCGGAAATTATTCTGTGGAGAACTCAACGCTAAACTTCACGCCAGCACTTAAAATGTCCTATTCGAACCTTCTTCCCGCCAACGGGCATTGGAAACAGCAGATCACAGAGTATATTCGAGAAGATGTACCATCGTTTGATTTTGGGGCATTTGTAGTAGGAGACAAACCCGAAACGGCGAAGCTTTTCATGAAGCAAAAAGGTGTAATTTGTGGAGTTCCCTTTGCTGCTGAAGTGTTCAAGCAATGTGAGCTTGAAGTGGAGTGGCACTTTAAGGAGGGTGACTACGTTTCAGATGAACAATTGTCGAAATCGCTGGGTAAAATTGTTGTCGCTACAGTTCATGGACCCGCCAATAATATTCTACTTGCAGAGCGCACGGCCCTCAATTTGATGGCGAGAGCCTCTGGTATTGCCACCCAGTCCCATATTACCAAGAAGTTGGCAGACAAGAGCGGATACACCGGCATTATTGCTGGAACTCGGAAAACCACTCCTGGTTTGCGTCAGCTTGAAAAATACTCAATGCTAGTAGGAGGCATTGACACTCACCGCTACGATTTGAGCTCGATGGTGATGCTTAAGGACAACCATATAACGTCTACCGGCAACATTACAGAAGCTGTGAAAAAAGCGAAGTCGGTTTGTGGATTTGCCGTGAAAGTAGAGGTGGAAGTAAGCAGTGAAAAAGATGCTATAGAAGCCATTGACGCCGGGGCAGATGTCATCATGTTGGATAATTTCCAAGGACCAGAGTTGCAGAAGGTTGCGAAGAGTTTGAAACTGCGTTATCAAGGTTCGAATAAGGCGTTTTTGTTGGAATGTTCGGGTGGTTTGACCCTCTCCAACTTGAGCACCTACTTGTGTAACGACGTAGACATCTACTCGACGTCGTCTGTTCACCAAGGCACTGGGATCGTTGACTTTTCTTTGAAGATCCAGTGACATGTATATAAATACTAGACACTTTTTTATCTGATCGACAGCACACTTTTGAGCTCTAGACTTTGAAACCCATTGAACCCAATCACTTCGTTCACATTATTAATGATCCTCGAGGTCTCGTTGTCGTCAAAATTCACTCCCTGGTCCAACGACTCTTCCATAGCCAGCGCCAGCGCTGCACTATTTAAGCTCAATTCCCGTAAAAGCTCACCAGACCCCAAACTAAAGGGAATTTCTGTAGCAGCCACTTTTCCATGAGTGGTACTTCGTTTGCCAAAACATCGTATGGCACGAATATGCGAGTCCTTGCCGTCCTGGTGGTTGGCCAAAACCTTCAATTTGACGACAAAACACTTGAGTACTCCATCTTGACGAATGCGATTAAATATGATGTGAGACCAGCCAATTGGCTTATTGAAATTGACGGTGCAAACCTCACTGAGATCCCACCCGTCAGAATTGCCAGCAAGAATCTGTATCTTGGACGGTGTGTACGATTCGTCCAAAGAATAATTGGTGAATATAGAAATCCGTTCGAGCGATACTCTTTTTGCAAATTGTATGGTGATGGAATGAGGAACTACCAATTGATCCGAGTTTCCTGCGTTAATGTTGCTGACTCCATTGCTCCCATCGGACTGCCAGTATGATTCTGGGGTGTCTGCCCGAAGCTGGGGAAGCCCAAATCCCGGCTTGAAGGAGGAGAGTTTCCAGTTGGCAAGTGGTGTAAGATCAAGAAGCTTTAAACTTTCGAGCTCTTCAAGACCTTTGCTATAATAAACCTGCTGGATCTGCTCCAAAGATGGCTGCTCTTCATTGACCATACCAGGATTGGAACCTTCATGACTTTCTCCGTTTTGATCGTCGTATTGACTACCTTCATGGTTTCCAGAAACTGACCCTACGAGCTCATCTCGTGAAATGTGACTTTGTAGTTCAAGAAAATGCAGTGTGGACGCGGCAAGCGCGTTGAGGTCAGATGATTGACCTTCCAGGTCGTTCCACTGGGGCCGTTGTGCCATTCAAATAATGTTTACTATTCGATCTGAAGTTCGCGACAAATCCTAAATTTTCATTCATACTACAATCATGAACTAGCTACCCACGTCAACTCTTACAAAGCAACATCTTTCAAGTCACTGGACACCTCTGCTATGCCGTCTTTGTTTTGCTTTTTGTTCTTCTTCTTCTGGTTCTTCTTTTGTGACTTGGTCAAGGGCTTCTCACCGTCAGCCTCAGCATGCTCTTCGGCTTCTTCAGTCTTGGGTTCTTCAGCCTCAGTTTCAGCTTGTTCGGCTGGTTCAGCGGCTTGTTCTTGTTCTTCAGCCTCAGTCTTGACCTGTTCGGCTGGTACAGCATCTTGTTCTTGCTCTTCGTTATCTTCTTCAGCTTGTTTGGTGGGCTCTTGAACGGTTTCTGGAACCGGGTCAACCACAGTTTCTTTGGGTTCCAGTATTTCATCAGAGCCCGACACCTTGAATTCCGGGGTGTTCTCATCTATCAAAGTTTCTTTTGGTAATGCAACCTTGCTTGAGCTTTGCATGTTGATGAGACTTTCCTTCGCATCATTTCCTGCAACAAATGGACTTTGAGGTCTCGACGTCCCGGTACCGCTTGGAGCAGCCGGTTTCTTGGGGATACGTGAAGGTGTGAATAACGTGTTAAAGTTCTGGCTGTTGCTCACACCAAACCTGCGTAATGCTCTGATCTTTAACACGGTAATGTAGGGAAGCTTATTGCGACCTTGGAATGCCTTTCCGAATTCTTTGCCATCTCTATCGTAGAACTTCAATTCACCTTGATCTTCATCTTCGTCACCAATCATAAAATCATCGTCGTTTCTCGATGGCTCCAAATACCCATATTGGTCCTGATCTTCCGTTTGATCTATTTGGAAATTTCCTTGCTCTAAATCATTGACAAAGTTGAAAATAAACTCATGGAAACTGGAAGCGACCACGATCTTTGTATCGTAATCACGCCCAAACAATATTATTTGTCCATAGGTACCTGCTGGACCTGGGGCAAGATCAATTGCAACTTGGTTGCCACAGTTGTCCTTGGTTATGGGTACCCAACATCGATGAGAATAGCACGTCTGAATAGCGTTCGTGGGAATAGATCTTTGATTGGAAACAAAGTTGTTGAGGTGTTGCACATTGGCAGCAGCACTAGACGAACTGGTTGCTTCCAGGTCGACATCAGTCCTTTGCAACCGCAGAACAAGTTGTTGTTGTTTTTCAATTCTCTCCGCCACCTTTGTCCAAATCAAATGCTCTTCGAGAATGGACTCCAAGTCAAGCAATGGCATTCCCAAGAGCAAGCCTGTTGGCTTACCGCCTCGGAGTTGGCCATCGTGCTTTTTGTAGAACTGTCTAAACTCTACGGAAAGCGAGCCACAGCCCAAGTCGTTTTCGAATTCGTTGAGATCGGCAGAGGTAACCCCGTCATTCAAATTGTCCTCAAGTTCAGGGTACTCTTCCTCCAACCACGCCTCGATACGAGCCCACAAAGAGTCGATAGAGGGTAATGGAGGCTGGCCCGACGCGTCAAAGTTTTGAAGCTGAACATCCGAACCGTTCAAGTTGGTGCGAGATGACCGCATTCCGGGCCTATAACCCACGGTGTTGACATTGGCAGAGCTGCCGTTACGCGACCCTATTCTGGAGCCACCAGCACCTTCTACAAGCGATTGTACCGATGAATTTGCAGTCGCCAACCGATGGACCTCATTGAGGCGAGCATTGGAACCGTCGTTAGTATTACCCACGTTTCCATAGCGGGACCCGTACGACGCGTAGTGGTCGTCGGTGGTAATGGAGTGAACGAAAGACTTTAAATTGTCCAAAATCCCCATTTTATATCGGAGTTTATTGTGTCGGAGGCGGTGTTCAAGTCAAAAATGAGACGAAATAATTTAAACAAAATTGGTGTTATGAGTAACCTTCAACGTTGAAACAATAATAGTCAGCTTAAAGAGCGTTGCCCTGAAATTGCAGTATATGGGGTAGTTTCCACAGTTGAATGATTAAACTAAAGAAAAATAGAAGAGCGGAGTGAGTTTGGCGTCGGCGCGTATGCACACCGGGTGCTGGTCACGAGGTTTTTTTCATTTTGCAGATGAAACTTCGGCGCATACAATTGAAATTCTACCGATTCTGACATAATCAAGTTAAAGTTAGAAAACTATACGCAAAAATAGACCCGCTGTGAAACTAAACTGGAGACTTCTTTGGTCCTGTGTTTTCAATTGCACTAACGTTTTCTTTGGTAGAAGAACTTTCCAAGTAGCCGTCTCCGTCCCCCACAGCTTTCGAACTAGCAGCCATAATGTAGGTAACGTCGTCGCCAAAGACCTGAGCAATTTCTTCCAATTGTAATCCATACGTTTCTGGGAAGAAGAAGTAGACAATTGCGATCTGAACAAGCAACCACACACACCATACAATATAGTATTTCCATTGAATCGCATCCATGGCAATATTGTTGACATAGTTGTTGAAGAGTGATGCCGTGTTACCACTCAACTGATACAAGGCAGCACCCATACCTCTTAAACTAAACGGCAATATCTCCATAATGTATGTCATGGCAATTGGAGTGGAAATATGGTAGCATCCCTGATACAAGTAGATCATAGCCACAATTGCCCTACCTATAGCCTTATCCTTGAAATCTCTCTGCTGATTGATGGCTGATAACACAATCCAGATAATAAAAAAGAAGGACATCAGTGCATAGGAAGTGATCAATAAGCCAGTTCTCTTGAAGCGACCACAAAGAATGGAAACTCCGTAACTCCACGCGAGTCCATAGAGAGTGAGACCAATATTGATCTTGAGCTTTTCGGTAGTTTCAGTGTAACCGATGTTGTTTAGAATGATGTTCAAGTAGTAGGAGATCAATGCATTTCCACAGAATTGCATCATGGCGGGAAGTGCCAAATTAATGAAAAGTCTATGCATATTCGATTTGGTACGCACCCATTCCTTCCACTTATTTCCACCTTGGGCCTTTTCGAGTTCAATTGCCGCCTTGATCTCAGAGAGTTCAAACTTCACAAGTGGACTTTGGAGGTCTCCCGCTCCATGGTGCTTGACTAAAACTTGCAATGCTTTGTCTTCCCGACCCTTTGAGATTAGCCAACGAGGTGATTCCGGTCCAAGGGCAACTGCGACGACCGAGAAAATCGGAAACACTATCTGTAAAAGAGATGGCAATCTCCAAGACCAGTTGTTGTACTTCATGCTCGAATTGTATGGGCCCCAAGTAACAACGGCAGCAACAAATGAACCCAAGGGGAAAGAAGCAAGAAGGAAACTGGTTACGGCAGGTCTCTGGGTTGGGTAAGCAGTCTCGGACAAAATGGGGCCAGCACCAGCAGAGGACAATCCCACGCCAAATCCAAGAATGAATCTGGAGGCGACAAACATACCAAAGTTCTGAGCTGCTGTCTGAAGAGCACCGCCAATAATAGTAAAGGCCAAACCGAGCAAGACCGTCATTCTTCTACCAATAAGATCGTTGATAATGAAAGCAAAAGGAATACAGCACAAAGATCCAGCGGGAATGCCTATGTTCATGGTACCAAGAGTTCCACCACTAGGGTTGTTAAAGAAATTAGTCCAGCTGGGAAGTGTTTGCAAATTGTTCATCATGGTAGAATCGAAACCCGAGTTCACCAAGACAAAAATAGAACCAAGGAGATGGAAATTCAAACGCAAGAGATGTGAATACCGCCACCAGGGCTTCTGCAATACTGGCAACACATCTTCAATCTTGGTTCCACTCTTTTCAGCAACGACTATCGTCATACTTGCAGCAACAGGATAAAGTTTTCCGTTGTAAATTTGTGACTTATTAAGATCTGTAACTCTTAACGAAAGTCCAAAGATACAAAATTTGATCTGAGGTGCCTCTATTTAAGCATTGCGACCAGTTGCAAACGTTTTGTATTCAAGTGAAGCCCACCCCACAATTTCATACTCCTCATCGCACTCCCCCACCAAGTTTATGCTTTGGTTACGAGCGCGGCCGGATAATCAGTGGAAGTGATACTGGTGCGGAGTCGTTACTGCGTGATGATGGGCCTTTAAGAATCACTGGACCATAACTGCGTTAATCCTCTTTGAGACAAGTAAAAGACTTGCCAGTTTAATCTTCTCAAAAGCCATTGACTTCATACCAATTCACAGCCATGACAATCCATTCTGCACCATCAGTGCCTGAGGGCATCTAACCCCCATTCCTACCTTTTATTAGAGCCGAAATTGGCAGTGGGTTTGGCACTCTACAGGTTGCGAAAATATCAAAGGAATCTGGTATAACTGCGCTGGTTGTTTTGGGATCTATGGGTGAATCAAAAGATGCCAGACTTGAAGTCGATTGGAAAGCCATCCCGACAAAAGTTTCAAATTGATCGCAGGCATTCCTCCGGCGAGTGCTATGGATACAATTGATGAGTCTCAGCTTGCGACTGATAGTGCGGGCTGACTTCCTCATTGTGTTGGTGCCAGGCTATTTTAAAAACAAACTGGTTTCACGAAAAGGTATTGTCAACTATTTCTATACTGTTGAAGTGCAAGTGCTCTCCCCAATGATCAATAACTACCCCAACACTTGCACATTGTCTCAGCATCCCGAAGTCCATGGTGAAGTTGTACCAGCTACACAAAGTTGGCCGATACGAGAAAGCCGCAAAATTGCAGCTTTTAATTAGAAGGGTGGGTTTGATGGTTACCAAGTCAAACATTCTGGGAGTAACGAACACCTTGAATCAATTTTGTGGACTTGGCGAATTCTCTCCAGTAGACCTCCTTCGAGTAAGAAGGTCTACGTGAGCACAACAAGTTTTTTGAGGATATGAAGAAGTTTCTAGACTATGAACGTAAACTATCGTGAATTTACAAACTACAGACATTCAATTGCACTCAACGACACTCGTGTACTCGTGTTCTGCTCTCTTCCTGGAATAGACTGCGAACTTTGACGTGCATTTTTGCAGATAATATGAACCCGCCGTACCCTCCTTCCCCAACATAGTGTACAAAAGAGACAGGAATGGTGGAGTCCGCATGCACACGGCTGCATATCATTTCTCCACTCTAAATGTACCCCGTAAATCATCAGATATCCTCCATCAATTTTCATGGTGGGGGCGGGGAATGGGCCTATTGTGTGGGGAAGCTGAACATATAAGTATCCAGTAATGCCTCGTAAAGAAGTGCTAATGAGGACGGCTGCGAATATGAATGGAGGAGCGAGCATCGGTGGACAAAGGCGGGAATAATCAGTACTAGATATGGAAAAGGAAAAGAGTTGCAAACCAGAGAATACTTGGTAATTTGTAGCCCACAACTTTTAACCTATCTAATGTATTTAGTCATCAGAGTCGAACAACGAATGGCCCAATTCTTGGCAATCGGCGTCCTCGAGCTCCACTCCGTTTTTACCGGGGTCACCGATATATCACTATGATTCCTCACCACACTGCTCATGAAATGAGTACTGTAGCTGGTACAACACCGTATTTTTTAGCTACTCATCTTTATGATCTGCTATATAATCAATATACTTTAATTTAAGATTTAACTTATATCGTATATATGCATTGCAGTGAAGATGGTCGTAATTTGCAACTTTGTTCCCCGCCCCCCCCATCAAAATATTTACCCCGCCCCCACCTAAAAAATCTTACCCCACCACACAGGAGCTGCCACTCGATATCTTACACCAGAAAGGTTGAAGGTTAACATAGGATATTGTATTGGTTTGAAGGTGCACCAGGTATTGAATTGTCAATTGTTCTCCCTTGCAACCCCAACATTCTCAGCTTTTCTGGCGGGTGCAGCAAGGGAACCATTGTATACAAGTTGCACCAGAGGTAGGGGATCTCGAAATATGCACGTTCTCGTATTTAGACACCCCCAACTCTTATATATAATGCATCTGCTATATATTCGATTGTCCGATTTACCCGATTTCTACGATCATTCCGTTACCCCGCCCCCACCATTTGAAACGTTATGACTATAAATGTTAGATAAAGAGGAATATGATTGCCAATGGCTACCAAAAGTGCTTTGGTGACGGGAGCTTCCTCGGGCATTGGTTATGCCTTGGCGATTGAGCTTGCTGAACGTGGATACCGCGTCTTTGCTGGTGCACGAAGACTCTCGCGCATGAAGCCATTGGAAGACTTGGGCATCACCACTTTTGAATTAGACGTAGGATCACTTGAGAGCATTGAACGAGCTGTAGAATTTATATCTGAAAATACTGGAGGAAAGTTGGATCTTCTTTTCAACAACGCTGGTATTCAATGTTTTTCGCCAGCAGTTGAAGTTGACGATGAAAAGTTCCAAAAGTGTTTCCAAATCAATGTGTACGGCCCCATTCGTTTGATAAGAGAGTTAGCACCACTAGTTATTAAATCCAGGGGAGTGATTGCTTTCACAGGCTCTACTGCTGGCTTAAATCCCTTTCCTTTCCTGAGCATTTATGCAGCTACGAAAGGTGCAATTCACTCATACGCAAGCACGCTTGCAATGGAGATGATTCCGTTTGGTGTCCGTGTACTCAATGTGATTACAGGTGGTGTTGCAACTGAAATCGGCGATGACAAAACTTTGGCCTCAAATTCTTGGTATAGAATTGAAGACGAGGACATTCTCGCAACTCGACCAACTGGACAGGGGGTACGCTTAAGTGCACCAAAATATGCTTCACGTACATGTGACGACATCGAGAAAGCTTTCAAGCAGACTAGCCCAAACTATATTGTTAGTTATAGGGGAAGTGAGTCTTCTTGGCATCTGTTTCTTGCGTCGTATACTCCGCGCTGGATCATCGAACGCAAGATATTGAAGGACTTCTTCCTCAAAAGTCCTTATAAAAGGTTGCAAAAATACTATCAAGAAGATGTCACTTCCTGAAATTATAATTCAAGACATCTCTCAACGATTTCCTGGTTGTTTCAAGAAGGCATAACAAACCCCATAAATTATAATCACATATTATCAACACTGCTTGTAGCATGTGTCAACACCGCAGCCATGATGTAATTGTACTTTTTATCAAGATCATGACGATAATAAATGGCCCAAAATGCTGTTACAGTGCCCCATATGATTCTGGATAGATACCCTGCGGATATGATACTAGAAAACTGTCATACCGGAAATAAATCTTTTGTGTTCCATTGTTGAAAGTTGAGTTTACTATGTGGAAAACGCTAGTAGAATAAAAAATTAACAAAGGTCCAAGTACACCTAATAAACACCGTAGGGGTGCCATAGAGGAGATTCAAAAGATGGAGAAGACTGCACAGGTAAGGATGCCATTGAACCTGCAAAGAACAATATCGTAAACGTGAGTCCAGAGTGCGAACAATTTACGAAGTGTGTGCTATTATGCACGACGGGCTAATTTACGACAACCCGATACAGCGGGTGTTCAACTTTTAGATTCTATGAGAAACCCTTTTGGGTACTCCTGTAGTAATTAGTGGGCTACGCCGTTAGCCATATCATACTCTTTAGCTCCCGTTCCCATGAGATACTCGGAAATGGTGCTTCCAAAAAACTCTTCTAGAATGTCTGGTTCGAGCTGCGACACTCTAGTACTTTCCTTGATTATGTCGTAGTTTATACGGCTGGATATCTTGGAATCACGCTTGTACTCTGGGTGCTTGAGCACCTGTTCTCGGAGCCAATGGGCTGTAGTGGGAATCTTGCCAGATGCTCGGTACGAAATCAATCGCAAGTAACTTTGAAGACGAAGCATTTTGAGCGCAAGTTCCTTTGTCAGGCAGTGATGGTTGGTTTCAGCCGACAAGAGGTCTGTCGCAATGTACTTGATGATGATTCGAAGGATTCCAGGAAACAGTGAATTGCCATTGATGAGTTCTCTGATTGGTACTTTGCTCTCGTTGAAACCTTGACATGTTTCATAAGCGGGTTCAAAGTCGTTCGAAAAACGTCTAACAGCTCGCTCACTATAACCCTTCACGTACACCTCGTCCGCAGCCAAATCGTCGTTGCCGTGGTTGATAAACCGATCGAACCAACTCAAATCATAGCCAACAAATTCGCTGAGATCAAGGTTCCACAGATCAAACGACTTGAACCAGAACTTGTCCTTCAACACGGCATCCACCTTATGCGCTGTGGCCATGTTCTCGTCGATTTTCAGAATTGGAATGTAGAAATCGGGCAGGTATTTGAGAATCACCCTGGAAAGCAACGTGATGAACACCGAGTAGGCAGCGTTCTCAAAGTCACTGAGTTGGATTTCCAAAGGTCGAAACTCGACTCTCCAGCCCGGAGTCTCGGCCAAAGCTTCCTCCGAAAGATCTTTGGGGTATAAGGCCGGCGGCTTGAACCTTAAGGTTTGCCAATTTGTAGACTGAAGATTTTCAAAATGGTCATTGCTGAGCTCGTTGTCCTGGTCCAATCTCTCCGAGAAGATGACGAGTGGATCACGAATGAACAAGTGGGCAAAATGAGTGGCTAGTTTGTCGTCAAAGTACGGAGTATTCACCAACTGGTCGTACACTTTTTTGTTGATGGGCGAATTGATATCGTTGTACTCATCTTTGAAATAAGGTTTCTTTTTCAGATAAGTGGTGTCACCGAGGTAATTGTCAATGGAGTCGTAACGTGATTTTGGGATCTTTTGTAACGGACGGCCCTGATTAGTATAAACCTTTGTATCGCCATTCTTGTTGATCACTCTGTCACCATTGACACCCCGAACTCCGCCCAATAACCGCATATGGTCTCTCACCTCTTCAGGAACGTCCAATCCACCAACGAGATCGTATCCTGGATATGGGTCCACATCACGTTCCAAAAATGTTCTGTCGTCGACAGCTCCGCTGATAACGTTCCATCTTACATCCTGGTTCACCAAGTAACCTTTGAAAACCGGCGCCGCTGCACTTAAAGCAAGCAAAATAGGAGTCCAGGCAGCCAACGAATCATAGAGAAAACGTGCCTCGTCAATATCTTTGGCTTGAACGGTGACCTGCAAACAAGAAGATCCCATTCCAAATCCCATAGAGTCCATATAGACATGACCAGGTCTCGCAGCACCAAGGGATGGTTCCCTGTCTGACGGGAACAAATCACGATCACGAGGAATTGAATCGTCCAACAATTTTGTATTTCTGTCGGGATAAATAGGCAAGTTGATGGCCACTTTACTGCCTCTTCTTTTACGAATGTTTGCTGTCAAAGTGGGAAATCTAACATGACGATTGATAATCTCGTCGGGGAGAAATAAAGACTGGGACGCAGGACCAATGGGCTTTGTTGCTGGAGAAGTGAATTCAGGGCAACCCATTCTAGGAAACGCAGTCAACGTCAATGGTTTGATATGAGAAGGAAGTTCCGACTGACTAACCAAGCGTCTTCTAGCCATGTTTTCCTCCACAGAAAGATAGTCACGAATCCGGTCGCCATGATATGGTCGTAAAGGTGTTGCTTCTATCATATAACGACCGTATTCTGGATGAAACAGAATATTGTTAGCAACACACTTTTGGTACGACTTTGGTTTTTCCGGATCGTTCAAGTCCAGCAAAATGTAATCCTTATCGATAGAGAGCTTGGCAGTCTTGCTGGCGTCGTCCATATCGACAAGCATGTATTCAACCTCATCGCCCCAGTAAAAAACATCGTTTTGACGGCTCCCATGCTGCTTAAATATGTTGATGAGTTGTATTATTCCATTCTCCCGGACATGCTCGTTGTACTGCTTCGACTCGTGCCAGTCCAACGGGGTTCCTAGCGAGAGCAAACCCATTCAGAACCGCTTACAAATCGTCAACGAAAAGATCTGTAAAAAAGTAGATGAGCTTTCAAAACTAGAAAGTGTCGATTATCCTTAGGTTGCGAGCTCTTGACAAGATTTGCAATCGCAAGAACGCAGCTCGAATGGTTTGCGGAGATAAAGTCAACGAGGAAAGTGAACTTTTATTGCACCCAGCACAGTTGAAATCGAGCTGAGATATCAAGGTGTGTCACGTGAGTTGCCGCTATCAAAAGTGAGACACCACGATCGCTTATTACCGTAGCGGTACAGGACAAGTATGTTACATTATATTGTAGGTTCAAAAACTAGTACAAACCGGAAACGTTCACCACGCATCCAGGTCCCTCTTTTCTCTCCACAAGCTTTCCTATCACCACAGGATCTTCGTTGTGTGATTTTAAGCTGGCCATCACTTTTTCCACCTTCTCTTCCTCCACAATCAAAATCATTCCAATACCCAAATTGAAAGTTTTCAAAAGATCTTCATGAGGAACATTTCCTTGTTTTCCAAACCACTTGAAGATCTCTGGCACCTCCCATTTGCTCATGTCAATCTCAGCTTGCAAATGCTTGGGCAAGGCTCGAGGAATATTCTCCACAAGCCCTCCACCAGTAATGTGAGCCAATCCCAAAAGGTCTCCATCTCTGATGCTAGGAAGAAGTTGCTTGACATAGATTCTGGTGGGCACAAGCACCTCCTCTCCAATTGTCTTACCACTCTTGCTCCAAGGAGCCACAGACTTGTAGTCGTAGTCTGAGATTTCTATAATGTGACGAACCAACGAAAATCCGTTGGAGTGAACACCATCGCTTCGTAATCCAATAATGACATTTCCAGGTCCCATTTTGTCTGTTTGTGGTAAGATTCTGTCTCTGGCAACAGCTCCTACAGCAGTACCATTGGTATCATAATGACCAGGAGCATACATACCGGGCATTTCCGAGGTTTCTCCACCAACCAAAGCACATCCGGCTTGAATACAGCCATCGGCAACACCACCAACAAACTTGGCGGCAACACCAATGTCCAATTTTGCGGTAGCAAAGTAATCCAAGAAAAGAAGAGGCTCTGCTCCTTGAACCACCAAATCATTAACGTTCATCGCAACCAAATCGATTCCCACAGTATCATGAATATCCATAATCTGTGCCACTCTCAACTTCGTACCCACACCATCGGTAGCTGCCACCAAAAGAGTGTCCTCCAATGGATACCCAGATTTCTTCAAGTCGAAAAGTCCTCCAAATCCTCCAAGGTCGCTATCGGCTCCTGGTCTAGCGGTGGACTTAACCTTGGCCTTGATAACCTCAATCAACTGGTTTCCGTTATCAACACTAACACCGGCCTCGGCGTAGGTAACTCCCTTCTTGGTGGAACCCTCAGCGTCACGGAAGGCACGATGAGCAATATCTTGACGATTATACTTGCCTTCGAAGGTTACATGCTTCACGGCTTCATATGCTTTGTCGACCGAAGATCTCAAGGTAGAAGCGGTTGCAGTTGCAGCGATAACTCTTCCACCGGCCGTAACGACTTTACCATCTTTTTCAGCGGTTCCAGCGTGGAAAATGTATGAGTTTTCGGGAATTGGTGTCTTTACAGTAATGGTATCGCCTTTTTTGTAAGCCTCTGGGTATCCACCGGCAGACATAACCACTGTAGTAGAAAATTGACCCTCTTTCACTTTCAATTCCACCGAGTCCAACCGGTGTTCGGCGGCTGCCAACATTACTTGAGCCAAATCGGTGTCGTCTGAAAGCAAAGGAAGAACAGTTTGGGTTTCTGGGTCGCCGAATCTGACGTTGTACTCCAAAACCTTGGGTTCCTTTTGGGGAGTAAGCATGATTCCGGTGAACAAAATTCCACACATTGGGAATCCGTCCTTTCTCATTCCATCGATAGAAGGCTTGATGATTTGCTCGTCAATTTTCTTGAGAATGGATGGAGTAGCAATAGGAGCTGGCGCATAAGCTCCCATTCCACCGGTATTAAGACCTTTGTCGCCATCACCAATTCTTTTGTGGTCCTGGGCTGCAGGAAAGTTGAAAAATGAGTAGCCATCACTTATGGTCAAAATCGACAATTCGTCACCTTCGAGGAACTCTTCGATAACAATCTCGTTACCGGCGTCACCAAAGTTTTTTTGGATCATGATTTCGTCGAGTCCGGCCAAAGCTTCCTGCTTGGTTTCTGGAATGAGAACACCTTTACCAGCAGCAATACCATCAGCTTTCAACACAATCTTGTAGTCCACCGACTCGATATGCTTCTTTGCGTCCTCGTAGTTCGTGAAATTGGCGAATCTAGCAGTGGGAATATTATGCTTTTCCATGAATGTCTTGGAAAATGCCTTGGAACCTTCCATCACCGCAGCCTTGGCAGAGGGTCCGAAAACTGGCACACCGATCTCGGCGAAAACAGTTGAGATTCCGTCTACGAGAGGTTGTTCTGGTCCCGGCACCACCAAGTTAATTTTCTTGTCCAAGGCAAACTTTTTCAATGCTTCAAAGTGTTTTGGAGATCCCAGTAACTCGCCCACGTTGGTGACTTTTGGTGAACAAGCGGTTCCTCCGTTTCCTGGAGCCACATAAATATGTTCTACGGTAGGCGACTGGGCCAAGCGCCACACAATGGCGTGTTCTCTGCCGCCGTTTCCCACAACAAGGATTCTGAGTGCAGACATAGGTTTGGTAACTAGGTTAATCTGTGCGATGAGATTAATTATTTGACTCGGACACCCGCGCACCATACAGTATAACTTGGTTGTGTAGTATAACAACTGTACAGTATAGTTTGTAGTATATACATGATATAGCTAAATAGCTACGTCTCCCTCGCCCACGATACCCTCGAACTTGTAGCTGCTGTCGCTAGGCAATTTGACTTGGTTTCCATCGGAAGTTATTGGCGAGTACAAGTAGTATGACATCAACGCATTGACCACGGCTCTGGTTTTGGCTTCTTGAATCGACGAGCCAATTCCCTCGCCAAGCTTCTCTCCTCCTGTGAACGCACCGGCAACGTAAATGGCGTGTGCTGATAATCTTCCCGTTTCGGCTATAAGTCTGATTTCTACTGGATCTTTGAATCCGAGCTTGTCGCAGAGTCGTACCAATTCTCGGGTGGGTTTGGAAAATTGGAACATTTGTTCAAGCGGCACCTTTCGTGACAAAACGTGGTCGTTGATGAATTGCTTGGTGGCTCCTTCACCACAGTGGGTATATAATCCACCTATTATCGATCTCACAGCAGAGGCATAAGCTTGGGTCTCATCACTGGTATTTACATTGTTGCGCAACCGTGCCATTTCCGCCTCCGACAACTCGGTCACGCCATCTTCTCTGTCTGTGAAATTGGTTCTATTGTCTCCAAACCGCAATTTTCCATATTGCATGAATTCGGGCTCTTTGGCCAAATACTTCTCCAATCGATCTGAATTGTCAACTTCGATTCCCCATGATCTCCCCATCTCGCCCAACGTTTCAGCCCCCATATACGCATCTACAGCAGCGTTGTGGACCCCCATGGGCAATCGAGGGTATCTCACCAAGAGATATTCCGAAACATAGTATGATAAAAGAGTTTTACCCAAAGTACTCAAACCAAAATTATTGGCTAAACCGCCATGCTTTCTCATATTTAACGCCTGGGACAAACGTTGAGAACGTATAAGCTTTGGGAAGATGAAGTCTGGAATGCAAAGCCACCAATAATGGGCTCTGTTGGGCGGTCGATTCTGGAAGACGATGGGTGAAAATTGTGTTTTTGTAACTGGCGTATTCGTTGACGGCATTATATTGTGTACCCAACGACTTGTCAGCTTGGGCGACATGGTACGCCTGCGTGTACACTCTAAAGGGCCGGTTTACGGCTCTAGAGCCTACCAGCCGAAACATACTGGAGAATTCACTGATGAATTTTTCATTATGAAAATTCATAACTGCTTATGTAATGGGAGCCCGGCTCATACGAGGGTATCAGGGACAGAGGTCAGAGACAGAGGTCAGAGAAGTAGACAAAGGGGGTTATATTAGTGTAATAGTATAGAAAGGATGTAAAAGACTTATTGCTTTAAAAGAGTTCTTTCAGTCATATAATTATTAGCTAAATACGTACTTTCACTCAAGGTCAATTACCAGAATTGACGTTCATAAGTATAGCTCGTTCTACTCTCAGTCATCTTCATATGGTACCTGGTACCACCCTGGGGGAAGTTTCCGCAAAAGGCTTTCATCCAGCGAATAATTTTCACCGTCCTCATCAGAAGAGTCGATGCCATTCAGATCAGTTTCTGGGTCCCGGTTGTAGTGGTCGTAAATTATTTGACTCTCTCTCACTATCTCGAGTATAAACTCCTCGGTAAATCCACCTGCTTCAAGTACGAGATCGTAAATCATACTGTGTTGGTCATCTACTTTAGAAGTGAAATTTGAATGTTTAATTACAGTTCCATTCATAAACGAGATCGTCATAGCTTTTATTTCCACATCCTTCTCCGAATTGGTAATTTCATAGTAAGGAACATCTTGCTGATCAGCAGTATCGATAACGACGTCAATATTCAGGAGGTCCAATTGAACATTATGCCATGAGATTTCCTCGCTAAATGGATAAGAAAACGCAATCTGAAGCAACGATGCTGATGTAACCAAAGCATAGGTGAAGGATCTCAGCATTATCGTCTCTTTTATTCGAACTTCGATTTGGTGGGCCAACTTGGTGGTTATTAATAGTCAAGCGCGGATTGCTTTCCACTAAGCCCCCAGGCTCAACATAAGATGGAGACTAGAATGGTTGTCTATGATGGAACTTAAGAGAATATTTATGGAGTATTCTGAAGCAATACGTAGGCTATACTCATATCGAATATCACTGGTACTTTACATTGAGTTGTCGTAACTGACATCTTTCTTGTCTTTCTGGTCGTGCGCGGCCCATTATCATCAACCAACCAAAAAGTGCGAGAAACAACCTACTCTGAAAATGGCCCATGCTCCAAAGTTGAGTTTTGCTGCGATAGCCACCATGTCTTCGGTGGCCATCGTGTATGGCTTGATCAAGTCTCCTTTGAAATACAAGTGGGCTAGTGAAAACAGAATCAGTCCAAAGGCCGATTTGTCATGGAGAAACGCATCCCAGAAATGGTTAGATAACCAATAATGCATTTAGAATATATCTACGATAGTGTCGAATAGTTATCCTACGATATGAGTGTCGCGTAGTTAATATATCCTTACGAAGAGCATCGTAGAGCTGAACTGAAGAACTTCAAAAAATTGGATTGTCTATGCGTCTATACCTTGGTTTGGAATGGCCGAAGTTCAAGTTGGATTCCACTGTCTTGGAGTTTTCCCCAGTCAGATTCCAACTTGAGGAAGCACCATACCCATCTTCTAAATATCTCTAGGAATTCCACCAACGTGTACCCAAACGAAAGAGCATCGCTACCAAAGAGGAATGCTCCCACCATGTGTGCGTAGCCAGTGTTCTCATTTTCGTGTACAATAAAGAGTTTGAGGACCCAAAGAAACCGGAGGACAAAGTCCAGAATTATGGCAAAGTAGTAGAATAAATAACTTTTGAAGTAAAGGTGCCGATTGGGGCGAAGAATGACAACGGACGGTGTGGTTGTGAAAAATGAATCGAATGCCTGAAATCCCCAATCCATTTTGATGTCCCAAATGAAAGTGTATACTGAGTTTAGTGTTGAGAGTACATACCACCATTTGTTCAAGTAAGAAAGATGGTGGAGAACTGCTTCCTTTTGTAGGTCTTCTTTGTTGTCGGGATTGAATGTAGCAAGAGTCAATTTTATGAGTAAATTGATGAACAATGGACCCATTGCTGTGGAGTATTTTGTCAAGTTGAAAACATGTTGTAACTTATTGGTTCGTTTATACTCGTGCCAGCATTGTTTCATTCGGATTAATGTGGGTATAATCAAAACGATAAATTCCAATTTGGGGTCGTATGGATTGGAAGAGAACACCAATGTCCATATATAAAGCCCACAATCATTAAGGACCTTACTGTAGGATGTGAGTGTATCTGAGAGAAGAATGTCATTGGTACGCATGGTATTGGAATTGATACCTCCTAACATGATTCTCTTGATTGATGAGTGTAGACGAAACTGACCCAATTGACGAGGATTAGTGGTGCTGTGAAATATTCCGCCTATGGTCGTCATTATCGCTGCCAGGCTTAACACATAGTAAGTACCCTGGAGTATATGGTCTTTGGTTTGATCGCCTTGGTCACTGACGAAATACAGTACCACTTTACAGTTAACAAAAAGGGTACAATTGACGACCAACAATCGCTTGAAATTAGATTTTATGCCTGTTAATAAAAGATGGTTCTCTTTGGAGTCTGCGGGAATCGTAGTAGCCGCTTCTCCCGAGGGCATTCTTTCTCCAGTATCTCCATAATTATGCGGTGAGTATGAAAGGTTCAATAACTCAAGAATATTTAGCAGGTAAATTTCGTAGCAGATTTTTACGAGAAGATACCAGAACCCTATACCGATCTGTAGCAACGCCACGATCTTGAACGGTATCGGGACGATATCAGCGAACCTTCGTGCATCGTCCATAGTAAATAAACTTGTCGCGATCTGAGTTGAGAAATGAAAATAAACGTGGAAGAGTTTGGTGCGAGATGACGGCAGTTGTACCGCAATTGCACCACAATTGACTATAAGCCATGAGATAACACAAGTCACTAACAGTACTATAGCAGTACTAGAAGAGTATCGTATAGCAGTATATCACCACGCTAGCAAATAGTCAGCACCTTAACGGAAGTAAGATCTACGTACAACAATATAAGGCTTCAGACGTACAATTGTACGATTTAGTATGATTTAATCAAGAGTATCATGATTAGCATGGAAACATCATTAGCCAAACATCGTTATCTACATTCTAAAACAAATTCACCATCGGACCCATTTCCACCACTATGGAAAAGTTTCTGATTACGACTCTTTTTTAAAACTTTAGTTAGTAAGACTACTCAGAATTTTCAGTGTTTGGCTTGAATCGAATCGGTCAGTGCCTGAAGAGGCCTCCGCTTGGGGCGACATGTTGTCATCACTGTAGGTTTAACTTACTGTTTCACGATGAGAAGAAAAAATGCGCTACTGTCGCGTTTTATAGATCCACCGATGAGGTTACCCGGCGGGCCATGGCTGCAAATGCATTCTTGAACCTATTTGTGCAAAGTTGACTGATTAAATTTTGGAATTGGTATGCTAATTATATGCTCTATCCGACAACTACAACGTTACTCCTCATGCGTTCACCATAGTGAAATTTTCGACTGAAAAATTTTCGTTGTGAAAATCATCTTTGAAAGTTTCACTTTCTGTCTCTCTTCTTGTCCTTTGCCTTACGGTTGTTCTCCCTTCTTTCTGCTTTGGACAAATACCTAAACTTCTTTTTCTTTTGTTTTTCCTTGACTGGAGGCTTGGTTACTCCTGCCAAAACGGCATAATTTTTGGCTCTGGTGATGGACTCTTCAAGAATCTCATCTGACTTCTCGAGATTGACATTGTTGGCCTTGGCTAACGCCTCGAGGTTGGTGTTTTGTATACGGGTGATTGCTGGGTTTTCAAGCGACTCGACGACAACGGTGGTTTCTTCATCAACCACGGCTGGTAAATCCAGACGAATATCTTCATCAAGTTTGTAAACTTCTTTGCGTTTGAGAATGCCCTTGTCTTTATCCTCATCTTGAGCTTCTTCTTCTTCCTTCTTGTCATCAAATCCTTGCCAATCTTCATCATCCTGCTCATTTGCACCCATCTCCTCTTCCAGCTCATAGCCTCCAGCGCCAATAATCTTTGCATTTTCCTTGAGCTCGGCCAACTGTTTCTCCATATCTTTCTGGCGCTCTTCTCGAATCTTTCTCCGCTCCTCTATCCGTGCCAACCTTTCTTGTTCTTTTATGGTTTCTTGTGCCTTCTTCTGACGCTGCAATTTTCTCTTATGAAACCCAGTCAAATACTCCACTCTTGACCCCTTGTCAAACACAACCTCTTCTACACCATTCTTCTTTATCTTTTTCTGGATGTACTTCTTGCCCCCTGTTAATATTTCTCTGTTATTTCGTGCCATAGTGGAGTTGTTCGAGGTGGTTTTTCAGCTCATCGCGCGAAAGATTCAACACTTTATATTCGAGCACAACTATGGAAGATATCACCAAGGTTGAAAGCTACCTAGCTGCGCTAGATTCCTCCATAGATACCCTAGAGGACACCGTCAAACCAATTCTAGGCAAGGATATGGTGCTGATAACGGAAGATTTAGACCCAATTTCACGAATAAAGGCATACAACAACTACCTCTATGTCACCATTTCCACTTTATTTGCATACCTCAAGAGCACAGGGGTCAAGACAGAGTCACACCCCATCATGGAAGAACTAGCAAGAATCAAAAAGAGCATGAATAAGGTGAAAGAGTTAGAACAAAAACTTCAGCTGAAAGACACTTCCGCACAAGATAGCGAAACCGCAAAGAGATTGATACAGCAGGCGTTGGGTAACAACGTCAATGGTGGAGGGGCAGCTGCTCCTGACAGTATCAAGAAACCTGCTATTAGCTCAGCTAGTTTTAAGGGCCTGGAATTCCAGGGAAAGCATACCAAATTTCATGAGAAAACGACCCCGACGAAAGTTACCAAACCAAAGAAATCACAAGATGACAAGGCGAAAGGAAAGAAAAAGGCAAGAAAGTAGCAAAAGAGATCAATGATAATGGAGAAACAAACCCAAACATCATAGGCAAATTAATAGATGTATTCATGACGATGGTCATTATATAATGAATTGAATATTAATGCTGTTGCACGTAAAAGTCATTAAACACATGCTCATGCTTCAAATGCTTTTCGACGATGAAAAAGATTTCCATAAGTAAATGCGGAAATCTTTCATTGAAATACTTGTAAAACCCGTCTGGCAATGGACTCATTTGCTCCTTCAAAGAATCAGGCATATCATTGAAATGATGGTACTTGTTCCGCATGGCACGCAAGAGATCCATCAATTTGTCTGGAAAGTATTTTCTATATTTGCCAAGATTATCCATGAATGCTTGGTCAAATCTTTTATGCCAATTTCCTCCATGCACTTTGATGGCCGACAGCTCAAGAACTAACAAGAGGTCACTTGGAGGATCACGTCTTTCAACTTCAAACCGATCGCTTACCTTGAGCAAAAACTCTAATTTTTTCGCTGGTTTCCAGAAATATGGATGCATCATGATCCCAGCAGTATCTAATCTCAAGCTTGGATTTCGCTCGATCATACATGCAATCAAATGAGACAGCTCTGCGTAGTTGTATGGGTCAATTTTTTGCAAACGACTGAGATCGTATTCGCCAGTGATAATATTAGCTTCCCGCATATACCGATCGCCGAATGGGTGGCCCCCACCGGTCATTACATAGAAAAAAACACACCCAAGCGAAAAAATATCAATGGCTTTTGTTAGCCTAGTTTCCTGGTTTGTTAGTGCCTTATTGATTTCGGTTTGTGACGCTGCCACCGTCTCGGGTGAAATTTCCAGTAAGTTGCCGTGCAACATGAGCTCTGGGGCTCTCCAACCAGTGGTTCCCAGAGCAGCATGATGGCTGGTTGCTCTAAACGAGGATTGATCTGCATCCAACTTTTTACAGAGCCCGAAATCAGATATGAGCAACCTCACATTGCTATTTGGGTCTGGCTTGCCTTTGGTTCTGGCGTTTTTAGTTTCACCAACCAAAATGTTTTGCGGCTTCAAATCTCTGTGAACAATCTTGAGCGAGTGCAAATAATGCAAACCGCTTGCAAGCTGGAGCAACACAGTAGAAACCGTAGCCATATCCACGAGTGGAAATTGAGTGGCATACTTCCTCTTTTCAATGACATCTTCGAGTGAGCAGCGACACAATTCCAATGCAATGTAAAGAAACTTTTCCGATTCGCTCAGCTGAGAGCAGAAATACCGTATCACATTGGGGTGGTCGTCACTTTCTTGCAAAAGACTCACCTCATGGTTTGCAATGTCATAGAAATCAAGTAACATACGCTTCACCGCAACAGGTCTATTCTCAAATGTACCTTGGTAAACGACAGTACCATGAGAACCATAACCCAAGATTTTATCGGTAATGACAAGATTCTTTTCGATGTGGAGCCGTTTCAACGAGTTGCTAGTAGGTTCAGGCATTGTTTTAATCAAACTTGTTGTTGAGATGGCTCCATCATCTACCAAATCCTCGCCCTCATTCCGGGTACTATTTTCAGGAGAGATGGTTTCCACATTGTTCTGGTTTTTGCCTTTTCCACGCTTGCCTCCACGACTACCTCTTTTGCGCTTTTTCTTTGTCGTTGAGTTGCTTTCTTGGCCAGAATTATCGTTCTGCTCATCTTCGGCGTCCTCACTCAAGTCCAAGTCTTTTGTGATGGTGGCATCTACAGCCACATTGGAATCACTTGACTCTAACTTATCATTTGGAGTAACAATGGTAACTCGTTTGATCTTCTTGTCGTCGCTCAAATTGTCTTGAGATGAACTTTCCTCCATATCAGCCTCATTCACTGTGATTTTTTCTTCGCTCTCAGATTTCAAATCTTCAGCAATAGCGGTGTCGTTGATCGAGCCATTGATCTCCTCGATTCTATCTTCTCCACGAGACTTTTCAAGCTCAACCTGTTGCTCGGAACTGATGTTGAGATTGAGTTTACCTGCTCTGTTGAACATCATGATTACAGCAAGTAAAATCAAAAGAACAATTATGTCTTCGGCAATGCGCTGGATAAATGCCAAAGAGCTCTTCGCCACGGGTTTTGTACGATTTTTGATCGTGGATGCAATATCAGACGTGCGATCAAGAACCATGACTGCTTTTGGTGGTTCTTCCACAACCGATGGCAGGTGTGCATTGACGGTTTCTTGTTGACTAGAAAACCGTATCCCTTCTATTATGTTTGGAATAGTCTTTTCGGTTTCATCTTTAGCTGGTTCTTTCCTCCCGTCGCCGATTTGCTTGATTTTTTCTCGTTGTAAATTTTGAAATCTTGATATTGGTTGGTATAAAGTGTCGGCAGAGAGATGATGTACTCTGTGTGAACCACGAATGAACTCTTCAACGTGCTTGGCCTCGGCTGCAGAACCAGGGTTCAACAATTGGAGATTTTTGAGGCGTTCGATGTATTTCATTTGCGAGTCGCTCATGGTGTCAAGAGGTTTTGTAGATAGATCATAAAGGGCCATCTGGTAGAGGGAAACTGGAGCACTTTTGATCAAAGTTGGATAGTTTCGGTAGCTCATGGCAAACCATTCAGCTCCATTTGAAGTTTTATTGATGAAGCACAAGTCATTGTTGAGCGAGTAGTCGTCAGCTTTAGCTTGGAGATCGTTGAGCACTTTAAGTGGATGGGGCAAAGCAACCGAGTCGGAGCCGTCTGCCTTAGTGAAGACATCGAACACGCTGACAGCCAACAGTGGTAATTTTGCTATCCAAACGGGTGTTCCCAACTCCTTATTTATGGCTAGAAGTGACTTATCATGGAAAGGTGTAAAATAGATGCCGTCTTTACTCTGTTGGTTTTGTAAGATGAGGTCATTATCGATGTTGTTTGGGCCCCATTGGGCGTACAGCACGTTCCACGATACCACGTCGTTGGCCTTCGAGTGAATGGAGAGCTCGTATGTGGTTTTTCCCATCATGATACTATGGCCTCGGTTAGGAGTGAACCCTTGAGGAGAATTTAAATGGATGTAAGGACTAGGGCACTTGTCGTTTTCTCCAAACTGAGACTTAACTTCGCCCGTGTAAAGATTGAATGTGAACAAGGAGGTTCTTCTCGACCCAGTGTAGATTTTGTCGTCTCCGCTAAGGCAGAATGGGGACTCGAACACGAGCCCTTTGATACTGGTAGGCAACTTGTTGAGTCCGAACCGTGGATTGAAATAGTAGAGTGTGCCGTCTTGATACGGCTCCACAAACCATAGAACATTCGAGTTAACATTCTCACTATTTCTGGTGTTGTTTGTAGCAATCCGTACCAAAGGATCATCTAGTGGAAGCGTCCATACAAGCTCTCCGGTGCTCCTCCGTACACCATGAAGATTACCATCAATATCACTCACAAGAAGTATGTCAGCAAGAGTCCAATCCTTGATGGATCTCACATCTAACGGAAGTATGGAAGAGTCCGAGCGAACTTCTAGTTGATTATTTTCGGCGGAATCGACTTGCGGTTGTCGGTGGGTCTCGACCTTTTCTATTCGAGCTGCAGCAAAGACAAACGATAGCACGTATGAAAGTGCTAATATGGCATAAGCCAAGCTGGCTTTCATTGTGACTGGGTTAGACGATGCACAAAGTGATGGTTGGGTCGAAAGTAGAAGGGGGTCAAAAACGAAAGGTGATGCGACCAGGCGGGCTGAGAAGGCATTTTCAATAAATCCACGTGACTTGGAGGAGACAGTTTTGAGGAGTAGTAGAGTAAGGAAGATATTGGATTTAAGATATTGCCCCACAATATTGTCAACAATATTGTTTTGGGGTCGGCTCCATTCAATGTGCACTCAGCTCAAGTTGAGTTTTGTGGTTCAATATTCTGTCAACTCCGTTTATTAACTATGGTAACTTCTCCATGCCGTGCCCTTAATATCAGTCACTGAATGAAGAGGCCAAGGTTCATGGTTGGAGGTCTATGAGAGTCCAGTGAATATAATGCAAAAGTATAAAAGAGAACTGAAAACCACAAAAAACACCTTCTTCAACCTTCGTTCAACTCTTTCATTTTCTTCAAAATGTCAGTCGTACACAAATGACGCTGGTCTGCTATCATTGTGATAAGTTCCAATGCAACTCCACTGAGCTCGTGGTAGTGGGGAATCAGCGCCAAATGGCGCATCATAATAGCCTCGGGGTTCTGATTTGAACTATATTAGTATACTGATTGGTGAAAAATTTGTGGTGATACTTACTCCAATTCACTAATAAGCTTGCTACATTGGTTCTTTATCTCTTCATAACGTTGCTCCAGGCTAAGGTCCGCAAGACTGGAGCTTCTCGGTAGGTCTACGTCCAGTAATTCACAAGTCCAAGAAGCCTCTATCGGTGGTGCTGTTGTAGGTTCCGACGGAGCTCGCGCCTTGAACATTCTGGGAACTAGTGTAAGGAAGAATAAGCCAATTGGTCACACAAATGGTACGCGATTACTTTTGAAAGACGTTTGGTGGCTGATTGTCACCGGGTTAGGGAACAATAGCAATTGATGTCATTACGTCATATCCTCGCTCGAAACCGACAAAACTGTACCGGTGAAAAAAAATTACATTTATTCATTGTCTGAGTCTAAACGCTTGCTCAATTCATTCAACTTGAGCTGGGTGATCCTGACTATCTCCTTGAGTTCTTGCGCAGAATACTGCTTAAGTTTATCCAGGGTAGAAGAGGACCCCGTCTCAGGTTGAGATTGGATTCTGATTTGTCCGTCAGACCGGTCGTTAATCCACTTCCAAAGGGCTAACTCCGTGTCCAACCGCTTCTTGCGGTCCGTCAAGTACGAGTCCACCGACGGTATCATGGTGTAGGTGTGCTCGTTGATTTTCACCTGGGTGATCATGTTGCTCTGGTGAAGTATTTCCAACAGAGTTGAGCCTCGGAAAGAAACCATACTAGACAACCATCCAAACAAGAACAATGTAATCATAGTGATGATGGTGCCTGTGACTGACTTTCCAAATATCAGGATGGGGACAAGTTCACCGATAGACTCCATTAATGTTGTAAGTTGTTGGAGAATACCCGCATCAGAGCCAGAAGATGTTGGTTCTGGTTCGGGTGCTTTTTCTTTCTGACCCGAAGATGTAGACTTCCGTCTTTTCTTTTTCTTCTTATCGCCTTTGTCGCCCTTACTGCCTGCAGTGGCCACAAAGTCATTTAACGTTTCGATCATCAGTTTCATCGACTCTTTCTGACCATCAATGCTACCTTTTTCAATGGCTCCTTTGATCCATGATTTTCCTGACCACTCCACAGACGTCACCACGTAGATCCTGGTGCTGTTGTTGGCAGCCCAGCTCATGAACATCTTGGTTTTCACGTTGAACGAATTTCCACTGGGAACGTCTGGGGTCGAAGTGTCCTGTTCGACTAGTATATACTTCTCAAAATCATAATCGATGAGTTTATCGTCGATAATACACTTGGTTTGCTTTGGTCCTATTGGCCCAGAGAGCGGCTTGGTGTAAGTATAGTGACGACTCTTGTTTGATTTTGTAAGCCCCACCACTCCCAGTTCATCGATGTCAAAGTTCTTTTGGTTTTTGAGAACCTTGATGTATTTGGAAGTATCTGCTCCAAAGAGAATGAGGTAAACAACCCCCAATGGTGCATTGATTGTTTCGTCACAAATGAATGTCTCCAGTGACAGTTTGGTGTAGTCGATCTCGGTCGGTTCGTGAGTCAGCGGACCGGTCAACGGAAGGCCCCTAAATGTGTTTCCCTCAGATTGCGCTTGGTCTTTGTCGCTTTCATTGGAGCTGCCTTTAGCGAGTAAATTGTTCTCTGGGTACGCCTTGACCTCAATTGAGCTGTTGGAAGAGTCGTTGTCATTTGCCAAAGAAGACTCATCGGTATCGGAGTTTTCTCTATCCGAATAATCGGAAACGTCTGCACTGTTAGTAGAGTCTTCATCATCAGAATCCACCCCATCCAGCAGCGTCTTAGTTGCCAAAGAACGCGAACGAGTCCTTCCACGAGGAGCTACCACTTTCTTAGGATCCACGTCCGCCAGCTCAAGCAATACTTGATGCCAAGCATTGGTGACTTGTTTGAAAACCGAGTCTCGAGACAAAAATGAAGCAAACACATACTTGTGGTGAAGTGTCCGTACAATCATACCATTGGGAAACAATTTAACCGTTGATTTCTTTTCAATCTGGATAACTTCCTGCAAAGGAATGCGAATATTGGTGACCCAACCCAAGATACTTGAGTTGAAACAGAGATAATGTTCTGAAAGGTACATGCGGCCGTGAACCAAGATTTCTCGCGAGAGGGCACAGCTGAAATCATCCACAAGCTTTTCTTCCGGCGGAAGATCGCGGAAAGCCTGGTGAAACTCACGATTCTCTTTCTCAGATGCTATCTTCAGACCCGAATAGTCGATGATTTGGTCTAGCTCATCGTCCATAGTTGCCGAATCGGTGTATGATTCACTGTCAGATGCGGCACTGTGCAGACGACGACGTTCTTGTGACCTAGCAGGTGAGAGGTACGACTTCCGGCGCACTTTCTTGTAGTCTCCAGAGCCTGAAACTGCCAATTGGCTCAGAGGAGGAAGTTGATTGTTCACCGCTTGCGGGGACATACCCCTCTTAATGGGGAGAGAGTCAGTTGAGTTTTGATTCGACCTGATAGCAGGACGGTTGTTGGAAAAATGTCCAAGCAGAAGATTTCCCTGACCGATTGTGTTGATGGGAGACTCTCGCACCGATTCAAAATGTACATTAGACGGAGAAAGAGACCTTGCAAGCGACTTTTCCTTTTCGGTTTCGTTTCCATTTACGTCGTCACGGCCCCGGTGAGCAGCCTCTGCACTGGTGGTATGTTCTTGAGTCTTGTGGTCCAAAGAGGAGGTGGAAGAGTGAGGCCCATGGAACCTGGCCGGTTTCAACAAAAAGTCGAGTTTGTTGCTAAAGGACCGATTATGGTTGCGGTCCAGCTCGCTATCGAAGTCTTGAGTACTGGAGTTTCTTGGCAGTGCCGACGTCTTTCGCGAAGGCAGGTTATTCAGTCCCGACTTGTGGTCGTCGTCGATAGTGGATGTGATGATATTTGCGGCATTGTGAGCGGCAGAAACCAACGACGAAAGAATGCCTTGTTTTTCCTTTCGAGAGTTCTGGCTCTGTCTCTCTCCCATGTCCAGTTCAGACATTCGAGGAGCCAACAATTGGGGGTTTTCATGGGTGGTTTCTGGGCCATTTGGCTGGGGACCTCTGTCTACGGTGACAGCAATTATGGGTTGCGTCTGACCAGCAGCAGATCCCTCTTCAAGTGCTGTTTCAGGAATCTCTCCCGAGACGTTTGACGATGTTTCGGGGCCGTCATTGGTGACTTTGGGCGGAAACTTGGGAGAAACAGGAGTTTCGGACCTCCGTCTCGAATCGGTATTGTGTCCAGTAGACGAGGTTTTTATGGTATCCGCTGTAGAATGGGAGTCTATAAACGACTGGGATGTGTCTGGGGTCTTGTTTTTGGACGAATGGCCCTTGGATCGGTGAAAAAACTTACCCATTGGTGGTCAACACCTTCTAAATGTTCACGACGGCAACCTGGTGCGAGATGGCCTGGGGGAATTGGCTGCGCGCGCAACCCGGCAGTGACGGTGCAAGTCCGGCGGTGCCAGAATTACTGGGGAGAGAACATGAAGATTTAGGGAGGTTGAGGGGACATCTTAGAGATGGTAGCAACTTACGGTGTAGGCTATTAAGTACGGGTAAGTAACAGATAAGTGAGAGGTAAGTAACAGTAAGTGTTGCTTAGTGTAATTCAAAATACATCGTCTAATTCTAGCCATCCACATTCCACAATCGGGCAGCGATGCCCATCGTTAGCGAGTGCGAACTGACGAAAATGAGCGCCAGTGCGAACAACTGGTGCGACTGAAGTGTGAGCCAAATCCGCGATCCACCGCGAATCTGCAACAGCGGGGTGGCCAGGTGCAGGATCCTCCCCCGCCTGTCATGTGTTCGCGAACCGAGCTTCAATCTGAACGCTTCAGTGACTAAGGGAGCACCGTTTTATTTTGCGTGAATCGACCCTTATTACCTCGTGATGGCGGTGTTTTCGTCGCTCAGTACGTTCTTCAAACGTAATAGAAGGAAATTGCTTATTGCAACCGGTCTTTCCTTGACTGCCTACTATCTTGTTCATCAGTTTGTGATCAAAAAATTTAGAGATTTTCAAAAATCGCTCAAACAGGAGCTTTTCGTCAAGGAACAGATCCGTCGGCGGTTCATCCAGACCCAGAATGACTGCTACTTGACTCTCTTAGCATTATTGCCGGTATTGAGCCAGCCGATTGTGGCTCATCTTCCTTCGGAAACCATCACCCAGGCGTTGAAATTGAAGAAAGCACCCCTGGCAAACGCACAACTGGAGCTTGTCTCCGACTCCCTTCTCACCACCGATAACCTCAGCTTGCACCAGAGCGCCAACGAGTCGCTGGACCTTTCTACCTACGTCAACATGTCCAAAACCGACCTCTGGAAACTTCTCAAAATCAAGACAATTGCTCGGTGGTTGACCCTCATCTACTCGCTCTCAGGTTTGATGTTGATCACCAGGCTTCAGCTCAATATCCTTGCACGTAGATCGTACTTGGAGTCAGCCATAGCCATGGCGGGTGGAACCGTTGATGAAGACATGTCGCTGGACTATTACATGGAACAATCGTACTTGTCATTATCTTGGTGGCTCCTTAACAAAGGCTGGCGTACCATGGCCGATGTGTTGGAAGCAGCGGTAATAAAGCATTTCGATGTGGTCAACGCCAGAACCGAATTGACCATTGATCAGTTTGATGAGTTGATTGCGCTGGTGATCAAGGATGTCAACTTCAACCATCAGCGCCTGATTATCGAGTCGATTTTCCCCACGTCGTACGACAGCTTGGTCGAGACGCTTATAAACACAAATCCCGACCTTATCCGTGAACTTGACCAGCCAGAATCGGTGTTTCTTAAGCTCGTTAATGAGACAAACTTCTTCGTTGACGACGGCATGTTCCTGCAAATATTCTACAGAATGGTCAACCATAGCCGATCTACGTTGGCAAACAACTTGTGGGTCGCCCTCGACCCAGATTTCTTGCTTACAATGGAACAACATGCAAAAGTTGCAGAAATTGGTGACCTTCCTAGCAAGAAATTCAAGCTCGCCAGCTTCTTAGCTCAGGTCAGTGTTCAAAGCGGAATCATTTGCGATAATAATAACTTACATGAGGAGTATAATGAAGAGTTGTCAGGAAACATCTACATCAACAGCTTGAACGAACTCGAAGAGTTAGACGAGTTCTCCGCCGGTATATACTCCAACTTTGAATAGACGCTCCACACCTTAAGCTTCGCGCTTATGTAATTGATGAATCTATGATTAATTCTACAGTGCGAGTTGTGGCCACTAATTGTATACTGGTCATGTCGGAACCTAAAGTTATATTGGTATCCTTTGACGATGAAAAATTCCCTGTGGACGTCCAGGTGGCCGAGAAGAGTGTTTTGATCAAGAATATGATCAATGATTTGAATCCTGATGGACTTCAGGAAGATTTTGAAATTCCAATCCCCATGTTGCGTTCTACTGTTTTGGCAAAAGTACTCGAGTGGTGTGAGCACCACAGAAACTCTGAGTTTCCTGATGATGATGACGACGATGCCAAGAAGACCGCTCCGATTGACGAATGGGACAAAAATTTCTTGAAGGTGGATCAAGAAATGTTGTACGAAATCATGCAAGCGGCCAATTATTTGAATATCCGGCAATTATTGGACTCAGGCTGTAAAACAGTGGCAGAAATGATCAAGAACAAGTCACCAGAAGAGTTGCGTCGGACTTTCAACATTGTTAATGATTTCAGTCCTGAGGAAGAAGCTGCTATTAGAAGAGAGAATGAGTGGGCTGAAGACCGCTAGAGAGGCAAGAAGTTCCTAGTCGGGGAACAAAGGAAAAGGATTCGGCTTCGGTGGTGATGCAAATGAGTAGAAGCAGTATAATAATTACAGCTAATGCAACGTAGAAACAGAAGTTTGAGCAAAAGACGAAAATAGAAATTCATTGTAGTGGTTCTGGGTCTTGCCTGATTTTTGTTTGGTGGGTTTATTTTCCGTTTATCAATTGCTCTACTGCCCTAATTCTTGGACCCTCTTCTGTGGTTCCCCTGAATGGTCCCATCCGTACACCCCGGCAGATGCTAAAAGTTTCGCAGCTAAATATTCTCGCTGGCTGCAGCAGATTGCAAAATAATGGACAGTTTTTCTGGTATTAGTCTCCGTGATATTGCCAATCTTTCTCCGGATATGGTAGCAAAGCTTGAAGCCCAGCTTGCAGCTGAGTTCAAAGACACATCCAAAGCGTATTTGAAAGCACGATTAAACAGAATTTCCCAGAACCTCGAACTGCTTCGTAATATAATCGGATATATAACCAAGCAGGAAACACAGTGGATTCGTAAGCAAAGAGATGAAATATCAAGGGTTCAGGCTTTGAAGTCTGAAGTAGAAAACAGCTGTTTGCGTGAAGATGGAACAAATTATTATGCCCGCCTTAGAGGTCGTGAGGATCCCGACGTTGAATTACAACAGCTTATAGATAACCTTGCGTCGCCAGCACAGTACGATACGATTCTAGGGGGCAATATGGTGCTGGAAGTTCCATTCGCCGATGACATTCGCAAAATAATTACACCTATCAGGGCAGAATTAGCTGCAATCGACCATGACAATACCTATCAAGAACAGTTAATTCGCTCAATTACAAAGAAAAGTGTGGAGATACTCTGGCAACAATACAGACAAGGTCTTTTAGATAACAAGAACAGGATGATCGACGAAACGTACGAGCAATTATTCAATCTCGAACGTGAGTATCACGACCTCGTGCCCAACAAAATCAAAAACGAACAATTGGATCAATATCATAAGTCGGTTGTGCCGGTCACAAGTATTAAACGACATCATGACGAATTGGTCTCGAAGGAAGATTTGTCCAATTCAAAGTTTCGACAAGAAGCTGTCTCACCGTATAATCAGGACTCACACTATTCAGTGAAAAGTCGGTTTGTTCGAAATAACCGAATTGAAATTACCAATGCTAGAAAGGAAGCTCTCAGGAGCGTGCATTTGTCGCAAATGTCATTTGAGACTTCTCTCTGTCATCTGGATTTTACATTGAGTGCGTCTGAAGTTGAGGACGATATATTAAGCATCAGAAAAAAGATGGAGATATCTGACGAAATGCCATTAGAAGAGCAAATTGAAGAAGCACTGGCAGCCATCGAAGATACACCCATCCCAGAAGAATCACTTGAAGAGAAATATAAGCAGTTGTTGACCATGGAAGTTAAATCACAATACTCCACCTTTTCGCAAGGACCTTCACAAATATTCGACTCGACTCGTTCAGGATTCCAGACATCTCCACCCTCGTCACAGTTTTCTGACACTTCTTCGGGAAAGTTTGTTATGCCTAGAATCCCTCCTTTAGATTGGTTTCAGTCTAGAGGTGTCCCAGAGTACCGGTTTCGTCCACCGGTAACTTTGAATGGACCGGCTAATTGACCTATTATCTTTATGTATTCTATTTAGCCTCTTTAATATCGGGCTTATTCTAGTCCTTTTCCAACAAGATACTTGCGTTCAGCAAGCCAGCACCCACGACGGTATCGTCTGCGTAATCTATTAATGACTTTGATCTATTGGACAAGTTTGACAATCTGAATGTTTCGCCTGGCGCCAAGCCGTAGACTTCACCCTCTGATTGGAGTATGTGTTTGAGGTACAGGTAAATGGTGGATACCAGCTCTTCCTTTCCAAATTTGTGAACTAAACGTTTTCCATTGGGAAAACGAATTTGTATGCGTGTGAAATTCTCCAGAGGTTCTTCGTGGTCTTGTGGTTGGATTTGAAAGAAGGGATCTTGAACTGAATCTTGCGCGAATTCTATCTGCTCCAGTTCATCTAGATCTATTGCATTGTCTTTGGAGCTACCTTGGTTCTCCTGCATTGACTGTTTCAAGGCAAATTCAATCTGCTGCTCTTCTGATAAGGCATCAGGGTCGAATTTGACCTCATGCTGGACAGTGGGGTTCTTGGAGTTTTGGTCGAGAGAAAACTTTGCTAGGAAGTCGTCCACTTCGTCGATCCAATCGTCGACCTTTGGGACCTGGCCGTCAGGCCATGTGCGAACCCTCTCACCAGTGAGTGGGTCAAGGATGGAGATATGAGGGAGTTCACTTACGGTGTAGAAACTCTGGAAATTTTGCCCATTTGGTGAGTCTTTCTGGTACTGTAGGAAGATGAAGTGTTCCTTCACGACAGTCTTGATACGCAGATTAGACCAGAAATCACGATTGAGCACCTGGCAGGTGAACTCGGCGGGGTCCTGAATGTTAATAAGAATCCATTTCTTTTCCGTACGGCCTTGTTTCTTAGCCGAGTCTAAATCAACTCGTGACATGAGATCAAACGGTGGACGAAAAAGGGTCGCAAGACGTCTCTGGGTCGACGTAAGTTCAGTAAGGCGGTCGCTGCGTCTTCTGCGGCGCCTGGATACGGGTCTAGTATTTTGTTCATCATCATCGTCGTCGCTATCCACCACGATTATTTCGTTATCGTCGTCGTCCTCCCAATCCTCATCTTCGCTCATGGCATCGCATCTATCAAGGTACTCGTCGGCTTCGTCTTCGAAGCGCTGATTAAACACTCCAATGCGTCCTGAGCCAAATATATCTGTTGGACGGCTCATTGGTGGTGGCATGAATCCGTCAAAAGAGTCCACCAAAGTCTCGTGGCGATGTACATTGGCATCTGCCTCTCTAACTTCGTCTCCATTCGTTCCATACGCCTCCTGCTGAAGTCTTTGGGCAATTTTTTCATCAGATTCTTGATTACTAGTGGCATTGGCGATGCTGGGAGGATGTGATTCCATATATAAAGTCACGGCATACTCCAAATCGTTATTTGTAAGGTCCAAGTACTGCTTGGCTACAGCAGCGTCATCTGTTCCGGCCACAGCGAGAAATGTAGATACCAAATCGTCACTCATGGTCAATGGAAAGAGGTTGCCATTCGCACCCACAAACGCAGGCCGATGGATCTCGCGCCACAACACCCAGTGTGAGGTGGCCGCGGGGCCGACAACCATTGTTAACACCCATCGTTTGTTGTTAAATTAGTATTACCACCCGGTCAACATTTTGCAGAATTGCATCCCGCTGCATTGTTACTTGAGCGTGGTACTGTGTGCTGGCATCACTGTTGAACTTTAATACTTATTTCGACCACAACTTCAAACGTTTCGTTCTGCTGGTGATCTCATTTGACTGTGGTCTCTTTGCAACAACTTACATTGTTCACTCACCGACTCTCTTGGTCCTGAACCTTCTGCATTTTTTCTTGCATTGTTAATGATATAACGAAATTCATCGCATCACAAGCATAGTTTTCTCATTGGAAAACACATATCATGGAGGAATACAACAAATATAATGAGGGTGCTCTCCTTAGAAATCGATACCTCAAGGTGGCAGATATCAGTGAAGGCTCCTATGGTCTTGTATCTGTGGCCACTGACACAAAAAATGGCGACAAGCTTGTTGCTGTCAAGTATTTGTATCCCCTTGAATACAAGCCGAAACTGAAGAAGACCTCTCGGGCATCTTCTTCTCCGGCTAAACTTCGTACCCCCTCTGGTCAGGGTGCAACGAAGTCCTCAGTTTATAAGGCTCTTCGACAAGAGGCAGAGAAAGAAATTGGCATTCACAAGATTTTGGGCCCGCACCCTAACATATCTACTTTGGTAGATAGCTTCGACTCATACTTGATCCTTGAATATTGTTCTCGTGGTGATTTGTACGATGCCATTCAGGCTGGTTCGGGTCCATCGACCTCGCAAGATATCAAGGACGTTTTCCAGCAAATTCTCAATGCATTGGAGTTTTGTCACTCACACAATGTCTACCATAGAGATCTCAAACCAGAAAACATTTTGATCGCTGAAGATTGGTCGATCAAAATCTGCGACTGGGGGCTTGCAACCACCAAGAGAACTATCACAGATAGAGTGGAATTTGATATTGGTTCTGAACGTTATATGGCACCTGAGCTCTTCGATGCTGGCGTTGAATATTATGATGCGTCCAAAGTGGACCTCTGGTCCGTGGGTATCATATTGTTGACTCTAGTGTTTCATAAAAACCCATTTCAAATTGCAAATTACTCAGACAAGAGATTTCTTCAGTTTGCGTCAAACCGTGAGGTTTTATTCGATATCTTCTCAACAATGAGCGGTGAGATGTTTTCGGTTTTGCGTTATTGTCTCAACATTGACCCTGCCAATCGTGATCTTTTTAGCCTTCGAAGCGAGGTAGATTCGTTGACTTATTTCACGGTGGACGAGGAATACTACGATTATGCAGAAGCTGACAATGACGAAGCAGATGCTGAGTATACCGATTTCTCCGATGATGAGGAGGAAATATTCAAGAAGAAGGATGAAATTCCCAAGATAATTGAGCTGCCTGCTGTTGCAGAAGAAGAACCAGTGCACACAGGTATTTTAAAGGAACTGCCAGAAAAGAATGGTGGAGCCAGTGCCAGTGATGTACCCCAAAAAAGCATTAAATTCGACACGATTGATGATATTCCTCATAATCGGCGAGCAGACGCCTTGTTGTCTGCCAACACAGATTTGCACCCAATTCCAATCTCTTCGGGGATTAACGGCAAGTTCCATCGGAATACTCGTAAACCGTTCAATGTTGCGTCTTATAATCAGTCCGGGGTCCACACTAATATGAGATCCAATACTGGAAAAAACTTCAATAGGGAAGACTTCTATACTCCCAAATCCGTCCTAAGCCACTACATGGATAAATATGGTGATAACCAAGGAGGGAAGAACCGGCGTTATTCGCGTCATAGTCACACGCAAAGTGACGATTGGAAACTGAACTCAAGAGGTGGTGACTGGAATACAAACGGAAGACGTAAACGCTCTTGGAAAAAGAGCAGAGCCCCCAAGAAGAACAAACCTACTTACAAGTCCCAAGAAACTTCTAATCATAGAGAATTGTTGGGAAAAGCAGCTTCAGGAAGAGTCAAGCAGCATCTGTTTTCAGGTTCGAGACCTAAAAAGATCTTTCCAGACTCAACTCCAACACTGATGCACGGTGTTGGCGCCATGAATTCTGCTGGGAAATACGTTCCTCCATTTTTGCGTTCTCCACAACACGTAGCCTCTCCTTCAGCTGAACCGCTAATGGAGAAAATGGATAACCTTTCATTGGATGACGAAATGTTTCACCTAGAAGGTGACTTCGACGTTGGTGGCTCGGAAGGTAGTACTTCAGGCAGCAAGTTGTTGGGGCCGGCATTTAACGGCGATTTTCCTCGAAGAAATCCCAAAATTCCACCGCTTTCAAGTCTGATAATGCAACATGATTCGAGGGTCCTAAACACAACTGGAGGCGGTCGTGGAAGCAACAGACGTTCCACAAAGTCTGGTACGAGAGATCCTAGACCATCATCCATGGGTCCTGTACCCCACATCCAACCACTTGACGACTTGGTCAATACTACGATTAACTCTAGTGGTAAGTATATCCCTCCATTTAGAAGAGGTTCTCACTCTTCAGCCATGCCAATCTCCAAGGACAAACTTCATGAACATGGGTCTTTCAACAAGAATAAGTTTGATCTGGTATTGTTGAAGGATGGTGGAGCCTCGTCCGTGCCGGTGCGGAGCGCAGATTGGTTACATTTCAAGAAAGACTGGAGTGACTATGCCTGATAAACTGGCGTAAAAAGACTGATCTTTTTTGAGAGTATATGTGTATTTCGTTTATATGCATGGTGGGTGATACTAATTAAACCTCTACTCGCAAAACACTATTGCGAAAGTGCAAACTCTGATATATCATCTGCAGCAGTACCTATTCCGCCACCTTTACCAAATCTCTGGCTGTATAATGGGCATGACTTGTTGGTACTAATGTGACCATAAGCTCCACATGTGGCACACTTTCTGTTCGTATTCTTTCCTTTACCAATTCCTTTTCTGCTAACAGGTGGCGAGCCATCTGGAGGTTGGTTTTGCAAGGGATTCTTGACAGGAGGTGGTGGTGGATTTGCATCTTTTGACTTTTTTCCTCTGCCCAATTTAGACTTCTTTTCCAAACTTGCGTATCTCTCCTCCAATGCCTTTCGCCTGATTCTGTTCAATTCTTTATCGTTAGTTGGAATGATTTCGTCAACATCGGCATTCCGCAACATTTCATCTTCAACTTGCTTCTTTCGTTTCACGTATGCCTTGATAATTCGAGGATCACTGATAACCTCCTCTTTACGTTGTAATATACCGTTCTCATCTCTAAAGCGTCTTGAAATCTTAAGAACCTTGGGACTTTTTGGATCCGCAAGGCTGCTCATCATTCGATCTTTTGAGACTCGGTTCTTAACGTATTTCTGGTGATTAGCTGGTTTATACTCGCGGTAAATGGGACTAAGGCCCTGCCCGTGATGGGGATCCACTGTCAAGGAACGCCTTTGGGCGTACCAAATTCTAGATACTTCATCCTCATATAACTTTTGTTGATAAGATGCCGTGCTATTTTTGGGAACATTCTCTTTGACTGGTGCAAATAAAGGAGTGAAACCACTTTTCTGAGTACATCTCAAAAATGAGAATCCCAAACCTATACCTGTTGGGTCTCCTTCGCCGTTCAATTGAAGCATCGATTTGGTTTGATTGGAGATTAAGAAATTTCTCGTGGCATTCCATGGAGCTAATTCTTCATCAATGTCTTCAATTTCCTTCTCCTTGTTATCCTTTTTAGACTTATCCGCCTCTTCTTCCTCATCCTCGTCCTTCTTTCGTTTGTTCGCTCTTCTGTCCTCCTTGGTCTCATCTCCAAAAATGTAGAATATGTCGTCGAGCATTTGGTTTCCATGCTGCATGGCATCTAATAAAGTGACGTCTTCTGGAGTGAGCATAGCTCTGATATCTTCCTCTGATGGGACAGAATCGGTCTTTTTTATTTTCCAAAAACCTTGATCCTCTCCTGTTCTATTGTACTCCATGAACTCCTTCAACCTTTGCCTGTTTTGCATATCATTCTGATCAGGAAAGTGATGGGAAATATCCTTAACTGAAATACGAGACTCATCATTGGCATTCATAGAGCGGAACACAATCATGCGTAACCTGTTCTTTGACGCATTCGTGACCTTCCTCGAATGAGGTGCAGGGACCTCCATGACAGGAAAGATGTTTCCGACGGCGAACATATGATTAATTCCTCTCAAATAATATTTTTGGTGACTGCCTGCTCCCTGTGAGCGCACAAGTAAGAAATCCGTATTTTTCATTTCATTCTTGAAAATTGGAGCTCGCAACATATTGTTGTACAATGTTGGAACGAAATCACCTCGAGCTACATGGCCAAAGTTCCAAAAGGGTGATCTATCTTCCACACCTAGAACGTGTGTTTCTCCAATTGGAGCCTTGGGTCTTGCGTTATCATCGTCTTTTTCCTTTCTGTAGTAGTTGATTATCTTTGAACCCATACCGAAATTTGATAGTATAGGCGGATATTGTTCCGAATACTCCAAGGCAAGTAAGGAAGATGTGTCGGCATTTGTCAAGTCCGACGTTTTTGAAACTAGTTCTTGGGTTGTCTTGCCCTTGTCCTTCTTCTTTTTTCTTACTTTCAACTTGGAGAAAGATATTAATGTTCCTGGCCGAACGTCAAAGCGTGGCCTATGGAAGTTCCTAGCCTCCTGTTTCGATAACTTCACCTTGTAATATGGAGACTGAAGCCTTAAAGCTGGAACAGAGTGTTCAATTGTAAGATTACTCAACTGACTTCTAACCTTGGTATTGTAATTTTGCTTGAGAATGTCATACAGTTTATCGTTCGATATGTTAAATTTGGATGCGATATTTTTTTCATCCAGTGGGACCAAAGCTTTCGATTGGCTTTTTGAGGTTTTATCAGGAACAAAGAGAAGTCCCGGGTCGTTCATATCGAGCTTGACGACGTCATCGGCAATCTGGCCCGAGAATATTCTCTCATCATCAAGATACTCAGCATCCTCGTCCTTTGACTTTGAGATGAACCATGCTGTTCCTTGCGTCGTTTCTTGTGGTGTCTTTTGTGTGGTTTCTTTACCGTTTATAATCTGCTCATCGTCCCAATCGGCAGCTGACAAGATCAAGTTCTTGTCGTAAGACTGAAACTTGTCTTCATTATAACCGTCAATCTCCAAGAAAGGAATGGTTTTAGTTACCACGTCGGTATCAGCAGAGCCAGCCTTATTGGCTAGTTCTATGTCGGCGTCGGTAATCTTTGTGATGCCTCGTACTGTCAGCTTGTTGGCTTTTGCTGCCCTTCGGGAACGGAATATCCTGCTTTCATCTTCCTCGACTTCAAGAGTCAATTTCTTGGGAATGAGAGGCTTGACGAATGATTTCGTAGCCAAGGGAGGGGTGAGGTACGAGTAGAATCGAGGCTCGGGAAGGAATAACAAGTGGTTATTGTATGGTTTGGATTTATCAAAGTCGGGAAAGTAGTAGTTGAGTTGGCGAACTTTCTGGTTTTCCTTGAGTTTTGCTATGGCAGTTCGAAGTCTTTGCTTTTTGCGCTCCCGTTCTGCTTCCAGAAGCTTGGGACCGGATCGTTTGCGGCTAGGCTGGCTTTCTGGAGAAAGCAAAGTGTCGTCGTCATGGAAAATATCTCCCATGTCCGCATCTATCTCTACATCATTGACCCTGTTGTCAGCGAAAAGGTCTTCGTTGTGTTGTGTTTCGTCGCCACCGTCGCCAAACATGTCGTCAAACTCTTGGTCAGCTTCCTCTTGAAACTTCGATTCTTCTGCATCGGCTTGCTGAGCAAGATCGCCTCCAAATGATTCCAACGGATCTTCATCGTCGGCGAGCTCGTCTATATCTTCGTAGTCCACAGCATCTTCGGCGTGCTTGGTGGCACGAGCCAGAAATATATCATTGATCACTTGGTCGTCGGGAATATCATTGTCACTTAGCTGGTCTTCGGTGGACATATTTGGATTTTTATCAGGTATAAGTGTGTTAGCTGCTCAGATAGCAATTCAGAAGATGCAACAGATACGTCTCGGGACCGCTGATGACCGAGTTACGTGCACTCTGAGTTTAGCTAAGGTTGGTACTCTCAAGTCAATTTTGAAGTTCGCGCGCAGAAAAGTGAAGCTATTAGAACTCCAGGTTTTGTATGGTTCCCCAGTCTCTGAATGTTCTAGAGAAATTGGCGCCTCCTGGGCGTTCCAGAGGAATTGTGGTGGTCTTTGATATTGGAAACCGTCGACAAAAGGGACCTTTGGGTTTCGTTTTTGCAGAAAAAGAAATATGGTTTGTTCACGATGTGGAAGCCATGGAACAATATTTGTTAGAGGCGTTGAACGTCGAAGATAGATGTACGGTTTTGGTCTGGTACCATGACTACCAGTCGTTTTTTTACATAATGGGATTTCTCAGTCGTTTCGATGGACAGAAACAGCGTGACAAAACGAGCGTATATGCTCGAGAAGCATATGGCTATTATTTATCAAAGATAAATGGAGGAAAGGCAATTCCTGACCCTGATCTTCCTCCCTACTTCTGTGACACCCCCTTGCCTTTTGAGCTCATGGTTGCTTTGGATCCTTCGAGTTTGCATCGAGACCATTTATCGTCATCAAGCATAGGACTCTTGCAAATACTCCGTACGATAACCTATCTTCATGGGGGTCAATTTGCCGTGATCACAGGATCGGCCAAAACAAATAGCAACAATGCTGGAAGTGTGCTTTCAATTTTGGAAAAATGTGGATGTGATGGATTTTCAGATCATCGTCCTGAAGCTCAGGCAGTTTATTCTCATCTGGAGGACGTCAATTTGCTCATTCCCAAACTGTGGGATACCCTTAAAAGTATCCAGCTGATTATCCTTGCCAAAGTGGAAGACGGGGTCAGTCCAAAAAGCTACATGATCGAATCGGAAGACGATCACTTCCGATTCATCGAAACCTACAAGCACTATCTATCACAGCCGAACAACACATCCCAAGAACTTTTGGATCTCTTGGGTATCTCTGCGCCGCCAATTGAGTCCCCAAAGTCAGCCTACCTGGTTCATGCTGCCCACGAACAACTCTTGAATGAAATACAACATCAAACCACGAATACCATCAGTTGAATAATGACTACCATATAATGAACAACAATGAATTACTGATAATAAAAGAAGAATAGCACTTCAATGGCACCTTCCATATATATCCCCATATTTACTTGGCTAGTTTTAGATTTAGCTCGTATAACCCCAGTCGTAAACTCGATGGCCGCGATGGCCTGCGATCGGAATCTGAAACACCGGTTAACTATGGCTGATGTAAGCGGGCTCTTGGTCTAGACCGGACAACGGTTGTTTCAAGTTCGCATTCTGAAACATCCACATTGGCATCGAGCCGGCATATATTAATCGGGTCAGTTTCACGTTTGAATCTGATACAGTTCCGTTCTTTCACAACACAACTTCAATTGTACTGGTATTGCTCTTTGAAGCAGTACTCAATCGTTTTCAGTGGTACCCGACGTCACATATCCACCCTTGATCGGTTGTACTTATGTCGCAGATTGTGAAGGCCGAGAGCCGAGAACCCAGTCATTTGTCGGATGAAGTTAGAGAATCTTTGAGGTTGATCGAGGATCTCAAGTTCTTTTTAGCTACGGCACCGGCAAATTGGCAAGAAAACCAGGTTATACGTCGATATTATCTCAATTCGGATGAGGGTTTCGTTAGCTGTGTTTTTTGGAATAATCTCTATTTCATTACGGGAACTGATATAGTACGATGTATTGTGTACAAGTTTACACATTTCGGGCGTCGAATTATAGACAGAAAAAAGTTTGAAGAGGGTATATTTTCCGATCTCCGTAACCTCAAGCGAGATTCCGATGCTGTTCTCGAAGCTCCCAGATCGGAGTTTTTGAAGTTCCTTTACAAAAATTCGTGTTTACGAACCCAAAAAAAGCAAAAGGTTTTCTTCTGGTTCAACGTTCCTCACGACAAGTTGATGGCTGATGCGTTGGAACGGGATCTCAAAAAGGAAAAAATGGGCCAAAAGCCTACTACGATTGCAGAGAGGGACCCGGCAACTTCATTCACATATAACGAGTCAATGCTGTTGGAAGTGATGTTGAGTCGCCAAATGACGGACGATGTGGCTGCCAATGATGTTGGGGCCTCCAAAGACGACGAAGAACCAGAATACAAATCGTCTGCCGCAGCGATTCGAGACGAATCCAATGATCCCCACCTCTCAATGGCCGACTATATTAATGAAGAAACACGAAATTCAGACGAGGACGATTTTCCTCTCGATTACTTCCCGGCAGAGACTTATTCTGCCAGAGTCCCAACTGCTGACTATATTCCACTAGACAAAGTACAACCAGGATACTCAGTCGCATTCGACGATATGGTTCGATCTTATAATTTTTCAATGCCTCAGGCTAATCCTCGAAATGGCAGTCCGCTCGTAAACAAAGATGAATACTTGATCGAGCAAATGCAACCCATAAAACCAAACTCCAAAATTTATCAGGTGGAATCTCAACCAACTCCCAAGCAGGTGGTATACGGCGCACCAGTCGCAGCTCCTCCGACTGAAATGGACGATTCTTATGGCTATCCTATCCAACCACCACCCTCTGCATTCCAACCACATTTTTACGACCCAGTCAATGCCATGCAATATCAACCGTATATGGTTCCCTTCCCAGAATCGTACGTCTACAATCCATACGTCGAAGCGGAACCTTGGTCCATGCCTTATCCTCATGCTCCTTTTGTGGGCCTGCCCATGTACAAAGAACCATCTCATGATCATATGTTTCAGACTATGTATGAACCTCCACCCATGATTGCTATGCATCCAGGATACCACCAGGTTTCTGAAAAGCAACAAGTTGCTAGCACTTCGATGATGAGAAAGAAAAGAGAGTTACTTAGAAATAAAGGTGGTATACGAAAGCCTCAGACGGCACCCAAAGTGAGATTTTTCACTGCAAACGCCGACTCTCCAAAGGTTTTAGATTCAGATCAATTCATACCAACCCCAGAATCTTCAATACCGAACACAGGATAAACTAATCCTCTTTGCATATTTTTCATTTCTACGATGTGTTATACCGGTTATATCATTCAAATATATGAAACTCCACTAACTTTGGCTATAGTAGCACACTAACTTTTGCTGGGGGCCAGTCATACCGTCGAGAATATCATGGGTAATGACCGGTTTATCATTCGATGCAATCGGTGCCGCCTGACGACTGCGGATAATCTTGTGCAAAATCCCATAGCTTAGCATGACGTAGCGGCGAACGTCTACGATATCGCTATCCATGAAATGCCTCAACGATAAATCCACCTCTATAAGTAGCGTATTTGTCCAAAAGGCTGAATTAGAACTGGCATTTAATGTCTTGAACAAGCAGTCATACACAAATACGCGAGTAGAGTCAACGAGTTGAGGTTCCTTGGCTGTTTGAACCACAAGCATTAGCAAGCTTTGTGTAGCATAGAGTCCTGATAACATCTCGTCGAATGTTTCTCTGATTCCATGATATAGTTCGTCTTGTGCTGATGTTTCAACGCTGAGTAGCACAAGACTGCGCCATAAGTTTTGTATTTCCATTGGCTCGCGGTTCACAAGTAACTGTTTCACGATGATCAAACCTTGTAATTTAAGTGATGATGAGAGGTCCTGATCGCCTAAAAACTTCCATAGCGAGGACACAAGAACCTCAAACCCTTCCTGTTGGAAGTAGTCGTAAAATTCAGATCCACGATATACCAGAGACTGAAGTAGGTTAAGAAGAAACATGAAATCCAGTCCTTCGATTGTTTTCAGTTCGAGTCGAGAACAAAGTTTCTGAAAATGAGACACATCATTTTCTGGTATGAAGTTGTAGCAGCTCGTGTTTGCTGCTCGTGCAACCTGAAAGTTAAACCAGTTGAATGTCGAGTATGAGTGTTCCTTGACTTTTTGCGGAGACCCAAAGTCGTTATTATCTTCATAGATTGATACCGAACGTCTTTTTGAAGAAAGCCTTTTCAAGGGGTCAACCTTCTCGATAAAATCCTGAATTAGGCTCACTCTTCCATCTTCATTCTCAGATAACTGCACCAGCGCTAAACCATCAACAAGTCCCGATGATGGAGTTGCCGATTGACTGAACTTTGCAAACATGTCTGACCTACGGAGTCCATCCTGATCGACAAACACGTTGACGTCATGATCCGAGTGTAATCGCTCTTCAGGTTCTGAAAAATTTGGCGTGCTGCCTAGTACCTTGCTCTCCGTTTCTTTGACTTCAGGATCATCGTGCATCTCGCAATCGCTATCTTTCTCTCCTTCTTTGATTTCCATCAAAGTAGAAAAATTGTCAAAATCTTTGACCGGTGATAGTCTACTCAAAACATCCACCGGATTCACTTTTGTCAATTCCATGACCGAAGTATACTGTGTAAAATCTTGACCGTTCGACAAACTGAGGGTGTTGTCAATCCCAACGGTTCTCTCAACTTCACTGATGATGGTGGGACTGGTCAGCTGCAATTCAGAAGTGAAGAGAGTTCTATTAATCGGGTATAACTTCCTTAGTAACCCTTTCACAACCTCATAGAGTGGAGTATGTTGCACCAACAAAAACACTTCGAATAAGCCTGCCGAAAGCATTCTAAAGTTTCCGTCACTAATAGCCATTTTATCCAAACCCAATGTTAAAAAGTTAAACATCGAACGCCAAAGACGTTGTTTGTAACGTATAACTTGTCTCATTACACCGTCTCCTTCAACAATATTTGTTCGATCTGTGGTGTAAGATAAAATGCGGATAATGCAGTCGAAAAGTTCCTCCAGTGATGCTTGTGATATCATAAACAGAACGAAAGAAGAATCGATATTGTCGATGAAGACAAACGAAAGCCTCAAATAATCTGATAAGCTGAATAGACGAAACGATTTTTTATAGAATTCATCCGAAACAGTAAAGAGACGCTCCAACTTCGAAGGGTCCCTATTGGAAATCTTCGCAAGTAACGCAGGGAACTCTTGCGATAATTCTTCTTCGGCAATTATTGCAAATTTGAGTAGACCAACGCCTTCTGCCAAAATGGTATCGTCGAAGGATGATAAAAAGTTTAAAATTATATCCTTGTCCTGATCGCCGTTCTTCATTGGACTGTCATGGTCTGCGTCCACTGTGCCATCAGTAACATTCTTTTGGCCCTCATCAGAATATGGTATAGGTGATACACTTTTAGGAGCTTCGGGGGTCTTTTGAGCAGGAGTAGCAATTTCTGGAGTATTGTTCCACAGTCTCTCAACAGGGCTTTGAGTATGCAATTTTGCGGTCCATTTGCGTGGCTGATTGGAGGGTATAGGTTCAGCTACTACTCTCTCAGGTATGGCATTCAGCAACTTATCTCTGTAGTTGTTTTCCATCGTTAGATTTGCTGTCATTTTCAGTGCAATATGAGGCTTATTTGAACTTTCCCTAAATTCAGTTTTTCGGAAAGTCGAAGGTTGCGTACTTGCAGGTCCGTTAGTAGCTGCATGGGAGGGCGCACTAACCGGTGTCAGAGGTTTTGATCGTTGTAATGCACGTACTGTGTTGGTGTCCAATTTCGAAAGTAACACTTGAGCTTCTTCAGGAAACTCATTCGCAAAACACCAGTATGCTGTTTTCGCCGAAGTACGTACAGTCGGATTAGGATCTTTCAATATTTTCATCAACGTAGTTTGACAAAGCTCAACACCTGTAACTTTGTTTTGCGTGTTCTGATGTAACGCACTTTGGAATCTGGTGACAAATATTTGGAGCCAAATACCACTGAATGTACGAGGTTGGGCATTCTTCTCCAGTGACGCCATTAGTGCACGGACCATGATTTTGGAGTTGAACGAGCAGTTGGAGAATAAAGCACACAAGACAATATTTGCATTGTTGGAAGTGATATTTTTGGTAGACGAGCAAAGTTTCATGAAGGTACTCATAAAACAATCAATGAGTGGATCAGCGTTTGTACCAAGCATTATTGCTATCTCCTTGACAAGCTGGCATCCATTTGTACTCAAAGTTGTTCGAAGCGATGTTGCTGCTTTAATGATATTTTCGCTCGATTCCTTGATGCATGATATGAGATCATCCTGATAGTGTTTAAGAGCGTTTCCACGTATGATAGCCCTCAAGTTAACGATGTATTTTTCTCGAGCCGTCCAATTGAATTCGGTTTCTTTACCTTGGAAAGCAGGGCTTTGAAATTGCTCGTGAAGGTCGTGATAATCCGTGACGTTTTTTGCGGAAATGTTAAAATCGACTCCGTAGCCAGGGAGCAGCGCTAGGATCTCAGAGACAGTTTCGGGAATCTTTTCTACTGTCAACGTTCGGTGGCCGCTCAAGTTAGATGACGTAGAGGAGCTTCTAATGAGGGAAGATGCTCGAGATGGAGGTCTTGACGTTCGTATGGAAGTTGATCTTGTTGGCTTTATAGGGGCACTGTGGGACTTGACGGTAGGCTCCGGTTTGATATAGGGGGCGATGTCAGGTAACATGGAATTCTGCACATCAGAAGGGATGTTTTGATTTTCAAATTCTTTGAGAAGATCGATTTGGAAAATTTTGTTGTGCTTGAGCTTATAGTATGACTGAAGTAATGCACATACCTCGTTTTGAAGCTGTTGCAGGTTTTTTGTGAGTAGCAGGACGAGGGTGGGAAGGAATGACGTGAGTTTGAAGTGAGGAGTGATGGAGAAAATATGGCGAAGCCAACTAACGCACTCACAAGCAATGGTGGAATTACGGTGAGCCAACCCTATATCTCTGAGATATTGCTCCACCTTTGCAGGTTTCAGGAGCCAGAATGCCTCAAGCGCGTTTTTCGCTGCGGTTCGACTGCTTGATCTGGAATCCCCGAGTCTTGTAATTATCGATGGCAAGATCAATGAAGCATGAGACTCCAAAATCGACCCAGTCAGGTCTTGAATGCTTATTCTTTTGACCAAATGAGACAACGTACTAAAAGCATTGCTCAGAATACCGTGATCTGGAATATCAACTGCCAAAGAAAGTGCTTCAATGTAGAAATGAACCTGGGTCATATTAACATGATTGGTTTTTATATGGGTTTTGAGGTCTACAATAGCGGCTAATTTATGGCTTGCCGGGACCTCTGACCTCACTATCTGTACCAATCTATCACCAGGCACCATTTTGAAGTGTTGGTCCTGTTCCAGTTTGTGATGAAATGTGTAACTGTTGATTGTTTTGAAGGACTGCATGTTTACATTGCGACGCGCGTTGTGGGGGCGGCCCATGCTCTTGTGCAGGAATTGCACCAGTCGTAAACCGACCTCCATATGTTCTGACAAATATTGGGGTCTTAAGAAGGGTTTGTGTGTGGTTATGAAGAATTTGGTGAAAATGAGTTAAAATCATGGGACTGGGTTCTTCATTGTACAAAATGACCTTTTTGACATTTTTTGTAATTTTGTCATTTTCTGCATTATCACCAACCACTACCAAAGTATGAATTCTAATTAATTTTGTTCAATTATTCTCTTATTAGATTAACCTTATTTCGCTATAACCCATAAACCCACCAACACACACGCAGTAAAGCCAGCAATAAGTCTCTTCTGAGTTCCACTGACCTTAACTAATGCAGTTCGTTCGTCGAGTTTACCATAAGTGCTTTTAAATGTAACCTCTGCCTGGCTCTCGCGGGGCAGTTCCTGGGCTTCTTGCTTGTGTACCTCGTTCATGATGTGCATGATTTTCTCGTCTTGAGCTGTATCTACTTCCATATCTTGGACGTTGCCAAAAAAATCAGTAAGTCTTACTTCGCTGACATTACGGCGGAAAAGATCGGTTCTGATTCCGGGTGTGGAATGCACGTTCTCGAAAGTATACTCATCAAAAAGCTTATCCATCGTAACATTGGAGTTCTTGTCGATTTTCTCGAGAAACTCAAGCGTATAGTATGTGAATCTGTCGATGACAGCAACCCCGAGATCCAAGTCTGAGTGATGAGAGTACGAAGATTCATCCACCTTGGAGGATCCAACCGCCAATATATTAGGAGAGTAAAACCGTTCGTACATCGAGTTTGCTTGACAAGTGTCTATCATGAAAAAGATTTCGTTGTACCTCTTCTTCTCGTACATCTGTTCAAACGCATCGGCAATGTCATACGCTCCTATTTCTTCAGCATCCTGGAATTTTAAGAATTCGTTACCACCATGTCCTGTTAAGTAGATGAAAATATTAGAGTTTTCGTCTGTCATTAATCGCTTAGATCTTGGATGATTACTATCCCACCTATCTGTGAGTAATCTGACGAAGTTTTCCACTGTAACTTCGTAACCTCGATAGTCAACTTCAACCAGTTCACCATACAAATCAATAGCTTGATCCATGTTATTGAATACGGTTCCTGGGAAGGCATTTCGTGGATTACATGCAATATCATCAGAAAGCATTAATATGATTTGAGAGTCGGGAATACCCATTCTTTTCACCGTTCTGTACAAACTAAGGACGTTAGCCATGTGTCTGTAATTGAACCAAAACCGAGAAGTGGAAACCAAAACCGCCCAATTATTTGTATGATGTGAGTCATTGTTGATATCATTTTCCAACACATGATCTGGTCCACTGTCCGAAGCACGCCCTAGAGCTGCTAAAAAAACCCATATCCAGAGGGTAACGATCTTCATTAGAGATGATTATAAACCTGAGACCGCGTATTCATAGAACGCTGTTCCTGTATATACAAGTAAGACACTACACAACTACACAAGGTCTAAGCCATTGTTGCTTGCTTTGTTATCGTACGAATTCGCAGCCGGACCTTGCTTCCCAAGCCAAGAATTCGCTGAAGTTCCCAATTCACCCATAAGGATTTCAGTGAATACTTGATTGCAAAAATTAAATTTGTAGCCCTTGTTCTGTCAAATTTCAGAACCTCCGCCTTAAGCTTCTCTTCATAATCCTCCTGTGTGCTCGCATACTGATCACGAGCTCTTGCCTTGAGTTTCTTGCAAATAAAATCAACTTGGTTGCTAGTAATATTTGAATCACCTTTTCGAGCCATATAATAATTTGTCTTTTTCATTTGCGAGCGAAGTGATTCAGCACGCTTGAGTATTGTCTCGAGGTTCTTGTTTATGTCAAGGACCGATTTGTTGGAAAATTTCCCACATTTGTAGTTACTTGCTATTTTCTGCTCTCTCGATGCAAATCGCATTATAGATAACGAGAAGTATGGTTCTTCCTTCTTTCCCGTATACAGACGCTCTAGCAAGTAGAAACCGTCCATGTCTAGCTGGTGACCCCAAACATCATATTCGAGTCTAATCCAGTCCAAAGAATTGTTGCGAATAGCCGAATTGACATTGGAATTGTCTCCAAATTTTTTCGATTCAGATGCTTCTAACTCAAGAAACCCATCAAACGTTTTGAACTTTAATTCAAGATTGTGTTCCATAGTAGCTATCTCTTCTAGCTTCCTGGATATTGCAACCTCTTCTTCTCTGCGGGCTCTTTCTTTCTCAATGGCTTCCTCTCTGCTCAACCTGGCTGCTTCCAATTCATACTCCTCCCTTGCCTTCACCATATCTTCATACGAGCGTCCATCAATGGTGAAATCTGATGGGAGCGAAAAAAGCGTGGGAACGGAAGTGACTCCAGTGTTTCGAGTTCCAGCAATATCAACTACATGACAGAGTGATTTATTGCCGTGCAAACGAAGGCCTCGTCCAATCATTTGTACAAGGAGGGGCCTCGACTTGGTGGGACGAGCCAAGAATAAAGAGTCGATGTTGGGTATGTCGGTACCCTCGGTGAAAACTTGAACATTGCACAAGACGTTGATCGTGCCGTTTTTGAAGTCTTCTATGATGGCTCGCCGTTCATGTTTTGCTGTCTCCCCAGTTACGTATTGAGCGTTGATTCCCTGAGATTGAAGCACACCACAAAGGGTTTTGCAATGATTTATATCGACGCAAAATATCAAGGTAGATGCAAAACTGTAACGTTTTCTGAGCTCAGAGTAAGATCGAGCGACTAATAGGTTCACGTCAAATGAGTTCATCGCTCTTGATAAGTCGACACTGTCGTAGTCGTTGTTCTTGATAGCCACAGAGTTCAAGTCGACGTCGACATCGATGGTGGAAAATCGAACATCCACCAACTCTTCATTTTTTATCATAGTGAGTAGGTCTCTTTCAAAGACTATCTCGTCAAACATTGCACCAAGAGACTGACCATCGCTCCGTTCCATTGTAGCAGTAAAGCCAATAACAGCTATATCCAGATTTGGTGTATCTGCATTGAAATAGTGGAGAATTTTATTCCATGAACGAGCAGTTGCGTGATGGCATTCGTCCAATATAATCGCCTTAAATTCGTCTGGATTGTACTTTTCAAGCCGGGTCTGTCGTATCAACGTCGGTACTGATGCCACGATCACATCTGAAGTAGAAGTGGGCTTTAGTCGTCTCATGTCAATTGACACTTCAAGGTGTGGATTTGCAAATTGAATTTTATCGGCCGCCTGTTTTATGAGTTCCTCTTTGTGAGCTAGTACAAGTACTTTAGAGCCTCCCAGCAACACGTTCGGCTTTATATGAGGCAAAAGATGTGAAAATACCACCGTTTTTCCACCTCCGGTGGCAAGCACCACCGCTGGTCTTTTGACTCCTCGGTTCAACGCGGCCAATACGGAATCTATAGCTTCATTTTGGTAATCACGTAGTGTAAAGGTACTCGTGGATGCATAGAATCTCCTGAATAACATGCTATAAGTTGAAACACATTGCCTTGTTGATAACATTCATGTCAAGTGGGTGCGAAAAGAAAATCTAAATGGGTGCGAAAATGAGAATTTAAAAGCTAGTGTGAAATGGGTGCAAAATTTAGGTATGTAGACATCAATTTAGCTATTTCTCATTATGTCCACTCTTGAGCGACGGTACACATGGTTGTAGTATAGGTCGTCATGGTTAGGCACTTTGTCTTCCTCATTTACCTCGGGTCGACCGATACTAACCGTCACATAAGTGCCCTCTTCTTTATTAGGATCATTGTGCGGACGAATAAAGTTTCCTGGATTTATCACAATTACTCCACGTATCACCTTAGCAAAGAACTTGAGCTCTGAGGGTGCTATGAGTAGGTCAGGGAGAGTATCGCCTAGTTCGGCTAGACCCATGTATGGCACTTCTAAACTGGAACCACCTACCATAGTAGTTGCCAATTGTTCTCCCATTAGCCCAGTATAAAGACCTTCGTTATTATCCTTGTTTGTCTTCTTGATCGATCCTGGAAATACAGGGTAGAACCTACGTTGGTCGAAGACGTGTCCTGCAATTCTTTCGAATCGATTTGAAGGAAGAGTCGCTGACGGTCCCAGACTGAAGACTTCTCGTAAATCTTTGAAAATGTCCAAATTGGAACACGCAATCATGGTCTCATTGAGAGAGAACGTACTGGGATTCGGTATGACTCTTACGTTTTTAGGGAGCCCCAACTTCTTCCTATCAAAGGAATCTTGAGGGTATGAGCAGTGCTTTATGCAAGCATCTTGCAAAGATGGTATCAATATCACTTGTATTTTTGGATCCCACCTTTTTCAAGCACTGAGATATTGTCTTCTGAAATAAGTCGTTGTAATCTTGAGGCTGGTGCTTCTCGTTCTTGAGTTCGATGTCTCCCTGAGCCACAGCATTATGATTTATGTCAATGAAAGGGCCAAACAAAAGAACAACGTGTGGCTTACTGACAGTGTTTATGCGCTCAACCAACTTATTCATCTTGGTAAAGTCAAGGGTGTGGGCATTCGAGTATGGTCCCGATGCGATCAAGATTTTCAACCCACCTTCTCCCACTTGCTCTTGGTACTGTTCCAATTCTTGTTTCGAAGACACATGCGAGCCGAGAGATGGGAGGGAGCATATTTCCTGGACCACAAACGAACTTCCAGTGGGGTTGCGACCCTTTAAAACTGCTATTTGACCAGGAAAGAGCGAGTAGTCAGAAACATTAGTTAAGTCCAAGGGAATTCTTTGTCCAATACCACCAAGACGCGAAGTCTCTAAGAATAATGAAGTAGAATTCAAGTTCTGGTTGAGTTCTTTATCATAAAGTTGAGAGTCTGGTACTATTCTTCCGCAGCAGTGCATCTCGAATTGAGAGCTGACGCAGGGGTTTCCAAAATTGACATTTTTCCTTTGCCAGTTTCCAAGAATAAGCGGGTCATGGTGTCAATTTGATCGTCAAGGACATCGGCACTTTCAAGAAGCTTCATTGACATGGTACGAAACTTGTACTTTGATGGATCAAAGTTATACAGTAAAGTGAATGCCTTTTTCTCGGAATCATTGACTCCAGCAGCCTCTTCGACGTTCGGATTGAGGGTCTCAATGACCGTGTGTGAAGCTCCAGATGTTTTGGCAGAGGTGGGTGATGAGGAAGGGGCGGTGGAGTTTTGGAAGGTATTGTTGGCAGTAGCGTAATCTCCAGGAGATGAAGCCAAGTCCATGCGAGGTGTCTTGAACATGGAAAAGTCATCGTTTTGGTTCTTTCTTTTCAATTTGGGTGTGACTGGATTGGCAGAGAGTGGACTGGAATCGGTGAGGCCATTTGTAGATCGAATAACTGGTTTCATACGGCCATTGAAATCCTTGATTTTCTTCAAAGAAGGCGTAGCATTAGAAGCTGTGTTCACGAGGTTAGACTGCATGTGTTCATGGAACCGTTCGAGATTTTCGAGGTTCAATTCCAAATTATCTTGAACCTTGGTAACGTTAAAACTTTCCCATTTCTACAAAAAGTTCATCACTTGAAACGTTGAAAATCTGTTGTAACTCAGACAACTTGGTAATGACCGAATCCTCCCCATCTTTTATTCCCAAAAGCCTTCGATAACGAGGCGTGAGTAGCAGATGTCATGACAAGGTTCAGACGCGTCGCGCCCAAATTTCAATGGTGATGAGATCTTGTTGGACCTACTGCATACAAACACACTATTATATATACATGGATTAAGGAAGTCTAGTTTTCCTTGGTGCCTTCAGCACTTTCACTTTTCGCAGGTTTGTCAGACTCTTCTTCTTTCTCTTCTTTCTCTTTAGGTTCTTTTTCGTCAGTGGTTTCGGTGGTTTCGGTGGACTCATCTTCTTTCACCTCCTCGGCTACTCCCTCGGTTTTGTCCTTTCTTCCCTTGAACTTTTTCTTTCCGCGCGAATCGTTGAAGCTGCTGCGTCTCTTGGTCACTTCATTGACTCCAAAACGCTTACCTCCTTCCTTGAGTTCCTTGTACGTGAGAAGCGACATCTTCTTCAACACGTCCTTACCTTCCACATTGTCTCCATCTAAAATACCATCTGGATAGCTGACATTCAACTCGTTCAAGAAGTACTCGGCATCTTCCTGAGTCTTGAATTCCACGTCAGCAATTCCCAAAAACTCACGACCGGCCTTGGTGCGGTGTCTACGAATCGAACACAATGCTTTTTCAACAGGCAATTTTGGCACGATTTTAGTGGAGAACCATTCCTCCAAGTCTTCCTGGGTAGCGTCTTTAGGGAACCCTTCGATGTGAACACTATTTCTTCTTCTGGTATTTTTCAACTCATTAAAGTCCTTCAATGGATCCTTTCTTCTGATCATATCGTTGTTGGACGAAAGAACCAACTTGTCCGATGCCTTGAGAGCTTCAATAACCTTGTCTTCTGGTCTGTATTGTCTCATACGGCCGAAAGTCAAGATGGTCTTCAACTCGACCCACCCATCATTGGCCTCATATATTCTCCACAAAAACTTGTCAGTTTGCAAATTACTGTCTGAAAAGTAAAACTCCACTTGTTTTCTCACCTTTTCGTCGAAATCGGACCCTTTGTATACACTGTCGCTCATACTTACTGAACTCATCGCTCACTTTCTCATTTCAAGAAAGTCGTGCCCCTGCGAACAGTTTACTCAGATCTCCACGTGATGAGCTCTTCGATGAAGAAGGCTACAAAGATAATTGCCATGGCTACTGAAAATCGAAAAACGGAGTTAATAAGTGCATACGAGGCTATATCCCAACGAGTATCAACGACTAGTAATTCGCGCAATGTACGTCTTGTTGCTGTGTCAAAATTAAAGCCCGCATCGGACATATTGGCACTTTATAATCATGGGGTACGTCATTTTGGAGAAAACTACGTCCAGGAATTAATAGGAAAGGCTCAAGAGCTTCCAAAGGATATAAAGTGGCATTTCATTGGAGGACTACAGACAGGAAAGTGCAAGGACTTGGCAAAGGGCATTGATAACTTGTACGCCGTAGAGACCATTGACTCATTGAAAAAATGCAAAAAGCTAGACACTGCCAGATTAAATGCTGAAAAGGACCCTCTCAATGTGTATTTACAAATCAATACCTCGGGGGAAGAACAGAAATCAGGCTTTTCTCTTCTGGATACAAAAGATCTCAAAGACACTGTTCGCTTCTTAATGAGCGATGAATGCAAAAAGCTCAAACTTCAAGGTTTGATGACGATCGGTTCTTTCGAGGCGTCCACTCTGGACGAGGAAAATAAAGATTTCAAGGCTCTTTCTACTGTAAAAACTGAGCTTGATAAAGAGTTCAACTTGGACCTTGAGTTGAGTATGGGTATGAGTAATGATTTCGAACAAGCCATCAAACAAGGCAGTACTAGTGTAAGGGTTGGTTCTTCAATCTTTGGTGCCAGACCCCCCAAATCTTCTAATAACTAGCATAGCCATAAAATTGTTCAACTATTTAGTCTTTCTTAGCCTTTCTCAACAACTTTTTCAACGAGTTCTTCTTCTTGGCACTCTTTGCACCATTACTAGAACTACTTCCTTCCTCGTAGCTCGAAACGACAGAAGAACTTGGTTGAGAGTCGTCTTGCTCATAATCTCTTGCGGCTCCGCTGCCGGTTTGCTTTGTAGTTGGATCTTCACTTGATCCTACAAGCTTGCTAGTATCTTCATCAGCGTGGCTATTGTCGTCGATCGTTGAGTACCGCACCTCTCCTTCGTTACTCTTGGTTTGAATAATCGAGTCTGAACCGTCCTTGCTTTTCTCCAAACCCAAACGCTCGTTTTCCTGAGCTTCACGAGCCCGTTGCAATTCAAGCTCCTTCTGTCTGAGAGTCTCTTGCAACTTTTCATACTCACGCTTTCCCTTGTCACCTCTTGATACCGCACCAGACGAAACACCGCTGGCTACACCACTACTCTTCTGATACGACGTCAGCTGTCCCTTGTCTTCAACTTGCTCTGAGACATTCGCACCAATGTTCTTTGCTTGGGCAATCGCATCTGAAGCGGTATACTTTGTCCAGTCTCCATCATTCTTGGGTTCGTAATTGGGCTTGACCTTTTCAGTATAGTAATCGTGTCTCAACTTGAGATCGTTATCAACGAAATCATTCTCCCATTCAGTTTCACTTCTAAACAAAGTAGCCAACTTGGACAAAAGAAAGTAGAGAATGAAGAAAGTGTGCTCACTAGCAAACAAAACGAAAATCATGTAAAGCGGCGAAGCATGAACACTTGCCTTGTCCAAAGCAAGTTGTCCCAATGTCTTTGGAGGTTGGGTACCATGTCGGTAGAACACAGTGATCAATGGCGAAACAACAGAGCCCAACCACGTCAAACCGAAGAATGCAAGATTCCATGGATGAATACAGTCGACTCTCTCAGGAACTGGTGGACGAAAGTATTTACCGTTGGACAACTTGAGCTCATCCAACTTTAAGGTGAGAAGGACAAAGAAAACAGACACCAATGGCGCGAGGGACCAAACAGGACCAAACATGATCAAGTAGCCGTATTGCACAGCAATGCCGCGGAAATCATCGTTGACATTATAAGCGGGCAAAGTGGATATTTTGCGGGCATTTTCGAGCCATTTGTGTTCTTCTTCATCGTCTTGAGGATTGAATGGCTCTTTCTTTGAAATCAAGGCCTTAATTTTAGGCAACACAATTGGAAGGACATATTTCATCACAAGTTGAATCACCTGACTAGTGACCACGAAAAAGAAAAACTGAGCATTCAAACGGTTCTGGTTGATCTTGAAGTCTTCTTGACGTTTGACGGCTGTCATGTACTTGTAGTAGAATCTGTTTTCATTGAGCCTGGTAGCAATATTGTACTTTATGTCACCCAAATGAGGCTCCACCAAGTGCGCAAAGGGCAAATAGATGAATGAAGTAATGAGTAATGGCATGTAGCTGGTCAAGAAAGTAAGGACGTAGGACTTGATAAGCACAGAATTGTTCTTGGAGTAGCTCGTAGGATGGCTCTCGAATATCAACACCTTGTCGGTAACAAAGTTGTAGATGATAGTCAAAATGGGAACGAACACACTGATCAATATAGTTGGAAGAAGTGCAAGGAGCGAAACACCAGGTCCATCATAAATCTCAGTCAAGAAGATTTCCAATACAAAACACAATAACTGATAAGAGACAAGTACTATGGTGAAACCCAATGCAATGGGGATGAATCCAAGCTCTTTCAAGTAAAGGAATGCTTCACCATTACCCTTGTGTTTGTAGGAAGACTTTTCTTCGTAATTCTTGTTTAAACGAGCCAACTCTTCTTTATGTTCTTCGACCAAATGGCAATTGACAACACCCCATTTGTTTGTGATGAAATTTTCTCTTCTTTTCCAGAGCGATATGAAAAAAGTGCCCCACAATAAATTGATACAAGTGTAAGACAACAGGAATGTGTGCTTGGAAACGAAATAGGAGATCAACCCCACAACAGCCAAGCCTGCTAACCAATAGAGATAAAATTGGACAAACTCAAAGTACAAGGCAACTTGGACACCATGACTCTCCTTGACATCATGGACATCAACTGTGGAACCCGCAATATGAGTCTTTAAATCGTCAGCAATATGAGACTCTTCAAATGCAGATGTGACTGGAGTGATACTCTTCACGAAATGACCAATCGCCCTTTCCAGGAGTGATACCAATTCCTCCCACGGCATCAGGTGAGGTGAGGTACTGATGAACAATTCTAAGCTTGTCATCTCTTGATTCCTCCTTTTTAGGAACGCCAAACTCGTAGTTTTGAATGAGATCTTTTTCAAGTTCCTCGGCGTATTTATAAGAAGAAAGTTTAATGAAAACTAAAATTTCATTGGCATCACTACCAGGACGAACCTGCAAGTAAAAACCAGCATTGTCCAACGTTTCAGCCAACGATTTCATGTTGCTTTCTGCATCATAGGTGGTGTGTCCCTTCTTTGTAGGATGCAGCACTGCCAACATAAAATCTGGATTCAACGCCTGGATTGTATCATGAGAGGTGGAAGTCATCTTTTTTCAATTTCACAGCTGATACGGTTCAATTGACACCAAATGCTTCCAATTGCTGTGAGTTGCTGCAATTTCACAGCGCCTGACGTTAAATATATCGAGGAGCTCGCTGACATAAGCATCGAATTTAAACGCGGTGCAATATACCGGAAACATTGTTCGATGTGGGGACCTCCTAAAATTGCATCCATTCGTAACTACCATCCTATGTAGGCCCGGCTCACCACTCTAAAAACACGTATCCGGCCACTCTTCATCTCGCTCATTTTGTAAGACTCTTTTTTGACATGCCCACTTGAATCCAGTTCGAGCACTTTGAACTTGTATTTCTTGGCATCATATTCCGCAACAATTGCTGAGTAAGTATCTTCTTCTCCGAGAGTTATTTTGTTGCTTCCAATACCTAATCCCTTACTGGAAAACTTGCCGTTACGAACACACAAAACGTCTCCTGGTCTAACGTCATCGATTCGAGAAATATTACTGTTGTTCGTATTACGGTAAATGGTTACTCCAAATGACTTGTGCCCAATTGGTTGCAAGGCTTTTGGATCCTTTGCCTTGATGGTACCGAAGACCACCGACGTGAGTGGTTCACTCAACTTGGAGCCAACCATAGACGACGCAATTGTCAATACCTTCGTTCCCAATTCACGATGGTACCTATCTAGTAAATCCTTGCGAATAATCGGCGGTGCTTTCGTGTAGTAGTTGACACATTTGACCGTTGACCTTGGATCTTCCGTTTCGTATTCAAGCTCGAAAATCAACTGCGAGAGATCGTAGAAAAGAACATAGTAGTCCCTGTAGTTGATGGTGCGACCTCCTCTCTTTTTGATGACATGTGAGTCCACTTCGTATGCTAAATCAACGCCAATTTTCCCTGCGAGAACATCAGGCAACTCCTCCTTCAACCACCAGCTGGTGTTCTCATTGATATTGGCAATCTCGTACTCCAATGAAGTCAACGCAGCGGCAGCTTGGCTCTGTTCGCCAGTACTTCTCGTAGAACGAGACCTTCCAAGCTCACTGGACCGTCTGCCAAAGTCTCCTGACTGCCTGTCTACCGACTGTCTGTCTACCGACTGTCTGTCAGCTGTCTTCTGCTCTATCGATTTTCTGTCGGAACCAATAGAAGACCCAGTGTATGCATGATGGATTCGCTGCTCCGAGTATTCTCCTTCAGGAATTCCAGCCATGGTAATATCACCAACTTCTGTGGATGAACGACCGGGTGTGGCAGGGACCGGTGGTGGAGCCGCTCTAGGTACCTCGTGAGGAACGGGAGGAGGTGCCGCATCAGGCATCGTTTGAGATCTCGCTGGCAAGGAAAAGTCAAAATTGTCATTCTGCGATGTCAAGGAAGCGAGCTCATCATGTACCGAAGTACCAGCACGAGCTGGTGGTTGAGTGGGGATGGGGGGTGGTCCTTCTTTGGGCGTAGATTGCTGAACAGGATGAACTGGTGGAGCAGTTGGAACCGGAGGAACCGGAGGAACCGCAGGAATCAGGCGTCCTGGAGGAGTTGGAAGTTCAGGTCGAGAAGCAGGCACAGGCGGAACCGATGGCAGGGGCGGAAGAGGTGGCTCAGGATGAACAGAACGAGAAGGAGCAGGAGGTACCGGTTGAGCAGGTGGTGCTGGATGAGCAGGTGGTGCTGGATGAGCAGGTGGTGGAGGTGCGGGATGCACCCTTTTCTCATGGAAGTCAGGTTCAGGAATTGGTGGACGAGAAGCTGAATGGTCTGGATACTGGTTATGGCCAGAAGGCTGCATGTCAGATACATCTTCGTCGGCGTCATAGCCGGTGACTTCAGGCTCTATAGGCGGCTTGGCCAACTTCATCTCGCTGTCCTGGCTATGGTCTCGGGGCTCATCGTGTCCATCGCTTTGGATGGTCGGAGGTGAAGGTTCCACTGGTGTCATGGGCTCGACATTTTCAGGATGAAGTTGTGCATCTCCTGCTTCCGGGAACTTTGTATCAGTCTCTGTGAGGTCTTCATCGGGGATTCCAGAAGACGAGTCGATAGAAGGAGCTTTCTTGTTCGAAATACTGTCAGCGTCTCGTTGAAGCAACTCCTTCGGTAAATGGTCAGGATTAGCAAATGGCATAACCGGAATTGGTCTAGCGGAAGTAGTCTCCTCAGAAACTTGACGTTCTCCGTCCCCACTAGCAACGGACTTTTTGCGCGTTGGTGTCGGCTCACTGGGCTTTCCAAACGAAGGCGCCATGCCCATCATTCCAAACATGTTCCGACCTCCAGATATCTTGGCCATTCTTTGAACCAACCTCTGCCTCTTGAGCTCTTCGTCGTCTTCCACTTCATCTTCGTCTCCCACCTGCTGTTCCGCGGGCTCACTTTCTGCAACTAAATCATCGGCACTTTCGATCTCCTCTTCTTCATGATGCTCACCGGGAGCCACGCCAACATCCTCAGAATTTGGCAGCTCATGCTCAAGATCTTCAACAGGTGCATTTGCACGAGCCTCAGCCGCGAGCTTTCTCTCCTCAGACCGCTTTTGCTCAGCTTTCTTGCGTTCTTCCTGTCTCCTTTGGGCCGCTGCTTCACGCTCTGCTTGTTCTGCCTGCTGCTTTTGCAAGAGAGCAATGCGCTCCTTCAAGCTCATCTTTGGCTCGCTGGACTCCTCTTCTTGCTGTGGATCGGTGGAGTGCACAATTTCAACGTTCTTTGGAGGTTCATTACGCACATGTTTCACAGTTGAGTCGTCACGAGGCTTGATTGGAGGAACGTAAGACGACTTTCCAGTCGCTACAAACTGGTTCTTGATGTTGTAAGGGTCCTTGGGAGGAGGGCCTCCTGGCATTGGCACACGAGGAATATCCGCCTTGGACTCTTTTGTGTGTTCAGAAACTGCACTTTTCAACTTCTGAGCCAGTTCTGCGAGAAAACGAGCCGGACTAGAAGGAGCATCAGGACTTCCCAGTGCTTTCTTTTCAGTACCTTCAGCACCTTCAGCAACTTCAGTGGTTTCAGTTTTGGTGTTTTCTTGCTTATCGGACACAGCGGCCGAGCCAGTGGTGGAGCCAGTGGCCTGAGCACCTTGTTCTTCGGGTTCAAAACTCGGCTTCGGAATCGGCACAGCCAGCTCAATTGGTCCTGATTTCTGCTCACCGTCAATCAATTGAACAAAGTTTTTGGGAAAAATACCAGTTTTACCGTTAAAACATCCCGAATACCATTCGTCGTCTTCAATGTCAGTGACGGTAATTATCAGACCCACCGTAAATGGAAGGTCATCGTCATAATCAGATTGATAATCAAAGATGGCACGCACCTTAAACGGTGGTTCCGGTTCGGGCATGATGTATATTTTGTATCTGGAATAATTGGAGCTACCCCGATACTTGAGTATAATCCCGGTGCGACCGCACTGCCCTAAAGGCCCCTAATGTCGTGATTATGTCGCGCGGTCCTACTGTTCGAATTGCCAAAATCGCGAACAAGCTTCACTGATGTCCAAGGCATCGACCACCGTTGCGGTGTCTAGCCAGAGCTTAGGGAAGCTACGGCCCGAGAAATCGCTCAATTACCACCAGCAGGCATCCATAACTTCGTTGGATTTCAACGACTCTGGCCAGTTTCTCATATCGGCTGGGGTAGACCGCTCGATTCAACTTTATGATGTTCATAAAGGCGTCCATGTCAAGCTGATTCAGTCGCAGAAATATGGAGCACACATAGCATGCTTCACCCATGCTGATTTTGCCTGTCTTTATGCATCAACTCCGGATTTGGAGTCCGATGTAGATCACTCCATAAGACATCTTTCGCTTGCCGATAAGCAATATATTCGCTATTTCAAGGGACACAAACAGCAGGTGCTCAACTTGGAGGTCCACCCCGTCAAGGACTTGTTTTTGAGCAGCAGTGTAGATAAAACTGTCAAGTTATGGGATACTAGAGCGTCTACTCCAGCTGGAAATGTCGATGTTGGACAGCCATCTTTGGTAGCTTATGATCCTTACGGGATCGTGTTTGCCGTTGGAAAGTATAGCAATCCAAAATCCTTGGCTCTGGAGGGCCAATTGACGTTGTACGATACAAAATCGTTCGATAAGAGACCTTTCTTATCCACTCTGGTTCCTCTGATTCCTGGTGCTACTTGGACCAAGCTTGAATTCTCAAATAACGGCAAGCTCATACTTATCTCAACAGATGCTCAAGAAGACTACGTTGTCGATGCATTTACTGGAAAACTACTATGTGTACTTCAAATGACCTCGAGTCCTTATAGTCTTGAACACTATACAGAAAACTGGATGACCTACAAATATCCGTCTTCAGGTCGAAGCTGCTTCAGTCCATGTGGAAAATACGTACTTGCAGGCTCGCCAAAGATGAGTGTGTTGGTGTTTGATTTGGCTGCAATTAAATCATCTGAGGGAAGTAATGATTTCATACAAAATTCTCCCACCAAACTCAAACCAGTTCACGTTTTGAAAACAGACCATGGGTTGCCAAAAATAGTCACGTTCAACCCAAAACTACTCTCAATTGCAACCGCCGATAACTCGGTGGCTCTATGGAAAGGTGATGATTAAACGGCAACCAAACACCAACACTTTATATTCGATGCGAATTTCCAATCTGCAAGATGAACCTTTCTAGCAAGCTACCTTCCACACGAAAAGTACTCTTTTCGGCACCGCACCCATTTCCTAGTATACCATGGACTTTCAATGGCTTCAAACTACCATCGGTAAAAGATTGCAATGAGTTTTTCAGCACTCACCTGACAAATGTTCCCACTTATGCTCGCTACAGTTTACCTACTGCTCCAACAGATATTAAAGGAGTGGATCCTGAAGTCTATCTGCATATGAATCGGAGACAAATGGCAAAGCAGCTTCCAAAACTAGCATCGAATCGTTTTTTCAACCTCATATTTTTTCCAGAATCTCATCACATAGCTCTGGTGAGAAAGTCGACTATAGCATATATGTTTTCGAACAAGGGCGGGACTTTGTTCAATGATGGAGATTATGCAAGGTTATTCACGACGTACAAAGGAACTTACAAAAAGGACAACTATTTCAGTGAAAAAATGCTTCCAATGGATAGCGCCATAGAAAGACAGAGATTCCGACGTTTAGTCAAAAACGAGCTCTACGAAGCAATATTGAAGTATACGAAGAATGAAGACATCAACATAGTCGCGGGTGTATTCTGTTTTAGATTTGGGTTGGTTCCGGTTACAGAAGATGATCATCTTCGGGTAAAACTTGCTATTCGAAAGGCCGTACTGTCTCTTTTTGATCGCAAATTGCAAGAGCAGTTAAAGGTCATCTCCAAAAAACATCAGAACATGGCAGCACAATTACTACCCAACATAACTGTACATAATACCATGGGTGAGGAGAACGTGCCAGGATATTATCCCAAGTATCCTTTCTTAAAGAAATAGATTATAGAGCCGCCGGCCGGCAATTTTAGATACATGCCCAATCAGGTTCTGCGGCAGAAAACGAAAGTAGATCACCATTGATATTCACTTCATATTTTCGAGCATGTAACCAGAACGAATTGCCATCTCCTGTAGAGGCTACGATGGGCCGCTTGCACTCTTCACATACAGTTGGTGACAGAAATAATTCTGCCAAACGGGCCTGGCGTAATTCAAGAAGCATCTTTATATCTTGCTGGATTTCTTTCGATTCAAAATCAGACTCCTTGACAATGTCTATTTGTATGTCAGTGTTGTCTTTTGTCGACAATTTCACTTTCTTGTACAACTTTAGTTCAATATTGTTTCGGAGTAAATTGAGTTTATCCGATTCACCTGGATTATACAACTTGTCATTGACTATGGGGAAACCCAAGTTGCGTAGATGAATTCTTATTTGGTGCATTTTTCCCGAATGAGGCTCGCAAGATACTATGCTCTCATCAAGCTCCAGATTGTACTTTAATCTGGTGAAGGTGGTGGATGAGTCGATAGAGACATATCTTCCTGGCATAATGTAACCAGCTGTTGAGTTAAGTAAAAATACAGGATCTTGGTGAACGAGCTGAGAAGGTGGAAATTTGCCCTTGACCCTTGCTATGTATTCTTTTTTAACATCTTTTCTCTCTTGAAGCTGCTTCTGTATATTTGAACAAGCCGCTGAAGTGGTAGCCAACATTAGTATACCAGATGTAGCCTTATCAAGCCTGTGACACGGAAAGATGCTCTCCAAATGCAATTGAGCCTTGACAATCTCTGTCACTGAATTATAGCGAAAGTTGCCAGAAGGATGGGTTGGAATCCCACTTGGTTTGTTAACCACTATCAATGATGGATCTTGGTATATTATACTTATTGGTCCTGACCAAACAATAGGAGGTTCATGAATGTGCTTATAGTTCAAGATTATATCGTGCTGCCGCAACGGCTGTGTTATCAACTTTTCACCTTGTATAATGACCGGTTTTCCTTTGTCTTTGATTTGAAGCTGAAGTCTATCATGCTTAATATCTTCGTAAGAAAGACTTGATGATTGTCCCAAATCCGACTCGAACACCTGTGGAATGGTGCGGCCCACCCATCGTTGTTTCACGTGAGTTTTGTACTGGAAATAGTAGGGAGTGACTCTGCACAATCTGCCATCAAAGACATAGCTCATAAAAAAGTGCGAACTGAAAATTAAACTTTTGAAATTTAAACTTTATGAGAACGATAAATTAGGTATACAGATAACATTTGCAGCCGACGCTGCAGTCTAGTTTTGCAAGACGTTTTGTGCGTTACGACCAATGACGTTTCCTGGAGGGTCGTACTCACAAACAACGTAATGGCCCCAATTGTTCTTTTGAGCAGTCCTTAATGGCACATCCCATTTTTGTAGATCCTTTCCAAACAACCTGAGTAAAATGATTATACTCGTTGGCAGTTTGATAGTTGTATGTTTGTCCCTCATCGTACCAAGCGGTCACAGCAGAAGGTCCATCTTTGAAACCACAAGCAAGATTTTCACCAAATTGTCCATGGGTGTGAGTCAATATTCCGGAACAGTCGTACGAGTCAGCGTTATTTTGGGCATATTCGTAAGCCAGGGTGTCCCAAGATAATGGACCAGCGCCGTGAGCTGCTCTGTACTTGTTATGGATATCCAAGATCAGCTTGGCAAAGTCGGCATCGACTCCAGATGGACCGATTTCAGAGTAGATTCCACCAGAGCCAGAACCTGAAGACAGGGTTGAGGCGGAACTGGAAGTCGAACTGGTGGAAGTTGTCGATGCAACACTGAAAAATGGAACCGCTGAGGTTGTGGTAGGCTGGGTTGAAGCAACAGGAGCCGCGGACGATGATGACGATGATGAGCCTGAGGTGTATCCAAAATCAGAGAGCCAGCTCTTCACTTTGGAATTGCTCAAAAGCGATCCCAACAATCCCCCAAAGCCACTAGAACCCGAAGACAGCGACGCAGATGCAGTGTTGGAGGAGGTGGTGGAACTACTGTCTCCGTCAAAGAAGCTGAGAATGCTGCTCCAAAGAGAAGATCCAGAACCCGAACTGGCAGCAGTTGGAACTGAAGAAGCAACTGGAGAAGCAACTGCAGAAGGGACCGGAGCAGCAAATGGAGCAGCTGTACTCGTCACAGCTTGAACAGCAGTGTCATAAACAGTCACCACAGCTGGTGCTGGTGCTGCTTCTACTATCGCAGCAGACAAGATAGCCAAAGCAGTGGCCACACTAATGGAGGGTCTCATCTGATTGTTTACTGTGAATTGGGCAGGATTGAGTTTTATATCGCTGGTCACAAGAACCCCACATTGGCAATGTCCGTTTAATTTTTATACTAAATAGGAATTAGCTGCAAATTATTCAGCTCGAGCTGCATCTTCACTTGCCCGATTAGGCAATGTTCCATGAGCCTGTCAATGTTGCCTAAACGGGAAATGATATTGATTTTTCATTCTGATCCAAAAAGGCATCTAGGACTTACACAACCAGGACAAAACCAGGACAAGACAAGACAAGACACTACAAGAAAATAGTCCAAGTAACTCGATCCAGTACATCCTAACCTATAATGATTCAAGTTCGGTTGTAATGTTTATTCGTATTGCTTAATGTCCTGCAGAGAGCGAGGTGGAGCACAACCCCACTAGGTTCCGGCCCGCAACGGGCTTCAACGGGCTTCATTTAAAAGCCGCCATCAAAGATTACCTTAAATGAACTAGCCAAAGCCTCCGCAACCCCTCCTGCCGTGCACCGGGCAACTATTTCAAACTTGCATCCCACGTCGTCCGTGCTCTTGATAGTTACTAATGCTCCGTAATTTGCATTTTGAGTGTGCAAAATACCTGCTGCCAACACCAAAATTCCGTTTTTGGTGTCGTCTGGCGAATGATGTACAACTTCCAACCCTAATCGGGACACCAACCGTACTATATTGGACGAGTTGTACCGATGGGCAGTACTGCAAAAGACAGTACTTTCGCCGTCTATTGAACCCAATTCTTGTCCAATTTGCAACCATCTCTTTTTGAACTCTTCCAAATTTGTAGAAGTAGCCGCCGATAATGTCTTGAGCATAAGAACAGGAATTTTCAAATTGAGTTGATTGAACGAACCTCCGCACATGAACGATAAAGCAAGCACAGGACTTTCGTTGATGCCCACGACATTACGGATTTTGACCCTAATTTCCATCTCTGTCTTTGTAGTCACCGTTTGTTGCGGATATTGTGACATTTCGATAATAAAGTTAGGGTTGGTAGTAGCTGAAGCTCCTTGAAGTTCCAAAACGGTGAGTCTAGTGATCTCGGTATTGGCTGACTTTGCTGCACTGTTAATGATTGTAAACCGGTAGGTAAAGATTGCACCACTCTTGATAACTCTATACGTGATTTTGATCAAAGTGTTCTCATAAAATATTCCAGCGTCGTAGTGACACATACGAAGATACCCAGAATACCAATTGGGAGATAGGGTGTAATCTTCAGATCTTTCTGCAAATGGATCTTCACTTTCATCACTAGCCTCAGGAATAGGTAGCGCAACACTAGATGCTGACTTAACATTTCGGAGTCTCGCTAAGGCATCCAGATTACTTCGAGGTTTATTTTCAGCAACGTTGGAGCTGGAACGAGTTCGGTTCGACAAGCGATGGACACTTCCAACTCTTGAAAGCAAGTGGTTGGATTTTGCTTCAAACGCGGGAAATGGTCGCAATACAATTGAAGCAAGCTCTTTACCTGGCTCAATCATCAATTGGAGATATTCATGGGCCCTAGTCTGTATTTCAAGATCCATCGATTGGGTTTCTGCTTCGAATAAATCTATTATATCGGGAACAAAATCAGAATCAGGTTGCCTTGCTGATATTTTGAGAAACGATGTGAGTAGCATGGCTCGTGTGATTAACGAAACTGAAAAGTAGGCATCATAAAGAACCAGAAATGTCAGTATAAAGTCGAAATCACACTTGTGTCCGTACTCTCCCAAAACGAACGCAGCAACTTTGACTAGGCTCTCCAGTGAACTATGAGTCTTGAGAAGATTGGATATCATGCGACAAGACATCGTTTGAAGGTTTTCATTATTGACAATAATCTGTACCACACGTTCCCACACCTCGTTTCCGGTGTAAGCGGACCCACCAGATGGACCTTCTCCCATAGATAACAATCGAATCATGTTTGTAACATACCATTCCGGGTTCAGGGCATACCGCTCAGCTAAAACTGCAATTTTGACAGCTACATCTGGCTTTAAATTAGCTTCAGTATGAGGAAAGCTATCGAGCAAATGAGTCACAATCAGGTTGCAATTGGTGGCATCGCAAACGGTGTAGAGCAAGTCTAGCGATTTTCGTTTGACCGAGATATCTTTGTCGGCCAGAAACTTGAAAATTTTGGGTAAATTATCGGAGAAAGATTTTCTTACCGAAGCGTAGTAATTGCCTTCCAGAGTAGCTCGGTCTGCCAACTTGATGAGAGCATCTAGTGACAAGTATCGGGTGTTTGTTTCTGCCGAATCTAAAAGGGACATCAAAGCTTCTACAGCACCAGCTATAGCCTCGGCAGAAGCGTCCAAGAACACCGTCAAAGAAACAGTTTGGAAAAGAATTGAGCTTTGGGAGTTTCGATTGGGAAGGCCACGGACCGGCTGTGACGCATTTTTGATTGAATATGCCACCACTTCACGCAAACTGTTGACAGTCTCTCGATCAAGCAGAGCCAATGTCACGGAAGGAGCGGTTTCTTGGCACAAAAAACACAATTCTATGGTATGCAATAGACTCACGATAAGCCAAGGGGCCGGAGAGTCGTAATAATAGTATTCTTCAGGGCATTGCTGCTCCACCACTAACAGACGTAATCGACGAGCAATCGAGGGGAGTATTGACTTGAAGTATTTAGGTTCCATTTGCGCCACAAATTGGATGAGAGGAACCGATGCTGCCACTACGCCCATGCTGGGGTCGTCAACAAGCGACAAAATGCGAGGGATCCAATTGTTATTCGCTTTGATGATCGATGGAAATAACTTGGAAAGGGAAAGTAAAGCTGCCACACTTTTTTGGCGAACTCGCAAGTTCAGAACTGGTGAGCAACAAAGAGAGTAAACCATATCGACGATTTCCTGCCATCGAGGGAAATCTTCATGGTTTTTGGTGATGGAATGAACCGGGTAATCATGGCCTTCATCGTTCAGCACGTTGAAGCAGTTGGCGATGAATTGCACTGCCAAGCAATTGAACTCTTCGTTATTCGACTGGAGATCTTTTATCAAGGAAGAATAGATGATATCTAGCATATTTTCCAAGTAATCAGTGATGGTATGGTTCTTTTCCACCGGGAACAATGTCGATACTGCCAAGTATCCAAGCGACTTTTCGCTGAAAACGGAAGATTCCACGAGTGCGAGTGCATGAGTGAGTCCGAAATCAACTGTATCGTACCCAAGAAGGTGGATATATACGAGTTTACAGATGTATTTTTTGCGATGATAACCGTTAAGATTTGGTTGCGAAAACTTGGTTTGGATATTGTTGATCTCAAGATTGATGCGTCTTTTCTCGGCCTCTGCATCCTGGGCTTCTCGGATATCGACGATAAACTGGGTCAACCCTTTCATCAACGGAGCCATTATGGTGGATCGATCGGCCCGCAGCTCAAGTGCTGAACGCGGAGATCACCTGAAAAATCACGGGACCTTCGCGCACCTGACCCTCTCCCCCAGTGGTGCAGACACGACGCACCCTCATTGGCCCGGCGCGGTGCCGGCATTTAACTTTCCAAACTTCACCCATCACCACCATGTCATCTGTTGCCAAAACCGCTGCCACCAAATTGGACTGGGCAAAGGTCGTCTCATCTTTGGGATTGACCGGATCCACCGCTTCGTCCTTGACTGCTTTTAAGAAGAGAAACGATGAGGCCAAGAAGGAGAACTTGGCATTGAAGCAAGAAGCCCACACCGTTGATTTTAATCACTACCGTCTGGTTTTGAAGAACCAGAAAGTTGTTGACGAGATCGAGAAGGCTGTGTCGTCATTCAAACCCGCCACCTATGATGTCAGCAAGACATTGAAGTCCATTGATCTCTTTGAAGAGAAGGCGGTTGAGAACGCCAAATTGACCGAAAAATCAGTATTGGAGGAAATAAAGCAACTCCAGGAAACTTTGAAGGACATTGAGTCTGCCAGACCATTCGACCAATTGACCGTCGACGATGTTGCCAAGGCCAGACCTGACTTGGACGAGAAGGTGAACTACATGATCAAGAATGGTAAATGGGAGGTGCCCGGATACAAGGAGAAGTTTGGCGACTTGACTGTTATGTAGAGCATTAAATAAGAATTGAAATGGTGTAGACAAAGACAGGAGACAAAGGCAAAAAGACAAAAAACAAAAAGGGCACTTCAATAGTTTGGCTTGCTTAGTGAGTGTAAACTTAATTGTTCCACTTTGTGTTTTATGCTTCTCTTACTTATGTTACGTATGTCTCGTCATATGTCTGGATATACATGCGTTATACATGCCTTTATTTCTCTGTTTCTTCATTGCTCGCTATTACAGTTTTCTTCTCTCCTTCGTAATGCACCACATAATTGAAATGCTCAAAAAATCCCGTCGGTATGAGTATCAATCGCTCAGGAACAGACTTGTGATTGTACTGGTACCCCAATTCAAACATACTATCCCAAGAAGTGGTTATTATACTGCAATTGTAACGCTTATGTATAATATGAATTAAATTGCCAAGTTGTCGATATTTTGATACCTGATCTTGGAACAGCAACAATTTCAATTCCCAGTAAAAAACAGAAAGGTTATCAATTACTAACGTGTGAATATTGACATGAAATAATGGATCATTTGGCAGAGTCATTGCCAATATCAGCTCGAGTTTCAGGATCAAGGCTGCAAAATCTTCAATGTCACCCAAATTCAATTGCGAGTCAACCACAATGTTCTCGTACCCACAGTCAATCACACATACTTTTCCCGAGCCAATTGGATGCAATCGGTTGTAAAATGCTGATTTTGTCTTGCGATCACGAAACGCTACATGTATCACACCAGTGATCTGTTCACCCAGTGATTGCAAAATATGGGGTTGAACCACAAGGAGCTGTGTTAGCTGAAGATGAGAAGATTAACTCGAAAACTTCAAAGAATAACTAAAATCACAGAGACACTATTTTTAGCGAAATGGTTTTACCGAGAAATCAATTTACCATAAAATTCAGCTATCAATGAAATCAAAATCCAAAATGGCCAATTACTGTGTGTCACCAGTCCCCTCCGATCCACTCACCACACTCACCTCTCGTAATGCTATAGTTTTCATGCCGTTTAGGCATACTCTCTACTTTAAGTCTCACTCTCACCCCGCCTGCACCCGGCCTCATTGACTATATAACGGAGCCGCACACTGGCGAAACTCAAGGCGTTCCACAACTCAACGTTGGCCGTCAAGGAACTACGACGCAGGAGTTTTTAGGAGCTAAAAAGGTTGCACAGGTGATCAGTATACCCGCAAAACCTTACAGACGCTTTTTGAGCATAATCAATCATCATCAACAAACAATTTTTCAGCCAGTTTTTCGCCAGAATTTTTTACCAAATCGGACCTTTCGGTTTTGTTTCTACTCCTACGGAAACTACCACTTCACTAGCAAATCACTCATCTCCCTTCCAAACATTCCATAATATTTCCGTCCATCTGTCTCCATGAACTTTCATTATGCTATTGACCCTCGACTGGTACTACTGCCGTTCCATTGGTGCCTAAAATTCATCAACCATCTTCGATATACATGGCTTAATGGACGACTGACAACCCGGGCAACCGTGGACGTATTTATCAACTTGCTGCTCGTACTATTGTGGATAATACTTTCCAAAGTGGTGCTGTGGATTCCTAATCTGATTCGACCTCCTATTTATGTGAGATTATGCATGCGTCTTGACGAATATGTATTCTCGATGCACCCCTATTGGATGGGTTCAATTCTCTCTTTAATATGCATTTGTGCCGGTGGTTGGCTTATCTATAACAAGTTTTATCGGCTGATTTCAGTGGTGTTACCCAATGCCATTGAATTGACCAAAATAGGACATCTGACAGATGTAAGTTCCACGAGCTCTTCGGAAATGGAACACGAAATAGGTTTCAAGCTGTGGATGGATGAACCTTTCTCCAAACATGAATTTGTACGCTCGTACAAATATGCTCCATTAATCTTGTGTTTTTCGAGTTGGTTCTTGCTCAACTTGGTGTACCGATTTCACAAAAATTACAATATCGTCAAGGGAATCATTGCATGGGCATTTTATGTGGTATTGCACTTCTTGGTACCCATAGTGACTTCGCTATGGCTTTACTTATTCCAACCGCAAGGAGCAACTGCCTTATTTTGGTGGAATTTGGGACTGCAAAATCTCATGGCTCTTATAACCCATTTCATTTTCCCCAACGCTCCACCTCTCTATATTCGAGTATATGGTGACAACAAACCTCCCTCATACGATATGAAGTTCACCGACGGTATCAGTCGTTCTGACATGAAAATAGGGCCCCATATTCACAAAGCGGTATACTGGGCAACACCATCCAAATTCGGTGCCTTACCATCACTCCATTCAGCAACTGCAGTTACTGCGTTTTTATTTGCGTGCTATTATTCTCGTTACAACACGATCAAAGCCTTGGCATTCTTATACATTATTTTACAATGGTGGGCTGCCGTGTACTCGGAACACCATTGGCGGGTAGACCTTTTAACGGGAATGTTTTATTCATTGGGCACATTTACATTCTTTCACAGTTATACCGGAAGCTTTCAAAAAATGGACCAACAGTTTATAAAAAGTCGGCAAAAGGGCGACTTGCGAGCCGGAACCACTGCTGGAATGCGGCTTTTTGCCAATAGCCGATTTTCCAACTGGTTTGATCCTCTCTCGTGATGAAGACCATACAAAAATTAACCGTCAATAAAGTTCATATCACTCATATACGCTCATACCGTTATACCGCTATACGTTTACACCTACCTATCCTCATTTCTGCAACCTGCCGTAATCTGCTACTTCTTTACTTTTCTCGGAATTTTTCGCCAGCCTGCTATTGTTCGCGCACAATAGAAAATGCAACCTACACTATTGTTTCCTCACCGCACAATCAACTTGACATGCCGCACTCGAACCGGTCGGTAATATTGGACTTCTATATAAGTATACTTGTTGCGTCAAGAAACTAACCATGAAATGCACAATTGTATTGACATTAGTCTATTATGCCATTATGGCATCGGCTGCAAAAACCATCTTACTTTCTAATGATGATGGCTGGGCCTCCACTTATATTAGAGCTGCATACCGGGATCTTAAGGATGCTGGTTACAATGTGATTTTGGTGGCACCGGTATCTCAAAGATCAGGATACGGTGGAAAATTCGATGTTCCTACTTCCAAGACTCTTGAAACTGAAGGAGAATTTAGTTACGTTAAAAAGGGTGCACCTTCTTGGGACCATGAAAAAGACGACCAAAATATCTGGTATTTCAATGGTACTCCTGCCTCGTGTATTTCGTTCGCTTTGGACTATTTGCTTCCTGAGAAGTTTGACAATGTTACACCCGATTTGGTGGTTGCTGGACCTAACGAGGGTCCTAATTTGAGTCCTGGTTTCTACACTGCTTCTGGAACCATGGGAGCGGTTTATAATGCCATTTACCGAGGAATTCCCGCCATTTCGTTCCTGGGTTCTGATTTCAACAACTCTTTTTTCAAAGACTCGCTCGACGATTCCAAATCCAATCCCGCCAATATCTACTCCAAAAAAGTTGTGGAGTTGACGAAAAAGGTAATTGACGGAGGTATGCCCGCTATCACCGGTATAAACGTCAATTTCCCCAAAGTAGGCACGCTTTTGGGCAAGGATGATCCTTCGTGTGACGACCCCAAATGGCAATTTGGCAGGATGATGGGCAAAGGAGTGTTTGTTCAGAACATGAAGTACAATCTGGACCTGGGACTTATGGAGTGGGGCACGAAATACTTTGACAATATTCTGAAAGATTGCGACAGTGGAGACTGTGGATTAACAGCGGAATACGATATTTACCTCAAAAACAATTGCAGTACATCAGTCAGTGTTTTCACTGTGGATTACGACACCACGTTACTGACATCCAACACCGTCAAAAAACTACTTGGGTTTTAGGAGCCACAAGTTCACCGATGCGGCGATGATGGAAATTACCAAAAAGGCGAACGGAATGCGTGCGGCTTACGCAACGGAATTATAGAGCTATTTCAGAGTATAAATAGAAAATCGTTGCCTTCAGTGCATAATTTCACCATCAAATGAACTCAAACATGTTGAAGGTTGTGCCAGAGGACAGGGTGCGTCTTTCCGTTCGCCATCTTCTGGTGCTGGTGCTGCGCGATCCCGGCGAAGTTGCAGATGGAGCAGATTCTGCAGATAAACCATCTGGCAAGATCCTCGATGATATCTCGTTCGATCTTGAATCTGGTAACATGTTAGCGATTGTGGGAGCATCTGGAAGTGGTAAATCGTCTCTCCTAAACACATTGGCACAACGGTTCAATGTTCACAGTAAACGATTACAGCTTCTGGGATCTATTTTGTTAGCTGCTGCATGTGGGTCGCTGCAGGATTCTGCGATGGCTGCAATTAACAGCGCTTATCTCCAACAAACTGACATATTTTTGCCTGGACTTACAGTGTATGAGACGCTCAAGTACAAAGCCGACTTGCGGCTCCCTGCAAGTGTTCACTCGTCTACAAAAGACAAATTGATCGCTTCCTTGTTGAATGTTCTAGGACTCGAACATATCCGTGATAAGAGAATCTTGTCATTTGCAACCCAACAAACTACGCTTTCTGGTGGAGAACAACGACGTATATCTTTAGCAATTCAGCTTCTTAGTATGCCGCCATTGTTATTTTTGGATGAACCTACAACGGGACTCGATGCAACTAGTTCGCTCAAGCTCGTTCAAATATTACGAACCCTAGCATCGCCAGAATTTGGCTTCACGATTCTCCTTTCAATTCACCAGCCTCGACCAGAGATTTCTGTGCTCTTTGACAAACTTTGTGTTTTAACCCATGGAGGCAGAATGGTATATTACGGCAGTTTGGTGGAAAGCAGTAGGTACTTTGCCAACATTGGTTTTCAAGCTTCCAACAATATCGATTACATTATGCAACTTTCCGTCAGGGATACGCTGACCATCGAGGCAGAACGTCAAAGTAACCTTGTTATAGATCAATTGGTTACGGCTTGGAAGGAACACAACTACTACGAACCATTGAATCTTACTGAACAGCAACAAAAAGCAGGGTTTGAAGCTACTTATAAGCAGCTTACTCTGTCCCAAGAAAGCCGTATTACTCTTTTTAGAGAGGTGATGGTACTAACGAAACGAAATATGTTGACTTCGATAAGAGACATAGGTTCTCTTTTGGCTCTTATTGGAGGAGCCATAGTTCTCGCTATCACATTAGGGTGGATGTTTTACAAACCAGGAAGTGATTTGGCTGGTATAAGATCGACCACATCGTCTTTATATGTCATTCTCGAAGTGATTGGGTTTTCTCCATTATTCGTTGACTTGGTAAGATTGTGTCTCATTGATGGAGTTTACTACTTTTCTGAACGCCAGGAAAATATCGTCAGTGTACCAGGGTTTCTCATTTCCAGAAGACTTGCAAAATTGTTCATTGAAGATATTCCAACCTCATTGATCTTTTCTTCAATATCTTACTTTATGTGGGGTTTGCGAATGGAAGACGGTAATGGAAACCGAAATGTGTCCTACTTTTTCATCTGTGCTGTTATAACGTTTCTCGTGTACTCAATTGGTATGGCAATGGCAACTTTCAGTTTTGCACTTGCTCCATCGTTTCCTATGGCCAGTATGATCTCCAACATCTTCTACCAGTTACAAAATAGTGCTTGTGGCTACTTTGTGAATGCAAAAACAATGCCGGTATACGTCCGGTGGACCAAGTATATTGCCCACTTTTGGTACGCATTTGGAGGACTTACTTCAAACCAGTATACTGACTGGAAAGGTACTTGTCGAGGCTCAGCCCAAGAATGTGTTACATATTCCGGAAATTATCAACTCCACGAGCTTGGATATCCTAAAAATTGGATTGCACAGCCTATTGGAATTTTGATTGCCTGGTTGGTTGCATTTTACATTTTCGCAGCCATTGCTCTATATTACCATAATGGGTCTTCTGGGGTTGCCAAGCATAAGACAAATACAATTGGAGATGAAGTTGATACCCAGACAGAAAACAGAGACGAAAAAGTGCCAGCAAGCGATCAAACCGATATTGACAATCAAGAAAAAGTTTCTATTGCACTTGAAAATATTAGCATGTCAATTCAACCAAAATGGTGGTCTATCAAAAAACCTCAACCACTAACCCTACTTGACAATGTCTCTGCTGAATTTGCAGCATGCCAGCTCAATGTCATATTGGGACCCTCAGGCAGCGGGAAGTCTACGTTACTCAAATTTTTATCGAACAGAATCTCCAAATCAACTGCAAAAAAAGTAAGTGGTTCAATGAAGGTAAATGGTTCCCAAGACATCACACCATCACAACTAGCAACCATATCTGCCTACGTTGACCAAAGCGATGATTCTCTCATTCCAACTTTAACAGTACGAGAGACCCTTTTTTTCCAAGCCCGTTTGAGACTTCCTGAAGAAAACCATGATAAAATACCTTCCATTATTATATCGTTGATGAGAAAAGTAGGGTTATTGGAATGTGCCGATACGGTGATCGGATCCTCTATACGGAAAGGAATATCTGGAGGAGAAAAACGGCGTCTTTCAATTGCAATACAGCTTCTAAGTGAACCCAAGGTGCTCTTTTTAGACGAGCCAACTTCTGGTTTAGATTCGACTACGGCAAGAACTATTCTCACCATGTTGGTAGACCTAGCAGTTCAGAACAACACAACAGTGATAACCACCATCCATCAGCCCAGTGATGATATGTTCCATGAATTTGGAAGTGTCTTGTTACTTGCTCGCCATGGTACAATGATTTATCAAGGAAAACCAAATTCAATTCAGCCATATTTGGAGCTGAAGGGATACTTTAAACCAGAAACGATGAAAGTAGCTGACTTTATGCTAGATCTACTTTCACCCACATTGGAGGAGACCCCAGAAACCATAGAGGCTCGTATACAAATGTTGAGGACAGAATGGTTGTATCATCAAAAACAAAAATTTGACGAGCAAAAATATAGTGGAGACATCGACTTGGTTCAGTACAGACACAAACGTGCTCGGTTTATGGTTGCTCTAAAGGTGATAACTCATAGACAACTTCTCAATTCATGGCGGTCGTTAGATGTGGTTTTTGCAAGAGCCATGCAAACGGTTTTGTTGGCCATTATTCATACCTTGTACTTTACGCCACTTCGAAATAGTCAAATTGGCATAAGTAACCGACTCGGATTAGTTCAAGTGGTATTGAACATGTATTTTGTTGGTTTCATCAATAATCAATCGTTGTACCCAATAGAACGAGACTTGTTCTACAAAGAGTACAAGGATGACATTTACGGCACATGTGAATTCAGTGTTTCTTACCTTATCAATGAGCTTCCTATCGAGATATTGCCATGCTTTTTTTTTGCAGCTCTTATTGTTTTTGGTCCTGGTTTACCTAGGAACGCAGGCATGTTCTTTAGTATGTTTCTCACCAGTTTCATTTCCATGAATTGTGGTGAATCGTTGGGAATTCTTGTCAATAGCGTGGTGAAGCACTTGGGATTGGCAGCAAACGTTTTGGGTAGCATTATTATGTTTGCATTGTTTATGGGAGGAACAATGTCGCTTAATATGCCACCATTTTTCAAAGGGTGGAATTACATTAATCCTATGAAATATGCAGTGGGAATTTGCGCCGAGCTCGGATTTCGAAACCAGGTATTTGACTGTCCTGGAAATTCCGATTGCCCTCTTTCAACTGGAGAAAAGGTTTTACTAGCTTACAATCTTGAACTGAATGTGCCGCGTTATTTCGCAGCCTTTGTTGGATGTCTTGTGGTGTATCGAGTGCTTGCGACAGTTGCAGTATATGTTAAAGTTAGATATTTTATATAGACTAATGCTGACTTATGACAGGTTGAATAATTAATTTTTTAGTACATTAGTCAGTTCAGGTTCCTTGCATAAGCGGAAATATTCTAAAATGGTTACGGGAAAAAATATTGATCTCGCCTGTGGACCTGGTTTCCTTTTGCTCTTTCTGGCGAGAGTACCCGAAATGAGTATATTTCCGGCTAATGCCGTTTTCTTGGGCCAATTGCGCTGACAGGTTGCACCAGATTCGTACATCGCTCGCGAAACGCACTATGCGGGCGAATTTGCGCTTTTCGTAAAATA